GGTAACGTGATTACACTTGTAGATCGTAGCTGCGGCCCGGATACTGAGATTTTGGTCTTTTCTGATAGCTTGAAGAGCAAGATTTATTTTTCGTTCCTCATTAATAGTTGCCATCGCTGGTGGTGGAGAAAATCATATTGAAAGTTGGATGGTATGGAAATTTGGTGAGGTGTTTCACTCGCTTGTCTGTTTCACTCGCTTATCATGCACGTTATACATAGTACTATAAGTTAAGGAATTTTTTTTAGAAATTTCTTCTACTAATAGATCTCGAAGCTCGAAGCCGTCTTAATACCGTATTAACTCTCGAGAATTCTCACCGATTTAAGGACGCGAATCCGTCTTAATACGGCTTCGATATAGTATTAAGATAGCGTAAGAGAAGCGTTAGAGAAGCTTCAGAGAGGCGTCGGACGAGAGTTAGAGAAGTATTAAATTACCTAGATTTAAACTTTAGGTTATTACTAATACTATTAGGTAGTACTAATAGATTTAATCTATCTAATTTCGATCTACTACTATATACTACCTAGTAGTTTTTAATCTAGTTCTAACTCGGCTTCGATCTAGCTTTAATCTAGTTCTAATCCACCTTCGATCCGGTTTCGACCTAGCTTTAATCCGGTTTCGATCCGGTTTCGATCTAGGGTTAGGATTATTATTACTACAAGATATATATAGGTAGTAGGTATATAGTACTTAAGTTAGTACTATACTAGTTACCTAGTAGTAGTATATAGGTGACTTTTAAGGATTATATATATACTATCTAGGTTAGAATCACTATAAAGATCAAGAACCACTTAAGTTAAGAATTACTATAGAGGTTAAGGACTCTATATAGATTATATATATATATATATACTATATAGTAGTAGTAGTAAAGTATCAGCACCTTTATACTAAATAATATATATAGGTAGGTAGGTATATTATAGTATAAATACTATATATATATATATATAGTATTATATAATATAGTACCTATAGTACTACTAGTATATATATACTATCTTTTTATTTCAAGTTTGTTTCGTTCGTGAGTGGCTTGTAGTAGGTGGGGTGTTTTGCTGGCCGTGTACTAGTAGTACTAGTACGATATGCATGCATGCCTCACGGTGAGCATGTATTGGCTGTGGAATCCGTAGGCAGGCATACATACATGGCGGGGTACAATCCTATGAAGTACACAAATCAGTAACATAGTACTATGAAGCCTTCTGAAGATCACTTACTACTCACCCATGGAGCATCTCATCTACAACCCATCACCGCGGGCGTTGCGGGCCGAGATCCGCCACCTTCAAGTTTCCGCCGGCCCGCTTCAAGTGCCTGACTGGGAATTGTATGATCGGCTCTACGGAGAGTGTCAGTCGGTCGAGCCTAGGGTGGCCTGGCTGGGCCACAACCACTATGAATCGTCTTACCTCCAGAACAGCCAAGGCCAGAACCAGAACCAGCCTCTGCCGATGCAGCTGATGTTCGACGAGTACGGTCGCGATTGGGACGTGGAAGCCGTGCTGGACCAAAATGACATCTATGCCGCGCATCCATCGCTGAGGGACAGGGATCCGGATGTCGTCGTATCATCCATCGCCGCCTTCATTCAAGCATGGCTCTACCTCGGTCTTCTCGAGGCCATTTGCGCAAAACCAATCTTGCCGTCGTACTGTGTGCGCGGCGGTCATGATGACCAAGGTCGCCATGGACATGAACATCAACAGTGGCTGTATAGCCGCAATCTAGGCATCCTCCTCGAAACATGGCGTCGAGGGCTCGATGGCGTCGAGGCTGATTTCCGCGACGCCACGCTGCGAGCAGCTCGAATCTGCGCCACCACCGCGAGCACCATCCTGCACGACCTATATACCCGACTCTCGGCACGTGCCACAGAACAGTCGGGCCCTGGCTTCTCCAGGCTTCTGGAATTGGTCGTCGAGTTTGAGCCGGCGCTGTCGGCGCTGCATGAAGCCATCGTTGCATATAGCGAGAGGCACCTTCAGATAGAAGTCAGGTCTTTTGGCCCAGGGACCACCATGCCATTTCCGAGCCGGTACTCGCAGAGTTTGATCGCAAGAGGCTGGTGTCGTTTCGTGCTTGCCAGTGCTGAGGCGACCGTGCTGCCGTCTCTGCTACGGTATATCGACGCCGCCGGGTTCGACAAGACCACCGCAGGCCACGAGACGTGCACCTCGGACGGGTGCAAACGCAACAACGTTGATCTGGCGACGTACACGCAGGAACATGATGCACCTGATTGCCGTTGCCGGTTCGTGAAGCCCAAACTCGCCGACGTGTTTGATATCTTGAATGCCGGGAAGATCCCGGTCGTGCAGTTTCTCGAACAAGACAACTCGCTCCAGCTGGGAGCCGTCGACCCCGACAGTTCCGCGGCCAGCTATATCGCCTTTTCTCACGTCTGGGCTGACGGGCTGGGCAGCAGCACCGAGATCGGGTTCCCGCGGTGTCAACTCACCAGACTAGACCTCCTCGCTGGGCAGCGACTGAAACATGGCGCCTGGTTCTGGATTGACGGGCTTTGCGTGCCGAAACGGGAGCCCTATCGTGGCAAGGCCATCGAGATGATGAAACAGACCTACCGATACGCCACCGGAGTCATTGTGCTAGACAAGGGACACCGCCGGTTGTCCCAGTCTGCTCCAGTCTTGGAAGTGGCCTGGGCGGTATTTGCCTCGGGCTGGTTTGGCCGGCTGTGGACTTACCAAGAAGGCTTTCTCCCGCCCTGGGTCGATCTGGAATTGGCGGACGGCCTGTACGATCTGTACGGCCTGATCCAAACTCTGTACAAGACCTACTATGACGGTGATGGCAGCCCGTTCCCCTCCGTATTTGTGCGCGACCTCCTGGCCGTGCTCCAGAAAGTGCGACCTCTTGACCGCCAGGCGAAGAACCGGCCCAAACCTAAAAAGCTGGTCGACACTTTCAATGCCCTGACGCGGCGACGCACCAGCCGACCTGATGACCAGCTTCTCGTCTTGGGACTGCTGCTCGACGTGGACATCAGCGGTGGTATGAGGCTGTCGGGGGAGGACCGCTGGAAACATTTCTATCTGGAACTGCGGGAGATCCCATGGACCGTGCTGTTCGATCGTCGGCCGAAGCTGAAGTCGCCGCCTTTCAGGTGGGCTCCGGACAGCTGGATCAGCCCTGGTCAAGACGTGTGGCTGCATTACGACGAGCCATTGGCCGTCATCTCCAACGACGGCTTGACCATAGAGTTGACGGTCCTCGTGATGTACCAGTCTCGCCGCACCAGTCTCACGACCCTTGTACTGCACGTGGATAAGGCCCGGTATGAACTCAGTCGTCCAAGCACAGCCTCTTCACCCGGCATTGAGTCTTTCAACACCATTTTCGTGCGCCATTTTCGTCATGAAGCTCCCTACGCCAACCTCCAAGACAACAGCAGCCTGCTTATGACAGCTGGTATCGGGCTGTTGGCGTTGGCGGAAACAGCAGGCCAAGCCATTGACTATGACTTTTCTTCGGAGTGGGAGATTCGACTGTTGATGGATGATGAAGAAGAGATTCCTCTGGACGCTGAAACCGTCGAGGCACGGTGGAAACAGACCGAGATCTGCTTCACCTGAGAGCTAGTAGCGGATGACAGATTGGGCTGGTCGATATGTGACAACGCAGTGGTAGAAATCGAGGCCTCCATCACAACCATCTGCTCGACATCGGCAGTTCAACGTGGCCTCAGGCCCGTCGTTGGCCCAGTGTAGGCTAAGGACCTCTATGGCATGGGTCCGACCGACGGTCCCAGGGCATTGTCCCAGGCGCTCCAGTCGAAATCGATCTGGCCGAGGCTGCCGGGAGACAAACCCGCTGGCTCTAGATTGGTATCGTAAGTATGGGCGGGCGGCGACACCCTGGTCCAGAGTCGCCGAGATCCTGGCTCCTCGGGGTCGTCCTGAGCGATCCTCTCACCACAGATGCAAAACGGCAATGACACCACCGACGAGGGATAGAGGACGTGGTGATCGACGCCGATCTGCTCGAGAGCCTTTCTTCGAGTCCGGACTAGCATGTTCCACGCGTCCTTTCCGGCCGGGGAAAGCTGACGTTGATGCGGGTCGTTCTGGCTCACGATCCCTTCGTCCACCTGATAAAGCTCAAAGATGGCATCGATCAGGCCACGGGACAAGGCTGCGTCGTCGCTGTGCGGATGTTGCAGGAGATCTGCAAGTAGTAAGGAGACTGCTTGGAGGGGCTGGTATGTTCCGGGGTACATCCAGTGGAATGGTTCAGACGTCGCATCGTTGCAGACTCGAAGGAAGAGTTGAATGAAGGATTGAGCATGTTTGACGGCACTGTGAGCACCGACATTTGGTTAGTCCCTCGACAAAGGAGCGGATTTTGTGGCTTCCTACTTGGACCGGATTGACTCGTGGGCGCTCATGACAGGGTCTCTGAAGAGCGGATGATACAGGACGCAATAGGCCTTATGCACCATCAAATGCAACAGAGGCACCGACCAGGTCGTAAAGTTGATGACTTCGTGGTCACCAGCGTCGGGTTGCAGCTTCCAGACCCGGTCGAATACTCCGGGAATGGTGCTCGGATTGCGTGGGCTTGCAACGTTGGAATAGCCTGAGACCGAGCTGGGCCGGGACCTGAGGAGCATCTCGGTGGTGGCGCTCGTGTTTTCTGCAACTGTCCTCAATCGGCGTTCCATCTCGCTCACGTGTCGCAGGGACTGGAAAGAATCCTCGAAATGGCCTATGAGCACCGTTCGTATTTCCTTGGTGACTTGGTAACGCTGGGAAGCCACTAGATATCGGATATCGACTGTATGTCCGTCAGTCAAGCTTGCACGTGTTTCTGCCGCGAAGACATGTCGGACGAATCTGCCTACCCTGTCGATTGGCGTCGGGGTCGCCTTCCACATGGTCATATTGGCATATGGTGTCAGCGTTCGCCATCTTCTCGTCGATGAACAGCGGCGACAATCCCGACGAGGCGGACGACATGACGTCCAGATGGAGAATGTACCACCAGAGTCTTCGTCGCGTCTCCCTCTCGGCCACTGTGAAGCCGGCTTCTGGCAGGTGTCGGTGTAAGCCCATGCCGAGTGCGATGCGAAAGGAGGTGGAGATGAAGTCGGGGGCGTCGGAAAACTCTTCCTCCCTGGCAAATTGACTCTGGGTAAAGATGTACGCGGCGAGTGAATACATACTCGGCCGGCGAGGGAACCCGGAGAGCGTGGCAGATACCATGGCCATGAAGTACATGTCGCTCGCCTGTGGAATCTCGGTTTCTCCTAGTAGGGTCCGGACCCGCGAGTCGGAACTGGATGCGAGAGCTGCAAACAGAATCGCGGACAACAGACACAGGTAACCGGGTTTCTTGCGCAGGAACAGGCTGGGCTCGCTCTCGTGCAGGTGTCCCGGCGTGACCCCGGCCCAGAAGTCTCGAAAGTCTTGAGCAAACCCGCGAACATGCAGTAGCGGAGTCAGAGGGAACACGGAGGCGAAGAAGAGGTCGCACAGCTTTTCGCACACGTCCTGGCTCGGTAAGAGGGCCAGGACACAGGTCAGGTTGTATCTCTTGCCGCACGATTTGCATTGGTTGTTGCGTGGTGTCTTGGTCGAGGAGAAGCCACTCGACCGAGGGGGACGGAATTTCAGGCCTGCCCATTCTAGACCGTCGTCTTGCCTGGGTGGCCATTTGGGGAACGTTGATGGCTCGTGGGAGAGAGTATCTGGGTCGACCCGATCATTGTCGCTGAGCTGATACCGTTGAGCCGGTTGTCGTTGTCTCTAGGAACAGACGACCCTCAGGGGTTTGAGATGACTTACCTCGGGAGGAATTGGGTTGGCCCAATAAGTCGAACCCATATATACTGACCTCCCGCCCGTGTATACAGATAGCTGGCCCTTCTCACGGCTGGCAGGCTGCCGTATGGGTTGATCCTGGTGGGCTAGGGTTGCGTGAGTCTCGTGTCGATCTTTCCTTTCGGGAGGCTAGAGGCCTTCGTCTTCATCTTACATTCATTTCGAGGTTCAGCGCCCCCTGTGTTGCCCGCTCTGGATTTCTCGGACGGTACCGCCGGTGGTTGTGGGTGTGGTGGCTCTGAGGATTCAGCCATCGCACTTTCATCGTAGACGCAGGCAACACCGCCGGCAGTGCAACGAACACACGATGGACGAGCCTGCGTGCGTCAATAATCAGTCTCATTCGCCCTCTCGGTACATGGATGTCTCGAGGTGGTTCGGCCCTGCTTACTCGATCACATCGCACCCGCCGTTTCCTGCATGGCAGGCAACTGGTAACCGGGCGTGCTCTCTTCATCACGATCTTTTGATGTCCCTAGCTGGCCAACGCCTGTCTCGACCAGAAGAAGTGGTTGGTGCGCTGTCCACTGCTGTGACGAAATGCGTTATCTGCCTGGGGCGCCAGGGGGAGGTGGTTAGGTAAATACTATAAGGCCTGAGCCGTCATCAGGCGAGCAGGGTTTGCCGGGTAGGTATCTAGGTAGGTAGGTAGGGTAGGGTTCTGTCAATCAACGCCTAAATGATCAGCCTCAGCCACGCTACCACAAGGTACATACATCGCGAGATCTTGTTCAGCGCTTGCAAGGAAGGGCTCAAAAGCGACGACAGCACGACGGATGCCGTCATTGCCCATAGTCGTCTTCAAGAAGCTGATCATGTTCTGTTCACATCGATAGGAGACAGCATACGGAGGCGTGCAATACCTACCAGGTACCTAGGTAAGGTACCTACCCTTAGGCATGGTACCTTCCTTAGGTAGCCAGCCTACCTAGGTGAGGAAGGTACACGGTGACGTAACAGGATAACCGGGATTTCGAAAGACCGTTAGGCCTGAGCCCCGGCATAATAAAGTACAGTACAGTCAGTACCTTCAGGTACCTACCGTAGGTAGCTAAGGGTACTGCACATACTGTAGGTACAGGTACCTAGGTAGATACCTATTAGATACCCAGCTTTACCTAAAGTGCCTTAAAGCTTAACCACGGTACTAGGCTATACGTGCGGCTCAGGCTCGGCGCGGCTTCGGAGCAGGCTAAACGATCAAACACGCCGGCAGCCGGTTCCGTGCAGCTCAGCTGCCTGGCGCGAAGTGACCCCTGTACATAGCACTGCTGTATGCGCACACATATTGTATAGTATACTGTAATGTGACGAAAGATGCAGATCCCATAATCCGACCATCATACTCCCTACTCCGTAGTGTCCCTCGTACGAGACTGAACTGAAGATCTATGGATCGCCCTGTATGCCGGGATCATCGGGATCAACTCTCATTGCCGTCCCGCCTCCGGTAGATCCGGATGGGACATGCCTGGCAGGGCAGGCTTGAGGATGTGGCAAGCTGTTTGACCTGCCGTTCATTATCTTCACGTATCACTCGCGCGAATTCGAACCTCTTCTGCACGGGAGAAGGAATGAAGTATGAAGTATCCATTCTGCTATTGGAGCCAGAGGGTGGTTCCCTTCATTGATGCTAGCAAATTGGTAATGGTCACCGAAAGCACAGCTATTGATTCTGATCGTGGCACGCACTCCTAGGAGAATGATTGTTTATATAATTTATATGTGAAGAATACCTTCAGTCTAGTGAGGCGCGCTCGAAACAGTACTCAACATTCGCGGTTTGATATGACAACGCCTACAAATTCCCATTGATCTTTGTCTCGGTAGTCGTCCTAATCCTCTCACCTAGTTTCTCGTCCACTTTGGCGAACATGGCTATAGCGGAGAACCAACGAATTAGTCTCAGTAAGAATGCAAGACTAGACAAGACATCAAGTCGTGGCCAGAGGACTTACCGTAAACCTTCTCTCGCAGCCATGACTCAGTAACACCGCTCACATGGGCGGCAAGGTTGTCGATAAAGCGAGACTGAGCGCCTTCCTGCTGTTCCATAATCTTCCACAGGGCTCGGGGTTGTTCGAAGTCTCGGTCGCCGGCAGTGGTGAAGACCGCGGCCGGTGCCGAGACTTGGACACTGTCGAGAGTCTGGACTGCTGAACTCGTCTGGGGCTGTGCTGTTCCCGTCTCCGCAATGAAGCTGACCGGCTTCAGCTTGGTGCCGATGTAATTCGGATCATCGCCGTAGTTGGTGGTGAAGTTCATCGACCCGTCTCGTTCAATTGGACAATACACCTCGCTTTTGGCGGCATTGGTGGGCAAGAACTGGTAATTCGCGCCCAGGCGGTACCGCGCCGAGTCGGGATAGGCAAACATACGGGCCTGGAGCATCGGATCTGGACTGGGAGCGATCCCCGGCACCATGTTACTAGGGCTGAAGGCGGCTTGCTCGATCTCGGCGAACCAGTTCTTCGGATTGCGGTCCAGGACCACCCGTCCCATCTTGCGCAAGGGAAACTGCTTCTTCGGCCAGACCTTGGTCATGTCGAAGATATCAACCGGCGCATTGGCAATGTCGCTCGGATGGATCACCTGGACGTACACATTCCACGAGGGATAATTACCGGCTGTGATGGCGTCTTGGAGGTCCTGCAGATGCCGATCCGGTTCGGTGCCCGCCAGTCGTGCGCCCTCGGCGTCGGTATAGTACTGGATCCCTTGCTGGGTGTGGAGATGGATCCGAACATAAACGTACGACCCGTCGGCTTTGGTGAACTTGTACGTGTTCCCGCTGTACCCGTTGACGTGGCGGACGGACAAGGGCAGCCCCCTATCGCCAAACAGGAACATCAAGGCATGGATACTCTCTTGGCTGTGGACATGGAAGTCCCAGAACATGTTGGCACTTGACCGGTTGGTGGCAGGGTCTCTCTTGTGACTCCGGTTCAGCGAGGGAAACTTGACGGGATCGCGGACGAAGAAGACGGGCTGCGGGAAACGCGTCAGTCCAAGGCCGAATAGTACATAAGAGGCCTTGCCTACCTGATTGTTGAAGACCCAGTCATTGTTTCCCTGCGCCGTCTTGAACTTGACCGCGAAGCCCCTGAAGTCTCTGACCGTGTCCGCCGAGCCACGCTCCGGGCCCACGGTTGAGATCCGCATCAGCACTTCTGTCCTCTTTCCGATGCCATTGAGAAAATCGGCGTCCGTGAGGTCAGACACGTCGTCAGTCACTTCATAATATCCTCGAGCTCCTGCAGCCTTTGCGTGCACCGGCCGTTCCGGGATCCTCTCTCGCGAGAAATGGGCCAAGTTCTCCAGAAGCTGAGTGCTGGTTAACAGCACAAAGCCGCCGCCGGAGCCGGTGGACAGCTGGTCGATCGTGTCGTTCCGTGGGAGGGGTACGCCTTCGGCCAGAGTGTACAAGGGCTGAGAAGATGCCATCATGGGATGCTGGTGTCGATCGTTGAGGGTATCACCTATCACAATATAGTAGTGTACACAATGAGCCAGGAATCTTCCAGAGGGTGAGGGTGAGGGTCCAGGCGTCCCTATTCACATGCTTCTCTTTATATGTTCCGAGACACTCATAGTCATAGCCTATGGCTTCTTCAGTATGGATATGCCAACGCTAGAGGTTCCAGGATCGAAAGTCTTTGTAATGAGGTGCCATCTGTTGGATAACCTCTGGGTGCATCTTTGTGCCGGACATCTGGTCGGGACCGACAGGAATATCCTGCCGAATGATCCGTATCAGTTGGATAGTTTGGGAAAAGTGGCCTGTTCCGTCCATCTCTGGACGTAAATAGATGTGCGAGGCCCAAGCCTGTTTCGCGCGAGGCTCGTGCGAGGCTGTGGCCCTGGAGGATTCAGGAGTAGGTTAGTCATCGGCCCCTTAGCCCTAGCTGACTCACATGAGCTATGCATGAGCTATGAATGAGCTATGCCTCTCCAAGCTGGTGTAATGGTTCCGCGACATCCTGAGTCAGGGTCTTGCCAAACGTGGGCATCACGGTCGGTACCGCACAGAGCGTTCTGATCAGAAGGAGAATATGGCTCGAACAACCCCAACGTGGGCCAGACGCAAGAAAGGATTTACCGGAGCTGTGAGTCTGGTACTACCTGTGGTACCAGTAGTAGGTCACATACAAACCTGGTTGTACATAGTAGGTAGGTAGGTAGGTGGTAGGTAGTAAGTACATAGTAGCTACCTAGGTAGTGAGCTGCGGTTGTGACGACAATGCCGCGCCAAGGCGGCAAACTTTCTCCCGACTTCGAGTTTAGCGATACTCGATACTAGGACATGTCTGGGTAGTGATTACTGTACTCCAATTCCATTCACACTACTTACTACTACATACATGGACATGTAATCAACAATCAAGCTGGTGGTGCCGGGGCTGGACCTCCGACTCGGTTCATGCTCCATGCTCTATGCTTTCGCGCGAGACTTGACCACTGCTGCATGACACAGCATCCATGAACCAAGATGCTTAGACATGGGAACACGTCACCTCTACTACCCCCGGTGGAGGAGGAGAGAGAAAATGTGTGTGTGTGTCTGTGTCTGTGTCTGTGTCTATGTCATCAGAGCCAGTGTCGGTGAACGAGACGGGGGTGTATAGTATAAAAGGATGGCTGTGCTACTGACTGCCTGAGGTTGACTTGAGCCTTACTTAGCCATCCATCCGCATCCTCTACCTTCTCAACCTCAATCTCAGCCTTATCCCTATACGCGTCGAGTCCATTCACAATGGCAGCTACCAGCGGAGCACACTTTGACTTTGTCATTGTCGGCGGCGGCACGGCAGGCAACACGGTGGCGGGCCGCCTCGCAGAAAACCCCAATGTCCGCATCCTGATCATCGAGGCCGGGGTGGGCAACTCGCATGAGATTCCCGAGATCAGGACCCCGGCGGTGGCCATGGACCTGCGTGGCAGCCAGTATGACTGGGCATACAAGACGACACTGGTCAAGCGCGACGACTACGAACGTATCGAGAAGCCCAACACGCGCGGCAAGGCCCTGGGCGGCAGCTCGTCGCTCAACTACTTCACCTGGATCCCCGGCTGCAAGGCGACCTTTGATCTATGGGAGGAGTACGGCGGCAAGGAATGGACCTGGCAGCCTCTGGTGCCGTACCTGCGCAAGAGCGCCACCTACCACGACGACCCCAAGCTGTACCTGCCGGAGCTGCAGAAGATAGGTGGCGGGGGCCCAATCGCCATCTCGCACGCCGAACTCATCCCCGAGATGGAGGGGTTCCGCGACGCCCTGACCCAGGCGTGGACGTCGATGGGCGAGCCGATCAACGAGAACATCTACGACGGCGACATGTATGGTCTCAACCACTGCGTCGCCAGCATCTACCAGGGCCAGCGGTCCGGCAGCTTCCTCTTCGTGCAGGACAAGCCCAACATCACGATCCTCGCCGGCACCCACTCCAAGCGTCTGATCATCAACGAGGCCGACAAGATCTGCAAGGGCGTCACCGTCGTCGACGCTTCAGGCCAAGAGCTCCACTTGTACGCCGACCGCGAAGTCATCCTCTCCCAGGGCGTCTTTGAGAGCCCCAAGCTGCTGATGCTCAGCGGCATCGGCCCCGCCCGAGAGTTGCAGAAGTATGCCATCCCTGTCGTGGTCGACAACCCCCACGTCGGCCAGCATCTGATCGACCATCCGGGCGTGCCCTTTGTCCTCGAGGTCAAGGACGGATTCGGCATGGATGACCAGCTCCTCCGTCCGGGCCCCAAGCACGACGCTGCCGTGTCGACCTACCAACAAAACCACACCGGCCCCCTGAGCTCAGGTCTCTTGGAATTGGTCGGCTTCCCTCGCGTCGACAAGTATCTCGAGAAGGACCCACAGTACCGCCAGGCCAAAGCCGCCAACGGAGGTCGCGATCCCTTCTGTCCGCTGGGCCAGCCTCATTTCGAACTCGACTTTGTCTGCGCCTACGGCTCCGCCTTCCAGTGGCACTTCCCGGTGCCCAAGAGCGGCAACCACATCACCGTCGTCGTCGACCTTGTGCGCCCCGTATCCGAGCCCGGCGAGGTGACGCTGCAGTCGGCCGATCCTCTCGTGCAACCCAACATCAACTTGAACTTCTTCGCCAATGACCTCGACATCATCGCCATGCGCGAGGGCATCCGCTTCAGCTACGACGTGCTCAAGAAAGGTGACAAGTTCCGCGACGTCGTCATCCAAGACTATCCGTGGGACATGCCTCTCGATTCCGACGTCGACATGAAGCGCGCCGTCTTGGACCGTTGCCAGACTGCCTTCCACCCCTGCGGCACCAATCGTCTCTCCAAGAGCATTGAACAGGGCGTGGTCGATCCGGGCCTCAAGGTCCACGGCATCAAGAATCTGCGTGTCATTGATGCTTCGGTGGTAAGTCTTGGAGGTTTGGTTGCGTTTGCTCTACACAGTTCAAGTCCATCCTTCCCATCCCTGTTCAATCCCCTTGTTCTTACGCAATCATCGACATTTTCCATTCCACATCTTCATGAGCAAGAGCGAGCACGAGCAAGATCTAGTACTGACGAAATAAATTCATTTTCTGAACACAGATCCCCGTCATTCCGGACTGTCGCATCCAAAACTCGGTCTACATGATCGGCGAAAAGGGCGCCGACAAGATCAAGGCCGACCACCAAGATCTTTTCGGCCTGCCGGCATAGCTAAGCTTAGCTGGACTAAGGTAGCCCTGAGCCAGGTACAGTACAGTACATGTCGGGGTTGTTTGATCGGCTTGGTCTCAAATGAATACGAATCCGAACAGTCTAAGGTACTAGATACCTCGTGCGTGTTCATGTAGCGGGTTGTGGTTCGGATACGCATACGGGACAGATTTGCTTTGCTTTGCTTTGCTTTGCTTTGCTTTGCTTTGCTTTGCTTTGCTTTGCTTTGCTTTGCTTTGCTTTGGAGAGAGATGGAAGCTATATACGATTGATGCCAGTATGAGATAGTTATGGCCATAGTCATAGTATGAGTGTGGATACATTGTCTTTCTATACCTACAGATGCAGGTACAGATACAGATTCAGATTCAGATACAGATATACCTGGGTAGGTATATGTTATGCTATGCTATATTCCTAGTAGTTGACACCAACGGTGACACCATTCCTGCCACTTACCTGTACCAATAGTAATTGTACAGTATCCCCATGCTGGCCTCTATATCTATGGGTGGTACAAATCTATGAGCCATGGACAACCTTTTCAAGTCCTCGTTGTTTTGTTTCCAACTCCCATGATATCTGCCTTGGCTCACCACCGATGGTGACGAACCTGTGTTCTGTGTCAAGAGTCATACTGACACCTCGTGGTGCTGGATGGCGTGCCCTTTGTCCTCGAGGTCAAGGACGGTTTCGGCATGGATGCATCTGGCCGGTTCTAGTTCCACACCTTCTCGCACAATCACTGCATGACGTACGGGAAAACGTGGCCGTAGTCAAACATGCCGGTTTCCGTGTAGTACTGTTCCCAGTGCTTGACCAGGATCTCCAATATGTCGGGCTCGTCGTCGGCCTTGTCGTGCATCTCGCCAGGATCGTCGGCCACGTTGTACAGCTCCCAGCAATCCTTGCCACGGGGCGGCGGCATCCACAGCGCCTTCCACGGCCCGCGGCGGATGGCGCGCAGACCAAACAGTTCCCATCCCGTGATGTGCTCGTTCTCGTCGTGCACGCTGCTGGACTGCAGATCTGGTGAAGTCAGGTGTGGGACCCAACTGGAGCCTCGCATGGGTACGATCGCCCGTTCTCGGAACGTGTCGGCCGGCGGCTTGATGCCGGCGAGCTCCAACATGGTGGGCAGAATGTCCATGACCGTCGTGAAGGCGTCGGTGTGCGCGTACGCAGGCTGGTGGAGCTTCGGATAGCGCACGATGCAGGGACACCGGATCCCGCCCTCGGTGATCCAGGTCTTGAACCCACGAGACGGAGCCATGGACGCGCAGGCCCAACGCGGGCCATACCAGGTCCACGAGTCCGGGTTCCCAATGTTCTCCAACCGGTTGTCGTAGAATTGGTCGAGAATGGCGGAAAAGCTCTGTTTGTCGCCCATGGTCGGGATGGCTTCTAGAAGCACGCCTTCGGCCCCGTTGTCCGACATGAACAGAATGAACGTGTTGTCCAGCTCGTCGGTCGACTCGAGATATGACACTACCCGGGCGACGTTCTGATCGATTTCATCCACCATGGCGGCATACACCTGCATGTCGTGGTCAGTCGATTGGGATTGGCACTGGCCCTGTCGGGGTTGGGCTGACGCTGACGCTTACCTCCATGTTTCGCGCCGAGCGCTCCCGTTCTTCCGGCGATTTGGCCTCCCATTCCTGGTCGATGTGTAGCGCTCCAGTGATGGGTGCCGGCTCGACATCCTTGGGCACCAGACCCAAATCAATCAAGCTCGCGAGCCGCTGTTCACGCAGCCGCTCCGGCCCCGTGTCGTACCGACCCTTGTACTTTTCGATGGTCTTTCGTGGCGCCTGCAGAGGCCAATGTGGGGCGGTAAAGGGCAAAAAGGCGAAGAACGGTTGGTCCTTCTGCTTGGGCGACCGCTCCTGGAAGAATCCCAGCAGTCGATCCGTGAAGGTCTTGGAGGAGTAGAAATCCTCGGGCAGGTCTCGTTGGCGGTCGATCTTCTCGCCGTCTTGCATCCACCAGCCGTCGGACGACATGAACCGTGGGGTCGGTCGGCCTGGCTCTGACTGGGGTTCGTAGTTGTAGTGGTTCCCTGACCCTGGGAGGAAAGAAAACGACCGGTCAAAGCCACGGGCGTGCGGCGACAGGTGCGGCTCCAGACCTAAATGCCTAGCCATCCTCGGTGAGCCATGTTTTGGGAGTGGCCCAGGGCAAGAAACCCGCCAAAAACTCACCATTTCCCGGACATGAGGGTCAAGTAGCCAGCATCTTGAAAAATCTCACTTGCGGCGGCGACCCGGAAATTCAGATATCCTTCATACCCCGGGCGGCCCTTGTATTTGTTTTCGTGGCCCATCATGTGCTCACTGAGTTGGCCGAGCCCGGCAATGTGGTGGTCGGTCCCCGATAGCAGCATGGCTCTTGTGGGCGAGCACGCCGACGCCGTGTGAAAGTTGGTCAGGCGGATGCCCTCCTTTGCCAGTCTCTCAATGGTCGGGGTCTCGATCTCGCCGCCAAAGGGACTGACATCGCTGTAGCCCAGGTCATCGGCCACAATGACCAGGAAATTGGGCGACTTCGCCGGCTGCGCCATGTTGGCTAGGGGTCGACAGGTGGCCGGCGAGGCAGGATGGCATTGACGGACGGCCGATGGATTCGCAGAGGGGCCGCGGAGGGATTATCAAACGATTGTCGCGAGTACACAGCATCGCAGTATCGCAGGACTGTAGGGGTTGAGGGGAGAACAAGTTGGTAGGAGGACCATGGTTGCCTGAGGCGTGCACGAGTACCGAGGGACGCGATCTGGACGCATATCGCCTGTCGATCTGCTTCTTCTGCCTCTTCTTCTTCTTGTTCCCCCGGGCTTCCCCGACCCAGGTATGCTCCACCACACCCGCTATTCCCAGGTACGGAGTTTTGCACGATGAGATGTGAGTTAGCATCTTGCATGGTCGGTCTCGTGGAGATTTGCGTTTGTGCTAGTAACGGTCGCTAGACCATATCGGTACTAGCCTGCTATCTGTGCGCTTCTTACCAGAATAGGGCTAGCTCAAGGGCCGCCCATCTTGAAGATATCGACGCATCACTATTAAGTATACTCTGTACAGGTACTCGGTATCTACCCAAGTAGTATATGAATCGCAACATTTTACGCCAGCATCCTCCGTACCTCCGTACTGTGTCCAGCCACAGCATCCCCTTTTGATAATTATCGGGTGTCTATATCTACGCCGCCGCCCTGGCTACGGCTCAGCGTGTCTTGCAGCAATCCCTCCGCAATGACTCTCATCCAGCGAACTTCCGCCGATTCCTGCTGCCACACAGCAAAATTGGCAAGGGCACCCTCGATGGCCACTCTCCAATCGCCCTCGACAGGGACCTTGTGGCTCCGGACCGCCGCCAGGATGGTCAGCACGCTTTGAAAGAGCTGGCGAAAATGAAACCACAGACCCCCGTGACGCCAACGACGGGCATCCACGTGCTCGAGGTATTCCATACTGAGACGCACGCATCTCTTGGCCAATTCGGCGGCCACCGACCAGTGTGGCGCATCCTCTGGTTGATTGAGAATGTAGAACAGGAAAGGGTGGAACAGAAAGGATTTGAACCCCACCGCGCGTTTGGCGACAATATACCCCAACTCGGTCGTGGGAGTTCGCACCTGCGCCGGGAAATGACGGACCCTGTTGTTGTTTAGCCAGCGTCCACGCACGCCGTGAAGGAGCAGCCAGAGCCATACCACTGATCGAATTCCGACTCCAACTCGGCGACATCATGTAGCAATCGCTCAATATGGGAGATCCACCACGCCTCATTGTGGGTGTAGAGCTTCTGTCGCATCCTCACCACGGTCCGGAGCATGGAGATCTCGGACAGGTAGTAGAACCATCCGGCCTCCTCGAGCGCTTCAATGCTGCCGTGGGACATGTCAAGGTCCCCCCAAGCTGGCGGTGACCTGTTCGGGTCGAGGAGACCTTTGGGTGGCGATGGCAACGGAGAGGGCATGCGGAACTTGGCGAGCCCGAACGATGGCAGGTTAATTTCGGACCGGATCTCACTGCTGTCGCGTCAGTCCTTATGAAGATCTTCGCACTTGACGGTAGCCTGAGGCCACTGACCACTCTGTTTTCACGCAGGAATAATACAGCCGCTCGACCAAGCCAGAGTTGGCACTGGGCTCGGGCTCAGACCCGGACACCCTTCTCAGAAGCCAATGCACGCTCACGGAGGCTTGCTGGTAGTGGTGCCACGCCTGCGTCACGCTTAACGAGCACATTTCGTAGATACCACAGAGGTAGTGACACTGTGCGGCGATAAGTGACAAGTCCAACAGGCCGAGGCGCTTTCGGGCGGCCACATAGTAGCCCCTGCTGGCGGACTGGTCGAGCGAAGCGGTCGGGAAGGCATCTTTGTGTAAGGTACGTCCCGTCACGTCGTGGTTCTCCTGCATGGGCGTGACGGCCAATGCGAGGGCGCAGGCTATTAGCTGCGACGTGCAGTGAGCATGGTAGATCCTATAAAGCCAGCAGCGGTCGACTTACCACCAAACACGACTCTCCGCTCCAGTCCAGGCCAAACTCTTCGATCCGTCGCGCCGACTTCTCCAGACTGGTGATATCGAGGATCGGATTCTTGATATAAATCAGAGTCCGATATCTCTTTACCAGTGCCACGACGCGAGACTCGTCGACAGCCCCCGAACGGGTGCCGTACCCAGCTTTGTCTTGCTGGCGGAGAGGGACGTGGCGGGCCAGGAGTGTGGCCGACTTATCGTCGGCGGCCTCGCCCGTTGATGGCGGAGGAGGCAACCACGCGAGTGCCTGCACATGCTCAGGCGAGAAGCCTCGAAGTTCGGGCCAGTCGAGCATCCTCTCGGAGACACCGTCGGATTCAGGGACTTCGAGGTCATCGCCTGACGCAGACTCGATGGGTGGCTGGCGGGCCTGAGGTGCTGCACTGGCACTGGGACCGGGCGTCGATGAGGTTGCTGGCGTCGAGGTCGTAGCCAACGGCGAAAAGATGCTACCTTGCCGGGCTGTAGGCAGCCGGCTTTCCACCAGGGTGGCTACATAGTTGATGCGTTCCAACAGCTCTGTCGTGGTCGGTTCGGGGCTTCTGTCGAAGTATCAGTACCAGTCCAGAGTACTGGTAGGCAGGCAGCGCGATGGCAAGTATTTTGGCCACACGACACGCACATGAGCGGACTGTTCTCTGCAAATGTTGAATAGACACACACCACGCCGCTGACCCTGCACAGCCGACACGACGGTTGCCCATTGTCACAGCGCGTCTTCTTCCGCCGACACAATTCACAGGCGACGGCAGTGCGTTTCCGGGGATAGGCACTGGCGGCGTCGCTAGGCCGGGGTCTCTTTGCCTGCGACGCACTCCGGCTGGAGGAGCGGGAGACAGCGGCAGCGGTAGAGGTAGCGGTAGCGGTAGCGGTAGGGTCGGCCTCGAGGGCGCTGGCCATGGTTGGCAGAGCCTCGAGACTAGGCGACCACGACCAGACAAAGTCAACCAGAAACCAGAAAAGACGCGGAAACACGGGGATAGAATTACTGTAACAAATAAAAGAGTGCTGGAGAGCAGAAACGAAATCTCCAGTCCCAGCTCCACCACTATAACGTGTGCTTAGTGCTCCTGTTCTGCGGCCTCTATGGCTGCGCCCCCGGCAAACCTGCCCCGCGACGCTGACGCCATTTCGCTCTAAACTGTCGACTTTTCCATCCTCTGGCATAGCAGCCATCTAGCATCTGTACACCGCTCCACCACCACCAACGCTGCCCAACCCTGTCGAACCCTGCCCTGCCTACCGCCCTACCGCCCTCCCCTGCGCACCTGAATTCCCCCTCTGCCCATCCGCCCCGGCGGCGGATCATGTACAACCTTCCCCGGTGGAGCCGGCTACCGGACTTTCTGACCTCCTGGAGGCCTAGGCGCCATCAGCCTCGTTGCTCGGTGTCTTCCTGTCGGTCGGTTCCTAAAAAGAAATCATCTCGAGAATGAATCACGCCAGCGACCGACCTGGTCTGGGATCTGAGACTCGTTGACGCGCAACCATGAAGAGAGATATAAGTCGGCCAGGGCCGTCAGATGGGCTTCCATCCTCACCGACCACATTGACCGCCCCGTCTTCAGCCTGATCTTCGTCGTCGTCGTCACAGTCGCAGCCATGGGGAAATCAGTACCAGTACCAGGAACCGAGGGCATCTCGAGCATCATCACCGCCTTCAATGGACGACTCTTCTTCTCGGTCTCCCTCATCGCCCTGTCGCAGTTCAACTTTGGGTATGATACAACCGTCTTTGGCACCACCCAGGCCATGGCCCCGTTCACCCGCCGCTTCGGCCATCTCAACCCCAAGACACATAAGTACGCCATCGAGCCCTACTTCTTATCCTACCTCAACAGCTTCCCTTTCCTGGGCTTCGCCTTCGGCCTCGTGACCGGCAGCATCATCAGCCGCAAGTTCGGCCGACGCACCTGTGTAATCGTCATGTGCGCGTGGGCAGTAATCGCCGCCAGCATCGTGGTCAGCTCTCAACATCGAGAACAGCTGCTCGCGGGCCGTGTGCTGGCCTACATCTACATTGGCATGGAACTCGCCGTGGTTCCTGTCTACCAATCCGAGCTGGTGCCCGCGCGCGTCCGCGGCTTCGTCGTCGGTACTTATCAGTCGGGCCTCCTCGTAAGTGCCTCACCTCTTCCCCCTCTTCAAGCTGAGTTGGGCTGAGCGTGAAAAAAGATTGGTGGCCTCATCGCCTCGGTCATCTGCCGCGGGACGAGCGACATCAAAGACGACGCATCGTGGCGGATTCCCATGGGCTTGTTCTTTGTCGTCCCTACCATCGTTGGTACACTGGCCTGGTTCATTCCGGAGGTGAGTCGATGTCTTGCTGCGAAATTTCCAGCCCGCTGACTTTGAGCCCCCAGTCTCCGCGCTGGTACTTATCCCATGGCCGGTCTGATGAGGCCCTCGTCTCTCTGCGAAAGCTCCGGCGAGGCCGATTCTCGGAGGAGGAAATCCTGCATGAATTCGCCGACCTACAAACCATTTCGAGCCTGCCCCATGAAAAGGCCTGGTTCATTGAGATGTTCCAGGGCACCAATCTGCGCCGCACATTGATCGCCGTCGGCACCAGCAGCTTCCTACAGCTGACGGGCCAGAACTTCGTCTCGGCCTATGGCACGATCTACGTCCAGAGCCTGCACACCATCAACCCGTTTACGTTTGGCATCGTCAGCTCCGTCATCTCCATCGTAACGGTGTTTTTGACCCAGTATCTCTCAGACCGAGCTGGTCGAAGGTACGTCCTATGTCACCATTCCTTCTGCTCTGCTCCTACGTTTGTTTCCCTGTTTTTAAAGAGGCAAGTTATTCTGACCCTCCATCGACAGGCCTCTGATGATCGCCGGCTCGCTGGTGCAGATGGGGAGTCTGTTCGCCATGGGCGGACTCGGCATCGACAAGGTTCCATCGTATTCGGCGCGACAGGGTATCACCGCCATGGTCGCCATCTTTGGCGCCGGGTTCTGTCTCGGCTGGGCGCCGTTGTCTCACCTCATCACCGCCGAGGTACCGAGCTCACGGTTGCGAGATCAGACCTACGCCCTAGCCAGCGTCTTCAACGTCGCCATCCAGTTTGCTGTTTCCTTCAGCATTCCTTATTTGTTATACGCCCCCTACGCCAACCTTGGATCCAAGGTGGGCTTCATCTTCGGCTCCATCGCCACTTGTGCGTTGATATTTTCCTACCTGTGCATCCCGGAACTCAAAAACCGCACCCTCGAGGAGGTGGACTGGCTGTTTGTCCAAGGCACCCCGATCCGGAAATTCGGCACGGCCAAGGCCGATATTCCTCCCGTCGACGACGTCCTCAGCGCGGGGTCGCTCAAGACTGTGTTGGACGCGCCGAGTAAGGTGTGACCAGTGACTACTGCTGGTGAAGGCGGTGGGACAGTGGCGGGCGTTGATGTGAAACTCATGTGTGAACCACGTGTGGCCGGGCCTTGAATGCCAAAATAACAATCACAAACGTCTCTTCGGCGATGGGGAAGACGTGTGAAAAGACCCCTGGCCCCCGAGTTCCAAAGGCCTCAGAATATCTCATCTAGGCTTGTGACACTATCGATTTTGGTGGGAACGTTCCACTTGGGATAGCCGGCGAGCTAGTTGAATTGTTGACTAGAGATGGCTTGTTGTATATATATACTGAGTTGGCCTCTAATCTATAGTTGAGATTGGTATACATAGACATATAGTCGAGCACGTCAGCCATCGTCCCAGGCCCTGGCCTGTACAAGGGACGGTTCACGGACCCATTGATGGATCAAAGGAGATGGTCCATATTCATTATTCATTGTTGAGATTGAGATTTCGTCCGTCTAGTACAAGTTGAGGGCCGGCTGACCATTCCGATTGCTGAATGCATGTATATATATATATATAGTGCTTGGAGCCGATCGAATCAGGGAGAGAAAAGCATGGAGACAGCGGTCGTGTCTGTATTCACTCGATAGACGAGAACATCCTCTGCCTCACTGCATTGAATGCCCACGACTTGGCTTAGTCAAAACACTGACGAACCATCGTCCGATCGCCACGGTTGACGAACCAGTTCAACCTCGTTCTGGTTCTTGTCGGTCTCGGTCTCGGTCTCGATCTTGGTCTTGACCTTGGTCTTCTCGATCCGGAGACCCGGGGGGAAGAAGTACCTGGATCCCTACACTAGAGTCTAGACTATCGGATCGAAATCCCCTGTTCTGTTTCTTGCGGGAATGCCGGAGCGCTTTCCCCGGTGTGCAGTGCAGTAAAATGGTGAGGAACCACAGAACCACAAACGGGACGGGGAAGGGAACGGGAACGGGACCAGAAAAAAGCCAGTTACTAGCCACTACTGCAAATATATGAACCCTCAGGAAGGGAGAAAACGAGGGATACTATACGTAAAAGAAATAGAAACAAAAGGCGTGATTATATGTGATAATGGCGTCGTCGGAAGCCAAGACTCGATCCGATAGGCGGAAGACTCACTACATGTACTCACTACTCACTACTACTACCTCCTCACTAGCAAGACTTGTCAGCCTTCGAGGTAGAGGTAGAGGGAGGAAAACCAGGAGTGAGAAGGCCTATGCCTGTGCCTATGCCTATGTAGGTGTAGGTGTAGGTGTAGGTCTACTATAGCACCTGTAGTGGCGAGAAGACCTTTCACGAACGGGACTGTAGGGCTCACTCAGTGGCAAGGCTCTGCGGGACTTGGTACCTGGTCGTTACCTTCTCTATTTCAATTGTAGGGGTTTACTTGCTGTTTCGTTTATCGCGGATACTATACATGTAGTATATATATAGGGTTGGGATACTTCTTAAGTGAATATATGCATCCTATATACACCACTGTCGTCTGGTCCGGAATAGAAGTACTGCTAGCGGTCAAGGTATAGATTAAGTAGCAGCAGCAGCAGCAGCAGCAGCAGCAGCAGTAGTAGTAGTACAATGGAGAGAGGCTGGATGGAGGCTGTGTCTGTCCCAGGCCAGGCCAGGCCTCGCTGCTGGCAGGTCTGTTCAACCAAGGTAGAAGGTAGGTTGGTAATTGCAAAATATTCCCTTGTGGCACAGTTGGACGTGATGTGATGGGTAACCAAGTGCAAGTGGTGTCAGGTCTGGGTTGTTTTTTTTCTTTCGATGAACCACGCAAAGTATGCTGTCTCGCCGTGTCTCGCACACACACATATACACATACACTTTCTCCCTTTCCCTTTCTTTAGTGAGTTCTTTTGGGACAGGGGCCATGGTAGATGTAGATGCAGATGTAGATGTAGATGTGTATGTGTATGCAGATGTATATGCAGATTCACTACTGTCAGTGGGTTTCGTCGATATCTCCCAAGGAAGCCAGTGGTATAATAAGGTCATTGGCCCGAGCGTGCTGTCAGACTCTAATGGAGTCACAGTGCTCTCGAACCCGTTGATTCATACATTCTCAGTGCTTGTAGGCAATGCTAAGCTGGTTAGCCCAAAGCATCAAAGTCAAAAAAGACACAGGAAACTGAAGCTGCCGGTGTGGAATGAATGACACAAGAGTAGTGCTGCACGTAAGAGTTCAATCTCTGCTGAGTCTAGGGGATCGGATCGTTCAAAGCTGTATCTATACCCGGGATATTCTGTTCGGCACAGTCTCACTGTGGCAGTGCACAGAAGGTACAGTCGTGGTCTCATCCGTGACCTGACCACGGTGCTGGACGGTGGATTTGCCTTTTTAATCATAGTCATGGTCAGAGAATAGACGGCAGTAGAGGTACTGCCTTTCACGAGTGGAATATTGTCACGAGGAAGACGTCTTCCTCAAAAAAGGATTGCCAATTGCCATAGACTGTGACTTCGGAGAGGAGGGAGAAGCAAGCGTTTCTCCTCCGGGTATTATTATTGCAGATTACATCATCAGAGTGCACTGGAGTGCATATATAGATAGGTACCTAGGCAGGCAAGGTAGGGAGTATCCGTACTTGTAAACAAGACCAAGAAATGATGGGTGTGTCAAAAAAAAAAGGAGAAAAAAGGGGCGGTCTAACGCACATTGGACTTTGTACTTCACTCTGCTTAGTAACCTAGGTACGCAAAAAATGGGCTCGTAAATCTGCAAATAGTCCTATGCCCGGTCACATAGTCTCGACATTCTTTCTAGAAGAATAGACCATGGTGAAAAAGTGCAAAAAAGATGAGATGTGTTGCCTCCTACTGGATTTGAACCAATGACCTCGTCATTGACTGATGTCGAATTGAATTCGAATCGTACTAGTGACGCGCTCTACCCCTGAGCTAAGAAGGCGAGATGGGATGTTGTTGTTGTTCCAGATGCAGCTGCTGCTGCTGGAACTTGTTGGAAGTCTTTTTCGAAGGTATAAAATAAGAAGGATAGATTTTTCAATGGGGTGGTAGGTGGGTGGAGTACTCTCGACGAGACAGAGTAGGTATGGATGGTTGTGTTGTGCCAAGCCCATTAGTAATTGGAACAACTGCTAGTGGTGCAAGTAGTACGACCGCCAACTTGTCTCTGCACGACGCACGTTTGTGTACTCTGTACAATAGCTAAGTGTTTACGGAGGACATTCAAATCTAAGTCTCGGCATGGCCACAACTGTCTGAATGAAAGGGCAAAGTCAACATGCGGGATTTTCCAGGTTCGATCAGGCTGAAATGCCGATTAAGAGCGGGTATTGAGTGTTCGTGTGGACCGTATATATATTAGATAAAAGTCATTCCCCCGCTGGCGCTGACCACACTACCAGTTACCCATCGACTTTCCTCCGAACACAGGAACCTGGATCACACATATTAGTCGATGTGACAAACGAGGATCAACGTGGAACAGCTCTTACATGACGATGGGCACCACATCTCCCACATCACCAACTCTAGCAGCGGCCGGTGTTGCATCGATGATGGGCTGGAAATCCGCCAGCAGTGCCGGATCACTATCCCACCACATGTCCGTTGAAATGGGGCCTGGGCTGACACAGTTCACTGTGACACTATACTTGCGACCCAACTCCGTGGCCCAGACTTTGCACAAACTTTCTAACCCGGCCTTTGTCGCCGCGTAGACTGTCTGCTGCGGCACTCCGAGGCGAGCCGACACCGAAGACATGAGAATGATGCGCCCACCCTGGGCCAGGTAAGGCAGAGCCAAGTGGGTGAGGAAAATCGGCGCTGAAAGCCCCGTCAGCATCAGCATCAGCATCAGCGGCACGACGACACAACATGGAGGGCAAAGCGATACCTTTGAGGTTGATGTCCGACTGCTTCTCATAGAACTCCTCGGTCATATCGGCGAGATAGCAGTCGTCGCCATTACCGGCATTGTGGACGAGAATGTCGATCGTCCCATTCGGCGAAATCGAGAGGGCAGCACCTACCAGCTTTTGTAGATCCGAGAGCTTGGTCACGTCGGCTTGGACGAGCGCGGCCTTACTGCCACAATCTTGAATGCTTTTCAGCACTTTGACCGCGGCATCGGCACCTCGCTGACTCGTGTAGTTCACCACCACATTGGCACCGCGACGGCCCAGCTCGATTGCGATCCCGGCGCCGATTCCCCTTGTGTTGCGTCAGAAGTTATACCAGGCACAACTCTTACACGACAACTGACCTCGACGAGCCCGTCACAATCGCCGTCTTGCCGGCCAGGTTTCCGAGCACCTTGACGTCCGCGGGGACAAGGGTGGCCGCCATTTCTAGGGGAGATCAGAAACGCCTAGCAGGTCTTTCTGGCTTGAACCCAAGGGTATCAGTCAATGACGGGATTGTTGAACGGCGTAATGTTCGTAGTCCAGCAGACGAGGTTAGTGGGACGTGCATCTCTATTTATCGGCGTGTCCGCGTTAGTGATAGGAGTCAGCAAGGCCATGCTTGGTCGCGGCGTCCTGTTGGCGGGTGTGGATATGGGCTTCTGTGTTGTCGTAGTGGAGGACAGGATGATGGTGTACGGAGCACCGAGTACACTGGAGTCTGTAGAGTGTACTCCGTATAGTAGTAATTAATTAGTGGTGCTCGTGGTGGTGGCTGTAGTGTAGTGGTTGTACTACTACTACTGTAAACGGCTGCGGTGCCTGCCCCGCATCGCCCTTATCTAGATGGGCAGATTTAGCTTCGCTCTCAACCGCGTTTATCTCTACTACTCTCTACCTCCGTATCTCTGTCTCCATTAGACTGAGATCCCTATTAGTCCGTGGTCCCTTGTTTCTTGCCCTTGCGCAGGCACGGTTTCTTCTGTACAGTTCTACTCCTTACGCGTACTACCACTGGCTTCTTAGGCCATCCACCAACTGCCACCTGGCCTCGGCCAATCATCCCCCCGCCGATTCAGCCCACCTCATCACTCCTCCGGCCTCAGTACCTCAGTCTCTGATAGCTGGCCCATCCTGGCAGCCTCCACCGGACCTGCCATCCCCCGTATTCTGTCCCCTCTACCTGTGTCCTGTTTCTACGATGCATGGCCGAAGATGTGATGGAAGGCACCTCTCCAGCTCCAGCTCCAGCTCCAGCTCCGGAGAGCCCGTCAGCGGCGGGCAAGCCGGCCGTAAAACATCGAAGAACGAGAGCCGGGTGTTTGTGTTGTCGCCTGCGGAAGAAGAAATGTGACGAGCGTATGCCGACTTGCCAGGCGTGTGAACGGAACTACCTGATCTGTACCTGGCCACCACCAAAGCCTAGTAGGAAACGAGGCTCGCACAGCGCTGGTGACGGCGGAGGGAACGACAGTAGAAACCCTGCCGCCCTCTCACCCGGGAATTCAACCCAAGGCTCGTCGACGCTGGATATCAACGAGGATCGGCGGCGAAACAATGACGACCTGAACAACAGAGCATTCTCCGTGAACCCAGCCCTGTCCTCCCGGCTTGTGGTCTCCCCGTCTTTGCAAGCGATGAATATGGTCCTGGCTTCGCCGTCCCATGGAGTGCTCTATCAGCACTACCTGAAGCGAACGGCCAACGCTGTGTCGGCCTGGCAAGACCAGACGAATCCTTTCATCAGGTTCATGATGCCAATGGCCGTATCCGACGATTTACTTTTTCAGAGCATCATGGCTTTGAGTGGCGCTCACTTTAGTCAGCAACCTCATGCTTCTGTGGAAGCGAAGTCGTGGGCTTCAACACATGAGACCTTGGCCATTCGCGGCCTGAAATTCCGTCTGACCAGACAGGCAGCTGGTCAAGATGACGCATTGGCGTTGTTGGCCACGACTCTAGTTCTCTGCCTGCTTGAGGTATGTCTCTCATTTCCTACGTGAAAGTCGACCCCACTGAAACTCCGCGTCCACCATAGACGATGAAGGGCAGTTCCAACTCCAACGCGTTTCTGCATCTCAAGGGAGCCAGGGCTTTGTTGAGTCAATGGATTTCAACTCCACCGGCGAGGTCTGACCCGGAAATCCGTTCATTCATCGTCGAGCTTTATCTCTACTTTGTTATCCTGGCAAGTACACCTCTGGGGCCGGAATCGCACCACCTGATAGTGCAAGATGCTCTCACTTTCTTCCCCTATCTAAAGAACAGAAGATATCCCGGTCCGCTACTCGGTTGCGCCTATGAGCTCTTCGAGTTAATCCCTCAGGTGTTCAAATTAGCCAAGGAAAGAGCCGATGAAGTGAAGATGGGGATCCCTCTGTCACCCCAGACGGTAGCTGCTTTCGAGGGTGTCCTTGCGAAGATTCTTGCTTGGACTCCCCCGGCAGATGCCGCGAACGATTATGTCAGGTGCGGCCGAATATACCACCAAGCGCTTCTCGTCTTCCTCTTCACTTCCTTCGTCGAGTTCGACAATCAGCCGGTCAACCTTGACGAGCTCGTTGGGCAAGCTTTCGAGGTGCTGCGGGAAGAGCTGGGCCATCTACCTCTGGGCGCCCCGATCGCAACGACTCTGAACTGGCCACTGGCCGTTCTGGGCTCCTGTTCCAAGCTACCGGAACATCAAGATCTGATACGACGGCGCCTTCAGGATTTGTGTGACCGTTTGCAGATCCCGTGCTTTGGCCAAATATTGCATATCTTAGAAGTCCTGTGGAAGAGCTCTCTTCCCCTCAGAGGCATGTCGTCTTTTGAAGCCGTGATGAAGCAGTTGAACATGATTGTCTTGATCTCCTAGGCTGCGGCTGTGGCTGCAGCCGCAGATGCCGGCGTCGCTTGCCGCCTTCGAGAGCGTGTTTGACACGAAAGAGGTCTTGACGAAATCACAGGGTCGATCTTCAGCAGCACTTGGATGCTTTGTACGGGACGTGATGAATCATGGTAAACAATATGCGAAATGACCTTCTCTGCATTGTGTTGACGACATGCAAATGATATATACTGAACGGGATGCCTCGGAAGCGAGAATGTACATCAGGGTCCCACCTGCCTACACGCAACTTACTTCTTCGAGTACCCTCCGAAGCTGAGGTCCTTCTTCTCGTTGATATTCATCACCACCTGCATTGGATCCGACAAGTCGACCCAGCCCAGGAACGGCTCGCTCACACCATAACCCATCATCCGCAGTTGTTTGGCAGAGTAGTTGGTCTGCTTGATCTTTTCCAGCGGGGTGGCAAGGTATTGGTTCTCTTCCTGTCCAAGGCAAACACGATCAGCACAAAAGCGAGACATCGGCCTACTTTATCAGGTCCAAACAGCCACGAACGTACCTGGCGAAGCCATCCTCTGGTCATGAAACATCCATAGAGCAATCGCTCCTCGTCCTCGGTGGTGTTGGCCGATCCACCATGGTAACAGGATGCAAGCATGAAGAAGCCGTCACCGGGGTTGAGCTCGGCATAGAAGCATTCCGAGTCCTCAGCAGGAGGTGGATGCTCCGTCGCCTGCAAGTGGGAGCGCGGCACGAACCTGGTGGCCCCATTCGCCCGGGTCGTCTTCTTACCCGCGACAAACAGGCCGATGGCGGTGTCACGGTCGAATGTATACTCTTCTGGGGTGATGGCCGGCAGCTGCTTGTGATGGATCATGTCGTCGCGGTGGAGGTCTTGATGCTTTGCGCCAGGGCCGATGGAGAAGACGAGGGTGTTGTTGAGCTGTGGTCGGGAGGTGTTCTCGGTGTGTGTCTGGCCGATCCAGGCCTTGGAGGTGGTGGTTAAGAAACGTGCTGCCACCTCCTCGTAGAGAGGATGGGAGGCGATCTTGTCGATAAAGGTGGGCGACTTGCCAGCCAGACCACAGACTCGATGGGTTTCGCGAGGCCAGAAATCCGGCTGCCAGCATTCGTCGAAGCCGAGATACGGTCGCACCTCTTTCTCAATCTGCCGGGCTTCTTCCGGCCGGATCAGGTTGCGTACAATGACGCCGCCGTTGCGGACCATGGACTGCACCACCTGCTCGACTGTGACGGTAGACATGTCGAACGAGTCGACCAGGACATCGTCGTTCGGCACCGACCCCACGGCCTTGGGGACCGGGATCGTAGGAGCCTCTTCAATGATAGCTGAGGGGGCCATCTCTGCACAGGCGGCGACGAAGTTGTGAGTTTGGGGCAAGACGATGTGAGGAGAGGCGGTGGCAGCGTGGTGTGCCAAGTGTGTATAACTAGAGAAGGAGAGCCCAGAGGACGACGCACGATTGAATGTCAATATTATACAGAGCACCATCTACGTGCCGCACCCATCTTGGAGACGAGGTGCCCCAGGGGTGGAAAAGGGAACATGGACACATCAATCCCCAGCCGCGGTTATCTTTCCTGGTGCACTGGGATGGTGGCCGACTGGATATTACGATGATGATACTGCATCCGCACTTTGAGGAGTAGGGCATGGACACGGTTTCCACCGGGCCCCGGCCAAGGCACACAGCAGCAACCGCGCTTATCGAAGCGGAGGGAAGAACAGCTACCGAAAGGGGGGAAGGGTGAGATAAGACAATACGGTACGGTATAGTACAGTACGGTAAGGGAAAGATACAGCACGTTCCCCAGACGGAGGACCCGGTTTGGCCCTCGGGCGAAGATCAAGTCCTGTCCTCGTCAGGCTGGTGGGCCCAGAGAAGCTACGCAGCATCGCGGCTACAGTCCACGACCAGCGTGTCTGCTTCTTCCACTACCACCACCGGTACCACTCCTCAGGCCGCAATGGGTTCTGGACATTTTGACAAGCGAGAGTCGCCCTGGCTGGGCCGGTGGAGTGTGGACAGCGGACAGGACAGTGAAGCATGGTCACCGTCATGACTTAAAAAGTAGGATGGTCGCGCTCCTCGCATGCCAGGCATCTTTCATCCTGTCCGTTGCACCTCGATCTACTGTACTATATCGCCATCATCCTCGACATCATGGCCCCGACCACCCACCCACTGGACCCGATCACTCCGGCCGAGATCAGACAGGCTGTTCAGATCCTGCGCGACCGGTACCCCAATGACCAGATCAGGTTCAAACTCGTCGACATCTTCGAGTGTCCCAAAGCAGAAGTTGTGCCGTACCTCGAGAAGCAGCGGCTGGGACAGACCCTTCCGGCGCCTCCCGCTCGACGGGCTCGAATCTACTTTCATCTCGCGCGAAACCCGCACCTGCTGAACAAAGCCCGCGTCAACGTGACGGCTGGTTTGGTCGAGGCGGTTGAAAGCTTGCCAGACGTGCAGGGGCCCGTTGATTTTGACGAATGGCTGGCGGTTCAGAATGCTTGCAATGCGCACCCGCGAGTGCTCGAAGAGGTCGAGCGGTTGAAGCTCCCTCCCGGGTAAGAGCACGCGCCGATCGGCGTCTTGATCTTTTAATGCTGACGTGATGATGCCCAGGGCCAAGGTTGTCAACGATCCCTGGGCGTACGGGACGGACGACGCAAAGGAGCGCCGACGGCTCTTCCAATGCTGGATGTACATTGTCCTGAATGGCGATCCTGAAGCCAACCACTATTCGCTGCCCGCGCCCTTTTCGCCCGTCTTTGACGCCGTCACCAACGAGCTCCAGTGGATTGATTACCTGCCCATGGGTGCGGATGACGAGCGGGAATCCACCCGACCCTGGGAGCCCGTGCCAGCAGTGGAATACTCAACCAATCTGCTCGACGTCAACACCATGCGCAAGGACCTGAAGCCACTCCAGGTCGTTCAGCCCCAGGGCCCGTCATTCCAAGTAGAGGGCCGAAACGTGTCCTGGCAGAAGTGGAAATTCAATGTCGGCTGGACCATGCGAGAAGGCCCGGTCCTACAGAACGTGACTTACGACGGGCGGTCGACATTCTATCGCCTCTCGTTGAGTGAGATGACGGTTCCATATGGGGATCCGCGCTCGCCGTATCACCGAAAGCAGGCGTTTGACCTGGGCGATTCGGGTCTAGGCATGATGTCAAACTCGTTGAAACTCGGCTGTGACTGCCTCGGGCTTATCAAATACTTTGATGGCTACCGTGTCACCTCGACGGGCAGTGTGGTGACCATGCCCAACGTCGTCTGTATGCACGAGGTGGACGCGGGCGTAGGATGGAAACACACCAACTTCCGCAGCGGCACCACCTCTGTGGTCCGCAACCGTCAGCTGGTGATCCAATGCACAGCGACCGTCGCCAATTACGAATATATTTTCGCCTTTATTCTCGACCAGGCCGCCAACATTCACTTTGAGCTGCGGGCGACCGGCATTGTCTCGACCATGCCGATCAAGCAAGGGGTGCAGGTACCCTGGGGCACCATCGTGGCGCCGGGCGTTTTGGCCGGCAACCACCAGCACCTGTTCAGCATCCGCATCGACCCGGCGATTGACGGCCACAATAACACGGTCGTCTGCCAAGATGTGGTGCCGGCCGAGGAGACGGATCCTGATCCGTACGGCTGTGCGTTCAAGGCTCGGGAGACCGAGATCACTCAAGCCGGCGGATACACGCTCGACGTGGACAAGTCCCGGCTGTACAAGATCGAGAACACGTCGTCGATCAACCCGATCTCCGGTAAGCCGGTGGCATACAAGCTGCACGCCATCCCGTCGCAGATGATGATTATGAAACCCTGGACGTTCAACTGGAAACGCGGCCAGTTTGCCTCCAAGCCCATCTGGGTGACGAAATACCAGGATGATGAGCTCTGGGCCGCCGGCGAGTTCACCAACCAAAGCAGGGAGGATACAGGTTTGGCCGTGTGGGCGAAGCGGCCGGACAATGTTCAGGATACGGATGTGGTGCTCTGGCATTCGTTTGGCCTGACTCATCTCCCACGACCTGAAGGTAAGCACGGCGTTCCATTGGCTCCTAGGACAGCACAGCAGGGGTTGATTGACTGACACTGATTGTTGCGACGCACAGATTTCCCCGTCATGCCGCAGGAGATGATGACCGTCACCCTCAAGCCGTCTAATTTCTTCGCTCTCAATCCCAGCAACGACGTCCCACGTTCCAACCAGGCCGTCAACCAGTCGACACTTGTGGAGGGCACGTCGAATAAAGGGGAGGGTACCACGTGTGCAGCACACAGTAAACTCTAGGTGAAGAAGTTTTGCAGTCATGGCGCGAGTGGCGACGGGGCATGGCGAGATAGGACTTGTCGTATAGGTCTCGATTTGAATGTTGGCCTGTTGGGAGTTCCCCAGGCGGTTATACTGTAGGTATCCTATAACGGAGTTACACACTTGAAGTTTTGGAGGTCCCGGCCAAGCTGCGGGAGTGAGTACGAGTACGGATGAGACGGTTGAGAATGGCGTATTATAGTTGGCATATGTGTGTATGTATCTATATATATATTGGGGGTGCTCCGACTTGGGTGGTACTGTTTATTTACCATCACTACCACTGCCGACCTATAGGTAACTACTAGAAGTTACTATCCAGATCGCCATCCTAACTCCCCCTCACTATCCTTCACCATCTGACATGACCCAATCGAACCACTATTCGGTTGCCATCTCGGTCACTAACCAGCCACCTCTATCCAGTACCCAGGGCACTGTAGGGTCCAATCACCATCTAGGTCATAGGTGAGTGGGTCAGCAGCAGCAGCACCCGAACCCACCATTTAGTCGTTGAACTGCATTCGTAGCCATCCCCAGGAGGGCCAGCACCACTAGTCCAACTTGGGCGGCAGGACAAAGTTGGTACGGCCCTGGAGCAGCCAAAAGACGGCGGAATAGAGAAACATGAAGACGACGACGCAAGAGACGTAGTTCATGGTACTGGCGGAGGTCGGGTAGGCGGCGGGGAAGGAGTAGAAGACCAAGGTCAGCAGGGTCCAGGCGAGGGTGACGTAGTTGGCGAGGAGGCCGAAGCGCGGCCACCAGAAGGGGCCCGGGGTGATGTTGCGGCGGCCCTTTCGGAGCAGCATGAGCACGCAGGCCGAGTAGGACAGGTACTGTAGTATGACGCCGCCGCCGATGAAGGCGTTGAAGGCCTCGGTGGAGGCGAGGTACAGGCAGCCCAGGAGGGCGACCCAGAGGCTGGACCAGAGATGGGCCCAGATCGGGGTGTTGAAGGGGGCCGGGGCGATGGTGGCCAGACGATCACTAAAGGGCCAGCCGCGGTCGCAGGCCAGGGCCCAGGCCAGGCGCGACTGCCAGGTCTGGATGGAGATGCCGGCGCAGATGTAGTTGACGATCATGAGCGACTGCAGGGCGACGGCGGCCGGTTTGGAGCGCAGGCACTGGTGGAAGATGGCCAGGCTGGGGATGCCGGTCGGGGTGGCGACGACGTCGGCCAGCGACTGGACGGAGAAGAAGGCGGCCATGGCCGTCGGCAGGCAGGTGGCGATGCTCAGCAGCACGGTGGCCATCAGCGCGCGGGGGATGTTGCGCGCCGGGTCGGGCACCTCGTTGGCCAGGTGGGTGATTGCGTCCAGGCACGAGAACCCCCAGTTCGCGGCCAGCATGCCGGTCAGGAAGGTGACGCCGTCGCTGGCCCAGCCCGAGCTGTTGACGAAGGTGGCAAACACAAACTCGCCCGACTGTTTGGTCGGCGACGCCGCCAGCAGGCTGACGAAGATGGCCACCGTGGCCGCCAGCGCCACGACGAGGTTGGTGGTCGCGATGGGCGGTAGGATGCGTTCGACGCAGTTGAACAGCGCGCAGAAGACGTTGGTCGCCTGGTAGCCGACAAACACCATCCACGGCTTCACCGTCATCGACGGGTCGCGCAGCACCATGACCCCCGTGATCATCAGCGGCACCGACAGCATCGCCGACGCGCACGTCACCAGCGCCCCGGCCCAGCTGAGGAAGGCCGTCAGGTACGAGAGCCCGCGGCGGAACCGCGCCGGCGCCAGCTGCGTCGCCCAGTAGTACTGTCCGCCGGCGTGCGGGTACGCCGACGACAGCTCGCCCAGCGAACACGCCACGCAGAACGACGCCGCCGCCACCACGATCGACCCGTAGATGAACGTGAACGGCCCGCCGTTGGTGATGCCCGCCGTCAACGACGCCAGCAGCGTGATCGGCGCGTTGCTGCACGTGAATGCCACCGCCAGGAGACTGACCAGGCTGAATGGCTTGACCGTTGCCACCGTGATCGACTGCGTCTGGCCCAGTTCCGCTAGGGACCCGTCTTCCTTGCTGCCTCGGCCGTTGCCAGAGCCTGTCCTCCCGGCCTCGGCCGAGGCCACGGCCAACCCGGGTTTTTCGTGGGAGTGAGATGACATGTTAGACTTGTATCAGACTCGGTGTCGGTGTTGTTGTCGTAGTGTCAGGAGGACAATAAACGTCGACGTCAATATTCAAGCAGACGTCACGTCGAAGAGGAAAAGAGAAAAGAGAAAAGAGAAGAGGAAAAGGAAAGACGAGGCAACCAAGCTAGCGAAAGTCGTCTTGTATGTAGGCAGGCGAGGTAAGGGCAGGTTCTGTTCTGTGCCTCTGCCAGATCCCGAGTCGGATCCCTTTTATAAGAAGATGGCTGGCCACAGAGAAGAGGAGGATGAGGATGAGGGGGAGGAGGAGGAGGAGGAGGAGGACCAGACGACATGTTTGATTATCAGTAGTCCATGGCGGCGGTGGTGGTGGTGGTGGTGGTGGTGGTGGTTGGGACTAGCCCTCGTCCAGCTAACTGTCATGGATCAAGACCAACGTCGTCCCCTCCGTACGTCCACTTCCACTTCCACTTACTTCACTTCACGGGCCGAGGGGTCCAGGGTCAAGAGAGATAGGGGGATGGGATGGGGATGGGATGGGGATGGGATGGGGATTGGAAATGTGAGCGTGAGTGTGAGTGTGAGGTTCGGGTGACAACGACAATGACAACGGGAATGACAAGGCAGAGTAAGGGCAGGGAGTGATCAAGCTTCAACCCGACGGTGACCATGACTGATAAGAGCGGCTACAGAACACGGCGCAGCGTTCCAAGGCGGAGACTTGAGGAGAGTGGAGGGTGGAGGGGAGAAGGGCGGGTCTAGTATATCTATATCAGGTATCTACATGGTCCTAGGTAGGTATCTGTATGTATTAATACAGTGTATAGCAAATACATATACAGATAAGATACAGAGTTAGGGTTAGGGTTAGGGTTAGGGCTAACGGTACCTACGTTCTAGGGAAAAGGGGGCTATAATAGACACTAGCCATTTAAGTACTAGTGGATAACTTTCCGGTCGTCTTGACCTATCATCACCCGGGATTCTATTAAGCTCAACACACTAACCGAGTTTTACTGCATTACCTAACTATATGCTACTCCACCACCACCACGACATATGCACTCCCGGCCCGGTTCCTTTTCACCAGCCCCCTTTAGCTTAGGGAGTACTGTTCACTGTACAATATCTGTCTACTAGGTAACTGCAGTCCCTTCAGTGTACGAATACTTGGTGAGTGACTCTCGACTCTCGACTCTCGTTCTGTCCATCATCCTTCTCGTCTTATCTCGAAGACTCGAGTCGGCTCTCTTCTCTTCTCTCCTCCTCGCCATTGGAATTGGATATATCAGGATTAAGGCAGGCCCACATTCCATTGAACTCCAGTAACACTGCGAGGACCGGACAGCTTCACTCCCACTGCTACTACTGCTACAGCTACAGCTATTGCTACTGCTACCACACTACCACACTACTACTCCTGCTACCACCACTGCTACACTACCCCTCAACATGCGAATCGCCATCGCCGGGACAGGCGACCTAGCCAAATATTTCGTCGAGGAACTCCACGCATCGTCCTATGACGTGGTGGTTCTCACGCGCACCAGTTCCAGTTCCAGCAGCAGTACCAGCAGCAGTAAAGCTCAACCCAAACCATGGTACAGCGCACGCCATGACGCCGGCGTAATCTCCCTCCGCTCGACAGACTACACGGTCCCGTCGCTGGTCGAGCAGCTGCGCGACTGCGACGGTCTGGTGTCGGCCATCCAAGACGGCACCCCGGCCAACGTCGTCGTGCACCTGGCCCTCCTGGAGGCGTGCAGACAGACCCGGTCATGTAGGCGCTTCATCCCGTCCGAGTATATCGGCGACGTGGACCGCTTTCCAACCCAGCCGCTGTTCTATCCGGAATCCCACCAGCCGGTGCGGGACGCCCTCGCCGCCCAGCAGGACGTCGTCTGGACGCTGGTCATGCCGGGCTGGTTGGCTGATTATGTGGTCGCGCCGAAGTGTCGCTATATTCGAGATATTGGAGATTTGTGTCCTATTGCATATGTGTATGGTAAGGGCGAGGGCACCAACATCGATACTGACACCAATACCAATACCAATACCAACATCCATACTGACGGAAGTGTCGGCCGCACAGGTACGACTATCTCCATGCTCATCCCCGGAACAGGCAACGAACCTATTTCATGCACGGCCGCGCGCGACGTCGCCAGAGCCGTGGCTGCTCTGTTCAAGGTTCCGTATCGGGTCCCGTCGCAGTTTCAGTCCAGCTCCCAACCCCAAGACCAACCCCAACAAGACGAAGACCAAGACCATGACTATAGCTCTGGCTGCCACTCTGCCTGGGACCCCATCACCTATATCGAAGGCCAAGCAACCACATGGAACGAGGTGAAAACCCTCCTCCAATCGAGAGGACACTCCGTCCGCGTCACGTACCGACCAGTCACGGAGTTGGAGGAGACTGTAGCCCAGGCCAGTCTAGCTGCATCTGGGTCTGCGTCTGTGTCTGTGTCCGAGGATGACCTCCTCTCCGCCCAGTTTGGGCTATGGTCGACGTCCGGGGCCACCAGGGTGCCGCGCGACACGGTGGTGGCGCAGCGCTCGAGGTTCTTTCCAGGTCTGGCGTTCAGAACGCTGGCTCAGCTGCTGGATGCGTCTGAGGCGGCCATGGCCAGCTTTGGGGATGGGGGTGGGGGTGAGGGTGAGGGGCCATATGGTGCGGTTTGAAAACGAAAGAAAAAAAAAACACAAAAGTTTGAATACAACGGCATCGTACAAACGAAAGAAACACAAAACATAACGTACATTACAACAGCATCGTACAAACACAAAGCATAAGGTACATTACAACAGCATCGTTCGATTGCGGTTCCGGTTCCAGTGCCGATTCTGCCAATCCAATCAATGATTCACGTAGACATATCGGTTCTAGTCTCCGAGTTTCGAAATACATCCATACATACACAGGACCCTCGGCTCCAAGCACATTCTCTGGCTTCCTGGCCTGCGGTACAGGCTAGAGCCATTCATGAAGGACTATTTGCAGACTTACGAGGCCATTTTTTGCGTATAGGTAGGTTACTAAGTAGAGTAAAGTACCCTTTCTGTTACCGAGCAGAGTAACATTTTTTGTGTAGGTTACCAAGTAGAGTAAGGTACCCTTTCTGACCTGCCGCCACTGTCTACCACTGCAGATTCAAAATGGCCGCACTCGACCACGGTACCTCGACCGCGACCATCCCATCCGCCGAGACTTGCAGCACTTCGCCCCTCGTGACGTTCCTCAACAGCACTGGCCGGCCGCCGTCGAGCTCGTAGTTGTATGAGTACCCGTCGAACGTGATGCCGGTGATGGCGTCGCTGCCGTTCGCCGTGAGCCGCTGCACCTGCACCGTCTTGATGGACGCCGCTTGACCTTGAGCGGTCTTGGTGGGTAGCTGGAAGCTGAAGGTTTCGTTGGGCCGCGGGGACGCGGTCGCAGTCGCGGTCGCGGTGGCATCAGCTGGCGCTGTCACGGTGTAGTTGTACGCGTGCATCTGGATGACCGCGACTCTCTCCAGCCGGCCATCCACATACGCCCCATAGGCGGACTGGTAGACACTGTCGCCGTCAAGCTCAATGTCACTGATGCTCACGTTGCCTTGGGTCAGGTCGCCCAGGAACGTCGCGACCATGACATTGCCGTAGTATGGCGCCTTGGTACCCCATGTCTCGTTGACCGTCTGCACTGGCTGCCATGAGGCGTATCTGTAGTTGATGCCTTGGTGCATGTGCACGCGGCGAATGCCCGTCGCGGCGCAGTACAGGTTGAAGTCGGCCCCCCACAGCGCGGCGCCGAACGAGTTGGACAAGCCGGGAGCGCCCTCGTTGTACAGACTGTTCGCCTCGCCGAGGATATACGGAATTCCCGTGTCGGCGAGCAGGCTGGACTCGTTGACGTGTTTGACCACCGACTGCACCGTCGACGTGTGATTCATCAACGTCCCTTGCAGAGTCACCCCGGGCTGGGTGGCGCCACCGATGTAACTAGACCAGAGGTCAGCGCCGCAACTGACCACGAGAGCCACGAGAGCCATCGACTGATGCCGTGTCATGTTACTGTACTCACTTGTGGCTGTCAATGAAGGCAATGTCGACGTCCGCATCGAGCCCCGCGACCCACGTGGTCACGAGGTCGAGATTGTTTGCGGTCCCGGCGAAGCTGGGCGCGTAGAATTGAAATTGGCCCTGGGAGATGACGTCCGGACAGTGCTCCTGCACGAGCTGCCTGACAGTGCGGGTCTTGTTGAGCCATTCCTGCACATAGTCGGTTTCGTTCCACGACGGCGGTCGCACGGGACCTTGGGCGCTGGTCTTGTACAGGTCGGGCTCGTTGCCCAGCTGCCAGTACGCGAGCCGACCGTCACTCAAGGCCTCGCACGCCAATGGCACCGTGCCTACAAGGGTGTCGTGCCCGAGCGAGCCGTTCGTGCCGAGATTGAACCCGTGGATGTAGGTCATGTTGGGCCAGGTCGAGTACGACTCGAAGTAGGCCGGCCCGATGGAGATGGTGGTCGGATAGTCTCTGGAGCGGGCAAAATCATAGCTTCCGACCAGGGCGACCTCCTGCGATGCGTTGAAGGTGGCATAGTCCCTAGCACGGCGTTCAACGGTCTGCGACAGATCCAGATCAGATAATAGAGCTCGGCACGCCTTACTGAGTATTTCCACCGACCCTGATGATGGGATGGGAGCCTTGGAGCCGGCCCAGATTGCTCAGGAGGTGGTACGAGAAGTTGTTCGGACGGCTGGAATTGCCTACATGTCGACGTGTTGGCTTCGATCCCACACGATTCGGGATCACAGACACCTACCGGCAAAGTCGGGGAACGAGGCGAACTCGATGGAGAAGGAGACAAAGGAGGCCAGGACGGGAGGACCGGCATTCGGCGGGGGGTTCAACGACAGCGGAACAGCGGCCCGAACAGCGTCGAGGAGGAGTGAGACAGAGAGGACGAGCAAGGCCAGCATAGCGAGGAAGCGAGGAAGTGAGGATGCGAAATTGACGAGTCTGGGATCCGGATGTCGGTGTGCGGCCGCCGTCACCAATTTTATACTGGATTCAATTCATAACTTGCTCTCCCAGCCTCCAGCGTGCGTCTGCGCCGAGTTTGAGCTTGAGTTTGAGTGTGCGGGGGACAGCTTCGAGATCTGCATGCAGCTCATCGTTGCTCATTGTCGGGTTCGGGGCTGGAGGTGGAGGGAGAGGTGGAGAGGTGGAGCGGGAGAAGCTGCGCAGGTTGCTAGATGGGCCGTCTATCGATCTTGATCTTGGTGCAGCTCATGTGGACAGGGTGATCGTCTGCGAAGATCGCTGTCTAGAGGGCGCGAAAGGGTACAGTGTAAGGAGAGGTGATAAATTCATCAATACCTATTGATGGTGGTGCCAAGGTAGACGACCATGAACCATGAACAAATATACAGTACAGTAGGAACTGTATGTACACTGTAGCATAGGTACCGATTGTGGTGCACGTGGTCTACATATAGGTTAGGTACCTGACCTAAGGTACATACCTAAGGTACAGTACCTCGGCCCCCAGCCGTGTCCTTGTCCTCGTCCCCGTTGTACGCTGTATGGAACTTCAAGTGCCAGTGGTCTGCGTCGCAGATGCTCAATTCCCTTAGACGTGGAACTCAACATACCCCAAGTCTCGGTTGTACCGTATTCCTATTAGTACCTATACCTATACCTATACCTTCCATCTGGTTCACCTCAACGCCGGAATAGACCGTCCTTACCCTTGCCCTTCACCCTCACCCTCCCCCTTATCCTCACCCTCACTTGCCTATGCCCCAGAGAGGAACCACCCTCACCCTCACTTGCCAATGCCCCAGAGCGGAACCACCCTCCGCAGATACTTCATAAACTTCCACATACCGACGGCATACTCGACGTTGCCGGCTGGATCCACGACCTTCTCCGGAAAGGCAATGCCCGCCCCATGCAGCCCCGGGATGCACTGATCCCGGCCATCTTGAAACGAGCCCGTCGATCCGTCATACTCAAGCTTCCCCAATGGTCGATTGTCTATTTGGAGAGCGGGCACCGGGTCTGGACGGTATCCAATCGCCTGCACTAGATGGGTGCATCTGGGTAGATGTAGCTGGTACGCCTCAGCCTCGTCTACCGAGCAGTTGACCTTCTCCAGATGGCGGCTGACAGGTGATGCTTTCAAAGCTTCGTCTTCGAGGTGGGCACGGGCGAAGTCGGCCGACGCGCCCTTGAGACCGGTATTGTCACGGAGGATCCAACCGTCCATCTCGACCGCGTACGTCAATGCGCGGCGTGTGAACCATTTGATCCGGAGCCGCGGGTGGCTAGTCGTAGCCAACTCGTACAGGTCCATGAGCACCACGATGGCACTATGCGAAGACCCAATCACCCCGACTGTGGCCTCTTTATCAGCTGGCAGTGTCTGTCGAAGGGTTTGGCGATCCAGGGCGTCGTCGAGGTTGATGTGTTTCGTGTCCAACCCCGTGGGGAGAGAGGGATTGTGCATCACAGGTGACGACCCCGTACACAAAACCAGAGCCGGCGAGTGAAAGGTGCGAACGGCTGCCGAGTTGGCCTCTTGGGCCTGGACCGACCACAGAGCAGCCTGGCCAGGGTCAGTTCACGGAACAAGAGCAAAGAGGATGGGTCGTTGATACTTCGCTATAGAGATTGGCTGCCACGGCCGTGCCGACTAAGGTGTGCACATTGGGATGGCGCTTCAGCCCCTCGCTCAGCATCACCAGCATGTCGGCTGCATAGTGGAGGCGACAACCGGCGGTGGCATCGAGGCTCTCCAGCGTCGTGACCGCGTTGGGCGCTGGCGTGGACTGCACAATCTCGCGGAACGGCGCCAGGGCATTGATATAGGCCAAAAACAACGACACTTTGGTGTTGCTACCGCCTCACAGCCCCCGGGTCAGCCTCTGCCGTAACAACCGACAACCTGGACAGCACCAGTACAGTCTTACCTTGACACGTCCCGGTACTTCTTCGCAACCCGGCCTCCCAGAAACTCGTGGTCGATCCAAAGAATCCGCGCGCATGTCTGGTGATCGAGAATGTTGCCCACCGTCGCGATCCCGGCGGCGCCACTGCCAACCACCACCGCGTCGAACAGTTCGCCGTGGCCAGCTGTGGCCGAGGTCGACGCGGCACGGGGTTGGGTTGGAGCACATGCCAGGGCGCCCAGGGGACGATAGAGAGGCAGGCAATCGAGACTCATCCTTGGGCAAGGCGAAGGTCGAAGTGTATAGCCAGACAGGCGGTGCATCCTTCTTGCACACCTACCATAAACCTGTGAGCATGGTGGGTTGACGATATCTTTCAGGGGGCCAGTTACCTCAGTAGGTCCATCTTGTCCTTATCAACCACCCTCGTCGCTAGTATGTACTATTTAGCGAACTGCAATGTCCACGGCATATCAGTCGACGCAGGATAAGCGTTAGCCTCGAATGACCTGTCACCCCAACCTGACGTGCGTAAGCCGGTGGGGATGGAAGAGTAGCCCGGGGAATGAGTCCGAACCATGGGCTCACGAGGCGGGCACATACGCGTCAACGTGCGTGGACGTTTGATTCTCACCTGTCCTGTCCTGTCTTGTCCTGTCGGTCTGGGAGACGGGATACCAGGCTACAGGAGAGTTCAGGGTGTCTGTTCGCCGACCATCACCATTAAGCGCTTGTAATTGCAGGCCATCAATCCTCTCCAAGTTTGGTGACGGACACTAGACCGCCGCCCATTTGGGTTAGAACGTTGGCCTTGGCGGACAGGTCACATGCCAAATCCCGTGACTGCCAATCCTGCACATCTGCCGGCGTTGCTGCACCGTAGCCCGGATCATGATTAAACCTATTCTAGCACTTGGTAAAGGGAGTACGGAGTACTGAATACTCCAAGGCCTTTTCGTTGATCGTAGCTGGAAGACACTGTGGTGGACACCGCAAACTGCAGATCATCCGCGACTTGGAGACTTCGAGTTGGATGGCTAAGGAGGTGCCAGGGGGTAAGCTTGATAGGCTTAGTAGTGAGTAGCGCTAGAGGCTCGAGCTCCTTATCAGGAACTCCCAGGGGCCTGAGCCTGAGTTCTTGGAAAGGCACTCTTCGTGATAGGGCGGGCCCTAAGCCTGCATTTCGAGGAGAAGCTGCCTAGGGGGAGGATGAACTGTTGTGGCCAGACAATCCCGCTGCCTATAACAAGATATCAATCACAGTTCTCTAGGAGAGTTCCTGATTAGTCCATGCGAACCAGTCGAAAGTGGCGTCGAAGAAGCGGTCGTCGGCCCACGGAAACAGGTCATCTAGCTGCGCGTCGAGGTCTTGCCCCTGAGACGCGTTCGACATATTTGTCGATGGCATAGCATTCATGAATGCCATTGGCGGGTTGGAGTGCTGAGCCTCGTTCTCCTGTGAGCACTGGCCTTCAGAGTAGAGGATTGACCTAGCCTGTTGAACAAATCGCTCCGTGATATTTGCCAACTTGGCGGCGAGGGGATTCCGCGAGCTCAACTTGCCCATAAAGGCGGGGACATGCTCGATATCTGCGAGGAACTGTTTGTTCTGCTCTAACTGGGTCTTGCCTTTGGTCACAATTTCGCCCCAGAGAGTGCCGAACGCGGTCAGCGGACATTGCAGAGGCTGCCATAGGATGCAGGTGTACGGTTCCTTGAGACTCGGCCCCATGTCGCCGAGACGCGGCAACAATCGGAGCATTTGCTGCGATGGGTCGATACACTGCGCCCGCAACGATCTGGACGACACCTTGAGTAAGACCACCAGGGAAGAGTAGTGGAAGCACAGCATCTGCAGGCCGAGATCAACAGAATCCACACCGTTCGCGCCGAGAAGGGGCTTCTCTGCCAGCGCCGCCGCCTCGAGGACCTGGACCAGATGTCAGCCTTGTTCACCACGCTGTAATGGGAATCTCCGCTACCTCCCTTGCCTGGCGGTGCCATGACTCGACGGTCTCGATGACTGTGTGAACGTCATCAGAGCCCTGTCCATGGAGGCAATGCCAGACGTCAGACATGACGCGTGATAGGAGGTGCATCTGGTGCGTGTAGTGCGCATTGAACAACACGGGCGCGCCGCTGGAGGGATATTGAGATTGGGAAGGCAAGAGCTTGTCCAACGTCGGGGGGGTCATTCCAACCGTTATTTCGCGGTGGAAAGTCGGTGGCTTCCCCAGAATGAGCGCCAGCGACTGGTCCAGGACATTCAAGCGCCAGAAAAGCATGGTGCGCCCCTCGAGGGTCGGAGAGTCAAGCCGCCACGATTGGTCCAAAGCGTTCAAGCGCCCGAAAGACGTGGCGCGCCGCTCACGAGTGGGAGGGTCGAGCTGCCAGGGAGAAATGCCTAGAGCCTGCAACATGATACAAGCTCTGCTGATCAGCGCCCAGCAGAGAGATGGCGTCATAAACTCCTCGACGTGGCAAGCTAAGATGACCAAGGCCTGGACACTCGAGGCGGTCGGTTCTAGCAGCAGCCTCACATCATTGAACGCAAGCCAGAGGTTACTTCTCAGCTTCGCCTTGATCGGTTCATCCGCCGGCCGGGTGCCCAGCACAACGCTGTAAAACATGACCAGCCAAGCTCGATCGGGCACTTGATGAGGCTGTGATGCGGCCAAATGGTCGAGGACTGCCGCAGGGGCGGACGTGAGCAACAACCGTTCTTGTTGGAGAGTGGCGACAAACACTAGACCAGAGTGTAAATACGAAGTACACCGGGACACAAGGCAGAAAAGTGCTTACCATCCAGCCAGACACGAACCTGGTCTTCTTCGAACTGGAAGAACTCCGTCTCTGCCCCGTCGGCCAATGTGTCGAATGGAGAGGAGCCTTGCCAAACCGTGGCGTATTCTTCCAGCAACGACGCCAGCGCCCGAAGAGAACGATGGTCCTTGCCCATCAGCCGCTGTAGTCGCTCGTGGGTTGTGCCACTATGTTCAATGCCTTGCACAGGTGGCTGGGAGCCAGCGGGTGCAATGCCTTCGATAGCTTGGACGCGCTCAGCGCTTTGGGAGCCATCCCGGTCGATGCCTTCGATGCCTCGTGAGGGTTGTCTCGAGTCGTTATGGCCATGGCCAGCGCGTGCAGCGTCTGCTGGAGGCTCACGACTACCAGAAGGAAGTCTAGCCGCATTCTGCTTCTGCCTCTTCTTCTGACGACGAATGACGCCAAAACGGGAATAGCTACAGGCCGTCCCTCCGGCCGTGCAGCGGCGGCATCGCGGGACCTCACGCGAGCACGAACTCTGTAACAGCATCAGCCAAACGATGACGACGACTCGAGATGCCTGGTGCTATTCAAGGGGTAGCCGGACCTTACGCGAATGGCACGCATCGCACTGGAAGGGAATCATTCGATTAGCCACATCCCAACAGCGGCAGTGCAGTGCAATGCGTAGGGACTTACGGAGTATTGTGCAAGTACAACGGGTTCGGCCATTATATCGAGTAATGTAGACGCCGATACGGCGAGAGGAAGACGAGAAGACGGAAGAAGAGAGGCTGAATGTCAGGTCGGCATTTATCGGCATTTATCGGCATTTATCGGTGGAGGGTCTGTCAGACGAGCTGACCAATCACACGTGATAGCACGTGACAGTTTAGGGTTAGGGTTGGGGTTAGACCTCCTAAAGACCGTGTACCACCACCACCACCACCACCACTGCTGGAGTCAACATCACCATCACCATCACGCTGGCAAAGCGTTGCTGCCTTCGCCTATCGATTGTCCTTCTCTGCTGGGGGAGCGTTGTGAACCCCACCATCGATCCTATGTCTCTACCCTGGCCATGTAACTACCGCTACGCCAATGACTCCCATCCTCATCTGAACTCTGGCTCATCAGGTAAGAAGCACAAAACCGACAGTCTCCTTCTACCAGGGCGGCGGCGGCAGTGTAGATGCATTATAATTTTTTAATCAGGCCGACCGACTCAATGACAATATCCGACATGCCAACAAGGTTTATCACGCACACGAGGAGGACAATGGACAATACTCAACAGCAACCTCTGTGAGCCGTAACCTCCGTAAGTTCCGCAGCACAGCAAGATGGGAGTGTGACCATCAGCCTGGATGGGGTTTCCATCCCCTATCACGGACTTTGCTGGAGCCCAGCAAACAAACAACGGTAGCTGTTATTGCCGGAAGTTCCTTGCTCCCTCTGTGTCTTGCCCTTTAAGAATCCAATGTTCTCCTCGACCTCGAATCTCTAACAGTCACTTCCATCCCACTCGAGAGTTCCTTGAACTGGCTACATTGTTAGGTAAATCAATGCCTGTCATTTAATTGTTACCACCTCCAGCAGACAGGTTCTCGCCAGTCAGGCTGAGCAACGACCTTCTCCTCCACCACTACCAGCCACAGACAAGTCCTCCCTCTCAGTGAAGCCGAGAAGAGAAACATCCAGACAGGTTCTCTAGCGAGGCCGACCAACATTCCTCCACGACCACAACCACGACGTCCCCAATCGCCAATGCCAATGCCAATGACTACTACGAGACCCAGCTCGGCTGCGGGAGACTCAGCAGATTTGGAAAAAGGCAAGGCCGACGGAACATCTCAACATGGGCCAATCACACCGGATCAGAGCAAACCGAATAGTACCGATCAGAAGCCGTCGACACTGCAGATGGTCCTGCTGCTAGTCGCCGTCTTTCTGAGCATGTTCCTGGTCGCAGTGGACCGAACCATCATCTCGACGGTACGAGTGCAAAGTCCACCCCAGGTCGTCAGAGCTAGCCCTAGTTCACTCGACACAACCCGAATCTAACGTTCGCCGTTCACTGCGAGAAGATCGAGACCATCTACTGACTTTGATCTCCCAGGCCATACCTCGCATCACCGACGAATTCAACTCGCTCCCCGACGTCGGCTGGTACGGCAGCGTGTATTTGTTGACGTGCTGCGCGTTCCAGCTCCTGTTTGGAAAATTCTACACCTTTTACTCGGTCAAGCTTGTCCTGATCACGAGCATTCTGATCTTCGAGGTTGCCTCTGCCATCTGCGGAGCCGCGTCCAGCTCGGCCGTCTTTATCGTGGGAAGGGCAATCTCCGGAGTTGGCGCGGCCGGCATCTTCGCGGGCACGGTAAGATTTGACTCTACGTCCCTCCGTCGCTACCCTTCTGTCAATAGGGGAAGGGAACCTGTTCAACACTTTTTTGCACAGTATATCAGCTTCCTACTGACGGCTGATTTGCTCCTAGATTGTATCTATTGTCCACACCGTTCCGCTAGCTAAGCGGCCCAGAATCCAAGGTCTCATGGGCGCGGTTATGGGTATTGCTACGGTGGCAGGACCCCTGATGGGCGGCGGCTTCACCTCCAACGTGACGTGGAGATGGTGCTTCTACATCAACCTGCCGTTCGGTGGCGTGGCCATGGTCGCCGTCTTCTTCCTCCTCAAGGTGCCCGATCGAGACACGACCAAGCTACGCTGGACGCAGAAACTGGCACAACTTGACGCTCCCGGCACTGCCCTCCTGATACCAGGAGTGGTTTGTCTGCTGTTGGCACTTCAGTGGGGTGGCCAGAAATACGCGGTGAGTGAGCTGTCTATGCCTGCTACATGACATACATATAAATATTGTGGTGGTCTTTTGTGGTGGTCTTTTGTGGTGGTCTCTTGTGGTGGTCTCTTGTGGTGGTCTCTTGTGGTGGTACACCATTATACTGACAGTCAGCAGTGGAGCAGCGGGCGCATCATCACCTTGTTGACGGTCATGGGGGTTCTACTGGTGGCGTTCGTCGCGGCGCAAATCTTGCTTCCGAAGACAGCCACGATTCCCCCACGGCTTCTCAAGCAACGCAGCGTGGCCGCGGGTCTCTGGACGATCGTGTGTGTGGGCTCGTCACAATACATATTCGGTAAGAAAGGACCCCGAATGATGAGTAGTGCAGTGCAGTGCAGTGTAGTGTGGTGCAGTGCTATTGTTGAGCATCAGAAGACTGACAAACCAACCCTGGTCGAACAAACAGTATACTTCCTCCCGATCTGGTTTCAATCCATCAAAGGAGTGAGCGCCATCGACTCGGGCCTCCGACTCCTGCCGTTGATGCTGGCGATGGTGGCGGCGTCGATTGGCGGCGGCTTTCTGAACCAGAAGATCGGATACTACACGCCCTTGGGTATCGCCGGAGCATGCATCATGGCCGTCGGGGCCGGGCTCCTCACCACGCTGCAGGTCGACACGGCCGAGGGCAAATGGATCGGATTCCAGGTCCTGTACGGTTTCGGCATGGGCCTGTGTTTCCAAACCCCCAACCTGGCCGTCCAGACCGTGCTGCCCAAGCGGGACGTGCCTATGGGCCTGGCCTTGATGTTCTTCGGCCAGCTGCTGGGCGCGGCCGTCTTCGTCTCCGTGGCCCAGAACGTGCTGGACACCCAGCTTTTGCACCGTCTGGCCGCCATCCCGGGCCTCGGCCGAGGAGTCGATCTGATCTCTTCCGCTGGCGCCACTTCCCTGCTTGACTCGGTGCCGACCAACCTGCTGCCGACTGTTCTTAGTGCCTACAATGATGCCCTGCGGTCCGTCTTCGAAATCGGCTTGGTCTTGGCCTGTCTGGCCGTCCTCGGTGTTGCTTCTTTGGAGTGGAGGAGCGTGCTGAGGGAGGAGGGGGGTGGTGGTGGTGATGGGGTTGGTACAGGTGGTGGTGATGGCAATTCTGCTGGCGGTGATGGTAATACTGATGGTGGGGTTGCTACAGGTGGTGGTGGTGGTGGTGGTGGTGGTGACCGCAATGCTGATTGTGGCGGTCGTGATGCCAATACTGATGGTGGGGTTGGTACAGCTGGTAGTGGCAGTGGTAGTCATACTGGCGCCGTCAGGACCGAAAAGATTACAGCCACGGAAGAGAGCAAGCCGCAGAAGGGAATTTGCAATCGCTAGGAAGAATCAAGTAACTAGTGAGCTAGAGCTTGAGCTTGAAGAACTAAATAACTAGTGAGCTTGAGCTTGAGCTTGAGCTTGCTTAAATGACGGGGAGGGTGTCAGACTTAGGCATTCCCAGCCTTGCCTTTTAACCAGAAGGCTGTATAGGCATACATACTATATAGTCTGGACTCCTCCATACCCCTTTGATAGCGAACTTGACATTTCAACCTTTGACAAATCGACGGGGAGGGGAGGGGAGGGGAGGGGAAAGTTCTAGCTTGGAACATTTCAACCTTTGATAGAGGGGAGGGGAAAGTTCTAGCTTGGAACATTTCAACCTTTGATAGAGGGGAGGGTAGAGTTCCAGCATGGCTCTTGGACAGGGTTAGGGTTTGCATTCAATTTCGATACTTTATTCTTATCTAGCCGGACGCTGATCCCTCTCCCTCTTCGTAGTTCATCCAGACTCAGCTCATGGCTTTCTCATCCGAAGACCCAGGTGCAGGTGTGTGTAGACTAGGAACAGGGAAATCGCGCGGTCCGGTCTGCTGGAGCTGCGATAAATGAAATGAAATTAAGGCATCCTGCATTTGATTCGGTTTGGCCTTGTTGGAGGGGGAAGGGGAATAGAGGGGGAAGAGGAAGAGGCTATATCTATATTAGATGAGCAAAGGGATAAGCAAGTGGAAGGGAAAGGAAAAGGAATCCCCCCTGCTTGTGCTTATGTCCATAGTACGGATAGGATAGTCTTTCGGGATGTGATGAAGTTCTGCCCGTCTCTCGTCCTGTTCCGTACGATTCGTACTTCTGAAGCAGGGAATTCAGATATAGATGGCGGCGTGATGGTAATTTAGATACAGACAGCCATGTGATGGTAGTTCAGATATCCGTGTGATGCACTCGCACTCTCGCACTAGCACTGGCCATGCACATGCAGTCAACTCATTTTCAGGCACCACTCCCATATCAGAAGAACAACTTGTGAGCTGTCGAGATGATTTTGGGACAGCGTCTTGCGTCTTGTGTTCATTATCCAATGATTGACCACCTGTAGTCTTTGTATGTGTATATACATGTATGTATGTGTGTTAGTGACAATCTCTGCATATGTATATATGGTGTAAGTGACCAATTTGTATATACGTGTACGCGGTGTTGATGTCCAATCTCTACATGTACCTATATGTATGGGTGTCTGTATATATATATACGGTGTAGGTGACCAGTCTCTGTATGTACATGTCATGTATACGGTGTAAGTGCGTAAGTGACAAGGCTGACCAATGAGGAACCAGCCATTCTCCCCAACTTCATTTCACTTCACCTCACCTCACCTCACCTCACCTCGCCAACTTCACCGCAGATTTCGACCCTATATATTCAACTCCCCAAATTCCTACCAGGATTCAGCCCAGCCTGCAAGTCTCACATGACCATCTCCCAGATGGTCTAGTGGTACGGATGGCCGAGCTGAATCCTGACCTGCCATTCCCACCAAAAAAGAAGAAAAGGGAAGGTGGATGAGGGACTGGGCTGCCTACCCAGGCAGGTACAGTATCCTATACCAAAAACACCAAAAAAAAAAAAAAAAAAAAAAAAAAACCTCTGTCAGTTGAAAGATTTGACCTCCTTGGTAAAAAGAGGATGGAAGGTTTCTATTCCCGCCCTTGAAGGTGGGGATAGTTTTTGGTGTTTTTGGTTTTTGGTGTTTACGGTTGAGTGCTTGGTGCTTGGTGCCTGCGGTTTGGTGCTTTTGCTGTTTTGCTGCTTGGTGCTGTTGCTGCTTGGTGTCGTTGCTGCTTGGTGTTTGCTACTTAGTGTGCTGCTTTTGGTGTTTGCTCCTTACTACTTACTGCTTAGTGTTGACGGGTTGCGTTTTGCGGTTTACTGTTTGCCGGTAGCTGGACTAAACAACCAATAACGAATAATCAACAATACCTACCTTCCACCCTCTGAATGATGGACTGGATAGATTTCTGTTTCCGTCCCCACCCTTGAAGGTGAGAATGGTGTCTGTAGACTGAACAACGAAGAATACCTTCTTCGTCTGAATGCTGAATGCTGAATGCTGAATGCTGAATAATGAATGCTGAATGATGAATGCTGAATAATATGTCTCTACCTCCAATAGGCCGTACGCTCATGCACGAGTCTACGATACTCTACTCAGTACTCAGTATTGAGTCATCTACTTTTACGTAGATATTGGCATCTTGTACTTGTACTTGGACTTCAACTTAGTACGAGCGGAACCGTTGATTCAGATACTTAGTTTTTGCGGCTGTCTGACCAGGCATTGCCGCGACGCTACAATTTGCCGGATGATGGCTGAACTTGGATGGCTGTGTGTACACTGTACAGGAGGCATCGGCATCGACATCGGCATCGGACTTTGCTTACCTACTTAATAACCTACATAAATACAAAATACAAAATACAAAATACAAAATACAGTATCAGCTCGCTCTGACAAGGACCACTGATCTCCAGGAGACACGGAAGAAGATGCCAGTGAAGCTGTGCTTCCGGAAATTGAAATCTCTTCATTGGTTTGGAAGAAAGACGGTCATTTATTCTGCTGTTGCCTCGCTAGCTCTAAACATTCATGATACGCCTTCCTAGCTCTAAACATTCATGATACGCCTCCCTAGCTCCAACCATTCATGATACGCCTCCCTAGCCTCAAGCATCATGATACCAGCAGTCATCACCCTGGCAAGGAAACTGTCCATCGATGGGAAAAGGAAAAGAAATCAACAATCGACACTTAACAACGAGCAACCCAAAACCTAGGCATCATGGCGCCATGCTGAGTCTGACCCTGAGTCTGACCTTGACCCTGACCCTATCCCAGAACCTTCCCTCAAAATTGCTGGCTAGCCTCGCCTAAGTTTTCCCTTCCCAACTGCCCAGCCCTGCCCAATAACCATCCTGGTTGCTCGTCCTGCTCAATAACCCTTCCTGGTTGCTCATACTGCTCAATAACTCATCCTGGTTGCTCATCCGGCTCAATCCATCCTGTTTGCTCAAATGCTCAATCCATCCTGCTTGCTCATCCTGCTCGGCGTCGTGGTCGAACAGATGTTCCGATTTGTGCTTCAGATGTTCCATTAGGTACTTCAGATGTTTCCATTTGTGCTTAGAGTCCTCAAGTAAGGACTGTACCAAATCGGCGCGAATTTTCTTGAACTGGTCGACCTCGTGGCAGTCCATCGCCTTGTATGCATCTTGTAGTTTATCCCAAAACCCGTAACGGCTGAAGGGCCTAAACAGTTCGTCCAGCGCCTTATACATCTTGGGGAGGTCATCGACAGGAGATGTTCCTTGCATCGTATCTTGAGATACTTTGCATACGGGGGTTGGACACCGCCATTCATGTCCACACGGTGCACGCGTCGCAGTAGGGTGAACGGCTCCAGAGTATCGGAAAGTGCATAAATCTCTTTGTTGAGTGGCTCAGAGTAGTAGTCCTCGTGGCCACCCAAGGTGATGCGGAGATGTTTGAGGTAGGTGACGTCGGAGAGCGTAGTAGCCATTTTTCGAACGAGCGACCGCACCTGCCCACGTTCCCAGTTCGATCCATCCTTTATCTCGACGTAGATTTCGTAGTTCCGAATTAGCTTGTACCGTGGTATTATGACATCGAAATCATCGATAATCTGGTTGCGGTAATCTGTGGAATACACGGAGGCGGGGGTGGTGAATAGATGTGGTATTCTGTGACCAATCTTGATCCAGAAGTAATTCTGGCCATAGAGTACATCCAGGCCCTCGGCGTACAATTGTTTGTTGCACCGGAGGATCTCAGGATATAGATTTCTCGTTCTAGGAAAAAGGTCGACAAAGGGTGTGCAGATGAGCAAGTCTTGTAGGATCATATTGCGGGTCTCCAAAGGCAAGTCTAGAAGCCTGGATGAGGGCGTGGTGGGTGTGGGTGTGGGTGTGAGCCTAGATGAGTGCGAGCCTAAGGGTGCCGAGGGCGTGAGTGAGGATGTAACCGTGGGTGTGAGCGTGGGCATGGCTAAAGGTAGGGCCCGAAGCAGAGACTGCTCGGCGGCAGGTTGTTCTTCCATCGAGCACGGCGTTGTGATAAGTGAAGCAGAATGCCAGGACTTGGGAGGTTGTGATCAGTGAAGTAGGATAGACTTGGGTGAGGTACCAACGGCGTTATGATCAGTGAAGTAAATTGCGAGGACTTCAACGAGGCAGCAGTGCAGTGCCTGTGGCGTCTTTATCTTTGGCCTCCCACGCAATTAGTATTCCCCAGACGCACGCCGTCGCAGTTCAGACAACTTACTTACGGAGTACAGCAGCGATCGGCCAGGTAGACCAACAAGGCAAGACGCCTGCGACGTGAACGCGAACGAGGTGTTTAGTATTGGTATTGTAGGTCAGATTCCACTTCAACCTCTTGCTGGCCCTGGACTTGCCACAGGTTGGTGCTGCTGCTGACCCCAGACTTGCCAGGGTTAGGGTTAGAAGTTGGTGCTGTTGTTAACCCTAGACTTGCCAGAAGTTGGTGCTGCTGCAGGCCCTAGACTTGCCAGAGGTTGGTGCTGTTGTCAGGTTGTCAGGCTTTCAGGTCCAAGGATGTCCTGGAACTGGGTGCGGTGCGGTGTGGTGTATTACCCGTTGTTCTGTTCTGTCCTGTCCTGTCTTGTCGCAGGAAGAAGGAGAAAGGAAGAAGGAGTTGCTATTGTTTGGGGGTACGCGTATGTGTAAGGTATGTTTGTCATGACTGCTCTGAAGAACGATATTAATATACCTACCCAAACTAGCACCTACTTCACAGTGTTTTGTTTGGTATCCCATCGTGATCACTTAAACTTAACTTCACGTGTAGTATAGACATGTATGTATGTAGGTAATCAACCTGCAGTCACTACTACTAGGTACGTGACTACCAAGACCCTCCTAGCCCGCCAAGCCTATATACCTATATAGCCTCGCTCATTAGAGTCACCGTAGTTCCTACGTACGTCTACCTATAGGGACCCCTTAGCCTTACCCCCCTGTTAGGCTACGGACTACGCATACACACGTACCGAGTAATCTGGAAAAAACTCAATGAACAGAACAAAACACTGCAGGACGCAAGAATTCCCGGCAAACTAGAAGAATCAAACCTTGCGTACCTAAAGAGTTGCATCTGCTTGTCTCCATGATGCTTCTCTATCAAGTCATGCTAATCTATACTCGTCACATGTGATTGATGCTCTCCAGGGCAAATGAAGTCTCGTTCGTCAAATCTCCCGTCTTGCCTGGCTTCCAAGAGTTACAGATCGTGAGCAAGACCCGCCCACTTGGCCTCAGCTTCAAGTCCCCCCTTGTTTCTTCTATTGTCATAATCGTGAGCTCGTAGAATTATGAGAAGCCTCCAAGGCGGCTAGAAGAACTCCGGTAAAGCCATGATGTGGTCAACCTCCCCGTCGTCCAAGCTCTGTGGGTCCTGCAATTTGTGGTACATTTCGCTTTTTGGCCAGCAGTCTTTGCCCAGTTGCCTCCAAGGGTCAGCTTAGCCCCGGGCCTGCTTGACCTTGAGGGACGGTGGGGGGTTCGGTACTGGACGGCGCCGAGGCCGTCGAGGGTGCTGGAGGTGCCGAGGGTCGATGTTGGGTCAGTGGCTGCGACGGAGAGGCTGATTTCGCTGCGACGGGTGGCGATTGCTGGGTCGGGCGCGGGCGCAGCTGCTGGCTGGGTGGTTGTTGTCCTGGGACGGGTGGCATTGGCACTGGCGATGGCTGCGACTGTGATTGCTGCTGAGTCGGTGTCCCCGTTGCCGTGCGAGAAAATTCCTCAATGCCGGGCAAGATACCGTTGGCAGGTCGGTCAAACGTCAGATGGCCGCACATGACCACATCAGAATCCCCCATAGGCTGCCACCGCACATTCTTCAGTCTCGTGGCAATAGGTCGGCCGCCGGCGTCGAAGGTCGGGTCGGGAGAGACAGGGACCCCAGCCTTGCCGAAGAACGTGGGCGCGATGGTCATGACAACCGAGTCGAGCAGATACGCGTGGCGCAACTTGAGTAGTTCCGAGAGCACGATGCCGCCTCCTTCTACCATGATGCTCTTGATCCCTTCTCGGAAGAGCACGTTGAAGATGCCCCCCCAATTGAGCCCCCCAGCTTGAGGATGGTAGTCGTTGATCATCAAGTACTCGCCACCGTGAGCTTTGAGGGTGCTGACCGCCAGAGGATGCAGCATGGCGCCAGGAGCTACCACCACCCACGGGGCTTTCCCACGACCCTCTGCCGCGGTTCGGAGAAGCTTCATTTCGGGGCGGATATGCAGCCGCGCATGCGGATCGATGATGATGGGCCGAGGCTGCTGTTCGACCGGCAGGCCACCGTATCCCACGGGATTGGCCAGGCGACAATTCAGGGCCGGGTCATCCGCGATCGCCGTGGTGACCCCGATCACGACAGCCTCGTGCCGACTTCGTAGATAGTGCGTCATGGCTTTGGTTTCCGGGCCAGAAATGCCGACCTGAACCCCGGGCACTTGGGTGATGCGGCCGTCCAGGCTGCTTGCCCAAGTCAGCGTGACATGGGGCCGGCTACGAACCGCGGCGAGTTTGGGATCCGGCAGGTACGGCTCGAGAAAGGCCCTTGCATGTTGGGGGTATTGGAGCGTATCCACGGGCACCGGTGCTCGGTCAGGAGTCAACACAGGCTGTTTGACCGGTTCTAGTCGACCAAAGAGTCCGGCCTGCGGTGGGGGAGGAAACGGCTGGGGCGGTGTCGGCGGGCGGTGGCGAGGCACACGGGTCTGATTGAAGCCTCGATGGGCCTTCAACACAGTCTGCTGATTCCCCTGCCTCCAGGCGTACTGGACATTGCGGACGTCGGACACCTTCATAAACTTGCCGCCGGCCGCGACCATCTTGTCGGGCTCCTCCCACATCTTCCAGAAGATCGAGGCGGGCAAAAAGCCTTTGGTGGCTTCTTGCCGCGCCGTGTCCATGATGCCGGAGTTGCGTTTGGTCGAGTCAATGTAGTCCAGATCGTGCGAGTGTTTCTGGAGCTTGTCGACGGCTCGGGAAACGGTGCAGCTGTCGACCGGTCCGGCATTGTACACCACCTTCATGGTCATGCCACACGTCTTGTCATCGCGAGCTCTCTTCTTGCGCGACTGTTTGCCCTCGGGGGTGGGTCGTGGCACATGAGGTTTTTGATTAGCGCCGCGTCGCAGTCGACACGCATAGTATTCCGTCTTCACATTGTTCTCTGGCTGCGCATCCGTGGCCCTCAGTTTGCGCCAGATGTTGTCAATAAAGGGAAAGTAGGCTTCAAAGTCGGCCACCGCAAGCTCGATGGGCTCTTCCAAGTTGAAAAACCGCTGGCGCATTTGCGCGAGGTCTGGGGGATTGGAGAAGACACTGTAGTTGGTATCCTCTTCGGCTACCGCGTAGGGTTTGCCATTCTGCAACGTCTGCTCCGTTCCACCCTGTTCGTCATCTTGTGTCGTAGTGTCGTTGCCGCCTTCATCGTCATGGTCATGCATGGTGGTGTCATTGCCTGTCTCGTCGTCGTGCATCGTGGTGTCATTGCCCGCTTCATCGTCGGCCTCGCTTTCGAGTTGATCATCACCGTCACCACGATGGTCCGATCCATCAGGAACGTCGGGCGTCTCAGGGCCGCTGCTCATCGCGACAAGCGGGAACGGGACCGTGAGTGGACAGACGGCAGGTACGTAGTGTACGGAGTAGTTCGTAGAGGATCGCACGGATGTGTCTAACGGGGTACGATGTTTTAGAGAACAAAGTTTTTAGCTGTAGACACGCGCGCGGCCATTCAGAAGGTGTTAGGAGCTAGCTTTATTAACGGCGACGCGAAGATACGCGCGGAAAAGTGAAGGCGCAGTCACCTGGTTCACGATTGCCCAGTGAATTCGGGTGCGCAGCTGTGAATTTGTTGTGAGTTGGTGCAGTGGTGAGCGGAAGTTGATCGGCGACCTCGACCTCGACCTCGCTTGAATTCGCGCGTGAAGAAGTGGATCGGCAACTTCGAGTTCGCGCCCTCCACGCCAAGAGTCTGTCATGCAAGGGACACGGACGGCAGGTACATACAATGCCAGCTACTAACAATGCCAGCTACTACTACTACGCGTGTCATGTCTACAGTGTCAAGGGAGCTCTTTTCCATCTCAATGTAGCTTCCATTGGACATCAGGTTAATCTGCACAGCCCTGTTCTCTGATCTCTACATGTGCCATTTGTTCCCCCTTCTATTCATACATCGCACCAAGTGTATCGTACTGTTCCCCTTGCTGGCTGACAGAAACCCCATTGAACCGCAGTTGGACGTTCTTCTGGACTGATCAGCACAGCATCAGTGTGAGATGTGCCTGGTCGGACTACCACTGGCCGTCCAAGCAGCCTAGAGTCGAGCCATGGGAACTCCTGCGCGTAGTGGCATGTCTCCTCACGTGCCACTCGTTTCACTTTAGTCCATCACCAATGCCGCAGCACTAGACCTTCCCGTGGCAGGTTGTTGCCCCGATCAAGTAATTCATGACCTCAGGTGTGGACGAGGGCCTGTTTCAAAGCACGTCGTGTTCACCTCCTGCCTCCATAACGACCTCTGCTTCTGGAACGGCTTCGACTCACGCTGGGACTGCGGCTACGGCTGCGGGTGTAGCTGCTTTGAGAAGTATAACTCGGGCTTCGTCGTCGTCTCCGTGGCGGGCTTCGACCTCCTCCCCCCCCTGGTCCCCCTCCTCGTCTCCTGGGGGGAGTTCTGGAAGGCGACCTGGAACGTGATATTGACCGCCGGCGCCGTCTCGGTGGGGAAGGTGATCTGGAATATTGGGCACGTGGTACGTATGAATTGTCATCGCCTCGTCTGCCACCTCCGTAGCCGCCTCTCCTGGGTGGTGGACTCCGGTATCTCGGCGGCGGCGGGCCTCGTGGCGGCGGGCCGTATCGTGGACCCGGACCCGGACCCTGTCTCGAGGTTTTGGCTGGAGGCGGCGAGCGCGAAAATGCGCGGCGTGGTAGAACGATGCTCACTGAAATGACCATGCCGTCGAGTTGGGCTTCGTGCATATGGGCAATGGCGGCCTCGGAACCGGATGGGTGGTCGTAAAGAATGTATGCCGTTCCACGATTTGTCATGACTGTTCAACGTTAGCGAGGCACTCCTCTGGTTGGGGGGTCATACATACACTGTCTGTTGAGGGGCAGGTCAATGGCCTCGATGCGACCGTACGACCCAAAGATCTCGCGTAAGTGGGCTTCCGTCACATTCTTGGTGAGCTTCTCCACCACAATCTTGGAACTCTGCGCTCGTCTGCTTTCTCTGCTTGGACTTCGGGTGTAACTTCGTTCTCGATATGATCTCCTGTCGCCGCGACTGGGGCTCCTGCTGCGACTGGGGCTCCGACTGGGGCTCCGTCCTCGGCCATGACCGTTGCGCAGGTCTCGAGGAGGGGGGGACCTGGTGTAGGACCTGGAGCGCGATCTGGGGGATGGTGATCGACGAGGAGAGAGAGAACGGTTGTAAGTGGGTGAGGGCGCTCGACTTAGAGATGTTGGAGTGTGCGAGCGAGTGGGTGACCTGCCTCGAGATGGCGAGGGAGAAGGCATATTGGCGAGAGAGTCGCGGTTTGGGGGAAACAATTCAGGTCATGGGAGGGAGATTTCTTGGTCACTGACTTGTTGACTGACTGACACGGCTTTCAGGCGTTGACGAGGCTGGTCAGAAGTCGCTAGATGTGATTCAGCCGCAGAACGGGAACGCGAAAGAGGCCTTGGACATCTGTCGCTCACGCGTCATACAGTGTCGCAGTTTTTCTCGACGGCGGAGCAATAGTGTGATCGACGCAGTTAGCTGTGCTGGTGCATGCACAGGTCGCGACCTGCACGGTATCTACAGTACTCTGTTCACCTAGAAGATGCGGCTCTCATTAAGTGTCACGAATGTTAGTCATAATGATTGCTTGAGATTGGAGGTGAAATACAGTGACCTTGATGTAACTTTGTAAGTCGACTCGGATGGGATAAGGCTTAGTGACCCTAGCACGCTAACTAAAACTTCAATCCAAACAAAGGTATATATATTTGTAGATGCCAAAATTCATCAATCAATCAGTTGAATCTGGTCGGATGGTGTAAGTTCACTCTTCAGCTCAATCCAAGCATTCGAATTCTGACAAACTCAAAGGTAGTTGGTTATCACATCTCCTTAACACGGAGAAGGTCCTGGGATCGAGCCCCAGTCTGATCATATGATTTCTTTTTTGCAAATCTTTTTTCTTTTATAAAATCAAGGCAACGAACCAATCCCAGTCCCAGGTTGGAACAGGAAATCTCCCCTAGGTATCCGTATAGTCAATTCATTCACACATCTGCACCTTGCTACATAATATTATTGCAAACCTCGTCGTGACACAATTTTTTGATATTTCAAGGTACCTGCAAGCAGACAATTATCCGTACATTTACGTGGGATGTCAACCCATGTGAGTGGAAGCTGTGCTCCCAACACCAAACACCATTGAACACGGAGATGGCACAGTGTGGATTCTTTATTGCTGCTCACATTCTACACATAACAACGAAGAGTTGGAGTTAGCATGCAGGATCGCCTACTACAGAGCACTCTGGTCATTGTTCTACGCCATGAGTCGGATGGTCGGCAACCATGGCCGATCTCGATATCCGCTCCTGGACCAATCTGGTATGGGTTCCAGTTGGGCCCCTTCAATCTCGATCGGCTGCTTAGCATATCAGCAGCTACAACAGACGTGGTCGATTGAGCTCGCAAATTTTCCCACTCCCTTCCAAGGTTCACAAGAACTTGTCAACCGAACTGGCCTTCAAGTTGATGGCAGCAGGTCTGACCTGGCGGCTGTCAACATCTCTTCCCTGTTATCTGGATATTGTTATGGGGCAACATGTCTTTCATTCTGACCTACCGCAACCCGCAGGCCAAGTTGGCCCAGGCACGGGCACAGGCACGAACCCGCGCGCCCAGCAACGCAGGGCATGAAGAACAATTGTCGATGTTCCGGGCGAAACTGAACCCAGAACACGAACACGAACAACAACAAGACCAAGTTGTCCTGCTATCCTACGACGAGCTGCCGGACTGGCATCGGGACAACCACTTCCTGCGATCGGGTTATCGACCCATTTCGAACTCGTGCCTCGGCTGCGCGCAGTCGTTGGGCTATCTACACAACGAGACTCTGAACATCTACACGCATCTGATCCCGGCCGTCTGCCTGGTGTTCGGGCACGCCACGGTGCACCGGGCCATCAGCTCCGTCTACCCCGAAGCGTCGGTGTTGGACCACGTGGTCTTCCACTGCAACGTGGGAGCGGCGCTGATCACGATGGCGCTCTCGTCCGCGTACCACACTCTGATGAATCACTCCATGGCGGTGTCGAGTCTGATGCTGCGGGTGGACTACGCCGGGATCCTGGTCCTCATTCTGGGCAGCTTCTTTTCCGGCATCTACGTCGGCTTCTACTGTGAGCCGGTGCTGCGCGGGCTCTACTGGGCCATGATCATCGGGCTGAGCGTGGTCACGTCGGCGCTGGTCCTGCACCCGAAGCTCCAGGGCCTCAGGTATCGGCACCATCGCACCTGGGCCTTCATCCTCACCGGCCTGTCGGGATTCGCTCCCATCGTCCATGGACTGCTGTTGTATGGCTGGGCGGACATGTGGGTCCGGTCGGGCATGCCGTACTACCTGCTGGAAGGCTTGGTGTATGGCCTGGGTGCCTTCTTCTTCGTCACCCGCATCCCGGAGTCCATCTGGCCGGGCTCTTTCGACATTTGGTTCTCGTCGCACCAGCTGTTCCATGTCTTGGTCGTCATGGCCAGTCTGGTGCACCTGTACGGCGTCTGGGTCGCCTTTGGCTGGAACTATGAGAACCAACGAGTCTGTCCAGTCTCCGGCTATGGAGTGTAGTGTAGTGTAGTGTAGTGTAGTTCGATGCTTGTCTGGACAATCATTGATTGCCTACAGTAGTAGAAGCGACAACGTGTTACAGTGTTCCTATAGTAGAAGTGACAGTGTGGTGACAGTGTTCCTACAGTAGTAGCGACAGCGTGGTGACTTCCCGGAACACCTACTACCTACCTACCTGGAGGTGCAGCAGAGTACAGTACACAGTGTCCGTACACTATCTGTACAGCACAGGCACAGGTTGACATAGGTAGCGACATGGTGACCGTTCTGTATACATATTACGGAGTAATGATACCAAGTACCTCCGGTAGGTATCTCTAGGTATCTACCAGGCGTCTACTGGGTATCTCCTAGGTACCTACTACTAGGTGCCTACCACTCTTTCATTATATAAATCCACGGCTCACAGAACGACCATATTTGGGGTCTAGGGTTAGGGTTAGGGTTAGGGTTAGGGTTAACACGGCTTGGCCTTTGTATTACCTAATACTGTTACCGGCTGCCGACGGGACACAATCAGCACAGCACAGCACAGCACACTACCAATGCTCTGCTCTGCTCTGCTTTGCTTTGCACTCCCCCGGCCCAGCACCGCCCAGCGTCTACTCTACTCCGTACTCCGTACTGTGCTTCCGGTCAACGGCATCGGCAACGGCAGCAGCCCAATTCCTCTCTTCCACTACCACTACTCGTACCACCACCCATCCTACGGCTTACGGTACGGAGCCTTGTTAACCACGCCCACGCCCACGCCCGATGGATACCACCACCACCACCGCCGCCGCCAACGCCGCCACACAACCACGACCACATACGCCCAAGCCCACGACTACGAGCACGAGCACGACAGGGACCGGGACTGGGACCGGGCCGCCTGACAATTCACACTCACACTCACGCTCGCACTCACACTCGCACGACGACCTGCCGTCCAGCCCGCAGAAGAAACGGAAGCTGAAGCACCCACGCACCGCTCAAGCTTGTCGATTTTGCAGAAGGTGTGTGTCTAAGACTACTGTTTAGTGTTTGGTGTTCTGTTTAGTGTTTGGTGTTCTGTTCAGTGTTCAGTGTTCAGTGTTCAGTGTTCAGTGTTCAGTGTTCAGTGTTCAGTGTTCAGTGTTCACTACTCACACGGTGGGTTTGTACTCTGTACTCTGTACTCTGTACATCACCAAGTGGTGAGCGAGCGATGGCTCGACTGTTCCTCTCTTTTCTGTTCTTTTCGTGGGCTCACGTACACACCCAACCCAATCCAACCCAACCCAATCTAATCGCGTGCCTAAGCCTGTCCTGTCTTTCCGAGTGACCGAGTGTCTGTCTGACTGTCTGACTGGACCCCCATTGCTAACCTATCTCCCATCTACACATAGACGCAAGGTAAGATGCACCGGCACTCGGCCATGCGACTACTGCCACAACGAGGGCGTGCGGTGCGAATATGAAGATGGCGGCAATCCAACTACACATACTAGTACACATCCTACCGGTAATACTGAAAGACATCCACCTGGCTACCTCTCCGATTCGACCACACAGTCTCCCACCACGACGGGCTATGCTACACATAGTCACAATGGTACCGCGAATCACAACCACACTCCTCTGGACCATCGTCGTTCACACCCAGGTTCAGGCCCAGACCCAGGCCCACGAGACGATGGACTGGGACTGGAACGAGATGCCCTCCCACGCACCAGCCTCCCCGGACCGCCTCGACCTCGATTGGCTAGCCTGGGGAACATGTCAAGCGAGCCGCCGCAGACTTTCGCCGCAGGTCAGCACATCGGCCCGACAGCTGGAGTGTCGTTCCTCTACCATGTCTGGAACCGAAGCGAGATCAACGAGGGAGAGACGGTCCCCGCCGCCCCCTTGACCTGCTATGGAGACATGCCCCAGCCTGTGATCCGGCAGGACGAGCAGTTTCCCACCCCCGACGAGGCCAAGGCGTTTTTGGCCCGCTATTTCCGATTTGCCACGCCCACCTATCGATTCCTGCACCAGCCGACCGTCGAACACTGGATGTCGCAGATCTTGGCCGGCTCTCCTTTGCTGATGGCCGAAGCGGCCTGCGCCTTGCTGGTGTGCGCACAGGCGCTTCTGTACTCGGCCGACGGGGACAGGTACAAGGAGGGCGGCGACGAGGAGCTGATCCGGAGTCGGTCGTACTTCGACAAGGCCAAAGCCTTGCTCAACCAGGAACCGGGCCCGGCCACGCTCGCCAGCGTCCAGGCCCGACTGGCAGTGTGCCTTTACCTTCTGTGCACCTTCCGCATCAACGAATGCCGCTTCTGCTTCAGTCTGGCCTGCACCATCTCGACCTCGATCGGCCTGCACCGGAAAACGTCGCCCTCGCAAAAGCTGGACCTGGTCACCTTGGAGTCGCGCAAGCGGACCTTCTGGTGTGCCTACGTCTTCGACAACTACTTGAGCGTCATGCTGGGCCGGCCACGCATCTTCCGCGACGAAGACATCGACCAGCAGTATCCGCGCAACATCGACGACCAGGATCTCTTGTCTTCCGAGTCGCCCGAGGAGTTGCCGCAGCACGGGAACCTAGAGGCCTTCATCGCCCACGCGCATCTCGCCAAGCTGATGGCGCGGAACAGCGACCTCCTTTACCCCCTGCGCCCCCTGTCCGAGGACCAGGTGTTCGAACGGACCGACCAGATGCTGGAGGCCGTTTACCACTGGAGGCAGAACTTGCCCGACTTCCTCAAGCCTCGCGACAGGACCCTGGCGGGTCAGCGGACCTTTGAGCGGCAAAACACCGTCTTGAAGCTGGCCTATGCCCACCTGCGCATCCTCGTCACCCGGCGCTGCCTGTTGATGGACTTTAGCCAGCTGGGCCGCAGTTCGTCGGCCAGCGAAGACGGCCGAGCAGAGAAGCCGATCCGTGAATGTGCTGCCGCCATCGGCACCATCCTCCACACCACGTACGAACTCTTCCAGCGAGGCTCCATGTATCAGTCCTTCTGGGTCACCCACTATGTCGCGCTTGTGGCCATCTCGACATTGTACGTCTTCATGATCCAAAACAGCCGCTCCTCCATCCCCGCCGGCCTGTTCCCGGACATTGACGTCTTCTTTGACAAAGCCCAATACTGTCAGGCGCAGTTGGCCGCCATGACGCCCGACGGCAGCCAAGCCCGTCGCCACTATAACCTCCTCGATCGCCTGCGAAAACGCGCCGAAAAGGACGCCGGGAGGGTCCAGCGAGCTGGGGACCGTACTCCTAGCATGGGCCCTCCGTCGTTGGTGACCAACATCTACCAACAGGCGCTGGCGACGCCTGTGCCACCGCTCGCCAACGGTCACGCCAACGCCGACAGGAGGACGAGTGTTTCGGGAGAGGCAGGCGGTTCCATGGGACGCCCTCTCCACGAGATCGAGACCTACTCGACTGGCACTGATGTTGCTGCCAAAGATGTGACCGTGACCATGGTGGGCCAGTTCACCCCGTCCAAGGACGACTATGCCTCCCAGAACCTGCTTGATTGGGGCTGGGAGAATCTCGACACTGTTGGCTTTCCAGGCGAGGGAGATCTATTTGATTTCCAAGCTTGATACTTGGGCCGTTCTATAGGTTTCCAAGCTTGATACCTACGCTATTCTATATGATTTGGTAGAGGCGGTTCTTCAGGCACCCGGGTCAATAGAATCCCTTCCGTCGGCCCACGGAAGTATGTAGATCGGACAATTAGGCGGGGCTTTAAAGTTCCACATCACCATATCACCATATCACCATATCACCACATCACCACATCACCACATCACCACATCACCATATTACCACATCACCATATTACCACATCACCCATCACACCTATGCATCGGCCCCTTTTATCTTGCGTGGCTCCCTTTCATCTTGCGTGGCGGCAATGAGTTGAGTCCTCCTACCTCCGGGACCATCTTAGCCTGTACCTGTACCTGTACCTGTACCAGCACCATACGATCGCCGAAGGCTAGGGGTGTGACGGTTATATACACCAAGAGGCTAATTCACGAGTGAATTAGTTACTTCGTCCTTTTTGGCGACCGTCGTGATGTAACGGTTTGGGTCAACCGTGACAAGGGGAAAAGGGCAGCCTCAGGACCCATGGCGTGGCATGGCATAGTATAGCATCAGAGACCTCATTTAATTTCTGCTGATGGTGAGCGCCGTCGCCAACGATTGACATGCCTATAGAAACTGTGCCGGCAGCACTCCCTGCAGGGTTGATATACGTACGCGCACGCGATGGCTTGAGATACGTACGCACAATTCATGCTCGTGGCTGAGTGGCTGAGTGGCTGGGCTGGTCTCCGGGCCGCTCGGCACGGGAATGCAGGCAGATCGTCACCGGCACCGAGAGCGCAGGATGCGGAACGACACGAAGCGAACCGCCATGAGTCCATGACGGATCAGGGCAGTCCCTACCCTCGACGAATCGGATAGACTTGCTACGTATACGGCACCACGGCCACGGCCACGGCCACGGTCACGGCCACGGTGCTAGCGTCGCCGAGGTTGGTGAGTGTTCTAGCATGGGAGATACTACTACTGTAATCTCCTGTCCACGAACTGGGCTTGGAACCCGACAGCACAGAAACAGGGGCAGTGGTGGTCTTGCTAGACACAATGGCGTCCCGTAGATGATGTGCATGGTGTAGCGTGCAAATAATATCTGATCCGTCTGGGCTCTAGCGCCGAAGTCAGGATGTGGTTGACAAGGAAGATAGAGGCTGGGTGAGAATTGTCCACATTTTCCACATTTTCCACAAGGCCTAATCTTCCATTAACAGGTCAAAGGGGTTGGCGCTTCGTGTCGACGGCCCAGGCCCGGCCTTGGGCTGCTGGACTGTTTTGCGCTTCTTCTTGTTCGGCTTGGTCGTGGTCCAATCCTCGTAGTGGTCATGTTTGAGAGCAGAGGCCGAGGTGGCGGTGGTCGAGGTCGTGTTCGTGGTCGTGGTCGTGGTCGTGTTTTGGCTAGCCTGAGCCTCATCCTCTGAGTCGAGCAGACGCTTCAGCTGTACCACGGTATTGGCTCGAGTTGCCAGGTCCAGGCTGCCAATTCGGCGGCGGAGATGAGGGATATCCAGAAAGAGGTCTTGGATGTCAGGCATGGGGTCGAGTCTCCGAGACAGCTGGTGCAGTAATGTGATAAAATCGTCCTTGTCCTTGTCCTTGTCCGTGTCGTTCCCATGCGGCTCGGGGTTGCCGGTATCCCGACACCCTGATTCTGCAGTCTGCTTGTAGTGGCTTAGGATGTGTCGAGTGATTTGTTGGAGCATGCGGAACGAGTACAGAACAGCATGGAGGTTGGCGAGAAGATGGACATTGTCCCACGAGATGCAGGCCGACGATGATCGTGATCTTGAATTTGATTTTGATGGTGCGAGGCCCCAGAGCTGCGCAACCTGCGACGACGGAGGAACCGTCTTGCCCGCGTCAACCTTCTGCTGGTGAATGACTCGGAAAGCCAGCATGTACCAGCACAGGATGGAAGTGCGATCTGTCGACGGCGGCAAGCAATCGTCACACAGCTGGAGCGTTTCATGCAGGCGGTCCAGAGCCTGTGGACTGCCGAGAGCGGTCACTCTCGTGGGTGCGATCCGTTGTCCCTTTCTCGCATATTCGACCACGGTCTTGAAACAATGGCGGCGAAGCGCACCCATGCTGGTGCTCGTGCTCGTGCTCGTACATATCGGGAGCAACGAGTATGCCAGTTGCCGCACGTCTGCACCGTAAGACCACGAAGAGTCCCGTGAAGGATCCTCCACGAGGGGAGTCAGGTAGACGTGCGGAGGGTCTGTTGTGTCAACGAGCAGTTCGGCGGTGCGCGGGTCAAGGGCTTGCAAGGCGGGCAATGGCTCTGGCTCTCCAGGGGGCTGGTACTCTGCCGCAAAAACGGCATATTCGGCACGGTACTTGGCCAGTCTCGAGTCATCTCGAGCTCTCTCCCTCACCAGCGAAACCGACAGGTTCGGGTCGATCGATCTCTCGAAGCCGAATCGGAGCAGAGAGGAGACGGCCAGCCTTTGCGCCATATGGCTCGGGTTCAGGGCCAAAGCAGTGATGACGGCCGCATCGGAATCTGCATCTGCATCTGTACTTGAATGTCCATCTCCATCTCCATCTCCGTCTCCGTCTCCGTTCTTCGTCGCCATATCGTGGACGTGGACGTGGCCCTTCTCGATGGACTGCAGGAGCACGATGCGGCCTTCTGCGCCTAGATCGTGCACAGCCAAGTCAGAGTCGTTGGTGAGGATGGCCGCCCCGGATTCCTTCGCAGCCAGCGCGCAGAACAGGTCGGCCTCGCCCGGCACGGTCTGCACCCTGTCCTTCCACGGGCTGGCTCGCAAACAGTCGATGACACTGGCCACCATGAACGGCGGCGCCGGTAGAATTGGCTTCCTGCTCGACGCGACCGGCGGGTTCCACAATGCTTTTTCGACAGCTGCAGGCCGAGCAGAGGCAGAGGAAGAGATAGAAACAGACTCGGTGATGGGTAACCAGTCTGCATGTGTCTTCCTGTAGGCGTCCAGCTGCTGTCGGAGTCGTTCCATGCGGCCGAGGCGCACGTCTCGCTTCGCCTCGGGCAGGCCTCCGTCGAAGAAGATGTTTCGGATGTGCACCCCGTGGCCTGCCAGTTGCTGCAGGAGATGGCAAGAAGCTTGGTTGATCTCCTCGTATGTCGGGACTGCAGTGGTGGTCGAGTCGAGACCCTTGTGTGCCAGCAGCTTGTTGTACACAAAGTACACCAGCGAGGGACCGTCGATGATCAAGCACTGGACATTGGTAGGTGTGCCTGTGTCTGCGGCCTGGCTGGTGGTGGTGGTGGTTTGGCTGCGTTGGCCGACGACCACGCATTCCGTATAGGGTTGGAGGTCTTGGGACAGCCGGGGGATGCCCATGACTGCTGCGTGTACATGTTGCTAGGGAGCGGGATAGTGTACTGATCGATGTGCTGGGTTCCCTCAATGTGAAGGTCATGTCGAAATGGAGGAATTGCACTGGCTTGACATACAGATATTGCGTTTGGACGCCATAATAATCCGCTGTTTTATTTGCGCGCGCTATACAGTACTCCGGAGTTGTCTCAGAATCCAGCCAAAACAATAGAGGTGGTGCGTGGTGCTCTACTCCAAGGTCAAAACAAAGTATCTTGTGGTATCAAACACAATTGAGCAGATGATTGGATGAGCTTAGGAAGGCGGGGTGATGGAGGAATGCCTGCGCCTGAGCCTGAGCCTGAGCATTAAGGAACCTTCTCCACGAGCGCCTTGCCCCTCCTTTCCTCCTCTGCGTTGGTCAGGCCTGAATGAAGCATGTTGCAACCGGGCTTGATTCTGATCTGATCTGATCTTGATCCTCTCGAGCCAGAAACCAACCCACCGCACGGCCACATCACCCTTGGCCGCGGCCGGCCCTGGCTTCGAGTCCAACATAAAAGGACAAGTCCTGTCCATTCCGCCGCCTTGCGCTGGCGTGACAGACCACACATGACTTCCAACCCACAGTTCGGGCGCGAAACGACAGCCACCGAAGTGGCCAGAGTGTTTGGCGATGGAGTTCGTGGAAAGACAGGTGGGCCAACTCACATTCACCATTCCCACGGGGCTGTCCCTCTGTCCCTCTGTCCCTCTGTCCTGTCCCTCCATCCGGTGGCACCACACCAGCAAGCTAAGCATACTCTATGAAACACTACAAGCTAAACATACTGTATGGAACCCACAGTGGTCGTGGTCGGGGTGTCGCCTCAAAGTCTAGGAGAGTCCTTGTCACTGGCGCTCGCGGCCCAGTCGCCCTCGCTACTCGTGCTGGTCTCGCGAACACGGGCCAAGATGCAGACAGTGGCCAAGAAGGTGCAAGCCGCTTACCCCGAAGTCCGGCTCTCGCTCGTCCCAGTCGACCTGTCCTGCCTCCAATCTGTCCGCGACGGTGCTGCCGTCATCGACAGACTCGTGGACCACATCGACATGCTCATCAACAATGCCGGCGTCATGATACAGACTCACACCTTGACCCCGGCCGGACTCGAGCTTCATTTCGCCACCAACCACATCGGCCCGTTTCTCCTCACCAACCTGCTCATGCCGAAGATGCTCCAGGCCGCGCGGGCTTCTGCCGCCCGAGGAGGCCGGCCGGGATCCACGCGCATCGTCAACGTCTCCAGCCAAGGACATGAGATCTCCCCGATCCGATTCGGCGATGTCAACTTCCACAAGCCGTCGCGGGACATCCCGGCCGAAGAACGGCCCGCGTCCATCCCCGGCTTCATGTCTTTCGACCCGCCTCCGGGACAGACATACAGCCCGTTTGTGGCCTACGCGCAATCCAAAACCGCCAACATCCTCATATCGCTCTATCTCAACCGGCACCTTGACCAGAGCGGCGTCAAGGCGATTGCCACGCACCCGGGCTCGATCTGGACAGACCTGTCCCGCAACCTCGATGCAAACTACACCCGGCTGGTCCGCAAGTCGGGTGGCTTCTGGAAGGATATCGACCAGGGCAGTGCGACGACGCTCGTAGCCGCGCTCGACCCCAAGTTGGGCGACGGCGACAGTGACGATGTCATCTATCTCCGTGACTGCCAGGTCGCCGAGCCTGCCGCGCACGCGACCGACCTGAAGGCCGCCCGGCGGCTGTGGAGGTTGAGCGAAGAGATTGTCGGACAGACGTTTTCTTTGCACGAAGTGAGCCGGTTGTAGGTGCTAGGCGCGACAGGACCGAATCGCCATCGGTTACTATGATTGTGATTGTGATTGTGATATACGGAGTAGTAGGCAGCAAACGATGGAATCTGTCTTGACTTAGTACTAGGCTACATAAACGACAGTCCATACTTGGGAACTTGGTATAGCAAGGACTCGTTGCAGCAGAGACAGGTCAAGAGCCACAAGTCAAGAGCCACAAGTCAAGAGCCACAAGTCAAGAAGTGCCTATATTAATAGCTACAGGCTGGCTCGGCTGGACTCCACATGCCCTATCAAGCGAATCTCACAGTCGACATCCCGACCGGCCTCCAGCAGCCTGACCAGCGGACTGGCCTTCTCTCTGTCTCTCCAAGATGATCTCAGCCGCCCAAACCAACAATGTGAATCATTCGTGTGGGCTGGATACTGTAGCAATATAGCCGGCCCCTAAGCCTGATGGTCCAGTCGAATAGGCAGTCGAGAAGGCAGTCGAATCAGGTCTATGCTCTGCTTTGAGCATTCCGAGGCAGACAGTCCCAAAGTCTTTGGGAACTCTTGTCTTCCCGCCCCACCTCCGTTCAAGAGCTCTCTAGCCTTTTGCATCGAGAACGCCATCAGGCATCAGGCATCAGGGGAGAGAGACTTGGGCACGAGCCCGTCTTGGGCACGGCGGCTCAGGGGCTCAATCAGGGACCCTAACCCTAACACTAACCCTAAGGCTTCCTTACCCTAAGCCCGCTCTGTCTCCTGCAGATCGTCGTCAGCTACCTAGTAGGTGCCCAGGAAGACATGTGCCTACGTGTCATTCTCAGACCAAAACATGTGCCTACGAGTATCATTCTCACGCTGAAACATGGTATGGGGACGAGTCTGGCCTTCTGTTCGCATCTCTCCAACTGACGACATGGGCTGGAGAAATGGCGTCGTGAGGAGGTGGTATCAATGGTGGGACGAAGGCCGAACCATCACCGATGGTGTTGTTCACACACACACACACAACACACCCACACACATACACACACATGCACACCCACATACACATACATGCACACCCACACACCCACACATGCATATGTCTGAGTTGATTCTGGAACCAAAGCACGTCAAGCAGCCTTACGATGTCGCTCCGTCTGAGATCCCATGCAATTGGCCCATGTTGAGATGAGTCGATCCCGAAATGATGAATTCCAGCTGGGGCTCGCTCCTGAGCCTGAGCCTGAGCCTGAGCCCATTCTTTGTTGCTTGCGTGGTGGGATGATGCGTCCGGGCTGTGCAGAGTCACGTCTATATTACTCCAGGCACAACCCACCCAAGTCCACTTGTCTTGATCACAACCTGCTGACAGGTTTCCTCCCGGATACCCTGACTTTACTCTGCTCACTGCTCACGGCTCACTGCCCACTGCCCACTGCCCACTGCTCACTACTCACGGCTGACTGCTCCCTGTTCACTGCTCCCGCTCATCATGGGCTCGGTCACAGTACCCCAAACCGTGGCCGACATTGACCTTCACACCAAATTTGCAAAAGCAGGTCTGCCTGACAGTCCTGAAGCATGGCTGACGCGGGCCAAAGAAGTGGCCCAGATCCTAGCCAGGGATGCGACGCAGCGAGACATTGAGGGGAAATCACCCGTCAACGAGGTGCAATTGCTCAAAGCGTCCGGGTTGACCAAGATCCTGGGCCTTCGTCAATACGGCGGCGGTGGCCAGGACTGGTCGACGGCCTACAAAGTGATCCGTGAAGTGGCCCGGGGCGACGGCTCCATCGGCATGATCCTGGGCTACCACCTGTTCTGGTTCTACACGGTGAACGTGGTGGGAACCGACGAACAGAAACACCGCGTGCAGAAGCTGCTTCTGGAGAACAACTGGTTCCTCGGCGGCGCGGTGAACCCTCGCAGTGCCGATCTCAAGGTCACCGACGACGGCGACCACATTGTCTTCAACGGATTCAAGTACTTCAACACCGGCGGAGTGGTTTCGGACGCCACCGTCCTCGAGGGCGTGCTCGACGGCACGGAGCTCCATGTCTTCGCGCTCGTGCCCACCCAACAGCCGGGGATCCAGTTCAGCCACGATTGGGACAACATTGGCCTGCGGCTGACCGAGTCGGGGAGCGTCAAGATCGACAATGTGCGGGCGCCTTGGACCGACGCATGGGGATGGGACAGTCAGACGAAACAGCCGATCGAGGCCATCTTGAAGGTCCCGTTTGCCTCGTTGTTGCTGCCCACCATCCAACTCGTCTTCCCCAATTTCTACATCGGCATCGCTCTGGGCGCCCTGGACGCCGCCAAGCAGTGGACCACCACCAAAACCCGGCCGTGGCCGTACGGTGGCGACAACAAGGACAAGGCCACCGACGAACACTACATCCTGGCTCGCTATGGCAGTTTCCACGCCCACCTACGGGCCGCCGAGGCCCTGGCCGACCGTGCAGGGGAGCAGCTTCGGGACGCGTACGCCGAACATGGCGAGAAGAGGGACATCAGCGCACGCCGGAGAGGCGAGGTGGCCGAGTGGGTGGCGAGTATCAAGGTCGTGGCCACTGACACCGGTCTCCGTGTGGTGAACGGCATTTTCGAAGTGACTGGATCCAGCTCGACCGCCAGAAAGGTCGGCTTGGACCGGTTCTGGAGGGAGCTCAGAGTACATACGCTGCACGATCCCGTCGCGTACAAGGAGCGGGAGTTGGGGCGATTTTTCTTGCTCGACGAAGTACCGGAGCCGACATGGTACACGTAGAAACCACTGAAAGGCCGCCGTAAGCTCCGTGGCCTGCACGGGAAAGAGGGGCCAAGGCCCTTGTTGAACTGGATGACCTGTTTGTATCCTGCCAGATAGTAAACCCTAAGTTTGACCTGGTTGTATCTTGTCAGACAGTAGAGGTCTGGAGAGATGTTCCAAATCACCGTACACACAGGGTTGAACAAGAAGGGTCGCTCGCTCACATAGTGAAAGGATCAATCAAATACCCTTGGTCTCTAGCACAGCAGTGTGTGACGTGACCAGATGCTTATGCACGATCATGGCGCTCAGCCCTTAATTCCCTTCCCCTTCGATCTCTCATTGGTTCGGAGGACTTTGCGGAGAGATCGAAGGGGAAGGGCTGTAACCCCTGAAGGGAATCACAGGCTCAGAGCCTGGTGTAGTGCAGCGTGCCCGTGCTCGAGTCGGCTCTGAAGACAAGAGGATCGGAATATATGCCCTGCCCCTGCCCTGCCCTGCCCTGCCCTGCCCTGCCCTGCCCTGCCCTGCCCTTTCTGACGTGGTAAGCTTCTCATCTACAGCATCGAACATCGTATACCAGACGGAGTCCCGTCTACTGAAGCCATGGGTGCTCTTCCAATCATGACCAACGGAGCCACGTCTACCGAAGCCGTGGATGCTCGTCCATTCATGACCAACAGAGTCCCGTCCACCGAAGCCGTGGGTGCTCTTCCAATCATGACCCACTGAGTCCCGCCGTGGAAGACTGGGAGATGAGGTGCAAACTTCGAGCCGATGGCCGCCAGTCAGAATCGGAGGGGCCCAGCATTAAACCGAAGTGGCCTGGAGAGTAGGGTGCCATCACATTGCTAGCCGGTGGACGCCTAACACGTATTTCTCGAGTCCGCGAGGTGCTGCAGTGGTAGTACAATGGTAGGGAGTATGGAGTACGGAGTACGGAGTATGTGGACTGGGCTGATGGAGAGAGAGCAGAGAGACACAAGAACAAGAACAAGAACAGGGAACCTCGTAGGGTTAGGGTTAGGGTTATTAGGGTTACAGCCTTGGTGCCATCTTGGACCGCTTCCGCGTCACGTGAGCGCGTATAGATCGACGCACCTTACCTAAGCCCCTAAGCCTAAGGAGACTTAGGCCCTAGCCTTAGGGCCTTGGGGCCTAATCCCGGCTGTTGTGCCTGTACTGCAGGTACGGAATATGGACGCCCGGCACCCGGGACCGAGCACCGAGTACCTCTGTACTACGTACCTCCAGTCTTGGTGCCAGTAGTATATATACATCTCCTCTCCTTCCTCCTCTCTCCTCCCTTCTTCCCCGAGTCTTTCTTACTGTCTGCCAGGTAAAAGGATCTGTTCTGTGACCCCGCAGCTAATAGCCATCCCGACTTCGAAGTCAAGAGCCAGCAAGCAGCTCGATGAGACATTGTGCCATTGTTGCCTCACAGATCGGACGACGGACCCTAGGCCTTCACGTTCACCACTACCACCACCACCACCACCTTCACCACTTTCACCACTTTCACCACCAGCATTATCCTCTCTCCCAGTTCAGCCAGCACTACCCTCTCTCCCAGTTCAGCGCAATGGCCACATCCACGCGCTCGAGCAAGCGGCAGAAGACCGACACCAACGCCGACGCCGACGACAAGCCGTTCCGCCTGATCTATTGGCTGGGGATTCCGGGCCGCGGCGAACACGTGCGGCTGGCCTTCGAAGCCACGGGCACTCGGTACACAGACGTGTCCAACCAGACGGATGAAGGGGTGGGCGCGGTGCTGAAGCAGACGGGCGACGACAACAACGGCGACGAGCACAACCCGCCGGCATTCGCGCCGCCCATCCTACAGCACGGCGACGACGTCACCATCTGGCAGACGCCCAACATCCTGCTGTATCTGGGGCCGAAGCTGGGGCTGGTGCCCGACGCCCAAGACGACCCCGTGGGCCTGTACCACGTCAACGCGCTGGCATTGACCGCGCTCGACGGCCTGTCCAACGAGCCGCACGACGTGCACCACCCGATCGCCGTCATCCTCTACTACGAAGACCAAAAGACCGAGGCGCTCCGCAAGGCCAAGGACTACCGTGAGAACCGCCTGCCCAAATTCCTGGCCTACTTTGAGCGCGTGCTCGACGGCCCCGCCAGCGCCGGCGGCGAGTATCTGTACGGCGGCAAACTCTCCTATGCCGACCTGGTGTTATTCCAGACCCTCGACGGCGTCAGCTTTGCCTTCCCCAAGTGTGTCGGGAAGATCCGCGACGGCGCCAAATACCCCAAAGTCTGGGCCCTGTATGAGCGTGTCAAGGCTCTGGAACCCATCAAGAATTATCTTGCCAGCGACCGGCGCTTGAAGTACACTCTGGGCATTTATCGTCATTACCCAGAGTTGGACGACGAGTGATGGAGTTGGTCGATGTCAATGTCAATGTCGATGTCAATGTTTGGTCGTGCTAAAGTTAGAGCGGTTGCCCACAAAAGAGGGTGGTTGGGGTGTGTCAATGCCAGCAACGACCCCAGTGAGCTCTGAGACAGGGGAGGGAGAAGCGCAGCTACATCTACAACATCTACATGTAGTCATGGCCTTTACTACCTGAGCATAAAAGGCTGTTTAGGACAGTACATGTAGCCATGGCCTTGACCACTTGAGCATAAAAAAGATGTTTACTGTTTAGGACGGTACATGTAGCCATAGCCTTTACTACCTGACCATAGAAAGCTGTTTACTGTTTACTGTTTACTGTCTAGGACAGCACCCGAGACCACCAACCTCGACGACTGCTGATCTCAATGACAGAATTGAACGGCAAGAGAGATAGTCGAGCGGGCTGCTTGACACCAACAAAGCTGAAAACCTCACACACCGACTCCTGCAGACCTCGAGTAAGCGGCATGCCCCATTCCTGGGCAGCGAATAGGCTTTGGGCTCCTCTTTCCAACCTGACCGTGGAAACGAGCGTTCGGAGGAGCTAGAGGTTGTCCCGCATATATAGAGACTCCCAGCTGATATTCCCTTCAAGGGGGTCGCCGTGTTCGAATTGCAGGGATGATGCCACTGTCTGAACATAGTACAGAGTATGCCACAACTTGCACTCTTCGGTCAGGCACCAGGCGCCCCATTTGCTGAAGCGGTAAATCGGAAAGATGCAGAGATTGATACCATGCAAGACCACAGATGGTCTCAATGCCATGAAATGATATGCATACATATATGTACAGTGAATAGGCTCCATATGGCCAGCCCAATGGTGTTGGGACAACTTCGTCACACCTCCCTGTCTTTGTTGTTCTCGTCCTGTCCGTCCTGGTGTGCCTCTTACCTCGGACAGACCCCTAGAACCCTAGAGCGCTATTAAACGCGTCAGCAGCTGCTTGACCGGTCTGGCCCTGTGCCGCAGTTGCGCCGGCATTGCACGCGTCAATGGCTTCTTGGGAAGCTTTGCACTTGACATCGAGTTGTTGACCTGAAGGGTTGTGGAGTCAGTCAATCAGAGTTCGCGACTGGTAGGTTAGGTGATGATTAACTTACATATGAAGTCAGTGATGACCTTGATATTCAACGCCGAGCCGTGTGTAAAAGCCGTGGTGTCGCTGGGCTCGAAGGATTTCTCCTGGCGGCCGTCAAAGCCATCAGCGAATACGATGGTAGGGTCCGGACATGAGCCCAGATCCAAGTTGGACGATCCCGAAACGGCAGCCGAGGTGGTCGACGCGGCCGCTGTAGTACTGGCGGACGCGCTGGACACAGTAGATGACACAGCCGCACTGGATTCTGCTGCAGGAGGCGCTGTGCATTCTGCCACGGCCGATGCGGCAGCCGATGTGGCAGCCGTAGCCGTAGCCGCAGCGCCCGGGGCAGCAGTGGCAGAAGCAGCCACTGCCGCGTTGATCTCGTCCTCCGTGGCATCTTCCACAAGGAGGTTTTGAGTGAAAATGCAGCCTTCAGCATCACCTTGGTCGTCGCAGCTATTCCCCTTTGCCGTGGGGTCGCCGATCTGGCCGGGAGCAAAAGTGCCGGACTGCAGAGCATCGAGAGGGTTCCCGCCAATATTGGCGATCTGTACAGCGAGTTCTAGGACAATGGCCTTGTTGGTGGCAGCTGCATTGGCGGATGCCGGGTCCTGGTGTTGAGAAATGGCAGCGATCTCCGGATTGACGGCTTGGATGGCAGTGCACGCAACCGACGCCTGTCCAACGGCTCCAGTATTGCGTTCGAGAGCTCGGTAGATCAATGCAGCCGTCAAGCCTTCCACACTGCCGGCGGTTTTGGCGTTGGTAAAGGCACGATCAGCCGTGGCCTGTTGAAGACAATCCGTGTTGGAGATTTGGCCTTGTCCTGCAGCTGCGGCGGCATTTCCCAGAAGGCCAAAGACAGCGTCAACGATTCCGTCAGGATTGTCCGTTTTCAAGAACTGATTGACGGTTGTGAGGAATTTTTCATGCGAGTGCTCCTGTGGTACTTCCCGACGCCCTAGATGTGCGTTCCAGACTGGACCGGAGCGGACCTGGTGACTGGACGACTCGACGGAGGGAAGGCCATCACGGCCATGCTTTTGTCTTTTGATATGGAGGTTCGCTGGTCGGGCAAAAGCGAAGTCACCGACCGCAATCAAACAGAGGGAGAGGCAGACGGCTAGCTTCATGGCTCGCGTCGTATTTCAACGTCTGGTCGTATAGGGCGTAAGTTCGTAAAGAGCGTAATGGTCTTTGTAGAAAGACAAGAAACAGGTATCAAATTGGCCCAGGCCGAAATCAGTTCTCCAGGAACGATTGGAAGCGAAACGAAGGAATGGGAGGGAAAGAAGCTGTGTCAAAGAATGAATGACTGGGCTGAATCCAACCTGATACTGTCCGATCGGAAGAGAAGATGTTGAGGAGAATCGAGGGTGACGAAGGCATATATACCCAACTCTTACTCTTACTGTTTCTTCCCTGGGGCATGGTGCACCCAGTGTCCACCTGCCACTCCCTCACGCACCGACTGTGCTCGACGCTGACCGAGGTTACGGGTAATAATCCCTCGCAGGATCAAGTCAGGAGGGGCCTGTCTCAAGCGTGATCTCTGTCGGTTTGACCATGGTTTGCTTACCGCTGTGTCTCGTCCGATGGCAAGGCCTAAGCGATAGGAGGAGCGAAGGGGAGAGAGACTTCGGATCTGACTCTGACGGCGCAGAGCGTGGCCTGGAGACGTCATGGTTGTACGATGGGTCAATACCCATCCCGGAGCCTCGAGCTTTGACAAGGTGAAGACAACAGTGGCTCCGATGAGATTGAACTGGTGTGTGAAGGGGCTGAAGGAGGGAGGGTCAAAGGTTGAACGGCGGCTGAAGGTGGCAGAAACAGTGTTTGACCAACGAGCGACTCGTGCCGCATCATCTGCCACATGAAACACCAAGAATGCCCTCACCCTCTTTACTTCTTCTCAACACCGCTATTGCAGACTGCTCTGACATCTACAGCACCACGGCCTCCTGCCTGCCCCAACCTCTCTAGCGTGGTCATTTCCGATCGAGCTGTCTAAGTTCCCTGGTTCCCTGTCGCCGTCGCACCCACGCTTCAGCCGTCTCGACCACCCCTCTCTGCCTTCAAGATCTCAAACCAAAACTCCGGCACCATGGGCTTTCATTTCATCAAGTCATGCAATTCATTCTACAGAGTGACCTGGCATAGGCCCGGTCTCCTTGTGCATTACGGAGTACTCCACGGCTCCTCGATGATTACGCCCTCATCGACCCCCTGCGCCCATGCGTGCGATGCCTTCCATAATCCGGCCACCACCATAACCCGCGGATTTGCTCGACGGCGCCTTCAATCCAGACCCAGGGGCAGGTATACCCGAGTATTTCCCTGCGGTCGGTTTCTGTAACATGCTCATTGGCCGAGGACGACCTCCTGGTGCTCCTGATCCAGCGGGCGTCATTCCGCCGTTTACACTGCTCCTAAATTTGCTTGGGCTGGGCACTGCGCATGCTGAACTCGGTCGACCATTCCCATCTTCACTCCTGGGGGGACTGACAGGCCGGTGCGACTTTGCGGCAGCCCTTTGCTCTTCTTGCTGAGCGCTCATGGTCAGGAACAGGTCCACCTGCGCAACCAGCTCTCCCTTTTCCACACGTTCTTGTTCCACCTCCTTTCGGAGGAAATCGCTTTCGGCGGCTAACGAGTCAACTTGGCTCCTCAAGCCGGCAGCTTCGGCTTCCAGCATCTTCTTGTCGGCCGTGATCTCCTCGTTCCATCGCCGTAGCTCTTCAATCTGGCCCCCCATCCTAGAAAGAGCCTCACTCTGGCCCGGGATTACTCCGCTCATGGTCGCCTCCTTCTCGGTCTGCAGTTTGAGTACCTCGTCCTGGGACGCTTTGAGGTCGGCGCGTAGTTGTTCCACTTGCTTGATCCATCGTTTCTCGTAGCTAACTTTCAAATCCGCCACCTTGCGCTCATGTTTGCTCTTGTACAAGGCGTGCAGTTCACGGGCCACCTTTTCTGTGGCGTCCTTGACGGCGAAATCAATGTCAGCATGCACGCCCGGAGTGCTGGGAGTGCTCCCCTTTTCCGGACTGGGGGTCGATCTGACACGTTCCAACCGTAGCGTGTCGAGCGATGCCTGGAGTTCGAGAATCCGGACTTCATATTCCTCCGCCCGACGCTCTGCCTCGTCGCTTTGCCGTCTTAGCTTTTCTTTCTCTCGCTCTTCGAGGAAGATATTTTGCTTGACTTCGCGCAGGACCTCTTCCATTTCTCGGCTCCGCCGTTCTAATTCATCCTTTGCGTGTTGCAGCTCTTCCCGAGAGGCACGCTCGGTTCGGAGCTCTTCACTGGTCTTGCCCACTCGCACTTCGGCATCAGTGATGGAGCGTTTCAAGGCCATGACTTCTGCTTCTTTCCCAGACAAGGTGGCTTCCAAGCCTGAAATCCGTGATTGCAGCTCAGACCGCAAGGTCTCCAATTCTCGGGGCGTGATGGTGGGGATCGAGCGTGGAGTCGCCATGGGCCCGAGATCAATATCCAACAGATCCAGCCCCGAAGCACCAGAGTACATGCTTTGCTTTTTCTCGGCAGGAGTGGCTGGGACATTGCCGTCTTCAAAAACAGCCTGAAATTGTTTTTGAGGAGATCGACCGGTCGCCCTTTCGCGGTCTACTGAAGCCTGTGACCGGTGGACTGGACTTGGGTTGACTTTGATAGGAAAGGCCCCTCTCCCCGACGGACTCCGTCTCATGGTTCGAGGGGCGGAACTGGGAGGGGGGATCACGATATTGGTTTGTCCAGTGAAGTTCATGAGGTCTACTTGGGTGTCATTCGAGTTTCGGGGCCTCCGAGGGGTGGCCTCATCATCTTCGTTGGACGAGGTGCTTCGTGTCGAGGTGGAGAGTAATCGTAGAGGGCGTTGGGTGGTCCCCGGAGTACTGGTGATGATGGAGTTGCGCAACTGTTTGGAAGGCGACCATGGTTCCCGCGGCGTCTTGGTCGGTGAGTTGCGAATGTTGGCAAACCGCGTCGTGTCTGTAGCAATTGCCGAGATAGTGCTCAAATCGCCAACGGTTTCGTCGTGGACGGTCTTATCGTCAAGACTGAGGGTCAACGTCATGTCGTCAAAGTCGTCTCGGGGATGGCTGGGGCCATCCAAAATGCGATCCGGGGAGGGATTAGCTTCATTGTTATTGTCCTCGTCCATTGTGTGGTGCACGACAGACTCATCCAAAGTGTCGGTCTGCGCCTCCTTTTGCATGGTATCGATCGCCTTTGTGAGACCCTCATTGAATCGCACGGTCGGTTCAGCAGGTGACCCAGGAGGCGAGCTATCCACCCTCGCATCATCTTGTAGGCGATACTTTATGGGCGAGAATGTCTTTCTGGGACTTGACATTTGGCTGGAAGGCGCAGAGGGAGACAGGGGATATTCCAGGGCGGGTTGGGGATTGCTTGTTGAATCTATTGGGGCGGCTTGCGCGACTGCGACGACGGACATGGTAGGAGATTTGAGAGGATCGATCGAAAACGAGAGATCTGGTTTCTGTGAGAAGTCGAGCTTGACAGGAGAGGATCTGGAGTTCTGCTTGGCGGGAGACAGGGTAGACAATGGCTCAGGCATGGTGTCGGTGAGCAGCAGTGGCTAGTGGACTGGGGACTGAGACGGAAGGATAGGAACAAAAAATGTAGAGAGCCATGGACGAGATATTGTTTCTTTCTGCCTTCTGCGGGGAATGCCTGGGATATGCTTACAGTGACCTGCACTGTCAACTTGCTGTCAGGCCGAGCGGGTTGCGCGGTGACAAGCGACGGCGACAGTGACTCCTGATGGATTGTGCAGGCCGGCCCCTGTTGCGGTTAATCCCGTGATTACTAGTATGCTGGAAACGTGAGGTATGTAAACAACGCCCAGCCACGCTATGCCTCAGTTGGCATTAGCGCGATGGTACCTGAGGCTTGTGTTTTCATCCCTGCATCTTGCATTTCCTCCGTATTGCATTCGAGCCTCTCATATCACCAATGTCAACGTTAGGTCACCACACTCACCGCCGCCTTCGTCTTCTCCTGCATCACACCTGCATCTCTATACTCCGCCTCGCCAACTGCGACACGCCAGTGTTGAGCTCGCATACACCGGCTATGTCGGGTCTGTCCTGTGATGTCTTGCAGTGAGAAATCAAATTCCCCTGTGTCTTTGCCCGCGAAAGGAGCAGCTCCTCGAAGAGAACAGGTGTATAGAAGCGCCCATGAGGTTGGAATGTGGGTTGACTGACAGAAAAGTCCCTTTAGTCTATGGACATGCTTTTTCGTCTCCCGGACCGAATGCTGAATGACCTCTCCAACTCCTTTCCTCTTCCAATATTGCAGATCTATCGACGCCTCTCAGTGCGAATATTCGAGTTTGACAGTGCGGCCTGATGACCAACGGTCCTATCTGTTCATTTTCTGCCTCAGTTCGACGACCACCCATGTCCTTCGCAACCAGTTGCGGCCCGGATATGTTTACTACAATTCATCCTTCCTCCCATTCTCCGGCTCTTTGCCCTTGGAAGCACTTCCATTCGGCGGCTGAGGCTCACACACCGCCGCGGTGCCCACTTCCATGCGATACACGCACTTTTCACTTTCACTGACCTTCCATACCTCTTCTTTCTCGGCGCACGCCAGGTAGACCTTTGTCGACCGCGCCGGCCCGTTCCAGCAACCCTGGCCATTCTCGTACTTCATGATTACCCTCGTGCCCGTACCCAGGCCCTTGCCGTCCAAGCCGACACCCTCGTCGACATATTCACTGTCGAAGCCCACAAAGCTGCCCATGTTTGTGTGGGCGCCGCCCTTTTTGGACTTCTGTTTCGTCTGCCCCATGAAGCACAGCTCGTATTCGTACTCGCCGCTATCCCGAGATATGCAGATATCTTTGAGGGCGCGGAAGATGCCATCGGGGCCGTAATCTTTGTCAAGGTCTTCGCGGTGCCGCCGGACGTCGTTCTCCGTGTTGCGTACGTCCTTTTCGGCTTCGCTGAGAGCCTTCTTTGCGTCTTGAACCGCTTTACTCTCCGCGGCGGTGGCCGTAGAATCCGAGTGATCGGCTAGCACGCCGCTCTCGACCAGGAACTGGCGGAACGACGCGACCTTTTCGTCGAGCCACAGCTTCAACCCATCCGGCAGATATGCACTAACTTTGTACAGCGCTGCAACGTCCGACTCGGGTTCTTCAGGGACGTTCTCGAATTCGGCCCAGTGGATGCCGTTGGCTTCAGTGTCCTCCTGCAGTACTGCTGCAAGATCGCGATCCTCCGCCTCCGACCAGTCGTCGTCAGTCTCCCGGGAGGCATAATCTTCCCAACCACGAACGGCTCGTTTGACGCCTTCATCATTGAAGTTGGGGTTGTGCTCTTCCTTCAACGCGGAAAGGAGGCCTTCCAGCTCCGTCACCCTCCCAAGCATAGCATCTCTCTGCTTCCTTGTCTTCTCAAGTTGTCCACGTAGCTCGTTCACTCGAGACTTGGCTAGCCCGACCAATACACCAAGTTTGCCGGCTCCTGTTCCTGCTGCCTCGCCTCGCACCACTCTTAACTTTTCTCTGCGCTCGATTTCTCTCAGGTTGTCTGCGGCATCCTTGACCTTGACCTGGAGCGCTTCTAGGTTGACTTCCAAGTCGTGCACTCGTAGCTCGACCTCGCGCCTTAACCTTGCAGCTTCTGTGGCCAGAGTTCTCTTTCGCTTCAGTGCTACCTGATAGGTCTTTTGACGGACTTCTTCGTGCTTCCGGTACTCCTTTCCAATCTCCTTGCACCTATCCTCGCACTGGAGTCCTCCGACGTGCTCCCACTCGTCGGAGCCGTCACAGCACACATCATAGTCGCATTTACCGTCATTCACGCTCTCAAATCGAATGTAGGATGGGATATGCCCTTTGTTTTTGCAATAGAATCCCGGTAGCGCTAACGTGGTGTTCAGGGAGGCTGCTGCTGTGTCCGGTCCTGGATGATACTGAGGAGGAGAGAGCTGGGAGAGATAAGAGCACGCCGCGGTGCCAGGTTCATCTGAGCCATCGGGGCAATCGCAGAAGTCGTCATTGACACGCGAAAAGGGGATGATTATAGAGGGGTTTGAGATGCATGTGAAGGAGTCTGAAGGAGTCTTTTTGTAAAATTTGGCAACTGGGGCTCAGATGTCAGTATCTGAACGTCCATGATCCAGGTCTAGGGTTTATGCAACCCAATGTCTGCCGTAAGAGACCAGCACGCTCACCGGGGAACCAGGTCTTACATTCAGGGCCTACGCCTCGAGGCCGTGAGGACTCGGACGCTCTTGTTTCTGCTGCCCATGCGGGAAACACAAGCACTTGCCAGAGCAACAGCAGATCTGATCTCAGAATCATATTGAGAGATCAGACAGCGGCAGTCCATCTGCTTCTAGACACTCTCCTCACGCTCTAACATGAAAGTTGTCCGCAACGAAGCTCGGGACACCTTCCTGAAATACCCTCAGTTCAGGAGAGCCTTCGTCATGTGACCCAGATTTTCTTTCCGATTAAGACGAGGCTGAGCTGTTCTGCCAGCTTCGCAAACTTCACCTTCTCCCATCTCGAATCACGGGCATGTATCATGATCTTGATATCTTGTATCACAACACCCTCTGGCACCCACCGTCAGACAGCTCCCACCGTGTCCGCGATGGCTGCGCTTTCTACGTTCTCGAATAGCCTTCTGGGCTCGCTGATGCTCCAAATCTCATGATTAGAGGGCCTCAGAGTCGGACAAAATTAGGATGTGCAGAGTCAGGTGGATCAAGATGCTACTGTTGAGTCATCAGACATTTGGCGGAGGCCTTGGAGCCGGGACCTTGGGTAGCGGAGAGCATCTGGCAAACAAAACGAGACTAACGGCCTGTGCCTATGTATGCAAGATAGTACAAAGAGATCTTCGTCTAAAGGGTTCTGAGCATGAGACCAACTTGTCTAGAGATTGGAAAAAGTACGCTTGGTGCCTCGCTTCTGTCAATCGTGATTTGATTTGCCTAATCTGCATCCGATCAAGCTCAAGCTCAAGCTCAAGCTCGTCATTCGTGAAAACTCCCACAAAGCTCCGACTAGGGACTGCTTAACCATCGTCTCCTCTGAGTCTCTGCCAGCCTGCCGATTTGGGCGCCACAGACAGCTGTAAGAAAGGTTTCAGGCAGGCACAGCTCATATCTTCGAGCCCAGATGAGTCTTTGAGCAGAAATCTGACCAGCAATCGATCCGTCCGACTCCTAGGAAGAGATGATTCCCGCGTCGCTGTCTTGTTTGCCATTTGGCTCGTCGCTGTCTCTTGCCTGACCCGCTGCGTTTCCTCCGGCCTCAATATTGTCTGCAGTCGCGACCAGGGCTTCCTTCTCCTCGATGCCAACTGCATTGATGTTCATGATCTCAAACGCTTTGGCAAATGAGATTTTGTCTCCTGACGGTGTTGGACTCGGGGTGGCCGATGTTGCGCTCTCGCCGCCTTCCAGAGAGTGGTGAACTTGCTCTGGCATTGTAGTACCGTCGTCACCTTCACTCTCGTCATCCGCTTCCATGGTACTGGTAATCTCGTCCAAAACATGGGCAGCTTCGAGCTCCTCGGCGCTCTCTTCATGCTGGTCCGTCTCTGCAAGCATCATCTCTGCGCCGCGAATCTGTTCCAGAGCACGGCTCAGCCGAAACCAGGAGCGAGTGATGTCCAACCACACACTATCGATACACTTGATGCCGATGGTGAGCTTCTTGACCCCTTCTGGCGTCTTGGTGATCTGTTGTCCCTTCTCCTCCTGCTTAGCCAACACACTGCGCGCGAGCTTCTGAAGCTGGACGAATCTATCGACGATGTGTTCCGCCAGGTCACATGTTTGCTTGCACTGGATCGCTTTCAATTCATAGGGTAGGAACATCTGGTGGGCGTAGGCTCGGGTTTCTTCTTCGTCAAAGTCTAGGCCTAACACACTGCGCATCTTGGCTAGTTGCTGGAGCCAATGCGATCGGACAATATTGAGGCTCTCTGCTGTAGCAGTAGCATTGCGTTTCAGTTCACTTGCGATGTTTGCCAGATCGGCAATGCCCTGTTCAGCAATGGAGAGGAGAAGACGGGTGCCTTGGCCGGAAAACACGGTCGGTATGATGAAAACTTCACTTGCTTCGACACCTGCAACGGAGCTTGTGTTAGTTGAATCGCTGTGGCGACGGGGATGCGAGAGGAGAAGGACCCACGCTCTTCCCATATTGGGGAACTGTAGTTGATGTCGACATGTGCCCACTTGTTCTCCGGGGACTTGCTCAGTGCCGCCCTCATGGTGTCTCGATCTATACCAAAGTGTGCGAAGGCAGAATCTGTACCAAAGTGTGCGAAGACAAGCCACCAGTAACGGGTTGACATGCAGAAGTAGGAGATCAGGTAGTAGAGGATGAGATTGACTCTGTGAGAAGAAGAATGTAACTTGGATGGAGATGCACATGTAACGGCAAAGTGACGCGAGTTGGATGGCGTGGCAGAGGCAGTGAAATGAAAATCTGGGGCTTGTGTTATCAAACTATCTTTTATAACTGGCTGCATCCTTTCACAGGCCGGCAGCCAGTTTGCGCGGTGTTTAGCAAAAGAAAACAAAATCCTCTTTCTTTGTCTAGAAGAGAAGCTGTGATATGATCCCACTAGCCACATGATTCATGCATGAAGCCGCCCGACGACAATCAGGCGGAGGGAATCGTCTGTCTAGACTGCATTAGCATCGTTGATGCCAAGAAAGGGAATTGAAGACCAGTTTGGTTGAGAATCAGAACTCAGATATGCCATGTCGGACCGATCACAAGGCCCAGATCCTCCCTTCTTGCACCAGTTTATGTACAACCATAAGTCCAGTTGAGGCGTGCAATTGTTTTATCGTTCAACCCGCTGGGACTGGCTCTGCTACACGTACATTCCTCACTGGCCGCCTTTAGCTGTTCTCTCGGCTTCCAATTCTCGTTCTGCCTGTTGATAGTATTTGGCTGTGTCCACGCCATGCTGGATGTCCAACGTCAGCAACCAATCCGAGTATCTTTCGGACCATCCCACTCACCTGGTTGTGGTTGGTAAAGTTGGCCCACGGCACGATGTTGGCCATCAGGGCACTGTATCTGCTGTTTCTCGCAGCAACACCCTGCATGTAGGGCGTGAGATCCGTCTTTCCGTATAGAGGCTCTCCCTTTTTCACTTTGTCCACCATTTCTCGCATGTCCTTCTTGACTTCTCGGTCATTCTCTGTCCAGCCGTAGAATCTCACTGTCGAAGCACAAAGTCATGTTAGCCCTTGTCTCACTATCGTTCGGCGCAAATCGTTCTCGGCCATAGGACGTACGGCAGCTCCTCTGGTACACCAATCCCGCTCCTGCTATCAGGCCAATGGCGCAACTGAGTCTGAAAACAGGGCCGAAGGCACCTTTGCCGGAAAACGACGGGGCGTATCGCTCAGTCGCCAGCATGAACGCCGGGCCTACGGCCGCGAAGCCGGCGCCATATGTCCAATCTTCGGGTCTTGCATATCTAAAAGCCCGCCTCCAATGACTATGACAGGTAACCGTCAGTAACAGGTTCTCGAAGCTGGGATGTCGTGGTAGACGGGACGTACGGGTCTGTATCGATGACCTTTGAGATCAGCCTGTTAGCATGATGCGCCACATTCTCGACATTGCAAACTCACCGGATAGTCGGTGTTAACCCGCTTAGGCGGAATAAAGACCTTCTGCTCGTCCGTCATGGCTACAGCTCACAACGCTCAGGGTGCAAACAGTCTGCCAGTGCAGCATTGAAACGTGAGGTTCATGCGGAGCTTCGGTGCCAAGCTCAGATTTGGGAGCTTGATCGAATCAGGTCTAGTCTGCCAAGTTTCAAATGACGTAGAAGCCAGTCGGAGGCTTGCCATTAGCACTCCATCAGACGCGTCTTTCTAGACGCGTTCGGGTACTCCGTACATTGGATCTTGACATACTTACAAGACGTCGGACCGCCCTTCTTCTACAAGCATTTGCAAACAAGGTCACAGGAAGGTCAGCATTATGGCAGCCGACCCTCTGACTTCAGCCACCGTTGATGACCTCTTTAACTTCGACTCGACCGACGACGAAGATCCGTTCAAGGACAAGCCGTCGAGCAAGGGCCGCGATGACAAGACTACCCTGAGTCCTCGTCCCGTGAAGCGGAAGGCTGGAGACGACAGCGGCTTTGGTGATGACCTCGGCTTGGACGAGGAAGTTAAGATAACCAAGAAGAGAAAGCCTATTGCTAAACTCGATGAAGCGAGGTAAGCCCATTCAGCTTGGCTTGATTGAGCGCATCTCACGCATGGCAGGCTCCTCTCCGCCCAGGGAATACCCAAACTGCGCGCCCTCGCGCTGTCGGGGAAGTTCTCCAAGAAACTGCATCTCAAGGGCAAAGGGCACGAGTTCTCAGACGTGGCTCGCCTCCTGAACTACTACCAACTTTGGCTGGACAATTTGTACCCGCGGGCCAAGTTCGCAGATGGGTTGCAGTTGATTGAGAAAGTCGGCCATAGTAAGCGTATGCAAATGATGAGGAAGGAGTGGATCGATGAAGGGAAGCCGGGCTACATCAAGGATAGGCGACGACAGAAGCTGGACGAGGAGAGAGAGATCAACGATCTGTATGGCGATGACAAGGCCATGAACAAGCACAACTCCGGCACTGCTGATGGCGACGACTCTCTATTTATTCCTGACCCGGACGCCAGCCACAAGCTGGCCGAGAATCAGAATGACATGCCTGAGGACGACGACCTTGATGCACTTCTGGCCGAGCAAGAGACATCCACTACACAGCGCCCTTCATTTAGACCACAGACAGCAAAGGACATTGACTCTGAAGGCGACGATGATCTCGACGCTTTACTTGCCGAGCAAGAGACCCGACGAGCCCCGACGTCGGCAGTCCCGGTGGCCTCGAACCCTATCTCTAAGCCTAAAACCTCACCTTTTGATGATGACGACGACGACGAGGAAGACATGGACGATCTCGATGCTCTCCTTGCCGAGCAAGAAGCGCGTGTGATGTCCAATACTGCCCACTCCCGACCCGGGACTCAGCCAACAACGGCAGCGCCCAACAAGGCTGGCAGTACTCCTGACGAAGACGAAGCGGAAGCGTTACTCAACGATGATGACGATGACGACCTCGATGCTCTCCTGGCTGAGCAAGAGGCCCGCCAAGCAGAAAGCCCTAGACCACCACGCTCAAACCTCTCTGGAGCGAGAATTCCTCTTGTGGCTGCAGATGGCGAGCCAGATGTTGAGGCCAATGGAGACGATATGTTTTCTTCATCACCCGTGCGGAACACGGCAACTCCTGCTCTAGTAGTCGGACGAGAATATCAACAGTCTGGGATTCAGGCTTCCGCCACGGCAAGTGACGATGATGCCGCACGAGAGACCATAAACGGAGAAGTTGAGGACGAGGGGCATGACACGGCACAGCCACAGCAAGCAATCGCAAATGCAATGGTCGATGCTGGGGAGCAGGACGGCCAGGAGGAACGAGGCGAGCGAGGACCGCAACCGCCGGAGCACGAGGAGCAAGACAAAGAGGAAGCCCAAGCCCAAGCCGAAGAAGAGGAAGAGGAGGAGGAAGAAGAAGCTCTAGAAGCAGGCGACATGTTCTCATCTTCCCCTGTCCAGAATGATTGAGAAGGTATCTCTTGCAGAGTCTACGACCTCTCAGTGTGAAGTGTAATCAACTGTTCTGGTATTGAGATGTCTCGTGCAGAGTCTGCGACCACTCAGTGTGGAGTGATTAACTGTTCTAGTATTCATTCTCTCAATGAAGTGTGATCAACTGTTCTGTTCTGGTATTCATTCTATCAATCTATACGGAGTACGGATATAGGTGGATGGATAGAAATCCTTAATCTAACACTCTCGACCTGTGATATCTTGAGGTGCCTCTTTCAGGGTCTGCGACCTCTCAGTATGAAGTGTGATTAGTTATAACTATTCGTATTCATTCCATCAATGAAGTGTGATCAACTGTTCTGGTCTGGTATTCATTCTATCAAGGAAGTGTGATCAGTTGTAACTGTTCTGGTATTCATTCTATCAACCTAATCTATACGGGGTACGGAGTACGGAGTACATGTAGGTGGACGGATAGAAATCTTTGATCTTGATCCAAGTCTCATACCACAGTCTCGACCTGTATTATCAGATAATGCATGTATGTATACACCGTACACAATGCTACTGTCCGCCACGCCACGCTGGTCCCGATCTTGATATCGATCTCAGGGCAGGGTGAGGAATGAACGAGTGATCCGCATCGCACAGTTCATCACACTACTCGCAGCCGACACGGCGTAGTACTGATAGTACCGAGAGTACTAGTCCGAGTAGTACTAATCGTACTGGTATTCGTCCTAGTAGTACTGATAGTATTCGTCCTAGTAGTACTACATGGGGGCCCTTAGGCCTGGTTTGAAAAAAGGCCTGGTTAGAAAAACCCTGGTTAGAAAAACGCACACCAGCCAATATACATCCTGCACAGATTGGCCATGTCTGTGGCGCGCTTGATCTGTTCGTCGACGTAGCCGCCCACACTCAAGGGCACGCTTTCCCCAGGCAGCATGCCGCGGACCTTTGCTCTGACGCCGTCGAGGACTTCGACAGGGGTGCTGGGCACGCCGTTGACCAGTTTCTTCTTGCGGCCGGCGACGTTGATGAAGTCGGTGGTGGGGTCGTGCAGGAAGGTCTCGAGGATGGTCATCAGCGCGTCCTCGTTCGACCGGAGCAGGGTGAGGGTGATCTCGCAGCAGCGGCGGAACGGACCCTCGCAGCCGTAGACGCCCATGGCGTCGACCATGTTGTGCGTCAGGCGGAACGGCACCAGCTCGGGCTTCTCAAAGGTCAGGCCCTTGTCGAACAGGCAGTTGAAGTCGACGTGCAGCGTGCCGCCGTTGTCCTCTTCGAACAGGATGTTCTCGCCGTGCCGGTCGCCCAGGCCCAGGACGTGGCCCACGATCGACATGACCGCCGCGGACCGCGTGTAGCGCAGCCGAGCGTTGAACCAGGCCGACGGGTCTGGGAAGCTCTCGGCAAACCACTCGTGGAAGACCGGGGGGAACTTGCTGAGCACCTTGGTCGGGAAGATATCGACCTTCTGAGGATCGCCTGAGCACGACTCGTCGAGCAGGGTGCGGATCTCGATGTAGTTGGGATGGATCGACTTGTCTCTGTACAGCTTGAGGATGATGTCGCGGAACGTCTTGAGGTTGTCCACCCATTCGATGAGTCCGCATTCTTCATTCAAAGGGATGACCGCGTACGTCCGGATGTACAGTCGCCGTTTGGCCGCCTCGACGTCGCGCTTGAGAACTCGGTTGATCATGGTGTTGAACTCCATCAGTCGCTGATCCTTGCGTAGGTCGTCTTTGGGTTTGGCAAGCACGTTGTACATGTTGCCATCCGATCCCCGGATCGTCAGTCTCCGTGGTTTCTGGAGAGACGAGAGCACGAGAGCCTCGTCGGAGAATCCCGAGATGGTCACTGGTTCTTTGGCAAACGGGCGGAACGCCTTCAGCTGGGCCGACTCGAAGTTGGTCGGCATGCTGGGTACCAGAGAGGCTTGGTTTGGCACCACCAGTTTGGAGGGTGCGATCTTGTGGTTGAATCCCATTTGCTTGGCCAAGCTCACCCTGGACACCTTCCCCTCGATGGTGAATTCGGAGATGCGGAGCAGTTCTTTGACAAACTTCTGGCCGCTGGAATACAAGTTCCTGAGCTCGGTGGCACCGGCCGCCCCGTGTTTGGACGACCTTTTCTCCATTTCAACCATCTTGTTGACCAGGTTCACTCCTCGGATCGCCCGGTCCTTCTGTTGTGACTCTACCACCGCCAACAGTGTCCAGAATGCCTGTTGAGGGAATGCTCGGACAACCTTGATGACGATGCTTCCGAGAATGTCGGCGATGGTCTTGTTCCCGTGGCAAATCCGCGCAACTACTTGTGGCAGAATCGTGTAGAGCAGGACTGGTTGGAGTCGGTCGATGTACTTCTTGATCTGGGCGTTCGTATCGTCGATGACCCGTCTCCGTTGTGCCGAATTGTGCGCGTGGAACTGCTCGTTGCCGCGTCGCGGGTCTTTGGGCAGGTCCGCCGTCTCCACGAGTTCGAGCCAGAGCGTCAGAATCTTTGGCAGGGTCTGGAATACGTATTTGCTGCCGTTCGTGAGTGATTTTAGATAGTTCTCAATCACGAGTTTGGCCGTCTCGCCGGTCAGGTAGGCTTGGTTTTCCTTGCCGGGCGGCATCAGCTTTTCCGAGTCCAGGATCTTGTTGTAGTATCGACCAAGGTTATACCAGCCTTTCTCCCAGCGCCGGAAGCTTTCGGTAGCCTTGCGAAACGTCTTTCGAATGACTTCCGATTGAGTCTGACCGGCTTGGTCAAGCCATTTCCCTAGCAACACATGTGCCTTGGCTGTGAGCTCGTTCTGGTTTTGAGAATGACGTTGTTCGACGGTCATCGCGACGGATCCATGTTCGGACACGTAGTCGTGGGCGATAAATGCGCCAGATTCAATCGCCCCCTCTAGGACCTGAATGGCCTTTCTATGGTGTCCCTCCAGCCACATGAGTTTGGCCTGTTCAATCGCCGCAGACTTGTCCCCCAGTGCCGACGCTTTGAGCACGGCATTGAAAGCTTGCGTGGTTGATCGGGCCTTGCGTGCCAGCCTGGCACTGGAGAGCCAAGCAGCCGCAATGTCGCCCGGGCCGAAGACATCTTGTCGCAGGGAGATCAAAGCCCGCCGGACGCCCAGGAGATACTGCTTGTCGGCCACGTTCGAGCCCAGAACGTCAAGACGGCCTCGCAAGGTGTCCAGGACGGGCAAGCGGTTTTCTTTGGCAGCAGTCGAGACGATAAGCTGAACATCGTTGAGGACGTGTAGTTTCAGCAGCGTGTCGTGGCTGGCCTCGAACGACGTGACGGTGGCCGAAGTCAACCCTGATGCCGACTTGGCGTACAGCTCCTCGAAAAGCTGGGTGGCCTTTGCAGTGTCGTTGTCCTTCACGGCCAGCATCATCTCGGCGAGACAAGAAGCAAAGTCGTACCCCCCGTTTTTGGGGACGTAGCTGCCCAGGCGATCCCATTGACTAGTGCCCCAGGCAGCCTCCAGGGCGTAAGGTGCAAGTATAGTGGAAGAGACAGTGCCTCGGCTTTTGATGCCATCAAAGTGGTGGAGCAGCACATCATATTGGCCGGATTCTTTGAGGCAATCCATCAGGTTCTTTTGCACGTCGCTATTGTCGGGATCGGCCAGGAGTTGCATTTCGTACCAGTTCTGCGCCGTCGTCCACCGACCTGCTTTCTTGTGTTCCAGAACTTGTTGTTCAATGTCGAGGACATGCATGCGGGAAGAGATGCCCTCGATGCCGTCGGGTTCGTCGATCTGAGCATATATGTCTTGCATCCGCTGAAGCTCCGCCTCAATGTCGTCGGCCTTCGACTTGCGGATGTGCTGTTCCCAGTGGAAAAGAGCGCGAGAATAAGATTTGCATTCCAGTGCCCGTCTCGCTAAGACGTCAGGGGGGATCTGTTCCAGCACCCGTTCGATGCTGCGGATCTGTGCGGCCGCATTCTCCAGCATTGGATCGTTCTGGCCGAGGTCCGATTTGGCGACGCCCATCGCGTATTGTTTTCGCTTTTGTTGATGCCAGGTAGAAACATAATCCAAGATCTCAAAGACGGTCTGACTGCATAATTTAATGTCGTCCTGGATCCGATGTTCCTGGCCATCCAGCGGCAAGCTGAGAATTGACGTGATCTCCTCCAGGATATCCTGACTGTCACGCTCGATGCCGCTGACAATGAGATTGACTACGGCGTACGGCAAGAGAAAGGAGGGGATGGAGGTGTCTTGGCCGTGGATGATGCGCCGAGCTATTCCAAACATCATGTCAACATTGTCCCCGGAGCCCCGATGGAGAAAGTCCAGGGTAATGGTCCGAAGCCAGTCCCGATGTCTCATCCCGGGCCGATATATGGGGTAGTGACTCTTCTCAGGTGGGCGGATCTCCTGGACCATGTATTTCGAGCTCAAGAACGGCGTGACTGTATTCTGCACGGACTCGGGCAACCGCTCCCAAAGGCGGGAAGCGAGATTACCTTCGCCAGGTCGAGCCGGGTAGTCCTGCTCGCAAGTCTTGAGATACTCCTGCATGGCCCAGGCGAGGAAGCCCTGTGCTCGTGTTGTGGTGGTCGACAAGAATGCCTTGACTAGGACATGTTCGAGAAAAAAAAAGATCCACTCGATGACCTCGTCCGCTTTTCCAAAATTCGACAGCACCACCATTGATTTCCGTTCTCTGACACTTTCAATCTTTCTAGAGTCCAGACAACCTATGCGTCCCAGACACTGGCCACACAGTCTGGTGACTTCGGTGCTAGTATTGAATTTGACGCAACAGTCAAGTAAGGCACGGGTCAAATCGGCGACAAAGTCATCTGGTTGCTCTCGAAGGATCGAGCGTTGTAGCAAGTCTTGCTTCTGCGCCAGCAGTGGCGGCAATTCGCTCAATGCCTGTTGGACCACAACCAGGTTCTCGTCCTGGAGCCTCTTGATGTATGCGATCAGTTGATGCCGCTCGTCCATCTGGCGTTTCAAGGTCCCGATTTCCGTCTCATACTTGGCCATCAGTGGGATGGATGCCAGGGATGGCATGGTGCTGAAGTGCTCCCGTACCAGGTCAGTATGATTCCGCAACATGTCGCCAACCACATCGTGGGCCTGCTGCTGCGAAGCACTGTCCAGCATACCCCAAGCCCGGACGATGATGGCCAACGTCTGGTCAATGAGCGGCTCCAAGTCCTCCTTCCTCAGCGATCTGATCATGGCCACCCAGGAGCTGAATGCGGCGTTGCAGAGATCCCTGTCGTCAAGGCCGGACCTCAGGCATGCACAAATCTGGGGCAAGGCGCGTGCAACACGACTCTTCCCCAGCTTAACCATTTCACCTAGAGCAACAATGCACCTTCGTTTGTCCACCTTGGACTCTTTAGCTTCTAAATCATTTAACAGGACAGTATAATGGGTCAAGATTGCGAGAGCATTAATCTCCAGGAAGGACCCAATGCTGTCACTGCGCTTCGAGCCGGCAGACTGCCCACGCTGACGAGCGACCAACTGCGCCAGGAGCTGCAAAGCATGATAGACGCGGGAGGACTTGCCCTGTCCACTGTCGCCGATGGCTTTGAGTAATTCGCAGGTGATGTGGATTGGATACAGGGCAACCCAGTTGGCGAGGTCAGTCTTTCGAAAATCCTCCGAGACTTCTGACAGTAGTGAGATGATGGATTGTTCGGCATCGGAAAATGGCTGCACCAGTAGAAACGACAGAATGGCTATCAGATTCGTCCCTCGCGTGCAAAGGTCGAACGGGGTGGTTGAGGAACCATTTGCCTCGGCGAACCGTCTAATGGCCTCGGTTTCCTTGTGTAGGACGAGGTAAGGAAGAGCATATTCGGCAGTATGGCCCATCAGTCCTGTCATATCCATTCCCAGAAGATCACACAATTGGTTGGCGACATTTGGCCGGTTCGTCAGTGATTTGGCCAGGACCACACCCAGAGTGCGCCAGAAAGGGCGGAAGAGTAGCCACACCGACATATGCATAGACATGGCCAGGTGCTGGATCTCTGCGTACACCACTCCGCTAAGGTAAAGGTTGCTGTGGCCCAGATACTCTACCAACCTGACGAGGATGATGTTCAATTCTTCATCGCCAACAACCGGGGCCATCCCAACGAGTGCCATGACCGTAGCCTCCTGCACAGCAACCTCGCCTTTCTGCCAAAGGGTCTGGAGAAAGTCCAGCGCGGTGATTCGGTTTTCGCGGGTCAGGAAAATATCGACACCGTTTCTCCTGACCAAGTAGGCTTGTAGTGTTCTCGTTGCCGCAATCCGAAGGTCTCTAGACGAGCTTTTGAGCGATTGAAGGCACCAGTCGCCGGCAGGTGTCTGACCAAGTTTCAAGTCTGACGCTAAATCCGTGTGCATCAGGATGCGACGAAGTGCTACCATGGCAGCAATTCGAGCTCTTGACTGCCGCGAGATGTTCTGAACGAGGACGACCAAGGTTTTGAGCAACTCGTCCTTCGTAGCTGCAGCCGAAATGTTGGATGTGGTTGCTGATTCGACTTCTGGATCACATATTTGGCAATGGCCTTCCGGCGATTGCATGGCCAGTTGGCACGCAGTTGTGCCCAAGAGTTCAAGGGCAGCGCACTGCTCATCTTCGGGCAGCCGCCGGAAATTGCTGGCGGCGGTATCGCTCAGTCCGTCAAGGTCAGGCACAGCGCGGCCAGTCAACTTCAAGGTGAGCCGGCGGCAGATGACCGATTGCAGAGTCTGATTGGGCAACCCTTCCTCGGTATCCGTGGAGAGTCGAGGTCGTTTACGGGCCCTTTCACTCTCAGGCCATGCCTCTGCATTCTTCTCACCGGCTGGCTGTGGAGGGGATCGACGAGGAATGACGCTCAAGCCGTGGATCTCGTGTGACAACTCCTAAGTGGAAATCAGTAGTGGACCAACCGAGACGTCTCTTGCACCTACTTCGGATCGATCGTCTTCAGCTATGAGATCATTATAGTCGTCGACAAAGTGCTGAAAGCGGGTGAGTACTTTCCAGAACTGTACTCTGCTCTGTGCAGATTCGGCATACTTGGAAATGACCTTCAACACACGTGATAGGGTCATAGAGAGTTGGCAAAGAGAGGGAAATTGGAGACTCGGGATGGTGGCAGAGGCCCCACGGGTAATGTCGGACACGGCAGCAGCAAAGTCCTCAGGAGCAACGATGATCGCTTTGCGAGGATGCTGCATAGGGAGGGAGGCTGCAATCTTGACCAGACCTAGGTAGAGTCAGCATCCGCCTCGCATCAAAGCCTGCGCTCGACGATGCCGCACCTGATATGCAACCTCTCATATATTCCAGGACAGTGCCACACGAACAGGACGTCGCACCATATCTGTCGGCTTCAAGCATGGCAGTGAAGACATCGAGGACGGCATCTCGAGCCGCCACATTCTGGCATGAAGAGATGAGTGGTAGTAGTCTAGGGATCAGCCAGTAGTAAAGTGCGCATGCTGGCCCAGCCACATCCTTGCCTGGAGGATCCGATTTGACATAGAGAACTTGAGGTGACCTCTCGATTGCCACTCGAAGGACTGCGAGGCATCGTGTCAACTGAGCATCCGCCTTACCTGAAGCAGCTGCGGTTCGAAAGGGAGTTTCTTCCAGGGCTGGTTCGATGCCGACCTGAAGGATGACACAGATGAGTTTGTGATTGACGGAGACATCGTCACCCAGACTTGGCTGGCCGTCTCCGTCTGAGCCCAGCACTTCTGTCAGCAGTTGATTGAAATGGTGTCGGTCCAAATCCGGAACGCCTTGTCCATGAACAACGTGAGTAGCCAAGATAGACGACGGAGGCGGCTCGAAGCCATTTGCCTGTCGGGCAGCAGGTGCCGGCGCCATGGCGTTGGCGTTCAGAGGGCCATGGAGTCTTGTTTTCCGAGCGGACAAGACAAAACAGAAAATAGAAAATAGACGACGCGTTGGTTTGTCACGGGAAAAGGATGAAGTCGCAGGTGCATTTGATGTCGCGTCAAGCTAGACACTCTGCCGTACAGTTAGGCTCTAGGGGTTTGATCCACCGTAGCTGTCCCTCTATCGGGGCTGTCCTCTATCAGTACGTAGGTACCTATATCGGAACGTAACCCTAACCCTAACCCTAACCCTAACCCCCAGGCATGCAGTAATTACTCAGTACTGTATCTGATCTTCGACGCGGATGGCTCTACGGAGTACTGTCACTGGCTTCCACGGAGTGCTATATTCATCTTGGCATGATTGCTCTGTGGCGTCGCTCAGAATATCTCCTCAATCGTTTTCTCATCATCCCCCTCCTCCCCTTCCCTCTCTCTACCCTCTTCTTCGTCTCTCATGAGGATCTGGACCAAGCGGTCACAAGCCTCCCTCACCCCTTCATCCTCCACATGCAAATGGGTCTCCCGGACCAGTGGATAGACCTGGACGGCCCTAAGCTTGTCCCTCCCTGCGCGGGTCGTACTCAGTAACAGCAATGTTTCCAGATGAGTCACCAGAATATCATTATCACTTTCTCTCGCCTTGTCCGGTGGCAGCAACTGTAGGTCCGGAAGCATGTTTGCGGATTCTTCTTCTGCGAACTCTTCTGAACCCGCAAGAGGTAGTAAAATGTATGGTAGCACGTTGACCCCGGGCGTACCATCCACGGTTTCGGTATCCTCCGCCATTAGTAACGGATGTCTGTCAACCTCAAAGGCTACGTTCTTGATCGTGTGTGCGACTCCTCTTCTTCTGACATGGCTTGCATGCTCCGTGAACACCGTCAGCTTACTTATCGGGACAACGCCATCATACTCTCGTTTGCTCAGAAAGTGATCTCGGCCAGCCTTATGTTTAGACATGTCGGCCAGAAGATAGGCAAGATAGTCGAAGTCGGCATGCTTATTTAGGCTGCCGTCAGCGCCCTTGACGAACAGGTCGAACAGTTGATCAAGAGCATATAGAGACGTGGAGACCGACTTATCGGGTTGAGAGCGTTTGAGCGTTATTACTTTCTCCATCGCATCGGACTTGGCCAGATTTGCGAGAAGCATGGCAACCTCATTCGCGTTTGTCTCCTTCGGGTCCTGAGAATCAGTCAGCCACCAACCCCTCCAGCCCGCAGGCTCGGTTTCAGCTCAGGAAGAGGATGGAGACCTACATACTGTGATTTTCTTCAACAATGTCTCTATGAATGCATCGTCGGTGGCCAGGTTGTCTAGAATCTCGGCATCGCCGCTAATATTGATAAGGATGGTGAGGACATTTTTGGCAATAGGCTGGCACCGGAATCAATACGAGCAGATGTCTCCCGAGAATGACTGAGGTGGTACTCACCGGGTAGTCTCTCACTAGTAATTTCAGATCTTGGACAGGTACCAGTTGGGGCCGCTTGAAGATGGCCGGGTCTGACGAATGACCGACCAGATGCTCGCAAGCTAAGAAATTGAGTGTCAGCGTGGCAACATTGAGCCAATTCTAGCCTGTGTTGCCGAACGTCACGGGCCTAGTGGCGGTCAAGCATCAAAGAGAACGGTCTGCTCACCAATTTGCCTGATCTGAGTATTCCCATGATGGAGGAATTCGACGAGCTGGACATCGTCAGCGCCCGTTCACAAGTCAGGACTGTTGCAGACATTTCACGTACCTCTTCTAACTCAGTCGGCATTCTGAATTTTTCATGATCTCGCTCACTTGCGACTGGGAGGAGGAAGTTGCCCGCCTGGTCAGAAAATTATCAAATACCGTGAAGGTGAAGATTGATATCCAGAAACAGTTTAGCGTCGGATTCCATAAACCAGCGAGCGATGCTTCCCAGAAGGAGTTAGACTAAAATATTCCGGAACAATCATTTTCCGGGACGTACCACACACTGCTCGCGTATCCGTACTGCGTACTGACGGGCGCAGGACAGCACGCAGCCCTTCTGGCATCCTGGACATCCCTCCTGGACTCCCACCTCCCACTCCCACCTCCCACTCCCACCTCCCAATCGTCGTTCCCCATCCATCATCCCCCCATCGTCCGTCTCCCTCCCACACTTCGCCATCCCCTGCCGTTGTGGCTGAGTCTGGCATGGCAGCCAATCCCACGCCTCACCACCCGTGCGAACCAGCATGCATGAAGCAGTAAACCAGCACTGCCTGGCCTGCAATGACAGCGGTCCGCCATGGCATAGGGCCATAGGGCCATTTGCCCTTCCGGGCCGTCCTGATTCCCTTACAGAGTACGAGTACTCCTTGACTGCTCGCCCCCATCTACCCTACCGGGTCCTTAGCTTCTGCGGCCGCAGACGCTCTCCAGCAGCCGCTAGTCGGAAGACACGTTAGCCTCGTGACTCCCATCAGCTACATTTCTTGAAAGGTAGGCCTTCCGTCTAGAGGCTGTCGCCTTGGTTCCGCTCTTCTTTCTCACCCTCAGCCTACCTGATCATGGAGTCTTCATTGATCCTCTCCTGATCCTGATATGGATTGGGCATGAATTCAAGATAGAATGTGCCGAGTGTATTGCACGTATGATTTTCGAAAACTACCGCGGCTATCAAATCCACACGCTCTGACCGTGACGACTCGACGCGTGAACGTGTGACACTGGTGCGAGCAATCCAACTAGTCGAGAATCATCGCCGAACAGGGGTTTCCTTCTGCTCACACGATGGCGCTGCCTGTGGATGCTGGTGCTGGGATGGTACTCCCACCGCCCGATCCCATCACGCCACGACAAGCGGTCGACGACGTACTTCTGATCCTGATGCAGATCCGACATAAACTCAAGACCATGATCGACTGGTACATCTACCCGGAAATCATCCCGAACGAGATCCAAGCGTACGACCCGCGACTGGTGATTCTACAGCAACGGCTAAGATCCATGGCCACGCTCTCGTATCCACAGCTACCATACCTCATCGACAACTCGGATGTCATAGCCGCACAGTACTTGACCGTGATAGTCAGCCAACTACTCAACTCGGTGCACGGGATCCAGAAGATCTTCATGAACCACTATGACCGCGACTTGGAAGACTCGCGACCATTTGCGACCATCTGGGAAACCTTGAACTACCGTATAGAACAACTCAACCAGATCCCCAACCTCAACCCCAACAACCCACGGCGTCTGCGACCCGAAGATCTGCGCGCCAACGAGCTGGGCAATTTCTGTCGTGGTGCACTCCAGATCAGCAACAACCGCGACAAAGGCCGGCTTTCCTTCGTGGACAAGAAAGATCTGCTCGACGAGGAGCGGCGGAAACTCAAGGCCTTCGGCGGCGCCTTTCTCAACTGGGAGTGTCCCGAGTGTGCATACAAGGTGCGCTACCACGTCGCGAGTAGCGTGACGTCCAACATCCACAGCACCGACGAGATTCGCGAGCACGACGGCGTCGCCGTACAGTACCGCAGTTCCTTCGCCGCCAAGTGTCACCTCTACCTACCGCTCAGCGAGAAGGCGAAGGCGTCGATGTCGACATCCTCGACCAACACTCGCCGCGACAGCAATATCCTGGGCGCCGTGGTCAAGTATGGCTGTGTTTTCTGTTTCGCCCGCGGACGTCAGCTGGAGCGCGGCGACAGTGCATTCACCACGGCCCGCGACTTGGTCGAGCATATCGACCACGAGCATAGAAATCCTCTTCCGCCGAGTATGATGTTGCATCGATTCCTTGTCGCTGTGGAGGGGAAGACGCACGATGAGTGGAAACGATGGGATTTGAATTTTGTCTAGCGTTTCGGCCTGTGATTGACGGCCTACAATGTACATGTAGTAGGGATCGAGGGTGCAGTCCTGGTAGTGGTAGTGGTACTGTGCTATCCTTTCCTGGTTGATGTTGTGATTCTTTCCTGGCTGATGTTGTTGCCATTCTTTCCTGGTTGTTGTTACTATTCTTTCCTGGTTGATGGTGTTGCTATTCTTTCCCGGTTGATGTTGTGATTCTTTCCTAGTTGATATTATTATGATGGAGCGAGCATTACGTAGTGAGGATCATGACCACGACTGAACTCGAACTTGAACGGCCTTGAACAAACACGACGAAAACCATACCGTTTCTTCCACGTCCACGTCTACACCACGTCTCTGATGGCCAACATGGCAGATCGCAGTATGGAGAATTGGAGCTATTGACGCTGTGGATACTAGTACTAGTATTAATACCGTCGGCGTTTATACCGCCAAAGCTGCAGGTGGTTGACATATTTCCTTCCCTTCACATTTCCCATTTCCCATTTCCCATTTCCAGGCCACCCGTTTCGTCGAATATACATACACACAAACATTCCTTTCTTTTCGATATCAATGTCAATGTTAATGTCAAGCCTATCATTATCATGCCCTAATACCGTCCAAAGGTGGTCTCCGACGCCCATGTACGTATGTCAAGTCAAGTCAAGTCATGTCATGTCGACTTCTGGATTCGTATCTCTAATGTACTGTACATAAGGTAGGTATGTAGGTATGTAATACTTGTCCGGCACCATCTCCATCTCCGTCCCTGTACCCATACCTGTCCCGTACCTGTCCCCGTACCTGTCCCATACCTATCCCTGTCCCTGTCCCTGTATCGAGTACAAACCCAAGGAAATCTTGTTAGACACCCTCGTTCCAGGAAGAGCCCATGGAATGCGAGGTGGGAGAGATCGTGATCGTGATGATCCTCGCTGAGCACAGAAGGTACACCAGATACAAACTTTAGAGTCTAGAGTCTACTCCGTAGAATCTAGAGCCTTGTCCGGCGCCCGAGGTCACACCAGCTCGTGCCATTCCATTAATTTATCCGCCCCAGAAACCTTCCTTCCCATCATCCATTGAAACCAGCTGGTCAACCCAGAGCCGTCAGGGTATCATGGTTGGCTGATTGACCGCCACACCAACTTGCATTTGACCGCCACACCCACTTGCATTTGCAGTCAACACCAGGTACGCCATGGCTCACTGCTGCTTGCAGTTGCAGTCAACACCAGGTACCGCCATGGCTCAATGCTGCTTGCAGTTGCAGTCAACTCCAGGTACGCCATGGCTCACTGCTGGATACTGGACCGAAAACCGACAGCGACACCTCGGCAGCTGAATGAGAGTCCTGCTCGGTGAAACCCAACAAAAGAACTGAGAGAGTCCCGCTCGGTGAAACCCAACAAAAGAACTGACACACTGTGAAAGACGCGTGACGAGGCTCCGCCTGCATCCACGGCATAAATCTCGAATTCAAAGTCCGATTTCAAGACCGAATACCCAGTCAAAGTCAAACCGTCTCCACGACCAACCCGACACTCAAGCCAGGCCTGTGTCCACGCTCCGCTTGCACCACGACGGGAGAATATGCTTTTTTCTCCAGGATCTCCCATTTACTTTTATCGAGCACCTCCCACTGGTGGAGTTCCAGATTGTCACCAGTGTCATATTTGCGAGTCATGGGAGGAACTTCTCTCGGTTTCTCCTTTTCCTTTTCCTTGTCTTTCTCCTTCTCCTTCTCTCTCCCTTTCTCCTTCTCTCTCTCTTTCTCCTTCTCTCTCTCTTTCGCTTTACCTCTGATCGCCACTTGTTTCTCGATCTGCAGTCTGGCCCGCTCTTTCTCCTTTTCCCTCTCCCTGTCCGAGTCAGACTGCTCACCCCGCATCAAAAACTTCAAGTTGATTTTATCTTTCGACAGAGATTTGGACGTCGTGCGGCGGTGACGGTGACCTGGAATAAACCTCTGCTCTTGTTCCACCCGCTTCTGTCGCTGCTGCTCCTCCTGTTCCTGTTGGCGGGTTGTATCGGCGCGCCGACCAGCTGGTTTCGGCCCCGGTACAAGTAGACGAGCGCTTTGCTTGCGCGACAATGACACGGTTCGAGCAACAGCGACTTCGGCTTTGACTGCTACCGTTGGAGTAGAATGCAGGTTCGGACGCGATGCCGGCGGAGGGACAGCCTTCTCGAGGCCACGAAGTGACGAGGACGGTGAAGATGCGTCGGCAGGAGGACGAGGAGGAGGATGCAGGGATGATGGAAGAGTCGCCGACCGTTCCTTGTTGACTGCCGACACCGTACCCGGAGACTGGGAGCGGTCGGAGGTGAGATTGTTGTCGGTGTTGGCTCTCACAGGTCTGGTCGGTATGATGCCAGCTTGTTCGATCTTGGATACGGTGCTTTTGGCGGCATATCTTGACAGCGGGATGTATTTGGGGTCCTTCTTCGGCACGGGTGGCGGCTTTTCGTCTGACGGAGAAAGTGGCGATGGCCGGATGGCAGCGCGCCGAGGGCTGGGAGGACCTTGAGGAATGGTCGGCGAGTCGTCGATTGGCCGATCGACTCTTTTCACAGCGGCGACGTTGGGAGACACCACCTTCTTGGTCTGGTCTCCAGGTTGCGTTGGTTTTGGCGCTGTTATTGTGATGGCGGTAATTGTAGATGGGCTGGCACGTTTGGGAGACAGCTCCTCCTTGACTTCGGTGACGGGCGAGGGAATTAGCTGGCCGATATCGTCCCGAGATTTGTTTTGGTGTCGTATGGACGGACGTTCGGCGGGCTGTATTATAGCACTACTCGACGTCGATCCCACCAATGGAACGGCCCGCAACGGTGGCTTGTCGTCGGAACGGCGGGCTGGTATAACGGCGGGAACTGCGGAACTGGTGGGGGAATCCTTTTCCATCTCACCGGCAGCCATTGGTGACGTGAGTCGTTCTACAGCAGCAATGGCTTCGTCAAAATATGCCGTGTTGACAGAGGTGTGTTTGGTGGTGTCCGCCGACCTGACGGTTGAGGCTATCGACGGCACAGGTGGTGGCACTGGTGTCGTGGATTCGCCTCCCTCGCCTGACTGTGAGACGTCCGGCCGTCGCCGTTGAGTCGTCGTAGCTGCACGCTTCGATCTGGTCCGAGCCAATTCCACCGCAGCCGAGGCTGGTCTCGTCATGACAAACTGTCCATCCTCGACACCCTTTGAGTCGCGCAACGATTTGATATCAAAGAAAATTTCATCCACGGTCGTGGCAGACGAGACAGATGATTGGAACGAGTGAGCAGAGCTCCATGGAGCTTCTCGGTCCGTCGAAGCCGTCTTGTCATCTGGACTGCTGATATTCTGTTCGTTGGAGTCTGGAACATTCACGGCCTTCTCCTTGAACATTGCCCCGTCAAGCCCCGGTTCATTGGACATCATCCTCTTGTAATTTAGCGGCTCGGGCTTAAAATCATCTCGCATAGGAGACAGACGAGCCGGCGATGTGGCTGATCGTTTCAATTGACCTATTCCACGGTTGTCACTCTCCGAGACCGCGAGTTGTCCAGTGATCTTCAACGGCGGGTGAGATGTCGGGGGAAACAACGAGTATTTGCTGCTGGCAGGTGATCTGGCTATGGTGGGTGTTGTCAAGCGTCTCGGTGGCATGAGAGGTGTCAGGGGCTCTGTCGTAGGTTCTGTAGCTGAACGGGGAATACGGTCGTCTCCATCTTTGGTCACGGGTCGACTGTCTTCGAGTGATCTTAGACTCTCTAAGGTTTTGCTCCGTCTAGCCAGCAAAGACGAGGAGCGAGTGGCCTGTGGCAGATTGCGAAACATCACACTGTAGCGATCAAGAGACGCCGTCGGAATATCCAGTTCGAGCTTGGGTAAAGGCGGTCTTGTGTAGGGTTCACTATAAAGGCTAGCATCGGTGGCTGTCGAAGGGGTCGATATGCTTTCCTCCTCAACTTTGGTCGTGGGACCCTCGGGAACCCTGAGGTCAGAGTGCGGTTTCTTGTCGGTCGACGATAGAAGGTCAGCATGCCGAGGATGATCTGGTTGAATAGGGCGTAGTTTATGCGCTTCGAGCTGTCTGGTCTGGCTCGTTGGACTCTTATCCAAAACAACCAACCCGGTCGGCAACCCGATGGTTGGACCCCGAGGAACATCATCTCGCCTGACCACCGCTTCGCGGGACTTGAACATACCCCCAAGCTTCCTCCACTTCTTTGACTGCATCTGGGTCGACCTGTCCTGAAATGGAGAGTGATGTCGGAGCGTTGGGTTGGGTTCGAGAGGAACGGTTTCTATCTTGGGAGTACAAAAGGATGCGGGAGGATGGGAAGGGCTGCCAAAAGCAAGGCCGATCAAACTGTCGTCCGACTTCGAGATAGCATTGGTAGCTCCAGTGGGTGAGAGTCTACTGTTCTCAGATGTCCGTGGTCGGGTCAAAGATACCTGAACCCGCAGTTTTCTCTTTGCGGTCGGGCCCCCAGCCAGTGTGGGCAGGACGTCAGCCGGGTTCGTGGTCACACCCGGCCCAGTTTTACCTGGGACAGTGAGGGCGTTGGAAAGCTGTTCCGTGAAAGCAAAATCAAAGTCCTGCTGCTCTCTCGATTTCGGTTGGGAACCGGAATTGTCGTGAAGAGGAGGATGTCCGTGACGACGCGATAACCATCTGGTGGGCATTATTCAAAAGGGTGCGGGCCAGCCCGCGAGAAGAGAAAGAGGCCAAATTAGACGGTGACAAATGAAAGACAGAAAAGTGCAATAATGATAAGGAGGGACAACTTGGTCCTTGTTGCGATGGCAGAGTGGAACGGTTACAGGACAGACATGGTCCAACCGCCAGGTGAATTTTCCAACCTGAAGTTGAGAGGTCGGAGAAGAAAAGGACCATCCATGTTCGAGGCACAAAGTGCAACAAGAATCAAACTCAAGGCACCACTGTGCTGAGGACCCCGGATGCAGCATGGCTTGCATGGGACAAGGTTGATGCTGGGCCTTGGGATCTGGATAAGACCGCCAATGCAACCATAGCAGAAGGGAGTCGAATGAGCATTGCGCTCGTCAGCCACCAGGCCGGACCATTGTTCAAAATGGGGACGACATCGCGGATGGCTGAGACCAATCCTCGAACATTGTCAGTCACAGATGCAGAGAATGGAAACGGTTGAACAAGGGGGGACGTTGATGAACTCTGGAGAAGCGAGGTTGCGATGGCCACTCACAGAAGCAGACGCCCACCGGGGCCGACGGGCTGGCGTGCTTCAGCTTCCTTTTAGCCTCTCGCGTGGCGTCCTCTCGCACCAGAGACACGCTTCGAAATGTTCCGACAGGTTGATGACATCGACGGGCGAAGCACAGAGTTTGACAGGCAGACAAGGGGACATGGTCGTCGATAGGAGGGCTCCCCAGCCGTCAATCTCGTCCTGAGCAGCTCGTCGATGAGTCCAACGTGATGCTGCTGTATCCGTATCTTCTTTGCCGCCAGGAAGTGGTGGTATGTGTCCACCGCATCTCGTCTTCGTAACCCTGTAATCTTATCATCCATGTCAACTTCGGAGCTTTCGGTTGGCACCTGAAACAATCCGGCCTGCTAACGCCACATCAAACTCTGCACACTGCTGGGGTTGTTTTCCTTTGCGCTCGACGAAAGATTGACTCGACACGATCCATCCCACTTCTGCATTCTGACTGGACGCTCTCTTGGCCGTCTTGGAGGGAGGAGCGGACGCCATATCCAGGGTAGGCGAGGAATCAGATCGTCCAGAGCTCCATGTTGATCTACCGCTGCAAATAATGGTTGACACGAGGTGTGCGTTCGCGTTCCTGGCGCCGCTGGGGGCTCGCGATTGGCGTAACGGGGAAAATTCGCTTGCAGCAGAGTCACGGATCTGAAAGCTGTTAGGATATGCACGAAAAGCCTACATATAAGGATAAGGAAGGAAGAGTACCTCATACCTCGTCTAACCATAATAACGGCGCACAAATGGCCCCGGCAAGATGTTGATGTTGATGTTGGGGTGTGTTGCTGACCTGCGTCGCTGCCCCGCGGCTCGCAGGTTCGCAGGCTCCAGCTGCGCCGCCAGCTGTCGAACAGGTCAAGAGATGGCGACAGCAGGCAATAATGTGAGTCCACAACCATCAAGGAACTGGCAGACTTGAATGAGCAATACTGTCGGCTTGCTGGCTGCCGCAAGAAAGAGACATCAGCCTGTCCCGGCCACGAGTGCCGCAGCAGCTGGTCTGCGAGGCCCAAATGCAGGTAGGTGTGTGGCATCCAAGCGCAGCCTCACGATGGCCCAAAGGGTCTGGCAGAATCGCGCCCGAGTCAACCTCCCCCCGCAGTTCACTGCCGCCTGCGATTCATGTTTTCCCATGAATGCATTCGATGTCTATTGTCATGCCAGCCACTATTCTGCTGTTCTGCTATTCTGCTATTCTGCCGACACCCTGTTCCTAGCACAATGGCTGCCTCCTTGGCTATTCAATCTTGCATCACTGCACAATACCTGGATAGAACACGCAGCCAGTGTTCAAGCTTCAGTGCTTTTTGACTTTGACTAGAAACAATACAACCACTGGTACCAGCTAAGAGATTTCTCCCTATAAATATTTTCCCGTTCCCTTTCCCTTCCTCTCCTCGACATCTTCCTGTTCCTTTCTCCTGCTCAAGACTTTCCACTTCAGCATCATCTTTAAAGTCTGCTGTTGATCCCACACACTATTACTCTTCATCACCCATCTGTCCTTGTCCCAAACTCGCCAAAATGGGCATCCAATATTGTCTCGACAGCCTCAAACACTCCCTCCGCCAACTCAAGGCCCTCGACAAAGGCGCCCGGAGGTCACATCGTGTGTCCATCGAACGGACTGTCAACGAGATGGCCGGCCATGCCTTGATTGTTGTCTTTCCGATGGTCCAAAAACTTGACGCCCTCTATCGTGGTCAACCGCTCAAATTCAACCTCGTCGATAACTACTGTGAGTTAGACCAGAAATCCTTGATCACTATGCATGAAACACACTCCCCTGTTCCTTAATGTACATATATCATCTATTGGCTTATCACACCACACAACCTACCCCAGTCGACCCAGACCTCTACATCCTCTCGACCTTGCTAACCAAGATCCCTTCCTTCTTCATTAGCCGCCGCTGTCCAGGACAACCCGACCAGGCTCTACGCCCTGTTCAACAAACGCATGCTCGGCCCAAGCGGCTTACGACACCACCTCCGCCGCGCCAACGACCGCGAGCTCTTCGACACTTACCGAGCCATAGGCTGCACAACTTTTACCGACTTTGAGATCCTCGTTCACCGGGCCGTCACAGGGCTCGAGGTGGAGATCAAGGATCTCGAGACCATGCTTGCCACAGAGATTGAAGGTATGGCCGAACAGGACTGGGACTCTGAGAGACGAGCAGTGGAACGAGGGGAAGATGGAGGTGACGACGAGACCGAGAATGTGAAAATGAATGACGATGGCGAGCGTGAGGTTGATTGCGAGGTTGAGATGGACCTCGTCCAGACAGTCTGATATGAGACGCGGTCGTAGATCACATTCAGAAGAACAATGTGACACCGAGATGCCAGAATCCAGGAGACGAGAGACGGAGGGCAGAATGGATTTGAAAATCAGTCTGCAGAGGGCCACTGCCAGACCTAAGATGAGGATGGTTGGGGCGAGAAGCTGCAAACACAACTTCTTGGATAGCACACGGGCCAGAGGTCTACAGGTCAGCTGCAGACATACAGTATATGCACAGCCTCCCACGGCGAGGTAGTGCATCCAGCAGTGGAAGAGGACGCAAAGCCTGTCTGGTCACAAGCACCTGCAGGACCTAGACATATCATGCGGCTTCCTTCTGCTACAAATGAAATGCAATGAGATGGAAAACTCGAAACTAAGTGTGAAGCTCTTTGTTAATTATCTTCTTTTCATCTTGTCCTTGTTCCTCCTCGTCCCTCGGGCCTTTCTCATCATCCTTGCTGCTGCTGGTTCTTCTTCTGCAGACTCTCATCTACTCCTACCTCAACCGTCTCCACGCTTTCAGGCTTCGCAATCGGCACCTTGACCCTGTCCAATCGCCATTCCATCCCAGGATAGGCGTCACTCATGACGACAATATTCACCTCGACCTCTCCCCCGATTGTGCTTGACCTTCCATCATAAGTTGCAGCTTCTGAGACTGGAATCTTCAGCTTGATGTTGCTAACCTCCACAGCCCTGTTCTGACGAGCCCCTTGTTTGTTCTTCATTGTCGCCCAGTTCGCCCTCTTCAACGCTAGGATATCACCCTGTCGCCCGGTAGGAAGAACAAGAGCAAGATACCCCTCCGTCTGCGGCTTGGGGAACTTAGGCGCGTAAATCCTGGCCTCGGCGTCGAGAAGTCGGTTACCACGCTTCATCGTCAACTGTAAGAGCTCCGTATTCCCGTTGGAAGTCAAAGTGATATCAGGCAGTGCATTAGCAGCTTTGCCGAACTGCGCGCGGACATTTGGAATTCTGATTCCCAATGTATTCATCAGCCCCTCAATTGTCTTTGTCCCATGTCTACTGGCCAGTACTGCCGTGGTGTTGAGGTCTTTGGGCACTTTCCCGTCAAGCTTGGGGTCCAAGATTTCAGAAACGCCTGGTAGGATGCTGAGAGGGTAATCTTCGGGCCAACGGGCGCTTTTGATGCATTGAAGCAACCGTATCATCTGGACGACAGCATCGAACTTGTTGAGTTCTGTCATGACATCGATGCCGGCTTGAATGATACGGATGCCTTGGTCCAAGACAGAGATCTGGTCGCCAACGTAGTCGCTGATGGGGAGTTCAACTCGAGACATGAACGCTTGGATGAGAAGGAAGGCTTTGACATGAGGGTCCCACATAGGTAAGCCGTCCAGCAGACCGAGGGTGTCGAGGGGAAGGTTCTTCGCCAATTCGGCGTTGATGAGGTCTTCATTGTGTCGAACGGGGAGGTCGTCGAACTCGGTAGCAAGGCTGATCCATGCCAGTGCGTCCGCAAAGGTGGTGCTCGGGACTTTGCGAGCCCTAGACAAGAATGTGCGAATCGTCAAATGGCTGAGATAGTAGTAGGACATGATTTTGCCAAACGGCGTGCTATCAACGTCGCCGTTGCTGTGGACAAGAACACAATCACTCTCAGCAAGGTCATCCAGCGACTTGTCGACCATGGAAACCATGTAATCTGCAGCTTGCTGTCTCGCTAGCGTCTGATTATCTTTGTGCTCCTCCTCCGAGATCTCCAGACCGTAGTAGGTTGGATTCTTATGAAGACGGCGGAAGAAGAATGTCCAAGTCAAATAGTCCAGAGCGTCTTGTTTGGTGGTGATGACGCCGGCAGACACCTCGGCTCCCAGATGGTTGTCCAGGACTTTGTGAAGAGAACTTTCCACCGGGAAACCTGTATGCAGGAAGTGTTTGTAGAATGCCTTCTTGGAATCTTGCGTGAATATACGAGCAATACCTGACGTGTCGAACTGTGGCCTACCGGCTCGTCCGAGCATTTGGAGCACATCAGTGAGATCCATGTCCTTGTAACCCTCAATCTTTGCATCAAAGTATTGGGTGCCCTTGACAACGACGAGATGAGCGGGAAGATTAACTCCCCAAGCCAGCGTCGAGGTAGCAACAAGTATCTGAATTTTGTTCGCCGCAAATAATTGTTCGGCCAATGTCCGGTCAGATTCAACTAACCCGGCATGATGCAGACCTATGCCAAAGCTCAATGCTTCTTTGAGAGCCGCATCTTTGACCGCGGCGAGCGTATGTTGGAAGTCATCCTCCGAATCGAAATGCAAGAACCTCCGCGGATCTTCCTCCATCCCACAATAGTTGATTAAATCTTTGGCGGTCAAACGTGTCTGTCTTCTGGACGCCACAAAGACAATGACAGGCTTGTCTGGACTGTGGTTCTTGATGGCCAGATATGTCGGTCGATTCATGCTCTGCATCAGAGGACAGAAACCCCGCTGTTCTGGGAAACCATCAATATATATTTCCAACGGGACCGGGCGAACACTGTGACGGAAATTGAAGAGACCCTGGTTGTTTCCTGGCTTCACCCCCAACCAGTTGGCCAAGTCAGTGGCATTGGCGCACGCGGTGGACATTCCAACCAGCCGGATGGAGCCAGTCTCTGCTTGGGTTGCAATATAATTCATTCGAGAGACGATGATTTCGAGAATTGGTCCACGGTCGCCACCCAGAAGGTGGATTTCATCAATAATCACCAGTGAAACCTGTCGAACGTAGGATCTGGTTTGCCACGATCGGGAAATGCCATCCCACTTTTCCGGGGTGGTGATGATGATATCAGCATCCCGGATGGTCCTAGTATCTGGAGTATTATCACCAGTCAGCTCAACGAGCTTCAGGCCCAACGGTAGCGCCAGTCGCTTGCGCCAGTCTTGGACTCTCTCGCGGACCAAGGCTTTCATAGGGGCAATATAGACCACTTTGCTTCCAGGGTTTTCACGGAATGCCCACCACATTGCAAGCTCGGCGGCCACAGTCTTGCCTGAGCCTGTAGGGGAGCCTAAGAGCACATTATTTGAAGTGTTATAGAGGGTGTGGAAGATCTGGGTCTGCATCGGGTTGAAGAACTGGAAACGTTGGCCATACAGTTCCTCAAGCTGAGGGTTCTTCAGGGCAGTGATAGGAAGTGGCTGCAAGTCGAGCAAGTCAGTGTAGACGCTCTCCGTGTCTGGACGAATAAGATGTTGAAAGGAGACCGGTTGGACGGTTTCTGCACCTAGCCATCGGTCGGATATGACTCGAACATAGATCTGTGAGGGTAGTGGGTCGGCCAGAGGTATTGTAAAGTTGAGCTCGTGGTCGTCGTGCATCTTCCTGCGACTGAGGATGAAGTACTCATGATGATAGATTTCTGCAGTCTCCGAGTTTTCGACCCAAACCCAGTACGATTCGGAGGTGCCATGATGACGATCATTCCAGACAAACTCTGGGTAGAGGTACAGCCTCATTCGGAGCACGTCCCTGTTGAGCGGGGCTATTTCAGCCTCGACAGACAGGGTCGGGAAGTTATCGAGCAGCTTTGATATGGTGTTGCCCATCTTATGGTTGTGGACAAGGTTGCCAATCTCTGCGGGCTCCATCTCTCGTAGAGATTCAATGTTGGAGGACGGTGCTTTCTCGTCCAAGTTCTTGAGCACTGAAAGAGGCAAATCGAATTGATGGAAGGGGTGTTGGAAAGGCCAAATCTGCTTCTCGATAGCTTTACACATTGAGAGCAGCACCTGACATTGGTAGCCCCAGCCGCGGTTGAGAGCAATCATGAACAAGGCGCGACATATCCTGGCAGAATTCTGCGCGACATATGCCAAATCTGAGGCCAGAGCGAAATCCTCGAGCTTCGCTCTAGAGATATGTGACTGGAGCAGGATATTGGTTTTAGCATGATTCTCGATCACTCTCTTCTCTTTCTCGTCCTTTGAGCTCTGCGGCGTATCTCTTCTCTCCTCAACCTCGCACGCCACAGCTTCTTGACGCAACCGATGTAGTTCCTGGGCTTCGTTCTCTCTGGACTGGATATTGTCAAACTCGCCACTCATGCTGATCATCTTCAACACGTCCGCCTCACTCGCATGCGGTCGCATCATGGTATTGAAGATCTCAATGCTGTTTTGAAGCACGTAGAATTGACTGGCGATTCGGCCCACGTCTTTAGCCCTAAGTTCATCGGTGCGTTCGTTAAAAATGATCATCTGACTTCGATGCAGAATTCTAGCGGCGTCGACAATGAGTTTGCGTCGACGTTGAAAAAGCTGAGGGTCGTCTTGATACTCATTCCAGTCGATCCCGTAGGCCTCGGGTTTTTGTCTCATGCGAACAAAGAGATACGAGTAGCCCAACCAGGTGACGCCTTCTTGCACCGATGTTACTGTTCCCAGACTGATTTCGGCGTTGAGATTGTCGACCAACTTTTGGGAAAACCTCGACTCTATAGGCCTTTGCTGGGTGACCGCGGACAAGTAATGCTGCAACTTGTCCTGGGTAGTGCAGATGTAGCCAATACCGCTGTCCTGGAACTGAGGCCGACCTGCTCGACCGAAAATCTGCAGCACGTCCAGAATGCCCAGATCAACAAACTTCCCAGCTTCAGCACTATAAATCTGGGTTCCTTTGATGATGACTGCCGCAGCAGGAAGGTTGACGCCCCATGCCAGAGTTGCAGTGCAGCAGAGGACTCTAATAGCACCATCGGAGAAGATTCTTTCCACGAAATTCCTATCAGTACGTGCCATGCCGGCATTGTGGCAACCAAACCCTTTGGGTACGATGTCACGAAGCTCACGGCCGCGTGTCATCTTCAAGTCTGTCATGGCTTTCGAATACGCCGGACTGTCCGGACTGGGGACGAAGAGCTCCACACACCCATCATCGACCGCCATGCTGTACAGTGTTCGAGCAGTCAAGACAGTATCTTTTCTCGAGTGGACGAAGACCATGATCTGCTTGTCTTGTTTCAAGACTTCTTTAATCTTTTCGAAAGTCACATGGTCAAGGTTCTCTCTTTGAGTTTTACTTCCAACTTTGCCTTTGACACCGATGAAATGTTGCTCGAGTGGAACAGGTCGAAAAGAGGCGTCGAAGTAGAACAGCCCGGCATTGAGGTTGACCTTGAGAAACTTTGCAACATCGACATAGTTTGGGAGGGTGGCGGACAGACCGACAATCCTAATCATCGACTGGGTGCTTTCGACCTGTCTTTCGGTCCGGGCCACCAGTGACTCAATGACAGCACCCCGATCGTCGTGGAGCATATGTACTTCATCGATAATGAGAAGTCGGACCTTCTGTACAAGTTCCGTGTCGCCCGTACTCTTTCGAGTGACAACATCCCACTTCTCGGGCGTAGTAACAATGATCTGGGTGGCAGCAATCTCGCGCTTAGTGAGTTGCATATCGCCTGTCAACTCTCGTACTTGGATCCCCAGCCATGCCAAACGTTTCCCCAACTTTTCCGTCACCTCGGCTGCAAGAGCTTTCATCGGGGCGACATATACAATTTTGAAATCATCAGCCATGACGGTGAAGTCAGTGGCAGTGGGCTCTTCAAGAGGATTTGGGACGACATTCTTAGAGATTGCCTGCAAGATTGTGAGCATGGCAGCATCTGTCTTACCGGCGCCCGTTGGGGCGCAGATCAACATGTTTTCCGAGGTTGTGTATGCAACTTGATACAGCAGGCTCTGCATGCGGTTGAGACTCTTGTATCCCTTGAACGTACGTTGACAAAGCGCGTCCATTTCGGCAATGTTCACTAGTTTCTGGCCTGCAGCCAGCGAACCAACCTTTGAGGCAGGTATACTGAATTCCTCATACTTGGGGTAATCGTTCCTGGTGCTGCCCATGGGTAAGCCGTATCGCTTCCCAGAGACATCGAGCATGTTTCCAGAAGCGGCTGTGTCAGACTTGTAGACGTGGGGGTATTTTCGTTCACTGCGGTCGTAAGCAGGAGCAAGAGAAGTATGTTTATGCTCATGATCTTGACGTCTCAGGGAGGCTTCCCGTTGTTGACGAGTCTCCAGCTGTCCAAAGAGTCCATCTGTTTGACGGGTGGAAGAAGTGGGTGCAGTCAAGATGGCTCTGCGATGTGAGATGAGCTCGATGACAAAGTCGAGAGCATCGTAGCCAACAATCTCGGCGAGTGACATTTGCAACTCGTCGTCGGAGCTGTCTGAAGCGAGGAGAGCTATGATTTGCTGTTCGAGATCAGAAGCATCAAGGCCAGACCTTGCGCGTGCAAAGGCATCACATCTGCTCCGCAGCCAGGAACTGTCAAAGACGCCGTCAACAGCATCCGGGATTTTGAACCCATTGGCGGTCTCATCAAAGATGTCGCTGGGAGGACTTTCGGCCAGTGAGCTTTCGACATCCCAAATATCATCATCGATGTCGTCGCTCAACTCTTGGTCCAGGTCAAGGTCGGCTCCGTACAGCTGCGAGGCATCGTTGAACGGAGGCAACTTCAACTCCGCGATGGCCTCTCTCATGGCGGCCATTTGAGACAGCCATTGTGCCTCGGATTGGAAAGCTGTTTCCACCATGCTGAGGGTTTCACGATTGGACCAATCCACGCGGACCAGCTGCTCTCGTCCAGAGATAAATCGCAGCCTCGGTCGTAGAACGACGGTAGATGCGGCGTGGCTAAGGTGCGTTGCGGGAGCGGTGAAACTCGACTGATGACTCGAGTACAACGCCTGGGGCAGGCAGAAAGAGAGCGGGAAATATGATTGGGAATCGTCTTTCCTTGGAGGCTGGAGGCTGGAGGCTGGAGGCCGCAAAAGATAGAGAGGGCTTTAGGGTTTTAGGTGTTAGCTCAGGCTCTAGACTTCTCCGACTCTGACTTGTGCAGGTGACGTGCATTCTACGGTATCATTGCTGCCACCAACTGCTAGGCACTACCGTTCACCTTCCGTCCCATTCAACAACCACCTGGCCTTTCTCGATCCTCTTGACAATCTCCCTGTTCCAGAAGCAGACAAAGAATTCCTAGGGCCCCGACCTTCATCCGTCGACAGACTGATCTCTTCTCCCTCACCACCACTTCCCTCCAGTCCATAAACCCCACACCGCTATCATGAAGATCTACTATATCGGAGTAAGCAAGAGAGACTTTGTGCTACCACAGGGTGTCTATGTCGAGTGCACTATCAGGCTGACACGAGATAATTGTACAGATCCTTCGAAATGACCCTGTTCCCGCCGAAGAGCTGGCCGTCGAACGAGACTTGTCCTCCTTTTCCCGCTTTACTCGAGACAGGTGTGTCTGCACCAGAACCTCTGACACGGCTTCTGCCGCTGCCGCTTTTTTCCAGAACCCTAACGCTTTTCCTACCATAGCTACGGCGAGTTCATGACGATGTTCGCAAAGACCGTGGCTGAACGCACCCGTCCGGGCGTGCGCCAGGACATTGAAGAGAGGTCATACACATTCCACGCGTACGGGTCGAGCCAGGGCGTGACGGGCATCATCATCAGCGACGCCGAATATCCAGCACTCGTGGCGCACCAGCTGCTATCCAAGATCGTCGACGACTTCACGTCGCAGAACCCGCGGTCTAGTTACGCCAGCCCCAGTGTCAAAAGCCGGCCGTTTCCCCAGCTCAAGGACTATCTAGCCAAGTATCAGGATCCACACCAGGCGGATAGCATCATGAAAGTGCAGCGAGAGTTGGACGAGACCAAGATTGTGCTGCACAAGACCATCGAGAGTGTGCTGGAGCGTGGTGAGAAGCTCGACAGCTTAGTGGCAAAGAGTGACGGGTTGAGCGCGCAGAGCAAGATGTTTTATCAGCAGGCCAAAAAGCAGAACTCGTGCTGTGTGGTTATGTGAGTAAGTCGTCAAGCGGTACGCTCTGTGGTAATGCGAGTGTTCGAAAAGAGACTTCTCGGTGTGTTGTTCTGCCGGCGGCCAAGTGAGGCTAGATATGAGAACGGCTTGACACTGATGTGGACCCGTGAAGGGACAGTGTTTCGATCCGAGATCGACTCCAACGAACTCTTGATCTAGAGCAGCGGATGCTCATTGATTGCCTTCGAGAGCAAGTGTTTGCCAGTGCTTGTCGGACTCGAGGATGTATGAAGCAACAGCAGGCGTTGGGGCGTTTAGTTCACGAGAGAGAAGAACATTGTTGTTTTTGGCAATTAAATTGTATATCCCGGTCCGATCAGTCATGTTTTGCATTGCAAGTTGCCTCACCAGCTCCCAGCACGCAGAAGCACCTACTGAGATCTTTTCTTCCGTGCCTTTGTCCACGTCCATGCTCCAACACAAGCATGACAAAACCCGTCGACAAATCTATGCCTCAGACTCGCGCTCTCGCGCTCTCTCCCCTTCTATAGACATGCCGCCCTCTACTGAACTCCACAAGATACGGTTGTGACCGGGTATGCAGTATGGAAGTCTTGCACAGGCGTAGTGACACAATAACCTACAGGTTTAAGGCTCTCCCTTCATTCCCCTATGTTCTAGTGTACTGTACTCCGTATCTATATGGGCACTCCCCTCCCTAATTAGACAATCCCGTCGTCTCTGGCGGTCCTCTGTGCATTATTTCGCCCTTTCCCCTTTGGCGGCCAACCTGGGCAAGTTTTCGGTATCGACCCTCATGCCCACCCACTCCTCCATCCTGGTGGCGCCGATACTCTCGCCCGTATAAAACTCAATGCTAGGCGTGTTCCACTTCAACACACTCCAGTCTAGCCGTTTGCAGCCCAGTCTCAGACACTCGCGCGCCAGGGCCTGGATGAGCGCCGTGCCGAACCCCGTGCCACGGTATTGCGGCCGGACGAACAGATCCTCGAGGTAGATCCCCGGCGCGGCTGTCCAGGTGCTGTAGTTGTGGAAGAAGAGCGCCATGCCGGCCACTTCTGGTTGTTGCTCGGCACTGTCGCCATCACTGCCGCCGGCGCTGGCGCTGCTTCGAGGCGAGATAAGCAACGTCTTCGCAAAGCCCTCGGTGAACCCGCTGGGGCGTGACGGTTCTGGAAAGGACAGAGTCGCGCGCAGAGACTCCTCGGTCGCCCCGACCTCGTGCAGTGACTTCTCGTACTCCGCTAGTTCCTGGATGAGTTGCAGGATCACAGGGACGTCGGATTGCCGAGCGTAGCGGATGGTGTAGGTCCGGGTTTGGATTTCGGCCATGTCTGGGAGCAAAAGAAAAAGAAAGCTCAAAAATAAGTAGACTCGATCTCAAGCCGTTCCAAGGAGTGCTGTCTAATGTAGGCAGACTAGTGGCACTCAGTATCTGATTCTCTGGTGGGCTTTAAATGTCCGGTGTTGAATGGGCGGGTTCAGGGCTTGTCGTTTCAAGACGAAAAATGAAAGTTGAGTCGGTGAAACGGCTTTGGGTGTCCGTGCAATCCGAGCACTAAGTGGGCGCAAAGGTCAAAGGGCGCAAAGGTCAAATAGGTCTCAAACAACTCCAAAAGAAGACTATATGTAAGGATCGCGTACTTCATATCGAAGAGGTTGCTAGAGGTCGCCAGTACTATGTTATATAGACATCTTAGGTAGTTAATAGGCCTGTTTACAGCATAGTGCGTACAGTACTAGAGAACGCGAGCGGGTTATCAAAGTTTGGAACACCAGATTCCATAATCATTCTATCAAGTACAGCAGATGTACGGTATATACAGCCCAAATTGCACCAACATAGCTGTTTGGCGTTGGATTGATATTGCCTGTTTATTGCTGTGAGTATGCACGGCGCGATAAACATTGACTTTTGCTGTAGAGAGTAGTATTCGTTGTGGACCAAGGCGTCAAATCTGACGAGTTTAGGGCCTCGACATCATCTCAGGCCCCCGGCACTCGACAATGACCAGGACACCCATCCAGAGTTTCTGCTTCACATATACAAGACTTGTGACACCCTCCAAGTCAGCCGCCACTTTTTATCCCACCCCCAACCATGAACGCCATCGTCAACCTCTCCCTCATTCATTATGCAAAAGCCTTTTTCTCCGGACTCCGACTTCGCGCGCGATGCTCCTTGCTTGGACTCCGCTGATACTCTAGTTGCTGCTGGCCGCCAAACCCCTGATCTGGATGCCAGCCCACATAATGCTGACCGTATGGTGTTCCCGGAGACAAAGCAAATTGGCTCATCTGTCCATTATGGGGTCCAGGATGCATATATGAGCCTGAAGGCGGTCGGTACATGCCTGTATTTTGCTGCTCTTGTTGTCGTCGGTATAGCGTAAATGTGGCGTTGTTGACAATCAGCCCGACCACTACCAAAGTGATGGTGAAGATCCTGCAAGAAGTTAGCCTCCTCCTCGATTGGAACATGGTCTGTACTTACATAGTCTTCAAGCTGATCGGCTCCACGAAACTATTGAAAATCTCTGCGAAAGTGTGGGCACTCAATCTTGCTCGCTTCACTGCGCTTGGATCCCGGTTCATACATAGCTCCCAGTTGCTGCAGATGGTCTCGAGGGCTGGCAGTCGGGTATCGGCGCCACACCGATTCTCGACGTAGTTCTTCGAACAGGTTGCCATCTCGGCGAGCACTTCAGCCATTGCATCGTCACTGGCACGATCCACATCTGCCCGAATGGTTGCATAAAATGACCAGAACATGTATAGACAGCCCCCAAGAATGGCGGCGTTGAAAAAGACCTGCAGATACTTTGCAATGATCGAAGGCGCGTCAGGATATGTGTGGATAAACGTAAACAGACCCGTAATCCAGCCCACTTCTTCAACTTTGGGTGTCTTCGGCTTAGATGGACTTGGAGGAGCGTCGTCTTCGCTGTCGTCGGTCTGGTCGACTCTGCCCAACATCAACTGTTTATCAAACTTCTGTGCCCGCCGGCGTTTCTTGTGTATGCGTCGAGCAATGGCATCACTGTGAGGTTTTCGGATCTCTCCTCGGCCTGGGCTCGCAACGAATCTGCCGTACAGCCCAAATAACGAGCTTCTCTTGTTTTCTGTCTTCCGGGGACTACTCTTGAACTCGATCGGAATAGGTTTGGCGTCCGGAGTCTCGTCGTTGTCTGTCTGCTCGAGTGGCGAAGAGTTTTCTGGGCCGGAAGAGAAGTCTATATCGAACGGCTTGCGTGGAGTGGTAAACGAGGATGCGCGGAACGGGGATGGTTGAGACGGGGATGCGGGAGGGTTTGAAAAGAAGAATGGTTGGTTATTAGGCTCGCGCAAGGCAGGAACGGCGGTCTTCTTCGGGGAGTCAAACTCGCTGTGAGTACCTGCGTGGGTTAGAACAGACAGCTTTAAACGCTGGGGCCGATGGGAGACGTACGCTTCTTTGCTTGAGCATCCATGATGTGTTTATGAAAGGGAGAGCTGGGATCCATGGGCCCATAACCTTGCCATTCAAAGTCCATGGGACTCTCTGTACCGCGAAATGCCATGTTGGAAGAAGAAGGACCGAACGCTGGTAAACAAACAAAAGGTTCACGATGACATGCCGGGCTCGCGAGGTGAACCTGGAGGGATCCTAGAGGCCAGTGTAGTGCAGCATCACCCGCCAAGGGGAAAATAAACAATGCACTTTTGACAGGAGTTCGCCGCACTGCCCAACCAGCAACAGGCTGCCACTACCGTGGTACTAACAGCAGCAAAGAGCCCCAGGTTTTCGGATTTGATTTCCATGGCTCATCCATCCGACTCGTATCTGGTCCCCGATCGTCTTCCCTCCTTACTCTGTACATCTGCTTCCTCAACCAACGTGTGCATTCCAACACCCCGCAGTTTCACATGCCTCGGGAGCAGTCGGAAGAGGCACAATGGTGGTTTCAAGCAGTCTACTCTGCAGTCCAACAGATCCCCCCTGGTAAATGTACCAGCTACGGCCACCTCGCCTATTTGCTCGGTTTCCCACGACGAGCCCGTCAGGTTGGGGTATGTCTAAAGCACCTGCCTGCCTTCGATCCTGCAAACCCCGACAGATTCTTTTTCCACGATCAGAATGTGCCGTGGCAGAGGGTGGTCAATTCCAAAGGTGGAATCAGTCCACGAGGGGATGATGGGGCTGCAGCAAACCGACAAGCCGAGAGACTACGAGCAGAAGGAGTGGAAGTGAATAACGCCAGGGGAATTGAAGAGATGAGCATCGATTTTGGAAAGTATGGCTGGTTTCCGCAACAGCTTCCTGGGGAAGAGAGTGAGATCAGCGACGATGAGGATGGGATAGAAGGGGGCTGAACTGGAACCTTACTGTGGTGGATGGCAGCTTCAAATGACCTCTTCTCTACAAAGTACGGGGGTGTATCTTTGGGTCACTCCGTTGGCTACTCGGGAGTTATAGATTACTCACTAGCAAACTACAAGTCTACTATCCAAGGTTGGTATCACCGGGAATCGAGTGCACGGATGGTCCGCCTGACCGGAACTCGAGCGAGGGATCTGGGCTGGTTAGACTTGAGTCATTCTCATCCAGAACTTCGAACGAAAGTCGGTCCAAGAGATCACGGCAGATCTTGAGTCACAGTGATGGAACAAGCATTCAGGCAAGATGAGGGATGCAAGTACCCAGGACGTCATGGAGACGGTAGATACAGGGGTGCCGCCATCTTGATGAGGCTGGCTAAAGTCATGAAACTGGGAACGGTTTGATGACCGCACCGTCACCGGAGGGGGTCAAGGATGATTTGAGGCACAGCTGGGCTCTGACGATGACTCCGTGGGTAGGCGATACGTACATGCGTCGGATGATGTTGGTGTCTGATGGTTCAGCAAAGTGGCTGAATGCGGCACAGGCAACAACGAGCCGGAAGATGAGGTCATGTTCTTTACATAGCACCTAATAGCATAGAGACCCCAGAGATGAGCAACCAGAGGCTGGAAATCCTGTTCTCTACCTTGCTACTGTAGGTTGCGTACATGTAGGTACTACTACCACCAAGTCTACACGGTACATACGGATAGCTGTCGCGCTGTCTCAGCTGCCGAGGCCTCAGACGACTTACGTGTTGTCTCAATCTCTCCTCCCCGCAGCGTTCCTATCTCCCACCAGCTGCTATCTACACTTCATCGTAGCGTGGGTGATGCCGCCGGCGTGACTCAACCATCGAGCCAATCCTCATCGTGTCTCTTCCCGTGTGCCATTTGCTCAGGCCCTCCAGTTCCTGCGCCTCCCGATCATCATCTCCTCCTCTCCACACTGCTAACAGCGCTGATACCCATAACACTGATCTCGCCCCAATCAACCTCGTGTCCTCTGTTACCTGCGCGTGTGACTCCATCCGAGTCATTCATGGTATACAACTGATAGAGCTACGCCCACTTGTCTCCCTCTTTATCTGCTCTTCTTCCGATTCTTTGAGTTGGTTGTCTTCCCTTTGTCTGGGCCCAACCCACTTACACCAGCCACGCTTGCCTCAGTATCAACCTGTCTTTGTGCTTCGCTGTCCACCTCACTGCTCTGACCGAACGCGTCATCTCATTCCATCCCTGCCAGCTCTTGCGGCCTACCGATTCCGTCGTTACCATATCTTTCTAGACGATACCACCTCTCACGTCGTGCTACCTACCTTCGACGCCATACACCATGTCGACCTACTCTTCCAACGACCTCCGCAGCGCAGCCAAACCTTTCCAACGAGAGAAGAACCACAATAGCAAATGGGCACGAGGGGCAAGAGAAGCTTATCCCCAACACTGCCATCAGCATGAGTATCCCGTCAGCGACTGCCACCAATGCCTTGGCCGGCCTAACCGTCGAGACTCCGATCGACGAGTTGGGCGGGGTGAAGCACGACACAAACACAGTACGCAGAACAAACTGAGCGGTCAAGCTGCGACTCTCGCCCGCAAGGCTTTCCGCAACGAAGTCGTGGATGCAACCGACGGGCCTCTGGCCAACGTCTCGGACACTTCTGAGGAAGAAGACGTCCTTGACGCGTCTACTGCTCCTGTCCCCAGAGATGCGGATTTCATGTACAGCTATGACGCTCAAGCGGGCCCTCGTAATGGCGTCGACATCCTGAGCCATGCAATCAACCAAGCTGTGCGACGATTCGAGAACAAAGAGACCGAGAAGCTTGTCAATAACGAATACGACGTCGTCGATGGCAAGGAAACGGCCGAATTCTCAACCGACGAGGACGAGCTCGATTTTGAGATGATTGACCACTCTCATTTGAACTGATTGCCGACCACACTCTCGTGTAAGCCTTGCTAAGGATGAGTTCTTTTATAGGCTGGTTTTCCTATACTCTTGCTTTCGCGCGCAGTGATATGACTGTATTGTTGCCGCAGGCTTTTCTTACTTTTATTCATGAAGATACCCAAGCAATCATTAGGGAAGCGGGCACTACAATGTGGATCATGAGACCATTAGAGACGATCATGGGAACCGGCGCTTCTTGAGGATATGAGTGGCCTTGGAGAGGTGGACCCCACTGGCATCACGGGTGTCCTTGTGTTTTGCTGGCGTTTTAAGGAATCAGATCTGCTACAGCGCAGGCGGTTCTAGGTGACCTAATATGCAGTTGTGGCTGTCCACATTCGACAACACAATATCATTCATTGACTTGATGATGCAGCCGTGCCAGCCTGCACACTGCACAGTTCCGAATCGTAGCATGTGACGCGTTGCCCGGCCTTGTCAACAATGACGACTGCCAAGGTATTTTCGTAGTGCAAACGTGACAAACGTTTCCTTCCGGACGAAACTTTGAGAAGCATTTTGACCAGCACCAAGTGACTGCCTACATATGGTACTCGATGAGGAGTTATCGACCTCCTGCCTCGCTCTATTTTAAACCATCTCTTGCAAGAAATCGTTCGAATACAGATGCTGCGTGAATCTGAGATATCCATCCGTCTCACCTGACCGCGGCCACACCATAACTAAGGCAACAGCCCAACCATTCCAGATCTGTGAAACATGTCCAAGTCCAATCTTGCCGCCTATCTCGCCAAGAACTACCTGACTGCTTCGACCTCCACTTCGAATCCCGACTCGGATTTTGCAGACTCGACACGCCCGAAGAAAAGGCGGAAGAAGACGAAGCTTGGTGACGGGCTGATCATTGCCGACGACGACGAAGATTTGTCCCTGCGCAGAGGAGTTGGGGGCGATGGCGACGATGCCAACGAGGTGCCTGTGTTCGAAACAGGCGTGAGGTCTGCCGAGTTTAGAAAAAAGAAGAGCGGGAGTGGATGGAAAGTAGTATCTGAGCCGACGAATGCAACAGCGAACACAACGAGTGCGGCAGCTGCAGCGGACGACAAAGCTACCAACAACAGACGTAGGGGACACGGTGACGGCAGTGATGAAGCGGCAGAAGCAGACCGGATTCTGGCCGAAGCAGAACAAGAAGCGCGCGTACGCCGGCGCGAGCTCGGCGACGAAGACGCCCCTGCGATTGTCGACAGCGCCGATGCCGGCGGAGACGACGACAATGTAACCACTCCGGCGCTCATGGCGTCCGGTGTGCGTGCAGGACTGCAAACCGCCGCAGACACGGCTGCGCTGATGGCGCGAGAGAAGGAGCGGGAAGAGCAAGAACAACAGGAATTGGCGCGGCGCAGGAAATCCAAGTCTTCCAAAAAAGCGCCCGCCGAAGATGAGCAGGAGCAGGAGACAATCTACCGCGACGCCACGGGCCGACGGATCGACATCAGCATGAAGCGCGCAGAGGCGCGGGCCGCGGAGCAAGAGAAACTACGAGCCGAGCGGAAAGCGCGCGAAGACGCCATGGGCGACGTGCAGCGGCGCGAGAAGGAATTGCGCAAACAGCAACTGGAGGAGGCCAAGTTCATGCCGCTGGCCCGCGGGGCCGACGACGATGAAATGAACGATATGCTTCGCAAGCAGCGTCGGTGGGATGACCCGATGGCGGCGTATCTCGCCCAAAGGCAGGCTGAAGGGGACTCGGACAAAGAGGTAGAGTCCCAGGTCACTGGGAAAGATGTCGGGTCTGCGAAGACAGTGGCGCGCAGTGGCGGCGGCAGCGGCGGCGGAACCAAGAAAAAGGTCTATGCAGGCCACGCCCCGCCTAACAGATACGGCATACTACCAGGATGGCGCTGGGACGGGGTCGATCGAAGCACCGGCTTCGAGAAGGAGTGGTTCCAGGCTCGCTCGCGCAATGCAAGGACCGAAGAGTTGAAGTATCAGTGGCAGATGGACGAGTGAGCTGTCCGTTTCCATCCCAGCTCGTGTGTGCCGCAAGGGCAAGACACGGTTCGCGGATTCCCGGACACGGACTGCATATCTTCACGCCAGTAAGGATCTTTTCAATATTATTAAATTAGGATCCAAGTTGTCCAACCGCCTCAGATCATCAGTGTAAATCCAAAGAGAGTCCCTGTTACGATGGCCGCCTATATCTTCAACCCACGCACAGTTCAGCCCAACCGCGATTCAGATGCCATTCCCCTTCCCCAACCCGCAATAAACTCAAACCTGCGTACCCAGATCAAAACGGGACGAAGTTGATCTCCCAATCATGCTCTTCAGCGGGAGCAACTCGACCCAGCACAACCCTAAACCGCCCAACCATCTCGGCGTTAGGCCAGCCATCCTGTCCACGATGCACAGTCTCGAGATGGTCCATGAAGCTCGCCACGTTCCCAAAGATCGGCGTCGTTACTTGGGTGCCAGTGTCGGTTATCTTGATGGCGGTGTTCGCGGTATTTCCTGACCTGACACTCCCACTTGACCCTTTGCTCGAAGCGGCGCCACTGGCGAGCGCGTTGCCAGCGTCCAACCAGCCTCGACTCCTACCCTCGGCGCAGCAAAAGATACACCCGTAGCTCCCAAAGCCGCCTTCTCTGCCAAGTGCGGTGTTGGTGGGGACCATTGCTTTCAAGGCGACGTGACATCTAGCTAGAAAGGCCCATCGATACCTTACGCCTCCGCCTTCGGAGGTGCGGACCTTGGGGTCGAACGAGCGCTGCGATTTGCCTTTCTTCTTTCCTTCAGCTACCCCGACCGACTCATAGACGGGCCCTTCGAAATTGCATTTCTCGCATTTCCAAGACGTAATCATGCTGGCCAATCCGGCTGGACGATTGACGAGTGAAAAGGCTTTGCGTTCGAGACCGGCCTGAAGACGAAACGCTCCTTTACAGAAACCCATCAAGTTTTTATCCGTGGGCAGCATCACCGGTCCGCTAGCCATGGCAGAGTTGACGGACGGGGTCGAGGATGCAACGGTGTGTACGGACGGGGCGTCTATGGACGGGACGCCTATGGAGGAACTTAAAACCGTGGGTGAAAGGTGCCTTGAGCCAGTCGACTGATGATGAGATGGAGGCCGAGATGTAGGGTTCGAGGGAGACGAGCGAAGTTCATAACGTGAGTCAACTGGAATCGGAGTAGAAAAAGAAGGGCTGCTTTCATACTGTCGCGATGTCTGGGCATCCTTTGCTAAACGAACTGGGTGGCGAAGATGTTCGTGGATATGATCTATTCTTTTGAACGGTGTCAGGGAGTCAGTTCTCGGTAGGGCCCGAGGTGGTCTGCTGTTTTCTTGTAAGTACCGAACATAATCCAAGGAGCTGTGGTTAGCAGCTTGAGCTCGTGTTGAATAGGAAGTGGAAGAAGGCTGTTTCTCGGGACTCGAAGGCTGGTACATGTCATATATCGTACCATGGCTGTATTGTCTGCCATCGGACCGCTGAGTTTGTTCATGTTCACCATAATCGTCGGGGCCATATCGATCTCGCGAGTTCTGACTTCGGTGACCGCTTGAGGCTCGCGAGACGTCCGGAGAAAAGTACCCTTGGCTGCTTCTACCTGAAGACCCAAAGGACCCCCGATCTGGTTCTTTACCAGACGGTGCGGAGGACACAATCGGCTGGCCACCGGGTTGGGGAAAGAGGAGTAAAATGTTGTCATCGGACGCAAGTGCTTGGGAAGACCTCCGTCGTAAGCTCATTGCATCCGGATCGTCAATTTTGTGGACGCCAATAGGAGGTACGGTGATTTGAAACTCTGCAGCCGCGGGGGCCAAGGATGTTCGTTCACGGCGCTCCTGGGAGTCCCCCGAGCGCATGGACATCTTTCGGTCCATATATGGAGGATGCACAGGTGGCGAGACAGCGAGATTGCCGAATTGTTCCATGACAGTGTCTGGCGTCTGAGGAGCTGCAAAGGCTGCTGACGATTGTGTGCTCCGACTACTAGAATACCCGAGCGACGGAGACATTGGTGGCATGAGGCTCGCGCTTGAGGAGTAGGCCATGTTTTGAGGATAGCACGCCTGCGCTTTCACGGCGTCGGAAAGACGTTGAGACAACTGCCCAAGGCAGACCCCGGCATTCACACGACAATCGTCCGAGGCTGTTTGAAGTGTGTTGAAGTCGAGATCCATCTCGTCCATATACACACTCCGCAGAGTGATGATGAGAGTCATCTGGAGATTGATCAAGACATCTTTCATCTGTTCACGAGCTTGTATGTCCCCACATGCGTATGGCTCTCCGAAGCGCTTCAAGTCATGGTCATAGTGACCGCGAACAATGACAGGCCCCAGGGCTAGAGATTCCAATAGCTCTCGGGTAGGCTCTTCTGGAAGCCGTGTAGTGCTCCCGGACTTTCTCTGATCGCGGATGCGCTGTACCAGACTCGAGGCATCTTCGAAAGCTGCGGTCACTACAGAGGTTAGACGGTGACCGTCGCTGGGGAAAGACACACGTACCAGCCCGTACGAGCGACGATATATCCATCTCAGCCTGATGTTGATACTAAGTGCTTGGGGAGACTGCTGCACTGGTCAACCCGGACGGAGGGACGCACATGCTCCGTTAGAGAAGTCCAACTAGGAGAGATGCGGTCACTGCAAAACGAAAGAATGAGTTGTACATGGGAAAGCAGCCCTCGTGGAGACGGAGAGGAAACCATTGATGGCGTCGACGAGCCCCAGGTCCGACGGGAGGCTCCAAAGGCGTCCGTTGGCCATGGTAGCCCTACTCCTCAATTGCCTCTCACAAGGAGGGCCTGAGGATCGGGCAGACATTGCATGCAACAGTAGCACAGCCAAATCAAAGGCAAGCAGGCAGACATTGCATGCAACAGTAGCACAGCCAAATCAAAGGCAAGCAGGCAGACCAGACTACTTGTTGGTTGGGCAATGAGACAGTGAAGTGATACGCCTTGAGCTGCGCTAGCGGGCCGGAGGGCATGGACTAGGGGTCGAGATGGTCGGTGAGGAGAGTAGGCATCCCCGGGACTGAGCAAGAAGAGTGGTTGTTTGAGGCTCCTCTATCAACACTCTGCCGCAGGCTGAGGGGCTGCCCCGTCAGGCTTCTTTGGGGCGGCTTCCACTGCCGCCAACGTTCAGGTTCCTCCAACGGGAGGATACGACGCTACTACTACTCCGTAGATACTACTACTCCGGTCCCGGGTCTAGGAACACTCTATCGAACATTCTACCCCTTCTCTGCGCTTCTTCAAGCCTTGGACCTAGGCGCAATCGAGTCTCCTCCCCGTCCTGTATGGAGCCATACCTCTGTGCTTTTCCTGTCGATGTCGATTCCAAGGACCCTCGAACCCTCGAACCCTGGTCCATCATTATCCCCGGTCCCGATGCTGGCCGCTGTCAACCTCGCCTGACATGTCGCACATGCTCATCTTCCTCGGCTTCTGTCTCTTTCCTCGAGATCCGCAGTTCATCTTACGTTCGCTACACTCAGCCTGGTCGGGAATGGCGTAGGCGGAAGAGAGTTACATAGCACAAGGAAGAGAACATGCTAGGTATTAGAGATGTGGAGGTAGTGAATCCGCCGCTATTATCCATGATCTCCCGATAAGTGGACTGTCGTCCTCGCCACTATCTTGTGTATCGAAGGAAAAAGGAAGTCTAGTTTAATCAGACAAGGTGCGTACGTCAACCTGTCCACCATTGCCAACGCCATTTTGCAACCTGCTCCATGTGTTTTGAAGATACCAGACAAAAGAAACATCTCAGCAACGCAAGTACACGCTCAATCGATCATCGTCCCAAAATTATGCCACCGTAGACGACAGGCGACTTGCCACTGTTTCGCTGGCGTTTTCATATTTGTCCCAGTCCTCCAAGATCTTCGCCAGCCGGGGTGAGTTGGTCAGGCGATAGACCTCCTCGAAATATTCCTTGGTAATCTCAAATGGTTTGGCAGTCACGTTGGGAATGTACTTGCCAACCAACTTGGCCGGATCGATGCTGGTTTTGTTGATCTTCTTCAACAAGAACGACCGGAATGGCTTGACACCCGATCGCAAGAATGTGCTGTGGAAAGGCACATCAATGCCCTTGAGGGGAATTACCGCAAAGCCTCTTTCGAGCTCGATGGGCTGGGGTTTGGCGTCCGTCTTCTTGCGGCATTCACCGATAATCTCCACCAAATGCGCCTTGACATCGTCCAAAGACATCTGTTGCATCAATGCTTGTATGTCGATCTTTTGCAATTTCAGGACGTTGAGCACGTTGGTCAAGCAGTCCAAAGCCCGAAGGTCGCCTGCACATACGTACTGCATGTTGGCCACGTTGTAGTTGACAATCTCAATCAGCCAGCCAGTACTTTCGGCAATGTTCTCCACAACGTATTGGAGAGCTTGCTCGTTGAACGTCTTAGAGATACGGCTAGGATTGACGGCGCACATGGAGTAGTTGCTTCTGCCTTGTTCATCACGCTCCACAGCCACCTGCATGGTCAATCCACGGTAGAACACAACCGACACCAAACTCTCAATAGGCATAACTTCAGCAATGGAAGCCAAAGCAGAGTATTCACCCAGAGAGTGGCCGGCAAAGCTGCTGTCTCGTTGAATGAGACCCTTGGAGCGCATGTCCTCGAAACTGGCCTTTTCCATCAATGTCAAAGCGGGCTGAGTAAACTGCGTGGCCGAAAGAAGGCCGGTAGGTGATCGGTAAGTGTACGAGGTGGTGTTCTCGTTGATCTCCTTAAAGATCCTCTCAGACTTGATAGACCCATCGGCATTGACGGTTTCAAACGTCATGGCCATATAATTCTGGCGAATCGCCTTGCCACGAGGTCCGCCAAAGTGAATGGTAAGTTCCTTCGGATTGTTCTTAACAATGTTGATGATGGAGAGGCCGTAATTATCCAAAAAGTGACGATCAGCACGATCCCAGACTTCTTTGGCCACAGGACTGCGAGCGTAGAGATCCATACCCATGCCTTGTTCTTGGGAGCCTTGACCGGTGAATACGTAGGATGAGACTGGTTGTTCAACCTCAGCTTCTGCTAGGAGAACCTTGTCCCCAGTCTCCTTGTTGCTGGTTTCGATCTTGATAATCTTGCGACCACCAATCATTCCCACGTGTTCAAGTTTCACTTCCAAATCGTCGTTGGGTAGGACCATACCAACCAAAGAGACGTGGTAGCTTCGGACACGACCAATGTTGTTCTCAGCCGCCCATGTCTCGACTAAGCTTCGAACCGCAGCACTGGAGTACATGCCGTGAGTGATGGTTCCAGGGAGGTTGGCATAGCTGGCAAAAATGCGAGAAACGTGGATTGGATTGTAGTCGCCAGACACTCGAGCATAGGTCTCGTTGGATGCGGGAGCCTTCAAAGACAGAGGCGTCTTGCCACTTAGCGGAATCGGATTCTCGAAGTTGACAGGCTGTTCAATGGATTGGCCATGTCGCTGTAGGTAATCGACGACCGGGTTCCCATGGGACACACCGGCGTCATATTCCACGGAAGCGACTTGGATCACTTCCTTCGTTGGAAGCTCAAGAAGAACCTGGCCAACTGTCTCAACACTTTGGAAGACAGACTTGTTCTTGAAACGAATCAAACTCGACAGACGGAAAGTCAAAACCTGACCCAGGAGGTCAATATCGGGCTCGTCAAGATGGAACCACTCCTTGGATCTGAGAACAGACACGTCCTTGCTTGTAGCAAGAGTGACCTGCATGGGAGTTTCCTCCTTGCGCTGGAATGTGTTCTCGTAGTCTGTATAGCTCCCCCGATATAAGAACTGGCTGGTGACTTCCATAACAGGCTGGCTTCCACGAGTGATTGTGCCGCAAACCTCGACCATCTTACCAGCGTCCTGGTTGATGACAGCGTTGATTCGAGCGGTAGTGTGAAGCTCATCACCGACCTTCAACGGCTCAGCTCCAGGAAGCATGCGGAAGCCGTTTGACAGATGAACGAGCTTGAGCAAGTCTCCATCAATCGACCGCGGGAAGATTGGCTTAGTGATGGCCTTCCATCCCACGACAATGGCGAAGTCCATAGGAGCAAAGACCTCCTTGCCTGGGCGGTCAACAAAAGCCTCCGCTGTGTTGCCAACGGCATGAACGAAATCAGCAATGTCCTGGGCGTTGACTGTCGCTTTGCCACCATCGAAGGTGTTGGTGGTCGGAATGTCGAACGGCACATCCTTCTCACCGAACCAGATTCGGTAATAAAATTCCTTGATCCGGTCATTGCGACCATCCATGACTTCGTGGATGGGTGCATAGCCGGTCTCCGGATGATAGCGCAATTTCAAGGGCAATGGAACAGCCTCGCCCTCGGCAGTCCTTTCTTCCCACATGTTGATCAAGATCTCGCTCTTTCCTACTAAACCAATGTCAAGAGTCTTGACTGTCTGTCCCGATTGGTTGGGTTCCTTGACAACAATACTAGTCTTGGAAGGATCTTTAGGATGGGCGATCTCAACGGTCATGCCCCGGGTAGGAGCCAAGATGCGCCTAAGAGGGTTGTTTTGATATCTCGCGCCCTGAACGAAAACGTCGGTGGTGAAGAGAGCGTGGCGCCATGAATACGTCTTGCCGGCCAGCAGTTGAGTCCAAGCATCAACATCCGGCAGAGTCGCCGATGGAGAAGGAGACAGTCTGTAGGTAATGCGAGAGCCGTCTGGGATAACAGTAACACCATCAAGCTCGACGACGCTGTCCGGCGAGGTGATAATCTTGCCGCCAAAGTACTCGACGACTGGAACAGCGGACTCACGGCCACCGTAAACATCTCTAATCAGACCCTTGATATGATCATTGTGGATTCCATCCAAAATGTCTTTGACGGGTTCGTCAATCTTTGTGGAATATTTGGCGGACATGGGGCCCTGTAAAATACAAGTTCTGCCGACATCCTGGCCTACCACGGCGTCCAGATCCTCAGCTTGCCATAGTGAGTCCTTTTTGAACCAGAATTCAAAATTCTCGTCCAAAGATGGGACAAACGGAACAGGCTTCTGGCCACGGCGCTGGCAGAGAAGCAAGAAATGCTGAACATCTTGGGCGCTGATTAGTTGGGTCTCGGCCTCAGGGTAAGCAGCTAGGACTTTCTCAACAACTGCAAATGGCTTGTCCAGTTCGGCGTAGCTTTGGACAAGAGATGGTTTACCAGAGCCAACAGTAAAGCGCTCCTCGACGCGGCGAACAAAGTCAACAGTAAGGTTGCGAAGACTGGCATCGATCCACCGTGATTGGTGCTTGACGTACATGAGCTCAACCATGCGGCGAACCACTTCGGCGTAAGTCATGTCTTCGAGGTCAACTGTCTCGCCGGCCGAGTTTCGGCCAAACCAAACCTTCTGGAAGTCATCGTTCAGTTTCTTGATGATATAGTCGCGCTGCTTCTTGAGCTCTGCAACTCGTTTCTTCTTGTCCAAACTAAAGATCTTCTGATCCATCTCGGCCCAGAATTTAACACCTCGTGTGGCCAGCTTGTGGATTGGCTCGCCCATCTCAGATCGCACAGTGATGACGCCGCCAGCAGGTCCTTTGTAGGTCTTCTCCCACTCGCCGTCATCCAGGCCCGGGGCCTCGACGATGGCTTTCTTAGCGTTTGTCGAAGTATGAGACTCCTTGGCAGTCATCAGTCGACTGCCAAAGAGACAACCGTCGTATGGCATCGGGGGATATCCGAATCTGCGAGACCAAACACCAGTGAGATATGGATAAGTATCCTCAGAGCCGCCAAAGCCGCTCCCCGCCACTAGAATGATGTTCTGGCATTTTCGGATACGTCCGTACATTTGGAGGATTGGTTGATGGAAATCCTCAAACGAGTGATGACCACCACCACGACCGCCAGTCCACTGTAGAATGACGGGGAATGATGGATTAGCCTTTGCGATGTTGATCACTTGTTGGATTGCATCCATTGAACCAGGCTTGAAGGCAATGTGCTTGATCCCTAGGGTGTCGATGTATTCCTGAGCGACGTCAATGGATGGTACACCGGCACCAATAGTCAAGCCCTCAATAGGAACGCCATCCGCGCGGAGCTGGCCCAGCAGAGGGATCTGCCAGCCCATGGCACGAGGATTAACATAGATCAAATTGACAGTGATACCGCGTCCTGGAGGGATGGTCTTTTCGATTTGCGTCAGGGCCTCAGTCATGCTTTCGGCATTGTAGTAGCCACCACCCGCCAATTCGATGTGATAACCCGCGTTCATGGTTGCAGCAACAAAATCCCAAGGCACGGTGGTGGGAGTCATACCGGCAACCATCAATGGCGGAACACCGAGTAAGCGTGACATCTTTGTATCGACATATGTCTGGCCAACCGAGGTCTTGACTAGTTTAGGGCCATGCTCTTTGACCCAGTTGGTCGCGTACTTGACTGCATGTTCCTCATCTCGGTCGAAGAGCTCCGGCTTGTACCCAACTTCAGCGTTGGTGCCATCCATCGCACCTGCCAGAATGACGCGGACGCCGGTGCCATCTTTGTTGCGGTTGGTGAGGACTCCAAGACCAGAGATTCCTCCTGGTCCAAAGTCGATAATATGCGTGGCGCCTTCAAACACAGTAGCCTGTTCCCAGTGAACTGGGTCTTGGGTGATCATACGAACAAGAGCTGGAACGATGTCTTGATCATGTTGGGCGCGGAGGTCCTCGCCGGTATTCGTGTCGAACACCGGTATCGTTAACCGAGACGCGGGAATCTTGATGTCGCTGAGATCTTCCTTAATGTTCTTGGAGGCTTCACTTAGAAGAGGGCTGTGGAAAGGAGACGTGATTGGCAAGAATCGATTGACAAAGCGTACTTTGCGCTCCGTATAAGGTATGCGATTTTGGTCCAACCCGGTGGGAGCCTTGACCTTACGCAACCGGAGGTTCAACCCATGGAGAGATATAGGAGCTCCAGTGACCACAAAGTTGCGAGCGCTGTTGATCAAGGAGACGGCAATGTGGCGATCAGTGGGCAGGTGTTCGTTGGTAGCATCAATGTGCTCCTGGAGCTGTTTTAGAGATAGATCTCGCACAGACAGCATAGGTGTAGGAACACCTTCTCCGGCCTCGAGCGAATCCTGCAAGATGGACGGCGCGATGCTTGTACGAGGATATGCCTGTTGGCTCCTCATGCCTATCCAGAACAACATTGTGATTGCGTCTCGTGCGATTTTTGCAAAACTGTCCCACGACGTCGCAGTAGCAATGGCGGCGGCAGTGACCACGCCTTGCGAGTGGCCGGTGGTTCCATTGAAATGTTCATTGACCTCTCTAGGGGTCTTGCCGAGGACTTTACAGGTGACTTGGTAATGGGCGAGTTGAACCAAACCGATCAAAGGCAAGCTGACGGGCGCAGAAACCAAATAATCAGTGTCTGGCTGAGTTTCCCGGTCTTCCAACCAGCGGAGGATATCTAGGCCTTTGGAATAAAATTTGTCCGCCTTTGGGCTTCTGGCCAGATTTTGCAGTAGCTCTGCCGAAGACTCGATCAAGTCTTTGGTGAAAGAAGGGTATGTAGTGAAAACTTCTCGGAGCTCATCAAAATATTCTTCGATGTTGCCTTGGCCGCCGAAAACTGTGTAGATGCTAGCCTCCTCATCGTCTGCAGCTCTGAAAAGAGCTGATTCGTGTGGTTTGATGGGTCTCGCAACTGCTGCCCGGCCGGCATAGTAGCATTTGACCACTTCCAACTTCTTTGCCGTAATCCCTGGGAGAGTTGCAGCCAGAGCATGGACATCATTGGCGTGCATAAAAGATCTTTCAAACTCGTTCAAGACGACTTTCAACGCTTCGACAAAGCCAGAAGCTTCCTCGTCCTCATCGATTTCAGCGGCAATGAAGCCAATGAAACGAGCGACAAGCTCTGCATTTGACGATGGCTCGTCATCTTGGGCTAATTCGTCTGTAGGTTCGGGTAGGGAGGCTTTGAAAGCGTCTTGGAGCTGTGAGGCCTGGAAATGGAGGGCAGTCGGAATCAGAAAGGAGTATTCGAGGGAGCCATGGGTCAGACTCAGAGGTCGCAGGTTTTGGGAAGATCGAGGAGTGTGCGTGCCTGTCGCACCGCCCGAGTACATGTTGCGAATCGTATGCGGAGGACTGCCGAGAAAGGATTTGTCTAGATTGTCGAAGTGAGCAAGCTAATGCCACTTGAGGGGTAGGTGCAGGAAATGAATGAAGAAGCTCTCGGCCGACGAAAAGCTGTTGCTATACAGAGCTGGAGGGAAGAGGTCAGACGACTGGGAGGCGTGGAGGAAGATAAATGAGGTCGAAGGAAGAGTGATGAAGGATGACGCTGACAGAGGTGATTAGTTATTGAGGATAGTAACACACCCGCTGGAGCAACGGAAGTTGAGACGGAATGTGTACTCTGTATGTCGTTCCTTGAATATTGGATGGATTGGGCGAGGCCTTGTAGCGTAGTATAGCAGGTACTATGAGAATTATGCGCCGCAGGCTGAGATGGTTGAGAACGGCGACGAGGTTTTTCCGGCACCGCTGGACAGAGGCATCCGCCAATCACAGAGCTCATAAAGACGGCGGGGAGTAGGCTAAAATCTGGTGGGCGGGCGCTGCTGCAGGGACAAGGCCCATAATCGTCACCATTTCTCCCAACTGCAAGGGAAAAAAAACGGACAGTCTGTCCCTTGACGATATTTTGATTGCATACTAATCAGAACACGGATCATATTCCAGGCAGCAGTGAATGCAAGATAGACTAGGTAGACGGGTTGAGTCTATCGTATCTCGTATGTCTGATTCCTATACGACGTATTGAAGTCATTCTGAATGAACATCTCTTGCCGCATTGCGTAGGAGGTGCCTAAGGAGGAGAAGCTTCGGGGGTTGACTGTTAGGTACCGGTGTAATTACTGCGTACCACCTCCCAAAAATTGGCGGGGCGGCCGCTGGGTGGCCAGACACTGCACTCCACTCTTTTTCTCAACCTTCATTGAGCTTCCAACCAGCCAACGGCTGGGGGAACAGATCATAATCGGACCCTGTAAGAAACCCTCGCCTAATAGTCCTACCTGCGCTCGGAGCCGTACTACGACTAGCCCAAACTGCTGACTGGGGTTCTTGCAAGCAGACTGACGCCGGTGCTGGTGAATTTTCCCTTGCTACAATCCCAACCAACTCCTTCAATAGTCCACCAGATCCTCAAACCCAACCCTCTTGTCCGAACCGTCAAGAGCAGAGGCGGCCTGCAGGGTTACTGATTACTATCTCTTTGAAATCCGTTCACCACTCGATCAACTGGTCCTCTCTCAGTCCTACTATCCTCTCTCTCAGTTTCCCTCAATCACCAGCCTCGACTGTTTCAGTTATTTAGCTCGCACGGCTCCCTCTCCTCCTACACCCGTGCAGCCTCTTGTCTCTTGCCCTGCTCTGATTCACTTCATCCAGCACCGGCACCAGACCTTAATACGAACATTTCCATAGCTCCTTTACGTTGCGGCACAATCCAGACATACCTCCTCGCCACGACCGCATCCCGTCATAATGCGTCCCGAAGTCGAGCAGGAGCTCGCCCACACGCTCCTTGTTGAGCTGCTGGCATATCAATTTGCGTCACCAGTGCGGTGGATCGAGACTCAAGATGTTATTCTTGAGAAGAATCGAACAGAGCGGATTGTTGAAATTGGCCCAGCAGATACACTTGGGGGAATGGCAAAGAGGACGTTGGCGTCCAAATATGAAGCCTACGACGCAGCTACTTCGGTGCAAAGACAAGTTTTGGCCTACAACAAAGATTTAAAAGAGATCTACTATGATGTTGACCCCGTCGAAGAGGAACCTGCTGCCGCCCCCTCGTCGTCCTCCGCTGCTCTAGCACCCTCTACTCCAGCGCCAGCAGCTGCAGTTCCGGCCGCGGCTGCTCCTCAGCCTGCAGCTAGCGCTGGTCCTGCTGCAGCTGTTCCCGATGCGCCAGTCGGCGCTGTCGATATTGTGCGAGCTTTGATTGCTCAGAAACTCAAGAAATCTTTGACAGACATCCCGCTGAGCAAAGCCATCAAAGATCTCGTTGGCGGGAAGTCGACACTGCAAAATGAGATTCTTGGTGACTTGGGCAAAGAATTTGGCTCCACCCCTGAGAAGCCGGAAGATACTCCTCTCGATGAACTGGGTGCTTCAATGCAGTCTACGTTCAATGGCCAACTAGGCAAGCAATCACAATCGCTAATTGCCCGTTTGGTTTCTTCCAAAATGCCCGGTGGTTTCAACATCACAGCTGTTAGAAAACACCTGGAGAACACTTTTGGTCTTGGTCCTGGTAGGCAGGATGGTGTTCTTCTGCTCGCTCTCACCATGGAACCACCGTCTCGTCTTGGCTCCGAGACTGACGCAAAAACTTATCTTGCTGATGTCGCTCAGAAATATGCCTCAACAGCAGGAGTCAGCCTGTCATCTGCATCAGCTGGCGGTGCCGCTGCTGGTGCAGCAGGTGCAGGCATGATGATGGATCCTGCCGCCCTCGACGCGCTCACGAAGGACCAGAGGACTCTTTTCAAGCAGCAACTCGAATTGTATGCTCGCTATCTCAAGATGGATCTTCGTTCTGGAGACAAGGCATTCATTGTCTCTCAGGACACCAACAAGGCTCTCCAGGCTCAGCTCGATTTGTGGAACACGGAACACGGAGAAGTCTATGCCTCCGGTATCGAGCCTTCCTTCAGCTCTTTGAAGGCCAGAATCTATGATTCTTCGTGGAATTGGGCTCGCCAGGATGCTTTGAGCATGTACTACGACATTATCTTTGGCCGCCTGAAGGTCGTTGACCGAGAAATCGTCAGTCAGTGCATTCGTATCATGAACCGATCGAACCCCACTTTGATCGAGTACATGCAATACCATATCGACAACTGTCCTACTGAACGAGGCGAAACCTACCAGTTGGCTAAAGAGCTAGGGGAACAACTCATTGAGAATTGCAAAGACGTCCTCAACGAAGCACCCGTCTACAAAGATGTGTCTCTTCCCACAGGTCCGCAAACAACCATCGACGCCCGCGGCAACCTTGATTACAAAGAAGTGCCGCGGCAGAGTGCCCGCAAACTTGAGCACTACGTTCGTGAGATGGCAGATGGTGGAAAAATCACCGAATACAGCAACCGCACGAAGGTGCAGAATGACCTTCGTCAAGTGTACAAGCTGATTCGGAAACAACACAAGCTTTCAAAGACGGCTCAATTGCAATTCAACACTCTGTACAAGGATGTGATCCGCGCTCTAGCTATGAACGAGTCTCAAATCATGCCGCAAGAAAATGGCGATGTGAAGAAACCCGGCCGAAATGGCTCTTTCAGTCGAGCAACAGTGAACGGGACTATCAAGCAAGGCAAGACCGAGACAATTCCCTTCCTCCACCTCAAAAAGAAGGACCCGCATGGCTGGGAATACAGCAAGAAGCTCACCGGGGTCTATCTTGAATGCCTGGAGAACGCTGCTCGATCTGGCCTCAGTTTTCAAGGCAAGATGGCTCTCATGACTGGCGCGGGCGCGGGTTCAATCGGTGCTGAGGTCTTGCAAGGACTCATCAGTGGCGGTGCCAAAGTTGTGGTCACCACTAGCCGCTATTCCCGAGGAGTCACCGAGTACTATCAATCCATGTATGCTCGCTATGGCGGCCGAGGATCTCAGCTCGTGGTTGTTCCATTTAACCAGGGCAGCAAGCAGGATGTCGAGGCCCTCATCGACTATATTTACGACACCAAAAAGGGCCTCGGTTGGGATCTGGATTACATTATCCCTTTTGCCGCCATCCCTGAGAATGGCCGCGAAATTGATAGCATTGATTCCAAGTCGGAGCTTGCGCACCGCATCATGCTGACCAACCTCATCCGCCTTCTGGGCTCTGTCAAAGCCAAGAAGTTTGAAAATGGATATAACACTCGACCCGCACAAGTAATGCTGCCTCTGTCACCCAACCACGGCACCTTCGGGAATGATGGCCTCTACTCTGAATCTAAGCTGGCTTTAGAGACTCTATTCAATCGTTGGCATTCCGAGAGCTGGGGCGACTACCTCACAATTTGTGGTGCAGTCATTGGCTGGACTCGTGGAACTGGCCTGATGAGCGGCAACAACATCGTCGCCGATGGAGTCGAGAAATATGGAGTTCGGACTTTCTCCCAGCAAGAGATGGCTTTCAATTTGCTCGGCCTCATGTCTCCGGCGATTGTTGACTTGTGCCAGACTGAACCGGTCTTTGCTGATCTTAACGGTGGCTTGCAATTCTTGCCAGACCTGAAAGACCTCATGACTAAGCTGCGTGCTGAGATCATGGAGACAAGCGCTATTCGACAAGCCGTCACCAAAGAGACGGCACTGGAGAATAAAGTCGTCAACGGTGAAGACAGTGAAGCTCTCTACAAGAAGGTCACTATCGAACCGAGGGCAAATATCAAGGTCCCATTCCCTGAGCTTCCCAAGTGGGAGGCGGATATTCAGCCACTCAACTCGAAACTCAAGGGCATGGTCGATCTCGACAAGGTCGTGGTGGTTACCGGTTTCGCTGAAATTGGTCCATGGGGTAATTCCCACACCCGTTGGGAGATGGAGGCGTATGGTGAGTTCTCGCTGGAAGGCTGCGTTGAGATGGCATGGATTATGGGGCTCATCAAGAATCACAACGGGCCTCTCAAGGGCAAGTCGTACTCCGGCTGGGTTGACGGAAAGACCAACGAGCCTGTCGACGACAAGGATGTCAAAGCAAAATACGAGAAGCACATCCTTGAGCATTCCGGTATCCGGTTGATTGAACCAGAGTTGTTCAATGGATACGATCCCGCGAAGAAGCAGCTCCTACAGGAGGTACAAATCGAGGAGGACCTAGACCAATTTGAAGCCTCCAAAGAGAATGCCGAAGAGTTCAAGCGACAACACGGCGATAAGGTTGAGATATTTGAGCTGGAATCAGGAGAGTACAGTGTTCGCCTAAAGAAGGGGGCTACCCTGCTCGTTCCCAAGGCTCTCAGATTTGACCGTCTTGTTGCCGGTCAAATCCCTACTGGCTGGAACGCGAAGACATACGGCATTCCGGACGACATCATTTCGCAGGTCGACCAGGTCACACTCTTCGTTCTTGTGTGCACAGTTGAGGCTCTCCTTTCGGCTGGCATCACTGATCCATACGAATTCTACAAGTATGTCCACCTTTCAGAAGTGGGTAACTGTGTCGGTTCTGGTATTGGTGGCACCACCGCTCTTCGTGGCATGTACAAGGATCGATTCATGGATAAGCCTGTTCAGAAGGATATTTTGCAAGAGTCGTTCATCAACACCATGTCTGCGTGGGTCAACATGTTGCTCCTGTCTTCGACGGGTCCGATCAAGACACCTGTCGGCGCTTGCGCTACCGCAGTCGAGTCTATCGATATTGGTTATGAGACTATTGTTGAGGGGAAGGCACGAGTTTGTCTGGTCGGGGGGTTCGATGACTTCCAAGAGGAAGGCTCATATGAATTTGCCAACATGAAAGCCACCAGCAATGCGGATGATGAGTTTGCCCACGGCCGTACCCCTGGGGAGATGTCTCGCCCCACAACCACAACTCGAAACGGTTTCATGGAGTCCCAAGGCTGCGGTATGCAAGTCATCATGTCTGCCCGACTGGCTCTCGACATGGGAACTCCCATATACGGCATCATCGGCCTGACCACCACCGCCACCGACAAGATCGGCCGTTCCGTGCCAGCTCCTGGGCAGGGTGTGTTGACTACAGCCCGTGAAAATCCTGGCAAATACCCTTCGCCTATGCTCGATATCAACTACCGACGGAGGCAACTTGACCTTCGAAGACGGGCCATCAAAAACTGGCACGAATCTGAGCTCTTGTACCTTCACGAGGAGGTTGCTGCTATGAAGGCTCAGGCTGGCTTTGGCTTCAACGAAACCGAGTACATGGAAGAGCGTGCTGCCCACATCGAGCGTGAAGCCATCCGACAAGAAAAGGAGGCCCAGTTCAGCCTGGGCAACAACTTCTGGAAACAAGATTCTACTATTGCTCCCCTGCGTGGTGCTTTGGCCACCTGGGGTCTGACGATCGATGATCTCGATGTTGCATCTTTCCACGGTACCTCGACGGTGGCCAATGACAAGAACGAGTCCGAGGTCATTTGTCAACAAATGAAGCATTTGGGCCGCAAGAAGGGCAATGCCCTGCTCGGCATTTTCCAGAAGTACTTGACCGGTCATCCCAAGGGTGCTGCTGGAGCTTGGATGTTCAATGGCTGCTTGCAAGTCCTGAACAGCGGTCTTGTTCCGGGCAACCGAAATGCTGACAACGTGGATCAAGTCATGGAGAAGTTTGACTACATTGTCTATCCAAACCGGACGTTGCAGACTGACGGCATCAAAGCCTTCTCCGTCACCTCATTCGGTTTCGGTCAAAAGGGTGCCCAGGCGATCGGCATCCACCCGAAATATCTCTTTGCCACTTTAGAAGAAGCCGAATTTGCGAGATATAAGGCGAAGGTTGAGGCCCGACAGAAGAAGGCTTATAGATACTTCCACAACGGCATGATCAACAACACCCTGTTTGTGGCAAAGTCCAAGGCACCTTATCCAGATGAGATGATGCAGCAGGTGTTCCTGAACCCCGAACAGCGGGTTACTGCAGACAAGAAATCTGGCGAGCTTGTCTTCCCCGCTGCGCCCCCCAAGTCGTCTTCAAGCCCCAAAGTTTTGGAGACGAAGGTTCTACTTGAGTCTCTGGCCAAGGCAAGCGCGACTGAAGGCTCCAAGGTGGGCGTGGATGTTGAAGACATCCGAGCCATCAATATTGACAACGAGACCTTTGTCGAGAGAAACTTCACCGAAAAGGAGCGAGCTTACTGCGACAAGGCCCCCTCTCCTCAGGCTTCATACGCCGGACGATGGAGTGCCAAAGAAGCTGTGTTCAAGTCGTTGGGGGTTTGCAGTAAAGGGGCTGGAGCTCCACTTCACGACATTGAGATTCTGAACGACGAGAACGGAGCACCCCAAGTTGCCCTTCATGGAGCTGCCCTCGAGGCCGCAAAGTCGGTTGGCGTGAAGAACGTCAATGTGAGCATCAGCCATAGCGACAGCCAGGCCATCGCCGTTGCTGTGTCCGCCTTTTAATTATTGTGACGGTGTTTGGACATGTCTGATTTAATTTGAACGGTCTGGCGGAACCTCCCTAACTGGCGGGACATACCTCGATGCGGATGGAAGCGTTTCCTTGTACTTAATGTAATGGATTACAAGCAAGGGAATCGGCGGCGCCCTGGTATCTGGTTAAAACGAGAGATTCTATCATAACTTTGGCCTTTCTACACGCAGACCGCACGGAAGACCCAATAGAGCTGTTACACCATTTCTCCATTTCGATGTTGATCGCATAACTGACTGAACTCCCAAAGTCCTCCAGGCGCTGTTGCTTGCTGACGGCCTGTCTCTCGAGTGACACCATGCAGCCAGTGACTTGATCTGGACTGTTCGACAGGTGCTTTATCACATCGAAAGCAAGATGTTGGAGCGGCAGTCTTTCACCCCAAATCGTGGTCACGGGATATCTTGCCTGCGCCTACGGCACGTGATAGCGCTCGCAGCACGTGACTGCTGGAGTTAGTTGCCCCGCACTGCGCCAGTTGCTGGGTAACCAACCCAAGTTGTGCCTTGTTGGCCTTGCTGGAGCCTGGAAGTTTGATGTCGCAGTGCACCAACTTGAAATACACTGAAGCACATAGCCATCTAAATCTGTTCCTAGGTCAGTCTATTGCTTCTTCTTCCTCGTGATTTTTCCATCTTTGTTACCGACAGAATAATGTCATCCGCCTCACCCTGACATCCTACGCGCTACACCACCCTCCTCGACAACATTCGTGACCATGCCCGCAGTCACGGAATCACCCGTCCTCATACCAGGCTCCTTTTTGCCTGAGCCTGATGGTGTCTCGCACTTCACGCGATACGAGTCTTCTGTATTTCGGCCTCCTACGGATGACAGTCCCCATTCAGCGACTCCACCGTCAATTTCATTCGCATCGCAGTCGATCTTAAATTCAGCGAAAGCCACCAGTCACGAGAACAGCCGCAAGCGACCCCGCCTCGACACAGTGTGCAACCACGCTCACTCAGACGCCTCGACTCCATCTTCCTGTCGAGATGCTCTCAGTCCACCCCTGTTCGTCAATACAAACTACCGCATGGCCGGAGGTCTTGATGCCCAATTTGCCTCGATGGTACAAAGAGAAGAAGACGGGCATGACCATGACTATGAAGTGGACTGCAGACCCACCAGATTCACTCAGCGGGGGTCATCCCAACATCCTGACTCTTACTTTCCAAATACCCCTGGCCCAAACGACGCCGGACGGACCAAGAGGAAACAACCTTCAAACTCACCAAAGGGCTGGGGCAAGACCGTTTGGGCCCTGACTGGTGGCATTGCCGGCAAGGTCTTCGATTTCTGCTGGAACACCACCTTCAAAGGGTTCCACGCGGGCGGGGGAGATGGATACCGCTTCGACCTCGGTACGCCCGATGTTGCTTCAAATACATGGACGGAAGTGGATTCTCGAGAGGATGTGTTTCATGCCGACTACCCTGTCCCCCCCATTAGACGGGAACGGTTACATACTCCAGTTCCGGGTGGTTTTCCAGAAGAACCAAACTTCACCCAAGATTACATGTCTAACACATCTCCACCTCGGATGAACGATTTAGTTTCAACTCCGACGATGACCACTGGTCGAGCTGCGGGCTCTATCTATCGAGACAGTTGGGTCGTGGTGGACCGCCCCAAAGAAAGCATATCAAGGGAAAGCAGCCCAGTACGAAAGAAATCGAGAGCAAGCACCGCAAACCTCTATGGCCGTGCAGCTCCTCCGAGACATGCCAGCAGCTCGGGCCGCCCGCGTCTGGTTTCGCGATCATCCACCCACAGACCTTCGGCATCTTTTGCCTCACCTCGTACATTTTCATCTTTGAATCCGAACACACTCACTCACTCCTCGCAGAGGCGGCAGTCTGTCTCCAGCGCCAACACCGACCTCCAGGAGCAGGCGCCTCAAAACGCAAAAGTTTCAACCAGCAGCAAAGCTTCGCTGGCCTCACCCCGCCGACATGCTAGCCAACCCGCCTCTTCGGCCTCGATATCTCAACCGTCTCCGGAGGTACGCAAGTTCGAGCAGAAGCTGCGACGCAAAGAAGCAAAACGGGACGAAACGATGAATCGGTTCAATTCCCAGTTAGAGGCCATGATACGCGAAGGGCAGCAAGCTTTGGGATCCAAAATTGAAGTTGAGATCGACGACGGCGCGGACCTGGATGTCGACGAGGGGTATGGAGGAGATGATGGCAATGGCAAGAGTTTAGAGAGATGGGAGAGGGACTATGTTCGGCCAGGGCTCTGGGCTTAGCCCGTAAGGTAGCTTGTCACCCCCGCCACAACAGTTGCTAGAGTTCTACCCCCCAAGAGGCGGTGGCGGCAGTCTGGAGTCACGGGTAGAGGCAAAGTGGGAGGTTATACACGATGGGCGATTATCCGGATACTTAGATGCCAGATACCCGATCCCAGATCCCAGATTCCAGCCGAAGACAGGCGTGTCGAATCATCTACTCTGTAGTCAATGCATCCAGGTAATGGGAATGCTGTAGCGCTCGACTGCATGGCTCAACAGACCAGACAGAGGTGAGTGCATTGTTTGTCGCATGTAGGAGAAGAAGCACCAATGAAATCGGATTCAGCGCCGATTTCTTTCCGCTCCATCCTGCCCAACTTGGTGCGCTGGGCCTTTCCTTTGCATAAACAGACCACCCATCGCCCCAGATAGAGAGGTGGGCGTGTCTAGCATGCCGAGCCGGGACCGCTCGCCTGAGGGGGGACATCCCTCTCCTAAGGCATGAGTGGTTGGTTCTTCGATCTCACGGGTAGAGGCGCAAACGCAACATAGTGTATCCGTACTTCGAGGACGTGCTCCGGGAAACATCTATCTCCGCCAGAGATACTGCTCTGCATGGTCGGTCGTTTCGTCCTGGGCGACGGGGAGATGTGCGTAGGGAGTGTTGGCCCTAGACAGACAGACTCTGGAGGCCTGAGATACGTGTTACACCCAAATATGTAGGTGGCTAGACAAAGCTTCGTATTGTCTGCATCGTATTGCCTGGTTGGCCGAATATATTAGCCCATAAGGCTTGTGACGGTCAGCGTCTGGTGTTTGTTGAAGCGTGATCCGGCCGAGGTTTTCTTCTGATCTCTGCTTTCGGTAGGTCTGGCACCCACCGGCGCAGGTGGGAGCGTGGATGTAGGCGAAGGAGTAGGCCGGGGTTGTGACTGAGTGGTTGCGAGCAGAGACGTCCGGAGACGTTCCAGGCGCTGTACTTGTGCCTGGTGATCTAGTGTGGACTGTCGTAAGCGCTTCATCGCTTGTTCAGCCTGCGAGCTGTCCAGGGTGTCTTGAAACCGATCCTCCACGCCCGACATAGACGGAGCGGATTCTCCGGAAGTCCAATCGAGTGCCTCTTGCGTCGCAGCGGAAAGGGTCGTGGATGCAGGATTGCCCTGCAGGATATAGGCGGCCCATTGTCGGTCCGCGGCAAATGCATGATTGACCTGATCCTTTAGCACCTCGTACTCCTCCGCAGACAATTCTTCAACGTCTCCTGGTTGCGACGCCAGCTGCAGCCTCGTCGTGATATCGCTTTGGAGTCGTTTCAGGTCGTGCGCGTGGACGGTAGCTTTTTCGCGAAGATCCTGACGCTTTCGCAGCGATTGCTGGAGGAGGAATCGATGGGCAAGGATCAATGGAACAACGTCTTCTCCATCTGGAGTTCGACATGTCTTGACTGCCCCAGTCCATCTTTCCCTGCCCTTGACAGACTGATCGGCGTTCCTCGCCAGACTTGCCCGTAAAACAAGCATGGCGAAGGCGGCGAGCAACTCCTCAAACTTCTCGCCTTTACATTCATCCAGCATCGTCTTCCGCAACACCGTCTCACGGGGAAGTATGCCGTCCTTCTTCAGCTCGGTCAGCCATTTGTAAATCCCGGCACGGAGGTTTAACGATTGGATGGGTGCCGCGGGCGGGAAATGGCTCGCTAGCTTTGCGCGTGTACCTTCGGCGTCGTAGATCTGGAAGAGCCGGTAGAAACTCCACTCAACTGCTTTGATGCGAGACTGAGGGGTTTGTGGCTGACTTGCTGCCGACCTAGACATGGACGCGGAAGTGGATGTGGTCCTGGCAAAGGTCGATTCAGCTATCCCCGGGAAATCGGGGAGGAGGTCCAGATCCAGGAGATGGAGAGTTCTGACGAAGACGGCGACGTCGCTTCGCGGACGCCATTGGATCTGATGAGCTGGCTTGGGAGCGCCGGTGGTTGGACTTGAACGATCCATAGGGGCTCATTCGGCATGGTAGGAAGATCAATGGCCCTCCTGAAAATCATCTGTCCCCTGGACAGGCCACTCCCAACAAACTGTACAGAGCAAATGTGTTGATATTACAGACGAATGAATAGTGGGTGGGCGGCGGCGGCGGGACGGCACGCAACGTCAGCTGGTAAACAAAGCAGAAACGAGAGAATTCAGACTGCGTTTTTCCACACTCGCCTCAGAGTACAGCCTTGATCTTTTGCTTGTTCTTTGTGTCTGCGTGTTTGTCGCTGTACATAGACCTGGCAGGACGCCGGTATAAAGGTTGTTCTGGTCCCTTAACTCTGTTTCTCTGTTAATTACATCCCAACTCTCTACTCCTGTCAGCCCCACCGCCATGACTACCCCCCAACCTCAAGGTATGCGACTTCACCTTTCTCAATGCTTTCGCTAACTCAGACATGCAGTTCCTCCAGCGGATGCTAGGGCTGGGACCTCGCACACCTCTCTCCTACCCAAGCCCAACCCGTGGTCCGTCCGAGCCGTGCTCAAAGATCTTCCGAACCCGCCGGCCGAAAACACTTCCTCTCCGGTCTCATTCTTCCACTATGTCGAGCGACTGAAAATCGAGAAGCGTGAGGGATGGCGTAGATTTGGCATCTTCAAAGGGGAATCGATAGCAGATCATATGTACCGCATGTCGTTGATCACCATGCTTGCACCGCCGGCGTTGAGCTCACGATTGGATATCCCGCGCTGTACCAAAATGGCTCTGGTGCACGACATGGCTGAGGGGCTGGTTGGCGACCTGACTCCTGTGGACGGCGTACCCAAGGTGGAGAAAAGCAGACGTGAGACCGAAACCATGGATTGGGTCGCAGATTCGTTGCTCGGCAAAGTCCACGGAGGGATCCCTGGGAAAGATATACGCGCCGTTTGGCAGGAATACGAAGACGGCGACACTCTGGAATCAAAGTTTGTCCATGATGTCGATAAGATCGAGTTGATCCTGCAGATGGTGGAGTATGAGCGGGCCAGCAACTGCACCATCGATCTCAGCGAATTTAGTTGGGTGGCTACGAAGATCTCTCTGGAAGAAATGAAGGCGTGGGCGCGGGAAATTCTGGACGAACGAACGATGCTATGGCAAAGCAAGGACATACAGCCCCAAGGACCCACGGCGACGAACAAGGAGCGACAGGATGCTTACTATGATAACGGGAAGACGGAGACGAACGGGGATGTGGGGTCATGAGATGGTCTGCAGAGCATGAATTGGACGGATGTGACAGGATCGGGCGCAACATCGTAACAGTGATACCCAGAAAGCCATAGATAGACACCGACGGCCAGGCGAGACTCCTGTTTATTCGCTGATTGAGCCTAGAAACCTCGAGACATATGCACCGGTGCGGTGCGTCTTCTTGAGCACAGCGCGAATTTCCGAATTTTGAAACAGTTCTTAAGAGTATGTAGACGAGTTGCGACCTGCATGAACGGCGGTGATCGGACATTGTCCATCCATGATAGCTCACCACCCTCCGTCTCTCAGTTGTCTTGTTCTTTTTCTTCGCCGCGCACACGGTCTGTTTCCATTTCCTCCCTCAGCCAAACTGCCTCCTTGGCCATCTCCTCCTGATTTCGGGGCTTCCTGTCGCTGTCGCCGTCAGGACCGTTGGCGAAATCTTTCCTCTGGCGAGCCAGCTCGCCGCGTTGACGCTGCATATCGAGAAAAGCCTTTCCAACGTCTCCGTCCTCGCCGTCCATTGCGTTGTAAAGCTGATCTCCGCCGCCTTTGTGGTCGTAGTCTCCTCTCCGCCTCGGAATGACATGCACATGGACATGGGGCACAGACTGGCCGGCGTCCACGCCATCCTGGACGGCGATGTTAAAGGCGCTGGCTGAGTACAGGCGCTCTAGGGTCCGCGAGACGCGTTGGGCCGTCTTGAAGAGATCGGCCGTCTCGGCAGGGCTGAGTTGCGCAAGACGAGGCACACATCGCACCGGGCAGATCAGCACGTGTCCGGGCAGCAGGGGTTTGAGATTCACCAGGCCAAAAGATAGGCGGGAGCGCGAGAGATGAAACACTTGCTGGGAGACGGGGAAGGGGCCGAACTTGAGGTTGGGCGGCAGCTGGAGACGCGGCATTGGAGACTCTGGTTTCCTCGAAGCTGTGAGTGTTGGGTGTTCCGGTTTCGGGTTGGCTGTCATGGTATGTGTTCGATGTTGGCAATGTTAGCAAGGCTGGTTGCCCCCGTACAGTACCAGCCTCACTTGGAGATCCGGATGCTGCAAATTAAGACACCGTTCCGAGTAGTACCAGCCTGTTGCTCAATCAGAAAGCTCCTAGCTATCTGTAAGGCAAATGGGACATTTAGACACTGTTCAGTAGCGTATGGGCACCCAGTCGTCCTGCTCTTGAGCTGTGTGAATCTTTGGAGAGTGGTGGTGATATGTGGAGTATTCGATTCATAAAGTAAGCGAATGATTATCTCAGATGCCTTGGGTTCCGAAACAGCTTAAACCTATCATCATCCTCATCGCCAGTCTTTACTAGCAGCCAAAAATAAATTATGATAGTCTGAAAGACCAAAAAAACGGGCTCAATCGGGATTCGAACCCGAGGCCTGTCACAGTTCATGGCTTTTTCAACCAAGAGACACCCGAAGCGACAATCATACCACTAGACCATTGACTAAAGAAATTGTGAGTAAGAAGAACTACAGAAATGACCTATGATGCACTTACGCCTTGATCAAATTTGTGATCGAGAAATTTGCAAGTTTTCGGCAGGCTAGATATATAACGTACTCAAATAAAGAGGCCCGGGGGACTCCACTTTCGGCTTCCTCCCCCTAAGTCCGGTGCCTATAAAAAAGCCCCTTAAGCTGTACGTATGTAAGCTGTAAGCTGTGAGGTTATCAAGGAGAGCGTGAACCAATACAGCTGGGAACGACCGATCCAAGTGCTAAAACGCGGGATGAATGTGTTTGCGGTCTCTGTCGAACAGAAGCACATCCTCCCATCACATTACGCTTTTACGAAGATGCCACGGCAGCGGCCAGGAAAATGTAAGAAGCACATCTGCGTCTGTGAGGGCCGCGGGCTTCCGTCACTGACATGCAGCAGCCGTGAGGGAAGTGTATATGCTTGGAGACCGGGAGAAGACCCTCCACCTCGAACCTTTGGAAAATCAGATAGATCGCGCTTAGACTAAGTTTACAATTTCGGCTTGGGGCCTTCCAGCAATTCTGCTCCCGCGCCAGCAATGGCCAACTTGCCAGTCTCTTTCACCTTGGTCTGGAAGATGACCTTGTTACCCTCCTTCCACAGTTCGGTGACCAGGGTCTGTCCGGGGAGGACAGTGCCGGCAAAGCGGACCTTGATACTCTTGAACAAACCATACGTCTGAACGATGTGCTTGCCACTAAAGCCAAAGAAGCATAGCCCGTGGAGGATGGGCTCCTTGAACCCACCGACCTTGCTGAACTCTGGATCGATGTGCAGAGGATTTCGGTCACCGTTCAGTCTGTATAAAGCGGCCTGATCTGGCGAGGTGGCTTCCTCGACAACGGCGTCGGGGGCACGCTTGGGTGGCTGGTAGATCGCGGTGGCATTGCCACGATTGGATCCCTTCTTCGGTCCTCCGAACCCGCCAGCTCCCCGGATGAAAACTGTGGATTCGTTGTAGAACAGATCTTCTCCGGTGTTTGCATCCTTGGTGGTGACACCGGTGGCAACGATCGCCGCGCTGCCCTTGTCGACAACTTCAATAAGCTTGGGATAGGAGACCGTCTTCGCCTGTGTCGGGATCGGATACTTTCGGATTTCCAGGTACTGTTCACCATGGAGCAACAGCATCGGTGAGAAATTTGGCACAATCTCGTCAAAGCTGAAAGGAGATTCGGCGTTGAAGTATGGGATGACACCAAATGTCGGCAGCACTTGGAAGTTGTCGTCATTCTCATACACCAGAGGTAGTTGCGTCCTGTGTGCGTTCAGGGACAAATTGTAGAGGATGACGTCCCTGTCATCATAGCTGAAGCTGGTACCCTTAGCCTTGGCCTTCTTTGCCTTTTCAATGGCCCCAAGGTAATCATTCTCGTCGCCTGAGCTGGAAGACTCCGTACTCTTGTTCTGCATGTTAGCCATGATGGCCTTGAGGCCGTCTTGAGGAGACTCAGGGTGATCCGCACGGCCGTCATCGAAGTCAACGACCTTGGCCCATTTCTCGACCACATGCTCAGGAGTCAAGGGAACATCGATGGGGAATCCCACCCCTCCTGACCGCTGCCATCTCGTCCGGCCTTGCCAGCCACTGCCGACCTCGAAGAGTAGACCTGTTGGGGGGTCTGGGGTCTTGTCGGAGGACAGCAGCAGGACAAGTGGGGCGACGTATTCAGGCTTAAATGCTTGCACCAGTTCCTCGGGTAAGATTGTTCGGGTGAGCGCGGTCCCGGCGTTTGGCGCGATGGTGTTGACGAAGATGTTGTTCTTTCGGCCTTCCAATGCCAGAGCTCGGGAGAACCCAAGAATGCCAAGTTTCTGCTCTCATCAGTACAGCTCTGGTGGCACAATATTCGGCTAGGCGACTTACTGCTGCGGCATAGTTGGCTTGTCCAAAGTTGCCATAGATGCCACTAGTGCTGGTGGTGTTGATGATTCTGCCGTATTTCTGCTTCACCATGTAGGGGTATGCGGCCTTGGTCACCTTGTAGGTACCGCGGAGATGGACAGCCAAGATGATATCCCATTGCTCATCGGTCATGTTGGCGAAGGCCTTGTCCCTGAGGATGCCGGCGTTGTTGATCAGGATATCAATTCTCCCGTAGGTGTCGATAGCGGTCTTGACAACGGCCTCTCCGTCTTCAACGGAAGCTTTGTTGCCCACCGCCTTGCCACCAAGCTTTTGAATCTCCTGCACGACTGTGTCGGGGTTCACAAGATCGTTAACCACCACGGAAGCGCCGAGTTTGGCAAAGGCCAGAGAGTATGCACGGCCCAGACTGGGGCTGTTAGCATGAAATCGCAATGGTGGTCATATGTGGAACGTACCCAGCACCACCGCCGGTCACCAAAACCACTTTTCCGTCAAACCTGATCTCCTCACCGGGATCGTTCCGCCCTATCTTGAGCGACTCTTCAAGTTTAGTGACCATATCCGCAGGGCCAGTGGGATACTCCGGCTCGGAGAAGTCGTTGACTTCGTCCCATCTCTTCAGAATGGCACCAGGCGTATAGGTCTCATCGGCTTTGAGCAGAAGACCTTTGGCACGCTCCCATCTCAACTTTGCAATGTGGCCGCCGCCGACCTCGAAAATGGAGCCGCTTTCGTGAGTATTGGAAGGGTGGACCAAGACCGCAACCAAGGGAACAACCCATTCAGGCTTCAAGTTGTTGAGCACGTCGGGTGGCATGACGGTCGCGGTCATTCGGCTGGCGGCGATGGGTGCAATGACATTGGCAATGATGTTGTATTTGGCACCTTCCTTGGCCAAGGTCTCGGTGAAGCCGACCTGGGCGAGTTTTGCAGCCGAGTAGTTGGTTTGACCGAAGCTGCCGAACAAGCCTGCGGCAGAAGCAGTATTGATGACTCGACCGTACTTTTGTTTCCTGAAGTGTGTCCAAGCAGCTCTTGCGCACTTGTATGCACCCTTGATATGAACGGCATTGACCAAGTCCCAATCGGAATCTTTGATGTTTTTGAAGCTGACGTCTCGCAGGATGCCGGCGTTGTTGATGAGGACATCGATGCGGCCGAAGTTATCAATAGCCGTCTGGATGATCTTGTCGCCGTTTTCGACACTGTCATAGTTGGCCACGGCTTTCCCGCCGGCGGCCTTGATCTCATTGACCACCACGTCGGCAGCCTGATGCTCACGTCAGAAATGCCACCTCACGCAGTTCAGAGCATGGGGATGGGGCAACAGAATGCCAGTACGCACCTTTGTGTCTGCACCTTCACCCTTGAAAGAACCGCCCAAGTCATTGACGACAACGTTGGCACCTCTTGATGCAAAGAACAGGGCGTATGCTTTCCCCAGGCCTCCGCCTGCACCAGTGACCACAACGGTCTGGCTGTCGAAACGCAACTCTTGTCCCATCTTACTTGCTGCTCATGCGGGTACGGAAGGATGGTTTACAACCAGAGGCGGATGAGGGACGGCAAGGAAGACAACTTGGTAGAGGTAGTTCAGGAGAGAATCGAGAGATAGACAGAATGATGTGCGATTAGAAGCACTCGAAGGGTAGTGACAGGACAAAACAGAGTACAGAACTGCGCTGTGGCATGTGTTTGGACGTCACCGTCTGCCGCTTCGTCCTGCCGCTGTGTACGGATACTGTACTCCAGAGTAAGCGGCATTTCGGATTTGGAGCCGAGGCAACGAAAGCCTCGGTTTGGGATCATGTGACACCTCCGCCTCGAGCCTTATTGGAGCGCCGTACAGAAGAGTCGGAGAGCGTACCCAGTAGGTGCCCAGGTAAGGTACCTACCCGTGGCAAAGCACGCCCGGGGGTGGGCATGACCTCCGTAGGTATGTAGTTACCAGCAACGCTCTTTAGGTAGGTACCTAGTCTTTACCCTTGGCCACATACCTGCTCCGTAGGTGACACTACTCCTGATCAATATTCGGCATCTTCTGCTCGCTTCACTATGGCTATACTGCAAGCGAGCATTAAGTCTCACAGTTCCCCGTACGTCCGTACGTTGGCCGTACTGTGTTCAGATTGATTGTCGCCTCCGCCTCGCATAACGCTCAAAATGGGCCAATTGTTGACATGTGAAGTGGCACGTTGTTGCCGAACCCTACTTGGGTAGGCACATGACAGGATGGCTTACTGTAGATGTAGCCCCTAAGCCTAAGCCTGCCTGGCAGTCTCCTAATTCTTAGCCAATGGCGATGGGCCAAGGGTCCTAAGGTTTAGACTTCTAGGCACCTATTACCTAAGTAACCTTACTAACTTAGGTACCTAAGGTACGTACCTACCACCTAGGTGGCCCTAAGGCCGTTAGGCTACCTAGGTACCTATATATGTACCGAGTAGGTATACCTAATTACCTATCTCTACCTTAATCCTGCAACACCACGTTCAGCCCCCTCATCGGTAGGCCTCGGTGGCAATGAGAACATTCAATAACCACGTCTATATATACGTCTGCCATTAGACGAACGGGAGCAGTGCCGAGCCCGCAGCCACTGGATCGCTCAGAGCTTGTGTCCGGAGTACATACACTGTACACAGGTACATATGAGCCGGGCAGCAGTCCGGATTGCTTGTCACGTCGGCCAATTTTATAGCCGCTCCCCAACGCCAAACAAATATCTACGACTTACGTCCTGGACACACACTTCTCTCTACTCATCCGTAAACCCGTCATTCCGTATCGTTGTTGACCTTGATGTTGATGAAATGACCTGACCTTGGCCCTGCTGAGCAAAGGCCCAAACAGAAAATGCCCGAAACCGAAATCCAAGACGATAAGGCGCCGTATGTAGTCCCGTTCATTCTGTCGCTGTTATCCGAGCATCAAGCGCAACACTTGAGCGAGGCCAGCCCAGCGCCATTCTTCATCGGCCTGAACGGCGTCCAAGGCGCCGGTAAGTCGGTGCTGGTCGAGATTCTGAAGAGAACATTGTCTTCTCCCCCACACAACCTGTCGACGGTGGTGTTCTCGCTGGACGATTTCTATCTCAGCCATGCCGACCAGGTGGCCCTCGCCAACAAGCATTCAGACAACCCGCTGCTCCAGCACCGCGGACAACCGTCCACTCACGACATCCCGCTTGCGCTGTCGGTGTTCGCGAGTCTAAAACAGAACAAACCCACCAAGATCCCACAGTACAACAAGGCCGCGTTCTCGGGTCAGGGGGACCGCATCCCCGAGAGCGAGTGGGAACCAGTCAACACCGCCCCATCGTCGCCCGTGCGCGTGGTTCTCTTTGAAGGTTGGTGTGTCGGGTTCCGCCCACTCTCGGAGGAGGCCCTCGTGGCAAAGCACGCCGCCGCGGTGCAGGCGCGGCAAAAGTCCACGCCTTCCAATCCTTACACGGGCCGACTGGGCCACAACACGCTGGAAAGCGTCACGACCATCAACGAGGCGTTGAAGTCCTACGATGCACTGACGGCGCAGCTCGACGCCTTCATCCATATCGACGCCCAAAACCCGCAGTACGTGTACAGATGGCGCGTGGAACAGGAGGCCGGCTTGCGCGCAACTCGCGGCACCGGCATGACGGACGTCCAGGTCAAGGAGTTCGTCGACGGTTACTATCCTGCGTACGAGCTGTACACTGACACGCTACGAGAAGGCGTGTTTAGTTTCGACGGCGCGAGAACGGATTGGAGGGGCCGCCAGCTGCGCCTGGTGGTGGGGGAGGACAGAAAGGTCAGAGAAGTCGTCAGGATTTGATGAGCAGAGCACGCAAAAAGACACTCGGAATAATGCTATGCGAGGAGTCGAATCTACAGAGTTCCGAGCGGTCTAGGAAGCATCTTTTTCTCTTTCGGGCCGGATCTCCGGATCTAGAATAAGACTAACAATACATTGGGCGGGATGTCCAAATATTGTGGGATGGATTCTCTTTTGTTTCATATTGTTACTCATAATAGTACAAGCGAACCCGCAAACCAGACGAGAGCGATCATTCCGCGTGATCCCTATGAGATCCTCAAGCGATCTTGGCCTAATTCCACAATTCCAGAGTACAGTACGGAGTACCACGTACGTACTTCTGGACCGAGTATCCGTCCTCCATACGAAGTACTCCGTACACTGTACAGGCCGATAAGTCGAGTGGCTCAGGCTCCACGAGGCACACTTGGTATCATTAATTGTTAACTATTGCGGGCTTCAGGCGTGTATTGTGCCAGTGTGCCGTAGTTTCACACCTGCCTACCTTGGCAAGGCTCTACAGAGTATCGGTACGGGTACGGGATACTGTATGTTGAATCGAGCTACAGAGAAGTATCTTGTACAGCTTACTACTGGTGCTGCTCAACGTGAAGTGACATTATTCCACCTAGCAGCCATCCCAGGTATTCGACATCCCACTACTAACTCCGTACATACTCGACATCCCACTACTACTGTACATACTCTGGAGGACAGAACGGTAGTTGAAGACGGAATAGTATTCTGCACGGCTGACAAATTATGCACAGGGTAGACGATCACCAACTCTGCGGTTTGGCGATCCTATAGGTCGTCTACCCAGCGCCGTTTATGCACGCTTCGGCCCTACTCTTGTATAGGACTTAGTATACTCCGTACACTGTACAGGACTAGGTCGATGGGGCCCTGAGGCAGACGAGGGGCGAAGCGAACGAACCACTACTAACTAGTCGGCTTCACCGTTCCAACATTCTGTCCCAGTGTCCATGTGGTTTTCTCCTTCAATCATCATCATTAATTGCGGACCGTTGACGCCACTACGCAATACGGACTGGTCTCGGATGTGCCGTACTACCCGGTGGGGTGGTTGTGCTTGTCCCAGAACCAGAGGTCGAAGGGTTGAGACCTGATTAAATCGAAACATGTTGTTCAGCAGCGAGGCCACCCACGTTGTTTAGAGTTTGATATATCTAGTAAAATTAGAGGATTCCCGCACCAGTCATATCTCCACCGTTGGGGCACAAGGCTCTGCTCTGCATTTGGCATGTCCAACAGCGGCGGTGGGAAGATTTCACTTGGCCACATCGTAGAAGATGGAAGCTGATTCTGAAGAAGCTGGTCGTTTCTCTGCCGTGGACTCGGACTGACCGATCGAGGAGGCCATTCCCCTTCGCCCGAAGATCGGCCAGCAAGCAAAAGCGACCTATCCTCTATCCTGGTCAGAGCTGCTTTTACTGGATCCGCCGCCAACGGGTCCTCACTTGCATGCCCACTCGCATGCCACATGCGTCACAAGATATTGCAGAGATGTTGATGGGACACGCGACTTCATCTGCATCCCGCATTCTCGCAAGCTGCAGGACTTTGCTGCACCGATTCTGCATCCAGAGTACCGTAAAGTCACTAAACGCCCCTTGGCCTCCTACGCCCCACAACTTGCTGAGGCTAAGCCGAGACACTACTAATTAACTAGTTCTCTGTACGGATAGCTGGATGCAGATGCTGAAAGAAATCGAAAAGGGATCATGCCACTTGACCAGCCAGATGGTAATTAATCACTTGACTAATACATACCCAGAGAACGGAATCAAACTCCGCTCCTGCGCTGTTACCATGTAGGTGCCATGACCGACGGACCACGCCGATGCCTAGTAGTACTGAGTAGTAGTAGGAGCGAAGGTCGTCGTGGCCCTGGTCTCGGTTACTGTATTAGGTTCTTTCTATATCTGAGATCTCTCAGAGGCCTTCTTCACCTCGTCTGCTATCCGTACACAAACAAAGTCCGCTGGCAAAGACTTGACCTCTGTCTTTACCTAGCCGAGGGGTACTTTCGCGGCGGGAAAATACAACCCACAACCTGTCCAATCAATACCAGTCAAGCCGTGTAGATCGTGGGCGAGGTGGCACTATCACTAGATGCTGCGACTCAATCGTAGTGGATCAGGTCTCCCCCATCACCAAAAGAAGAATCCAATGCTTACCGCTTGTTCGTGGTTGCGCAAGCCACCTGGGCCATGATCGAGTGCCAACATGCAGGGCGCCTACTGCCGCGCGCAGAATAACCCTCTGAAAGATTCCAGACAGCCGATGACCTGGCGGTACACGGTCGTGTTTCGCTGTAGGACAGCTGCGCTGTTCATGGGAATTAGGACGAGTAAGAATGAATGCCACTGCTAGGGGGGGTGGGTGTATGGGTCCATCCTCCTTAGGCATTGGGCTTTTGAGAAAGAAGCACAGTGGCCGACCTAGTTCTGACTAGGGGACACCGAGGAGCAAGCTGTGGCACATAATGGGTAGCTTCGAGAACGGTTGTGTTCCCTTCAGATCACGCTTCTTAGTCTCGACCGGCTTGCTGCTGGTACAGCTTCCAAACGCCACTCAAGGTGGCAAGCCTGTAGATATGCAAATACGGTGGTCGCAGAAAATGCATGCAAGGAGCGCTCAGCTCGCAAGCACAGTGGCGTGAGACAAGGAGAAGAGGGGTTTGTGAAACTGTAGTGTGACTTTATCTTCGCCATCTGTTCAGAAACAGCGACCATGCAGGCTCTTTAGTCTCATTATCCGTCGTAAGCAAAAGACGAGCTAAGGAAACACCTGCTGATGACGCCGGACGTAAAACTTAGCAAAAGACAACCTCCCATGCGTGAAGTCATCCCATGATAAACACAATGCCGCCGTTCCCATGATGCCGTCTGTCGTTACCGAGTCCACCGTTCGTGTGAGCCGGACGAGGTTTCAGGTCTTCTTGTGACCAATGCCTTTGAGATGTACGTCACTGGGGAGGAGGAGAGTTGTCAGCAAATCAAATTCCCAGGACTTCATGCGGCTGTATGTAGACGCTTGCGTGTTTTGGCGTTTGAGATGCCCAGGGCCAGGCAGCAGAGATGCTGATGCCGGTGGAATGTCGCCATAATGCCTCAAAAAGAGCGGTAGGGCTGGAAGAAAAGGTGGCTTACAAGATCAAGGTCGCATTCTGGGGGATGAGGCCGGGAAATCCACTAAATATTGGACAAGAAGTCAGCGTCTTTGCCGCGCGGTTTCAGCAAGGGTGTTTTCTTCTTCTTTTGAGGTGTGGCGATGACCTATCCCAGCAAAGGGAGGTTCCATGCCGACGCAGCTGAGCCCCGGCTGCTTCAGTTCGCACTGAACAATGATTGCAGCACCGTGACTGGCGGATGCCGGGACATGGCATCGGTAGGATCGACGATTATTTTCTGCGACAAGTTGTAAAGCACTAACCGTTCTCCATATGCCATATTCCTAGAAAATAGTCAAAAAATAGTCAGTCATGAGGCTGGGTACCGAGTGAACCAGGGAGTATTGATGTCAAAAGTGCAACCGGACTGAGATTTCTGGATATGACAGGCCTCTTCCACGCTGCGCGTAATACCAAGGGAGAGGCAGATGTAACGATGGAGACTCACCCCGGAATGATCAAAGTGCTCTTCTCTCCCAAAGACATTTGTTTCACACCCACGTCCCAACCTGCCCAGCGTGATGATGGTCAGAAGATGCTCTAACCACAGCACGTCTGTCTCGGAAAGGCCTACCTGGGATGACCCTACCGACCCCGATCTGGGTCTGGAAGTCTCCACGACCGACGGAAGAATCGAACCTGGACCAAAGCAGTCAGAATCGAGGATGGGCACGGAGTGGAATTGCCGACGATGAACATACTGTGTGCCCTTGAACCCATTTGCGGCTTTCGAGGGGTCGAAGAGCCAACCAGTGTACTCTATCGTGACTTGGTCGCCGGTCTGGGGATAATCGACCCCGTTGCCGGGGGTGATGACCTTCCTTTCAAATTGAGACATTGTCGTGAGACCACAGTGGACCAGATAGACTTTAGAGATCACAGGCGGGGTCTTCAATAGAGTTGTGACGGAGGACAGAGAGGAGCCAGCGTAATCGAGAGCAGAGGACAACTGTGTAGAAGTCTTCACGAGCAGGTTGGTATCAGAGAGTCTGGAGGTAGGGATGTCCTTTTAAAGCCCACCTGAGCCCCTTGGCAAGAGAAGTCCTGCTCTTTGATTTGGCCAAAGTGGTTATGATTATGCGACCGAGCAGGTGGGCGGGAATCCGGCGGTAGCTGGTACGTAGCTGGGCAAAGGCGGCGGCGGGCGACAGTGGGTGTTTCGCCTAGTGCGAAGGGAGCCAGGGAGAAGGAGCGATCAATCAAGAGGAAGAAGAAGAGGATTCGCCAGAAAAGAATATGACACCGGCAAGTTGGCAGATTCCCCTACCGGGAAGGGCTGGCCTGAACGAGAGACCGGGCGGAGCCAGATCGGAGACAGGGAGACAAGGCACAGAACGATTTCTCGGTACGGAGGACACGAATGACAGAAGGCTAAAGGACGCAACGATGCGTGTTGATAGTGGAAAGTACGGATGGTGGTTTGGCGGTGCTACCGTGTGTACCGCTGCCGACGTGTAGCGCGTTACAAAAATGACAGTGTTGGGCACGTCAGGCTCTGACAGGGAGCAAATTAGGGGATCGCCTGCCGGAGAGCCATGAGCTTGCCAGAACCTGCAGGGATTAGGGGTCCTGGGCCGGAAAGATACTGGTTGGGGCAGAGAAATGGAATTGTGATGGGAGGGCGATCATCAAGCAGATGGGGATGCACGCGCGGGACAGAAGTGACAAGTATGGATACAGCGAAGCCTGGGTAATAATGATGTGCTACTAGTCAGCCCGGTCGGATGCAGGAGTGCAGTGATGCGCCGGCCGCGCCAACCCTGTGCGGACGAATTAACGACCTGTAAGGTGGATGGCAGTGCAGTGAGTGCATGCATTGGAAACAGAAATGGCCCGTGGGGCGGCCGCGCAGAGGCAGGAGGAGACGAAAGAGGACTGAACACTGAACAGAGCGACCGCAGGCTATGGTGGCAGGGTGGGGTTCCCTTGGTGCAGAGAAATTTGTGAGCGCAGTGAGGGGCAGCGGCCGGAGCGCAGGCCAAAGAGGAAACAAGGCAGATTATTGTCCCCCAGCACAGCGGGGCAGTTTGGCACTAGTGGTCGCAGCAGCAAGTAGTACGTAGTTCGTACTACAGCTTGTGTTATCAACCTGCGTCTGTGTCGCTCTGTCCGGAGTAGTTACAGCGAGGTACGCCTGCGCCTGCGCCTGCCTGCGCCTGTGCCTGCACCTGGCTGCACCTGGCTGCACCTGCACCGGTGACACTCAGAAATCTCGTCCAACAAAGCCTGCGAACGCCACCTTGCGTTGCTTATGGGTCAGCTAAGTGTCTTCCAATGTGCTGTGTGTTTTCATTCGCTCTGCCCGCCGCAAGGAGAGCTGAGCTGATGCTGTCACAACTGCCGGCTGGCGTATCCTTGCCCGTTCCCTCCCTTAATTACCACCGGCCGAGCATCAAAGGACAACCCAACCATCACGATCCCGTGCCGCGATGAGGCGGTGTCCACTGCAGCGTGTGCCTGCTGGTGCATCGGTGACCGACCCCTGCCTGTACCTCCAGACCGACTCGGGCTGGGTGGATCTGACCTGGACTCCAGGTACTTTACGGAGTGCTCTGTAGTCTTTGACGTGATCGCGCCGGGCTGCGGGAGCCAGTTGCCAGTGCGCTGGTTGACGTGTCACCGCCATTTTCGAGCAAAGCCGGCCAAGGCTAACTCGGCTCCTGTCAAGAGCTGTGCAGTCACTGCAGTGTGTGAGTCCCCACGAAGCACCCTTTGCGCGCAGAGATTTATCGGCTGCAGTTATCACATATCGGAAGCTTATTCCAGCACTTGCCATAGGCCTACATACTACCCTGCCGGATGACTGAGAAATCGCATCTCTACTTGACAACCCAGCTGGACTTGTATCTCAACGCAGGTCACCGCTGCGGTGGCAGCAGCACCACCTAACCCTAGATAGTAGCCACGCCGCTTCCGAATCAGTCACCGCTTTTCCATGCATCGACAGAGACTGCATGCCGTGCTGCCCCGGCTGAACTTGCCATACGCTACTCTGTATTGTCCCAAAGAGATGGAGACAGGGACTCGGACATACGGTACACGTAGCGTTTGTTCCGTCCCTGGCCAGCACCTTCTCACTTTACGGGATGAGAACTTGAGCCATCGACTTCATCGATTTACCTTCGATTCCTCCCACGCCCAGGGCAAAACCATTTGACAGTAACTTGTCGCGGTGTCTGCTCATGGATTGACACCGCTAACTCTAGACCGAGGCGACCCGGTGGAGGGGATCTCTCGACATGTCTCGGTTATCTTTTACCTGTCGTCCCGTCGACAAGCGAGGTGTTCCGCTTTTTCTTCTGTCCAATGTGCCCATCCGGGCCACGCTTTCAATCACGTAAGGCAGCACGCTGACGCTGGTGACGCCAACAAACTTGGGTGACGCCGACCTTTCCTCTCTGGTCAAGCTCTGGGGGGTGTGCCGCTCTGCAAATGTGTGCCTGCCTGACGACCTCCTTCATTTTGTGCTGCATGCGCAACCTCGCGTCAGCCTTTAACTGCAATGTGGGGCCCGCGCAGGTCTTTGCGAGTCTTGCGAGAAGGCATCGGATGAGCGTCACAAGCCGGGCCCAAAGAAACCAGTTCAGGGATGCTTCCGTCACTAAACGTTCGTTGGTACCCAGTCACAGGGCAACCCTTGGATGAACCCCTCCTCTTCGGATCGACGTTGCTTTACCTATCCTGTGGAGCTTTGGCACCATCAGCTGCTCCACATGGTTGCTCGAGTTGAGTCTTTGATCTCTCCGCACCCCCTGCTCGACCGGCCACCGATTCAAGTCTTCGTGGCCATACACAGTGACAAATGGCTACCCAACGGTCTTCCTGGCTCTTCATGGCCGCCATCACTGCCACCCGCTCTGCTCACATTCTATCCTCCTACGGTCTTGCTCGCGCCAAAACACATGGCGTCACATGGCATATAGACTAACAACAGCATTCGCAAGACCTCTACTCCGTACACAGATACACATACTACGTATCACAAGCTACGTAGTGGAATCTTTCGGCCGTGTGTCAGCAGCACGTTCGACCCACAATGCGGCATATGCTCGAACCGCTCTCTGGACCGACACCCATGGTCTACGATGGCGCAATTGCAAAAATCCCTTGGTAGATCAGCATAGAAGTCGAGGGATGATTCAGATGGTCAGAGCTGGCTGGTCCGCTCTGTCGAGTATAGATCATAGCAAACATATTCTTCAAGCACCTAAAAGTGCTCACAGCAGAATGCAGCAGAGATTCTAATGGGCGTATAAGTGGTGGCTGTGCGAATTGTCGATCTTCAGATATGCATCAGTCCCGCTCCCAAATGAGTTAAGATGCAAACTATATTCTCAGGCAGATAACGCACCAGGTCAGGGTCAGGAGCTCTTAGAGGTGCAGTTGGTTGAATGAGGTAACCACAACTCCTGTTTGCGTGGGGGTTTTCAGGGTGTATTTGTGTGGTCCGCATCCCGGCGCTCAGCCCGTGTGTTGCGTTGCAGGTCGCTTTCCCCAAAAAGCAAGTTCGCGCACCTGGCTGAGCTCTATTTGATCTAATCGCAAGGTAGGGAAGCGATCGTCGTGGTGTGAGGCAGTCTCAACAGCTGCAGCGTGCCGCAGGACAGTGACCGACGTCATTCCAACCTCGTCGAGAAAAGACAACGCACGTTCATAATGGGAAGCCAACTGGCCGACGCCATGGCTGTCATCGGACAGACAGAAGCGGATGCCTCTCGAGAGAGCAGCCTGGCCGGTCAGCTTTGGGCACAGTCCTGGAACCGGCAGTTCGTGAGCGTACCTGGCATATTTCTTTGGTGGGATACGGTTCATCCATTCCCTTCCGAAGAGCTGCTGTATTCACTTCCATCACGCCGTGATAAGAGGCGATGAAGTCCAGATTGCGCAGGATTCGTTGCCACACATCCGGCATGCTCTGGAATGCCGCATTGGGATGATCGCTCTTGAGTCGAATGAGATCAAAGTGACCCACCACCGGTGGCTTCACGGCTTGTAACATGGCCAACTGCGAATCGAAATAGTCGGCAAACAGCTGTTCATCTGTTCCCCCAGCTATGTCACGCGCCTGTTCGTACATCTGGCGGTCGTAATCGATCGGAACAGTGTGGACGTGGTGGACAGACCCAATGAAAAAGTCATACTGGTACGTTTTGATGCTTTGGTTGATGAGGTCAACCGATCCAGGCCGGATCCATTCGCCCTCAAACCCCAGAGGAAGTCCAATTCGAGACGCATATTTCTGTCGCAGTCGCTTGGCTTCGGCGACATATGCCTTCTCATTGTTCAAGTGCCAGGCAAGTGTCACCCCCGCCTTGATTTCTTCAGGATAGCTGTCCTGATCATGACGTGGCATATGTTCTGTTAGGGCCAAGTCTTGTATGTTTTTGGAGATGGCCGTCAGAACAATCTCTTCGAGAGAGTCCTGAGCATGGCCGGGACAGAATTGCCCGGAATGGCTGTGATGGGAGAAGGGCATTGTTCCCAGGGTTCTTTGTGAGGGCGTCTAGCCAAGCTGGGAAATTAATGGACTCGACGCGATGCCCGAATAGGCCTTGAGCCGTAGATAAGACACCTGGCTCTATCTCTGAAGTCTGGACCAGGCGGTTGCTGAATGGTCGAGTGAAGTTGAAGCCGCAAGGCGCTGCTCCTTGTCCCCCCCGACAAATACCGCAACGCGACAAACTTACGGGGTACGAAGTACGGAGTACGCGGTATCCAGAGCCCAGTGTGCAGTGCCGAGGTAAAGCCGGGAAATGCCATCTCTGTTCTCGAGCCTCACACGCACACGGCAGTCACGGTCATCCTCGGACCAATCCCAGCCCAGAAGGCTGATATTATTCTTGACACAAACTTGAAGCGGCTTGTTTGTACTACAGTAGGTAATCCCGTACGGAGTACAACACCTCCCTCGCTTTGCTGTGCTTATCACCCAAGACCTCCTCTGTCCTGTCACCGAGCCTTTCCGGACTACGGGCGAGTCCGACTACCAGCACATGGCCTATACTTCGAGTCCTCGACGCGCAAGGACACCTGCTTGCTGCAAGCAGGGGTGCACAGCCATCGACGTGGCATTTGCGTTTCCATTCGAGCTGGGTGTAAAAACAAAAGAACTATCTCGAGCAACGACGGGCATTGGCCGATAGGTACAAGTAATGGGACGTTCCACGCAGCCCCGGCTACGAGTACTCTACATTATTAATAACATGTATTAATTTAGTACTCCGTACAACTAGCAGTACGGAGTACTTACTGTCATCTCAAGCGGGTGGTGCCCCGTGATGCGACCCCGGTTCGCCCAGTGTTAGTCTGACTAGGCATCAACATCGAAATTCGGGGATCGTTCCGGCATTGCGCAATGCCGTGATCCAAAGCCTACGAGGCGAAGAGTTCGATTCGACCAAAAGGTTCATCCGAAGAAAGGTGGCAAGACTTCATTTTCGCTGATGTCTGTCTCCTCCTCACCCTGGCAGCACGATTCTAGTCGCCATGTCAGCAGCTTGACGTCGTTGACGTGCCCTCTTCCTCGAATGACATAGTTCGGACCAGCACGCCACAGTGGTATACGTACTCAGTAGTAGAGCTAACCGCTTCCGAAGCGGGGTGGAATGCACGACATCTACGTCACCCTCTCCGTTAGTCGAAAAGGATTTAATGGATGCCGAACTTTCTATCCGCCAGCCCATCCGAAGTTTACTGGGGGCGGGGGAAGAGGGAGAGGAAAAGAGAGGAGAGAGAGAGAGACACAGACAATTTTTCGCCACCCTATCTCCCCTGTGGTCAGGCAGCTAGCTTAATGCGTGGGGGAGGATACAAAAGCTAATTCAAACCCTCTCGCGTCTATGTTAGTTTCATGTGCGATAACGGGGCACGAGCACAAGTTAAGGAAGGCTTCGCAAGCCCGCTGAATCCTGAAGGCATGTCGCCGAATTAAGGTTTTTCGGAAGAACACAGCTTGAATAGCTCCCACATGGCAAGATAAGGTTGGCGACTTTGTACGTACTACGTACCCGTTGAACCTGGTCGCCTCCATCTTCTTTCCTTTCCGAAGCTCGCCTCCTGCGTCGATCCGATGCCGCGCGAGCCCTCGCGCGCGTGCAGCTGCAGCTGGAGCTTAGCAATATGGAGCGCGTTCACGGTCCTGCATCACGCGATGAGCTAGCCGATGTTTTGCGATCTGGCATCCGGCCGCTGGCCCCTGGGTCCGTGAACGCAAAAGGACAACCGAGTCCCTCCCATCAGGCACAGAGAACCAACATGATCTCTAGACGACCAGGATTGTTACGGAAGCTTATTAGCGAGGTTGGGCTTGGGACATCCCATTTCTGGCCATCCATCGCGCTCTGGCTGGTCGCAAAGGGGGCGCTGTCAAGAGACTGAGAATTGGCGTTTGTGAAGTGAGATGACATGTTGTCTTGCGAGGCGCCAGATAGCAGATCCAGGCCTGGAAATGTCCCATATGGCATATGGCATATGCACAGAGTATGGTTCAAAGTGGACCTCGAACCCCTGCTCTGTATCTGTAGAGTTTCGTGGCTGCACGGCCAAGGGTGACACGGCACGTACGAAAAGGAAAAAGTGCCAATGCGATGACGCCCAGCCATTCAGGATAGGCCTTAGGGCCTCTCCTACGGAATCTTTTTCCATCGACCAATCTAGACTAAAAAAGGAGAATTCCATGTAGATACTTTGGCATGGGGCGGAATTCTCACTCAGCACCTCAGCTCAGGGCACCCTGAGGCTGGGCTCGGCCACCACGATGTTGGCGATACGGTACGAGTATGGTCGGGGTCGCCAATGCCAGAATGAAGGGTGTTGACGGGTCACCTTCAGGGAGAGGGTGAGCATTGGCCCATCACGGTAAGAACCCATGACCAGACAAGAAAGGAAGGCTGGAAAAAATAAGAAGAAAAAATGGAGAGACCATCGTTGCGGTTGCAGACAATGAATTCTATGATGGGATGCGTGCTGCGAGTTCTTGCGGATAGTTGCAAGGCGCGCCAAGCTTTACTAGACTGAACGTGTGCACTGTGCAGTGTAACAATTGATCTCAACTATCTTAAACAGCTCAATCGGTTTAATATCACCAAAAAAATATGGCAGGTCAAAATAAACTCGTCCAGAGAAAACTGGACGAGTTCTGCCTAATGAGCGAGGAACATGGGACTCGAACCCACAGCCTTGGCTTTACACTTACGATCGAATTAGTGACCAGTGTAGGAGAGCCACGCGCTACCATTGCGCCAATCCCCCATTGCAATAATAACAATTCATGTTAAATCTCTGTCGATTTTCAACATGGTTTCAGGGGAATTTTACACGGCTACAAATTATAACCATGTCCGGTCAATGCACGTGATCAGCCACGCTTCGCTCACCGACGATGCCCACCGCACTCCTTTCTGGTAATGTGATTGCTGCCACCCGATTGTTGTCAGGATGACATGCCCACCCTTCCTGTAGCAGACGAGACTACCACACTCGTCTACCTACCTTATACACCACAGCAAAGAGGAATGTACCTCACACAGCAGGAACGGACATGAGCTTCGGCTTCCCCCTCTGTTGGGGTCCAGGGTCTCTGTGTTCTGAATTCAGGTCCACGCCCCCCGACGAGAGCGATGGTAATAGTGGGTAAGCATTGACTGACTACTAACTGACTACTGGTCGTACCAGTGCCGGTACCGTGGATGCACCTGTACAGTCCTACTGAAAACTCCCGTTTCAGGCCCTAACAGCAGCTAGCTAAGCGCTCAACTAGCTGGGTTGAGAATGAGAGGCGTGTTTCTCTCACTGCTTGAGTGTGCATGTTACTTGGGCTACGCTGAATTGACTCGATTCGGCGTGGCTGTTGCTCTACATTCGATCGAGTGCGCCTTCAGGTGGGCAGTGGCACGCCCCTACATCATGGCGAACACGAAATTGAAGCCGTCAGTGCACAAAGAGGCGCCTGGGGCTCGTGACCAGGCACCCCTTCATTGTTCATTGTTCAGTGCTGTGTCCAAGCCTCAGCCTAACCTACTTCTGGCCAAGATGTCTTACTGTACTTACTCGACAAAGCTCTGTCAGTGAGTGGGGTGTCCTTCAGTACACAACTTGTTCGCGATACGTAAGAGCAGACATATGGTGAAATGAGCAATGGATCACTACGGCCGACGACTGACGATTTGATGACTTGGCGACCGACGTCGACACCGTTGAGCACCATCTCGAAAGTTTGTGTAAGCACTGTCCGAACTCTCCGCATTTAGTCAGAGACATCCAGCCATTATCCCAGACGTCCCCAGACACCCCCCAACGACGCAGCAACATTTGTGGTGTGCAGTGGAGCACCGCGCTGAGCCAGAGTCTGCTGATATGCGGGCTCACAGCGGTCCGGTTTATCAAAGTCTGCTGCCTCGTTTCGACTCAGTTCCGAAAGACTCGACTCGAATCGAATAGTGTGGACGGTGTCGATTCGAGTGCGGCAGAGCAACGTCAAGAATGCGTGTCATGGAGGACAACACTGACGGTTGATGCTTGTCTCTCCACTTATCGATTCGATCGCGGCCCTGCCGTTTCAGAGGAGGAAACGAAGCGGACCAGTAGAAGTTCAAGCGACCCTGGCAATACAAGTTCGTGATGTCCTACTCGACTCGACTCAGTCGTAGCCATGAGTCGATGCACCTCTGCACCGCAGAAGACGGCTTTTCTTTACGCACCTCGGTGGACGGGATGCCACCAATGCGATCGATTGGAATGACACGAGTCCATTTGGTTGGGCGCGCCCACAGCAGGTGAGGAGGTATCATCACATTCCGTGCGCTGACACGATCAAGCTTTGTCACCGAGTGTCAGAGGACGGGAAGATACCCTTCCAGCTGTCGAGGCCGTGGTTGGCAAAGTTGTCTTCAATATCCCCAAGGCAATGACGGACTACGACTGGAAAAGGCTTGCCTTGATGGTTCAGAGGAGTCTGGCCTCTGAGGCGAACTTTCCCTCATTGAACACGCTTCGAAGAACTTCCGCCGGAAGGAGCTCCTCTCAGGGCTCACGAAGGGCTGCTCAGACATCGGACCTCAGACCTCAGACCAAAGAGATCTTTTCGAGTGCAGCTCGCCGAGTCTGTGACTGCTGTTAACAACGACTTTGAACTACTTGCACGAATCCTAGCGGCTATGAAGCAAAGGTATGGTCAAAGGTGAAACAAGCAAGAATCCTGTAATGCATTTTCCTATTGCACTGCCAGTCCCTGTGCCTGATGGTCCCAAGTACGAGAAACAATACACCAAAATCTAGCAACAAGTTCGCACCTATACTCAGCCCAAATATATTTTTTGTGTCCCGTCAATTCTTGACGGTTGCTTTTTGCCTCTATCCTTTTGGTTTAGACAGAAACCGCCTTCCTTTTTATGCCATTTGTGACACCTTCTCCAGAAATATATGACCTCTCATGGTTCGTTGATGGCGGCAGCGTCGGCCGCCAGACGTTCACCTTCTTCTGGATGTTCATTGCCGACAGTCGCGGACTTTGCATAGATCCCGTCAAGCGTGACATTCATCGCACCCGCCTGGACCAGCGCGCTGCGCAAATCGTCCAGCAAATCTTCGCCATCCTCGATGCCTACGCACAAACGGATCAAGTCCTCGGGGACTCCGCGCTCTTTGCGTGTTTTGGCGTCAATGCTGGCGTGGCTCATGCGGCACGGCATGCTAATGAGAGAGTTGACGCAGCCAAAGCTGACACTAATAGCCCACAGTTTCGCCGACTCCACAATCCGCTCGGACAGCTGGATGTCACCGGTCTCAAAAGACAGGACCGCACCAGGGCCCCGAGCCATGGATTGAAACAGGTCGTATTGTGGGTGGCTTTTGAGTCCCGGGTAACGCACTTTGAAACCAGCAGATTCAAGAAACTGGGCGATCAGCATGGCGTTATTTTGTTGAGCATCCATGCGGACTTTCAAGGTTTTGATGCCGCGCATCAATAGCCAGCAGTCGAAAGGAGCAAGCCCGCAACCTGACGCATTGATGGTAAAGTACAGCTTGTCGCCGAGAGCCTCGTCGTTGACAGCCAGTACTCCAGCCATGAGATCATGGTGGCCCGATAGGTATTTCGTGCCCGACTCATAGACAACATCCGCGCCCATTTCTAGAGGGTTTTGTAATAACGGAGAGAGCATGGTGTTATCCACACTCACAATGCATGATGGGCTGGCGGCATGCGCCATTTTGGCGATGGTGGGAATGTCCACGATCTTGATCAAGGGGTTTGTAGGTGTCTCGAGCAATACCATGGCAGTCTTCCCGTTGAGGACTTCCTGTACCTTTTCAGGCGTGGTGGTATCCACATGATGGACAATAATGCCTCCATGCGTGGACAGGTATTTCAACAATCGATTGGTCCCCCCGTACAGGTCGTCACCTGTCACGACTTCATCTCCAGGTCGAAGTTGGCGGGTTAACACATCGAGAGCACCCATTCCGGAGGATACAACAAGGGCTCGCTGTGCACGCATGATTTTTGCAAGGTGTTTCTCAAGATGGGTCCGAGTGGGATTGCCACTACGGGTGTAGTCGTAGTCAGAGGCGCCTCCGGTGGCGGACGATTGCTTAAATGTAGCGGACTGTAGACTGTCAGTTTGTGGTCTTAGAGGCCCAAGGCTGTCAGAGCTGACCTGGTAAATGGGCACGCTGCTTGCATTGAACTGGTCATTGCCCTCCGAAAAGACCAGCTGAGTTGCAATCGAGTATTGACGACCACCTCGGGGACTGGAGGGCGTCGGCGACGGTGGCAGATCGTGACCGTCCAGGTCGACTCGTGCGAAGGCTTTGCTCATAGCGCCGAGTTTCGGGTCCTTCAAGGGCGGAGCAGAGGAGGAACCTGGCTCAGACATGGTGGCGGTGGCGGGGAAATGGGGGAATGAGCTCGACGACTTGAAGATTAGATATGAGGATGCTCAAGGACATGTGAGATCAAGCGTGTATTAGACGACTGATGCTGATCCTCGAGAAACGTTGGTTCAGGAGAGCTGGAAAGGTACATCATGCGGACAGATGAGTCGACGGCGAAAAATCCCCAGGTCGACCGGCTCTGGAGTGTGGAGCAAGCCGACAGCCGTGTGGTGTGGTTGTGCGAATACTAATGACGTGCTCGCAGCACTCACTCGTCGTGCTCGTACCTAGTACCTACGAGTAGCTTAGGACTCGATGGGAGTAACAAGGCACAACAATCAACATCGCCATCGCCATCGCCATCGCCATCGCCATAGCTGTACCCTCTTGATGTTGGCAGCGGTATAGGCAACGTCTCAGGGCGGCAACCACTCGCACGACGTCGCGTTGTCGCAAATCATTGTTCAATATGTCGCATATTTACACTTCGCCTTCATAGTGTCCTCTGACTACTCCTTACTCTCTAACGAAACGTATCCAAATTATATATCACAATATCAAGCTACAGCTACATTGTGTCTATGCTTGCTCCAGAAATGACTCCCTTTGTTCTTGATACCAAGGATACCCAACCAGCCCAGCATCATTCTCTATCTTCGTCCTGATTCTTTGCTAGGTGCTAAATATTGGTGCTCTACGGAGCACTGATTATTCTCCTCTCCACGTTCGCATGGTGCTCTGCCTGGTTCTGGTAGATCGAGATGCTTCTGGGAAGATCATCACCTGAAGCTCAACAAATGGATAGAGTTTCCGGACTGCATTATCATAACACATTCCAGAAGAGTCACGGATCCAGGTCAATTGTTCCGACCGCAGGGATATACCAAGAATAACACGAGGGTATCAATGCTGATCCTGGCTAATATATCCACTGCAAGGACGACAGTCTCGGTTCTGTCATCACCGGGGTGGTTCCGGGCTAGGATAACTCAAGACCGCCACGCGATCGACTGCATCCTACTGGAATGCTCTGGATGCTCCAAAACTGGTCATTGTCATCAAAAAGTCAGAGACACACGTCAACCATGGCCAGTGCGTCGAAGAATGCCCTGGTTTGAAACGCTGAAACATGCACGTTGGTCCGACGCGTGTCCCAGCAAGCAAGTCCTTGGGGCGTGCAGTGTTTTCGAGTATGAAATCCGTGCATGGTGAGCATGCTGAGCAGGCGTGGTCGGGCCACTGGCTGGGATAAAAAAAAATCTCGGCTTGGGAAGTGTGGCTCCTCCGTGGCTTTGGCTGCCCCTGAATGAAACAAACCGGCATATCCGCCAGCGGGGCTTAGGCCCCCGGGCAAATATCAGAGAAATGCTTCTTCCTTGCTTGTGCTCCATATTACGCGCTGGGCCTGAATAAGCAATGTGACTGGTATGTAGTCAGGAGGAATGCAAGCTCGTTATTGTGCAAAACAAGACGAGCACCCGACACGATGCAATGCCGGGTCGTACCTTTTCTTGATGCTGCATCTGCAGTGCTGCTATAACAACAACATATGCTCGGCGGCGTAAACAACCACCACTTGAATTGTGGAGGCTGGATGGTGAGATTGTGAACGAAGCGGCGGATGGAGAATTTTCTCCAATCCAATGGGTTACTCGAGGCCATCGGTGTCGCCAAGTCAGTCCCTGGCGTCTGGCTGACACGCCGCTGGCTCCTGATTCCTCACCCTGAAATTGCCATGCTCAGTTCACTTCACCGGCTCTGTGCCACGGGGCCACGCATGCTGTCCGGCGTCGAACACTGCTACTTGGACCTGGACACCGTGCGGCGAGTCGCGAAACTGGCAGTCAAGCCCAGGTTGCAACCGCGCTGGCAAGCTGTCTCGAACAATGTCTCGTCCCAGAAAGCGAGCTCCGAACTTAAGAGTTGTAGCAACCGCCACAGTGTTAAGTCCCCCTTCTTTGGGTACACCGTATGTTTTGACGAGAGAGATGAACAGACCCTGGCTCGTGCTGACTACAATGTCAACCGTCTGAAGAATAGAGAGAACAACAGTGGGAACGAGATTGCGGCTTGAAATTGGCTGGAGCCCGACCAGCCAGGATGATGGGGGCGCAGTCAGGTCGTGTCACGTAAGGTAATCGTTTGACAACGTTTAGTCCATACCGTTCATAGCTAGCGCGTTATTTTCCTGTTCTTTAAGCCCCGGGTTCGACTACGATCATTGCTCAGTTTGGTTAGCCTTGTAGTGTACCGTACAGCAGCGTTACCGACCACCTAACAGCTCCGCCCTTTTCTCACGAGGTAGTAGCAGCGCTGTAGCAGCAGTCCTGGTGCGCGCCACGTCCTCCTCCTTTCCTACCTGGTATGGGCCTCCGCCTAACGCCATCTGCCATCTGCCATCGACGATATGCTTTCCTTGCTCACTCGTTCTCTTTTCCGACTCTACACTCTCGCCTCCGCCTCCTACGTCCTCTCCGTTGAGCCTCGATGATCCGTCAACGTCGCCGTGGTCGCTGTCTCTCGTTCTGCGACCGATAACTTCATCCTTCGACTTGTCAACTTCCGCCTCGACGGCGACGCTCCTGCGTTTTCCCTCAGTTGGCCAGCACACAACCCCCAGTGCTCGCGTTCGCTCTTTACATCGACAACATTCAGTTCCTTGTTCGACACGCTCGACCGCGCTCCTTAAGACATATTCTTCTTTGACGACTACAAGTTTCGTGCTGCGAACCCTGAGACAGACCATTCCCCCTTGCCGCGCCCTCGCGCCAAAGGACAAGCATACAACACCGTTCTTCAATAGCAACTTTGTCCTTTCAATCATTTGGCTGGTCCAACCATTCGAGGAAGCGTACAAGCCACGACGGCTGTATTTGTTGGACGGACTCGGATAATTTTAGGTCAAAGAACGCTCAATTGCGCTCTTTCATCGGAACACGTTTCGGGAACAAAGAAATTCTCAAGCATATTCGCAGCGACGGCCCACGTAGACTACGGCCTGCTCTGGTTTGTGGAACGACGAAGACGAGGCAGCTTGGATATCCTCCAGACAATTCTGCATCACAGACCACACATCAGGATCACTTGATCCTAGCCACTCTTTTGAAATAGACGCTTAACCTATACACTCATTTCAGGAACCCAACAAAAGTTGGTATCCCGATATCCAGATTCGCGGTATTTGTGCTGACAAGCCGGGTAGCAACCTCTCTTGACGACGGACAAGTGCGGACATGAAGGTCTCGGTCGTTGCTCTTTTTTCTGCCGTGGCTGCAGTGTCTTTCGCCGAAGCCGTTCCTGCGTCCCATGCTCGACGATCGGACTTTAAGCCCAGATACTACTTTCCGAGGGCTGTCAAGAGACAAGTCACATCATTCGCAAACACCACCACGACCGATCCTAGCAGTTCGAGCAGTGAAGACTCAGGAGTTGGGAGCCTCCTCTCCACTCTGGGAGATGTCTTGTCGGGAGTCGCATCCGCCATTTCGCCCGACACTGTGACTTCGATACCCGCAAGCACTGATGCATCAGTAACTGATCAGCCTCTCACTCAATCTTCACTCGAAACTGGTCCCGTTTTCATTCCGACGTCTACAGAGACAGCCATTGCGTCTGCAACTGATGTGTCCACCGACGGCAGTACCGACACCACACCGACGACCACCGATCTCCCCAGCACCATTACCGACGCTGCTACCACTAGTACAACGGATGGCGAGCTTGGCATCACGCTTGGTTTGAGTGGTATTTTAACAAGCGATACTGCGACAGAGACTACGACTGGGGCCGACACAGCCACTACCGATGCTGCATCATCTGCACTTTCCTCTGCAAGCGATGCTGCAACCTCGATCCTGTCAGTAGCGAGCTCTCTACAATCGGTCGCTGCAACAGCTGCTAGTTCGGACCTGGCGTCGATCACCTCAGCCTTGTCCTCTGCTGCTTCGGTCGCATCCTCAATCGCGTCAGACGTGAGCTCGGCTGAATCAGCCCTCACTTCCTCAGATCCTGGAAGTGCGGCCACTACGACTTCCGGTATCGCGGACGTCACATCTGACCCCTTTGCCTCCACAATCACGCCCACAATCACTCCTACAGACTCGGTCACTCTGCCTACAGACTCGATCACTACGCCTACAGACCCGGTCACTACGACTGATATAACTACGCCACCCCCAGGCACCCCTACTGTGTTACCTACAGATAGCGATACAGTGTCTCCGACTGACGTTGGTACTATCACGCCCACCCCCACGGATACCAACACTACAACACCCATTGTTATCGACACCGTATCCCCGACCTTACCACCAGTAACCCTCAATAATGACACTATCACTACCCCTCCGATCACTACTCCGACGGATTCCACGACCCTCATTCCAACGGATACCACAAGCGATACTGCAGCAGTCACGACAAGTGAGATTCCGACAGTGACACCTACTGAAACTCCGTCAGTGACGCCACCCATTGTTGGGAACTTCACCACGCCTCTGATTACGACGAGTACCATACCGACTGTGTCTGTACCTGTTAATACCATCGAGCCAACTGGAACGGATTCAGCTACGGCTCTAACACCACAGTCTAGCATTATCTCTGCACCGTCGACTATCTCACCTCCCGATTCTACGTCATCAAGCCAGGCCGTGATCCCAACTACTCTTCCCCGAGTAATCCAGCCTCAGGGCGGTGTTCCGGACGCGCCAGATAACTCCACCTTGATCCAAATTGGGTTCACCTATGCTCTGAACTACGCATTTGTTGTCTCTTCCTCAACCGCGGTCTCACAGATCTTCGCTTATCTCCCTGTTGGTATCTCACATGGTCTCGGTCTTGACTTGGATGGAGTCGTCATCCAATATTTGCAACCATACAACACTTTGGCCACGGTCGACTACATCACCACTTTGGCCATGGCTTTCATTCCCGCAAGCAAAGTTGATGCACTCTCTTTGGAGCTGTTGAATCCCAATTCCGACCTGTACCAGAACTCAAACCCATCTGTCGTCACTCTAATGGGCATGATTGATCCATCTATTCCTATACTCCCTGGGTCTGCCGTCGCTGGTGGAGGCACTCCTGTCAATTCGGCAAACACTGCTGCTACCACCTCAGACACCAGCAAATCTAACGACGGTTCTCCCGGCTCCTCAGACTCTGATAATTCTCCAGTCCGTCCTTCTTCGGTCGGTATCGCTGTAGGGGCTGTTGCCGGTGCCGCAGTCTACGGGGCTGCAATGTTCCTAGTAGCCCGACGGTACAGAAAGAGAAAGGCCGGCCACCAAAGGGCGAGCAGCGTACAGTCGGGTCAAGTCAATCGGCCTGGAGAACAATCCAACCTGGTGGCTGCTGGCGCCCGAGGTAGCTACGGCACTAGGTTCGGTGGACGAACCTCTCGGAACAGCGACCGCAGCAATTCAAGTCGGAGCGGTCGAACCTACATCAGTCCACCCGTGATGGCGGAAAACAGCCTGGGCTGGAACTGATCGGGCCCGAAGAGGATGCCAGTGGACTTTTTGTACAGAGAGCGTGTTCTTCAGTCACCATCCATGCCCGTCCACGATGAATCTCCCTTTCATTTTCAATGGTTTTTATTTTCCTTTTCCTTGTTTATTTGGGTTTCAAAGAAGGTGAAGAGGTTTATCTGTGTGAGAATTTGCAGAGTTTCATTAGAATAACGCTGCAGGAAGCTGAAAGAAGCGGTGGCTGAGTTGTGGAGGACTATGGGAAGAGAGGAGTGTTGAAATGTGAAGGCCTCGAAAGTGAGACGGGCAGGACATGTTCAATTTGCGAGGCTGCGGCTGGTGCATCATACCTCCGTGTTGTCTGGGGAGGGTTGGAGGGCCAAACACACCTCCCATGCTCCAGACAAAGGTGTCGGTAGCATCACCTCAGACCAGGCCAGACCAGATCCAGAGGAGTGAGAGGATAGTTGAGAACAGAGAGAAGTTGTGCAAATCAAGTCGTCCCCCTGCATCTGCATCAGCGGTTCATCCAGGCCAGATGTAATGTGTCCTCGTAACGATTCTATTCACGGCAGCTCCGTCTCGTTTCTGCCTTCCATCCGCCCGGCCATTTTGCTCTTGTAGAAGGGGTGCCAACATCCAGCGGGAGCGGGGAGTGTTTGCGGTGTGCTCTGCTCAAGACAGACCAGATATCAGGATGAAATAGAACAGAACCGACCGGAAGGACGGGTAGATGATCAGAACCATGCATGTAATTGTACGGAGTACCACGTCCGAGAAGGGAGGGAGGAAGAGAGAGAGGGGGGGGGATATAAGAGACCTCGATATGGTTACTTACACTTACCGAGACTAGATAATAGATGGATGCTCCCCAGATGCACCGCAGATTCAAGTTACATATAGGTAGGTAGGGACTTACTTAATATGCTCGTCTTGTGGGGGTTCGCTATAACTGCTCACTGCTCACTGCTCACTGCTCACTGCTCACTACTCCCTACTATATGTAAGGTGTGCAAAATCAAACCGGTCCTTCCTAAACCCCAGGCGACTAAGTGCAAGTGTAGTATGGTCATGGTGTTCAAGAGCAAGGCTCCAAGCCAACGATGAATTCGAAAAACCGTGCCCAAATCTCAATTCGATTGTGATTCAATCGCATATCCGTTCCATCCCGATTCCAATGCCAATTCCAGAGCCGCAACAATACCAATGAATCAGATCGCTCCTGTTTGAATACCTATTACCTTGATGTTGATCTTGGCTCAAACATACATACGGCCATCCGTCCTCGCTGTTGAATTGTGCCCAGACAGGAACGGGCCAGAACGGGACGCCGAGGATATGCAGAAGCAGATCGTAGAGTCCACCAAAGTCAGAATCAGGCATTTTTGTCTTTTCCTGAAGATGAATCCATTCTCGAGTACGCATTCGCATTCCTCAACCGGCCGCGCATGGGGAAGCGTTCATTCAACAATGCTTCTTCGGTCGCTGACACTGACGCAGACGTTGATGCCGATGCTGTCATGGTGGCCTTCTGAGCCAACGTAATAGTGTCCATATCGGGGTTTGCTGCAGCAATCTGGCCATTTCCGCCTGTGCTGCTACCATCCCCGTTCGAGTCCAGGCCTGAGGTGTCTTCAGTGTTGGTTTCCAACTCGATCAGATCGCCCATCTTGTCGACGGTCGCGCCTCTGTGGCTCTTTGCTCCAGCGATCTTCCTCACCCACCCTTCGATCGCGCCTCCCACCTCGCCCAGGCCGGAGCCATTCGAGTTTGACCGTGTGCTCCGCATCGAGTCCGTGCTTGCGCGTGGCGTAGCGGCCCGCGGGGTCGGAAGACGCAGACTGAAGCCAGACCGCAATGGTGGTGTTTGTTGCAAAGGGGGAAGCAGGTCGGGCAGATACTGGGCGAATTGGCGGTTGAGAGGGTCCTCCGCGGGCCCTGGACGGGCAGCTTCGGTGCGCAGGCCGCGCAGGTTTCCCACCCCGCCGGGGCCTCGAAGGGCTTCGGCAAAGGACCCGCCTGTGACGCTGGACGAGCGTTGCCGGCTGGAGGTGGAGCTAAGTCGGGACGTCACTCCAGGCCGGCGGACCGGGGAGGTATTCAAGGATGCTGTGGTCTGCGCTGCATGAGTCGGTGGATGACGGAGCATGTCGAATGAGGTCTTGGGCGTGGAGGGAGTAGAAGCGTCGGTGAGCGTTGCGTTTGATTTTCGCCGGGGGCGAGGGAAGTAGCCCAAGGCGCGACGCGGGACGCGCACAATCTCTACTGCCTCTTTGAAATTGGGTAGCATGACCCAGGAATCGTGTCTGAATTCTGTCTCTTGAGACATGGATGTAATGAGGGACGAGGGGTTGGAGGTGAAACTAGTCGATAAGGTCGCGGAATTGCCTTGCACAGGTACATGTGTCCCATTCACAGCAGCGGATGAGCCACTTTCCGCTGGTGATGAAGCAGGTGCGGCGCGGAGGCTCAACTGGTCCAGCCCGAAGCCAGAATCGAACATCTCTTTGGACAAGTAGGGACTGTCGACCTTTCTGCCCCTTACCGTACACCCTTCCAGCGGTATCACGACGTGACTCCTTGTTTGGATATTGTCGTTGGGCCAGAATCGATTGATCTTCCGGAAAACCTCGGCTTGACAGTTGTATTTGATAACGACGCCAGCCAGAGTGTCATTTTTCTGGACTTTGTGTAGGTAAACGAGGGCGTCGGCATCCGAGTCGGCCAGGCCGTTTGCGTTGGTAGAGGACAAGCCCGCATCGGAATCTCTTCTCTTGTATCGTCCAGAGCCATCACGGCTTTCTGACGCACTAGCTAGCAATAACACCTCCCTCTTCTTTGCTTGCACCATGGCTTGTCGCTCCTCGATTGCTCCCGGGACTGTAATGGCAGCCTCCACCGTCGAAGGCTCGGAGCTGGGGCCCCATTGCGCAGTCGGTCGTTTAGGACCATACCGCTTATCCTGCTTCATCCAGACGGGCGTCTTGAATGGCTTGTCCGTTTTGTCCTTGGATGGGCTGTGGACATCTCCCAAAAGTGTCGAAGCCAGACCTTGGATTGACGACCATGACTCCCATAGGCCTTGACTCCCTCCTGCTCTTGCTCTTCCTGCGGAGGCTTTTGACGCGTCTGAGGCAGTTCTGTTACGGGGATTATTTGCCCCGCCACCATCTCGTTGGTCGTCCGTAGATCTGGTTCGACTGCCACCGGTGTTCGGGGAGACGCCTCTGCTCGGAAACCGTGGCGGGGTGGACAAGGAGGATGTGGAGATGGCCGTGGTCTCGACCGTGGTATCATCTTCGACGTAGGAGATCAAACGAGGAGCACGCGGCCGGAGTGTCGAGGAGCTGCTGCTCAAGGGGGAGGATTGGTAGAGCCCGGCAGGGTGGGCACTGGTGTTCATGGTTGGCCCGAATGCCAACACGCGACATTGAGGGTTGACGACATGGAGAGCCAGGAGAGAGCGGAGTCAACGCGGAGAGACAGGACGGCTGTCCGTCCCTGCAATAGGGGGGAGGAGGAGGAGGAGAAGGAGGAGGATGTGTCCAGGGGAAGTCGTTGTTGGAATTATGATGCCTTGGGACAAGATAGGGTCGGAGGTGACCGTATGAAGGAGGATGGTTGGATCGTCGATGGTGCGATGGTCCAGCGACACATACACAGTAAGCTGAATGGGAGGTACTACTACTGCAGGAAGCGGACAGTTTGTTTAGAAGGGAGTTGACCGCTACCATGCAGTTTGTGGTCTCTATTTCCGGAGACCTGAGACAGACAGGCCACCGAGGAAGAATGACAGCCGCAGACGTCCCTCGTTTCTCTAGTTACAACTGAGCCTCGTCATCTACGTCGAGAGTGTCGATAAAGCCAGTAACTAGATTCGTCCTACAAGCCTCCGGAGCCTCCCCCAAGGCGCCTAAGCTGGCTAATTACATAATTTCTACTGCCACGCGTCCCGAAGAATGGACTGGCAATTCTCAATATTCAATATTCAATATGGGTCTCTCCATTTACGGATACACAGTTCACAATCCTCCTGTTCGCTCACCTCCTACGCCTTAATATCTCGCTCTCTTTACAGCGCGGCTCGTTCCATAGCATCATGTCATAACACTGAGACACAGCTCGAAGGCCTAAACAGCTCAATAGTCTCTGAGCTCATACAATATCTGGCCTATTTGCCCCTCAAACTTAGGTACTACTATCGAATCGGATCTGGTACCACGAGTACAATATCACTTTGAAGACGTAGCTGTCAAAGTCATACAGTCTAACATCCGTTGCGGTAGGTCTTCGTCCACATGTGCAGAAACTCCATATAAGTCCCCATATAGTCGTAGATCCAGTGACGTCCTTCGGGTACAACTCCGTATGCCGTAGAGAAGTACCCGTGACGAAGATGTCCTGGACAAGCATTACATGACCTTTTGTCGGTCTATCCATCAACAGCCATTTTGCCATCACTCATCCCGGCCATTTCCCCATTGATCCCAAAGAACTGGAACCAATCTTCCACGTTGAGGGTGGTGGGTGCCACTGGAGCATTGCCAATCGAACTCGTGGACCATCCGTCGCTGTCATGCATCTCCATGCCTCCTCCCATGAGTCCCGGTATCCCCGACGGCCACACTTGTGGCTGGCCGGACATATCCACTTGTGGCATTTGTTGACCATTCATTCCTGGTGCTTGCATTTGGAGTTGAGGATCAACCGCGTGGTTCATGATAGGACTGGCGAAATTGATGGCATCCCCAATGGTTCCGTCAGGGAAAAGTTGATCCGGTTGGAAATTCTCCCACAGTTGTTGGGAAATGTTTGGTGAGTCCCTGGTGACCAGGAAAAGATCCGGCGGAGTGGCAGGGATCGAGTATCCGTTGAACGGGGAGTTGGCTCTGGTGGGACCCCGCGAGGGTAGCCGAGACGGTCCACGGGATCGGGAAGTTGGTAGATATTGTTCACCCGGAAGCGGGGGGGATCCTAGGAAGTTGTGCTGGTGTTGGTGCTGCTGCGGAAGATCGCGAGAAGGGGTTGCAGCAGGAGTTTGAGGGCGCGACCGCTCATACGACATTTGGGGAGCAGGCGGACCAACGTTGAACCCTAGATCGATGTCGTCAAACTTTCGCTTGGTAGGGTTTGGGGGTGCTGCGAGGTTAGACGTGGGTGCAGACGAGGAGTGCGTTGTGCCATTCGTGTTCCCGTTTGCATGTCCAGCAGCCTGAGGCCTGGAACGTTGAGCTTTTCTGCCCGTTGCTTTCTGCAGTCTCTCCTCGAGGACTTTGTTGCCGAGAATGGATTCAAATAGAGTGTGCACCATCTTTGCGACCAACCATACCTTGGAGACTTCTTTCAACGCGTTCATACATACGTTGATACGCTCCTGGCTGGCTGCCACCACTGACGGTACTGAAGAGCGCATTTGATACACGTGCATAATAAGTGCTGAAAACAAACTGTATACACTGTAATGGGTCAGACTGGCAGCAGAATCGTGCGTTTGGGCAACTTACATGAACGCCGGCGTATACTTGACTTGATCGTGTGCCAGAAGGTTTTCCATGATCGAGGTGATCATGCCAGCGGCTTGGAATGCTATCGTCCTCGAAGGATAGGCCATGTCGACATTTTCATGGTCGTTCGGTTTCGCCGTGGCAGGGGGCATGTGAGCGCGGTGGAGCAGACATAATGTTGTACTGGGATCGATTCAGTTCAGACTTTCGATATCATCCGACCGATACTTACTAGTAATTCGAGTGTAACAAGGCTGACCAAAAATGGTGGCGTGAACGTTCCCAGTACACCTCTCGAGGACAGTTTTGAAGCCAGTCAGCCAAGGCCATGTCGCTGTGGGTGAGGTCGATGGCATTTGTTCGTCGAGCCTTGGACGCGACCGAGTATTGTTGAGAGAGTACAAGCCCCATGATCTCGCAAAGCTTGACGTACTGCAAGAAGAACTGAACATGTACTGGATCTGGCTGAGAGTCATTGTTTGTGTCTCCTTCGTCTTCGATGAAATCGTCTTCGGTGATCATCTCGACGTCCGAGTCATCCGTGTTGATGGAAACCGGACGGCCAAGGGCAACGGCGACCGAGCGATCTCTCGTGAAAAGAGACCACCAGACTCTTTTCCAGAGCCGCTTGTCCTGTCTACTCAGCTGAGAGCTTTCGACACTGGGCAGCGCTGTCAGCAGGCGTGTTGCCACATTTGAGCGACGGATGCATACCTTCGATGCATACCGGCGCCCTGAGCCACCACAATCGCCACTCTGGTCCAATAAAAAACATTCTTCGTCACATCTGCTCCGATGTTAGACCGGGCAGCGTCGGCATATTCAATTGACGCCTGGCCCTTACCTTCTGGGCCCTCCCAGTACCAGCCCATTAACACTAGAGCCTGCACGATAGTGATGCGGTCATCTTCGTAGTTTGCATCATATAGTGCCTTTGCGCGTTTGTAGAACGTCATTGCTGCAGGCGTCGTCGAACCAGTGGCATCCATAAGCTGCGGGTTCTGGCAGACCCTTGAGCCGGCCAGTAACACAGCTTGAAGAAGTAGTAAGGATGGCGGGTTCTTGGTGTCTTTATACCTTTTCATAAACCGACTTTTATTGATGACGGGCACAATTGGCGCCACCCACCGGAAGTAAGCGTCGACAAGCTCATCACACAGAGCGCGAGGCGGAAGTAAAAACGCCCCTCGCTGTTGAAGAATCTCGATCTCCATCTGGTCCGGCTCGGTCAATCGAGCTCGAGCACCTCTGATGTTCTCTGGCAAGGGATAATGAACCACATCTGTCGTGCCATGCCGATCATGAACCAGTAAAGACAGGTTCGAGGATTCCCCCAGGTAGGCTACTCGACCAGCCTCTTTTATTGGTGCTCGGGCGAACTTTGGCTTCATGAACTGTGCCATGGTACCATTATTGGCGGCTTGCTGGGCGGCTTGTGCCTCGGAAATCTGGGTTGAAGGCATTCCATCTGGCGAATTGTATCCGACAGTCGGTTTCGGCTGCGAAGGGCGTGCGATGCGAGGATCTGTAGGCGTAGCAGGCTGTTGCGACTCGCCCACCTCACTGATGCATCATACGTTAGATTTTCGGTATGAAAGTACCATGCATTTGGCTTTTTGGGAATGGCCCGTGGCACAGGCACACGAAATGGATAGCTTACCTTTCCTCGTCTTTGGCTCGAGCGGTACTGGCTCGCTTCCTTTTCGGTATGGGTATCCTGCACTCGATAGAAAAGGCGACGCAGTTGGTACAGGGCACCCTAGACGCGGTTATTCTCCATGTGTAGCCTCGACGATTACCTGCTTGCTTACCCGAGAGAGGCGGCATCGCAGCGGACCTATGCGACAAACGTGTCAGTTTCTTAAGTCAGGTGGCGGCCATTGCAGCAGTCCGACGACAACGAGGAAACGTACTTTGCGGGCGTGGCATGTTTCTGTACAGATCAGAGGTTAGCAATACCATCGCAATACCATCGCAATCACCAAGTACACTTCAAGGATGTGGGTGTTCTCTATCCTCATTGGATCTGGACGTTGAAAGTGGCGGCCTCCAGTATGGAGGATCGAGAAGAGAGGCACTCTGAACCGAGGTTCTCGGTTTGTCGCGTTCTCCAGCGAACGAAAGTAATATTTGACCTCGTCCGCGGCAGCATTCCTGACTATTGTGCGACCTGCGACGAAAACATATATATTCCTCGTGTTCGATCCAGTATCCCAACCATTCCGCATGATCCGAGCCCGTGGGAGGATGAGGGGTTCAAAAGAGGGACAGGAAGCAAAGCTTACCACATGCTCGAGATGCGCGCTGCCTATGTGGAGTGTGTTAGCGAACAGCCTGTACGGTGGAAAACTCTGTCCGAGTCTGTCTGAAATACCTTCTGAAGCTAGGGTGGCCAGGTGTCTGGTTCGCCGGTGCCTTCTTGGTGGCAGGCTGGTCGTTGGAAGCCTGCAACGGCGCATGCGCAGGAGTTGACTGCGATTCAGAGGGCGGGCTTCGGTCGCTCATGGCTGCAGCGTCGAGGGGTTTGTGAGGAACGAGACAGTTGAAGAGGGCTGTTGTCGACCGACTCGGGGGGAATGGCGCATGGCGGTTGCAAAACTTAGTGGGCGAAAAGGAAGCGGCGACGAGATGAGATGTTCAAGTTTGCAACAAAGATTGGAACTGGGCGGACGCAGCGGGCGGGCGGGCTGCCTTTGACGCTCTGGAGGCTTCCCGGCTTGACCGTCTGTCCACCTGTCGAGTTATGTATGTAAGTCGGGGTCTGGGGTTTAGCCTGGGTCGAGGCAGCTAAGGGCAGGCGGCTGTCCACACTTGACTTGCACTACGGAGGCTCCTTAGGCCCCTAAGCCCTCAGAGGGCTCCTTGGGCCTCTGCCGCCCATCTCTTGCCCTCCAGACGCCCACACCACCATCAATTAGGCCACCTTTAGGCTCAAGCTCTAGGAGCTCGGGAAGCATGTTCGAGAGATTGTGGGGTAAGCCTAAGGCCTAAGCAACCACCCCGACCGCCCATCACGCGGCGGTTTCCTTCGCATCACCGCCGAATCGGGCATTGACCCCGATCAACTTGCACATGCCATGCCCATACCCATGCCCATGCAACGGCAACATCGCTCTGCATCAATACACCCTGTGTGTCCATTCCTTCAGCAGGGGAATATGCGTATTAGGTGTGAACGAGTCTGATATACCGGGAGATACCCGTTTGCAGCCTCGAGCCAGGTAAAGGCTCCAGGAAAGTGCATGGCAAACGAATGCCTGGAGGTGAGACAGGCTTCCAAGCCACATTGCCACTATTGTGGCCTGCCTCCCTGCCATCAGAGCACGATGCCGAAGCTCATTCGTTTGCCCATCATTCAAGATGCGCCTAAGACAATGCGTTCCAATCCCAGAAGGTCAGCAGATCGGCTCCTACACCTACACCGTACTCTGTAGGACTGTACGGCGTCCATTCTCCAGATCGATGGCGGTATGGAGAGCTGAGGCTGAAAAGCACATGTTACATATTATTGTTGGGGCTGTTCCAGCGCTTCCTCCATATGCGAATTCACTCCCGACGACGACGACACAGTACTCCATGCTCGATTGTCTCCGTCCTCTATGGCTCGGCTGGGCCGCGTGACCTCCGCCCCTTGTTTGAAGAAATCGGTCGTGCGGAGAGGTCGCACATCTCCAGCCTTCATTTGGTCAATCCTCTGTCCACTCTGTATTTGACGCTGTATCATCTCCCGGACCGGTGTCATTGCTGCTTCCCGACAAGCCTCCTTGATGTCGCTTCCAGACATTCCGGACATGACCCTCGCAAGATACTCCATGTCGAATTGTGACTTGTCGATCTTGGTATCTTTGAGGATGATTTTTAGGATCTTTAACCGTTGTGATGTGTTAGGTAACGACACTGGGAATTTCTTTGGCATTCGTCGTAGGATCGCATCGTCAATATCTTGAATGCGGTTCGTGGCCCCTAGAACCAGGATCCGTTGAGGCCGACCGGTTGATGATGCGGAAGCCAGCCCATCCCAGTGGGTCATGAACTCTGCTTTCACCATGCCGCTCGCCTCGTGCTCCCCGCTTCGCCGGGTGCCTAGCACCGCATCGATCTCGTCAATGAAAACAATGGCCGGTTCGAGCTTCCGAGCAAGGGAGAAGACGGCATTCACAAGCTTGTTTGAGTCGCCGAACCATTTTTCGGTCAATGTCGAGATGTGGAGATTAATGAAGCATGCGCCGCTCTCATGTGCCAATGCTTTGGCCAACATTGTCTTTCCACACCCAGGTTGCCCATATAGCAGTACCCCTGATGGTGCCGATAGCAGAGAAGATGAGGTCGAGTAAAGTTCCGGCATGGTTAACGGATATATCACCGACTCTTTCAGCTCTTCTATGATATCAGATAGACCCCCAATATCGTCGAATGTGACAGGGATATCTTCCGGAAACACCAAGTCTTGTAGGATATTTTGTTCATACGGCGACAGTTGCAGCTCTCCTCGGTTGGGGCGACGAGAACCCGGAGGCTGTGTTTGCTGATCGCGCTTAGGATCGTCCAGCCTACGCAGGATAGCGGAAGATTGCAGACGTGTCTGTTCTTTTTGCTCCGCCTCAGGGTCATAGTTCATCTGCCTCAGCACATATTTGACCAGGTAGTAGCCTCCGATAGCCTGAAGAGGATTAGATGCTGGGCAATTGTCTGAGAGGCTGGATCTGCCATACCAACGGGGCTGTAAAAGCAATCTCTTCGAGGAGGCGTTGCCACCAGGCCCCTCCTCTATCTGGCGACATAGTGGTTGAGGGACTGGTCGAGGACGCGAGGGCACCAGAACATGGATTGCGAGTTGTGACGGGTGTGCTGAAGACGAAAGATCGCCTTTGCAGTGTGGCGCCTCGGGATGGCATGTCACATGTGACCGTCAGTCAGATAAGCGAAACCGGGAAACCGAACTAATCCGCATCGGGAGCACTGTTTACTGTGCCCAAACATCTGCGGGAGCGCACCTGGGGAGCAGTAGTGAAGAATTTGTGCTCCCTCGCCGACGCTTATGCTTCAAATTCACTTCAATTTAGACTCACAAATATGAAAGGCATCGCTGATCTCGTGGAATCTGCTATGGAGGAGTCGACCGACTTCATCGACGAGAATTCGATCCTCTCCTCCGCATCAGACGCGACGGCGGCGAGCACAGCCAAATCCGCGCCGGCAAAGAGAGGCAAGAAACGGCATCGCGTCACCATGCCTTCGAAACCGAAATCGAAAGTTCAAAAGTCTGCGCCCGCGCCCGCGGCCGGCCCCGGCAGGAAGACTGCGACAAAACGGATGCCCGCGACAAAGCGCAAAGCTCTTGAGGACCACTTGGAGAACACGGACGTCAATGGAAACCAAGACTTGGAGGCCTCTGAGGTCGTGCAAGAGGTATCTGCTCTGAAGCCGAAGAAACCATCCCGCGCGAAGGCAAAGCCGAATGCGACCAAGGAAACAGCAGGGACTAACGAAATGGCTGAAGACATAATGGAGACTGAGGGATCGCCTGTCATTGTACGCTCGAAACACGCTGCAAGTCGGAACACGCAGGATGCTCCCAAAGTTAGAGTTACAAACAGGACGAAGGCTGCACCGAAAGCGAAAGCCGTCCAGCAGGCCAGCTCGGCAGATCCCGAAATGCAGGATGATGAAGTTGAGGAGATCGAGGAAGACCCCAAATCAGTGGTGACGGTAGCCATACCGAAACGGAGGACAGCCATGCGAGAGGCGTCCAGGACAAGACAAGAATCAGGGTATAGGCGACGGGCAGAAAGCGCATCTGACGCCGAGCGAGGAGATCCTAACCTTCGCCGCAAATTGGGGGACATTACGCGGAAACTCGAGAATGTCGACCTGAAGTACCGAAACCTCAAGGACGTTGGCATCAACGAAGCCAATGCAAACATGGAGAAAGTCCGCAAGCAATGTGATGCCGCAATGCAGGCGTCCAATGAGTTGATCGCATCATTGAGAAAAGAGCTGGCTATGCAGGCCCCTCTGGCCCAGGAAGCTCGACAACTCAAGAAGCAGTTCCAAACCCAGGAAGAAGAAATGGCCACAATGCGCCAAACCTTGTCGGGCCTGGAGAATTCTCTCAGCGCCGCACAAAATGAGAATAAGGCACTGCAGGCGAAACTAGCAGCGGCCCGGGCACCTTCAGTCGACAATGCGAAAGTCAAGACGCCAGGAAGCGCCATCAAGGCCGCAGGCCATCGACCACTCATGATTGCAAGTGCAGAAGCTGCTCAAGCTGCTCAAGCTGCCCAGACGGCTCAGATGAAGGAAGACCTGTACAGCGACCTGACGGGCCTCATTATTCGCAGTGTGAAGAGAACAGAGGAGGGTGATACTTATGACTGCATTCAGACGGGCCGGAACGGCAGTAAGTAATGTCGCGGTTTTGCACAGTGCTCGGAAAGCTAATGATCATGTAGCGTTGCATTTCAAGTTGTATGTCGATCAAGAGGACGCGAGAACAGCCAGCTTCGAAGAGACCGAGTTTCTCTATACGCCTCTTCTGGATGCCAACCAGGACCGCGCGATGATCGACCTGATGCCGAGTTATCTCACCGAGGACATCACATTTGCCAGACAGAACGCCGCCAAGTTCTATGGCAGGGTCGTGGATACCTTGACCAAAAGACGAACCGAGGAATGAGAGACCTTGTACAGTGTTGATGTTTTGATCGCGTTCAGCTAGGTTGTTGGGTGGTCAATAGGATGAGGCCGGCGTTATTGATTGGAGACGTGCCAGCTTTGTGGCAGGGCTAGGGGATTGTAAAGGCATGAGGGAAGTGCAAATGTTGGTCGTCTACTATGTCATTCTGGAGGATTGTGTGCAGTTTCTTGGGCACTGCGAATGAAGATGCCGCTGTCTCAATGCGGCAAGTGTGATATATACACCAGTTGAGACTCGTTGATGTTCCCAGTGGCGGAATAGCTGGCCAAGGGTCTGTCTTGGTCTGCATACGTGCCGCGCAGCTTGCATGGATTGGGAACTGATGACGGACGGCCATGAAGGTGGAAGAGTAGGAGAGTCACAGGCACCAAACAGGGGTTGGACAGACTCTCAAAAGCTCGGATAGCCGGCCATCTCGGAGAACAATTCGTCCCAGTTGATATCAGCGAACGACTCGCCGTCGGCATCCCATATATTCGGTGTGTCGGACTCAGGTGCATGGTCTCCAACAAGTAACATGGCCGAGGGATCTGGTGCTGGTGCTGGTGCTGATGCTGGTGCTGGTGCTGATGCTGGTGCTGGTGCTGGTGCTGTCGTCGTAGCTGGCTCCTGCAGTGGGACGAAGTACTGCCTGGCCCGACGGACGACACTCAAGAGGACGTTTGCGCCCATCCTCGATCTGACAAGTAGAAATGCATCCGTTTTGTCCCCTCCCTCCCGCCCGGGCCTGCCGTTGTACAAGACCTTGCTGAAACGCTCGATGAGCCAGCATGCGCGAGACATGATATCGCCTTGGGTGATGGAGAGGCCTTGCAAAGTCTGCCAGCCCTGACTGATACAGTTGAAGAGCGTGCTGTTGTTGACCAGATTGTGGTGGGGAGAACTTTTCAGGAGCAGCAGGAAACATACCGCGTTGGTGACCATGTTCTGGACACGACAAGGGGCGTGAAACAGCTGGTCCTGTAGAGCCGACGCCGTTTGGATGATGGCGGTCGCCGTCACGTAGCCTTGGATGAGCCAATGTGAAAGAGTCTCAATCTCCATGGACCTCGACGTGGATCCGGAACCGCCATCGCCGGTGTTGCTGTTGTCGGCCGACGAGAGGGCGAATATGTACAAGATCATCCGGTAGCCGAGGAAGACTATGTACTCAATGGGCGACCAGGAGGAACAAAACTGGCATTCTAGAGCCCGCAATTCAGTCTCAAAGGTCCGGATGATGGGCATCGCCGCGGGCAGTAAGCCTGTGCTCGATGACTCACAGCATCCAAGGCTGGAAATCATTTTAAAGCCGTGTTGTGACAGATGGAGTTGGTGGTACAGCGTGGTAGGCAGCCACGCCGGTTTGGCCACCAGAAGCTCGAGGAGACCTTGATCCAGCTGCACTGTGGCCGGGAGCCCCCGTCCACCATGGACACTACAATGGCGGTCGACAGTTAATGGCCAGGTCAAACTCAAACAGCCGGCGATTGAGCAAATGATTCGTCCTTACCTCACATTCGTGATAAAGCACACCACCCACGTCCTCCTCCGAACGGCCTCCGTCTCCGCGTCGAAGGAAATTTCATTGACATACTCGCCGGCGTGACGTGGTCGATGCAGCCCCATCCCAAGGCCAAAGTTGGTGGCCAACGCGATGAAGGAATGAGATGGATCCTGCGCTCGTGGGTACGGAAGAGGCCACTGGCAGAGTAACAGAAGGGCCTGCATGGCCTGCAAGGACGCGGAAGCCGGCTGGACCGTGTCAAAGGCCATTTTCCGAACTGCCTCGGCCATGGTCGAATACAGTCCACGATCCTCGACCTTTCCTCTCAGCGCGGTAATCAACACGGTCCAGAAGAGAAGCGGGCATGTCCTCGAATACTCCAGGAACTTTGACTGGTCCGGTAGAATGGGACAAAGAGGATGATACTTTGCAAAGAAGCTTTGAATGTGTCAAGTTAGCAATCTGTTGACGAACTCTTTCTTGTCGGTTGGGAGAGACGGGACCTACTGGTCCAGGAGGGCGTGGATTCTTGGTGCCTCGAGGTGAACTCCTGGGATTGATCTCGCTTCGACTTGCGACGAGAAGTCAACGTCTGATATCTCCGCGTCAGGCGACGAAGGCGGATGCTCCATGTGCTGCCTGGTGGACCGCACGGTCGTGGGAGAGGAAGAGTCGGAGTCATCGTCCACACTGATCTCTTGCACTTCTTGCTCGACTCGCGTGAGCCGTCTTACAGTACCACCAGCCAGTCAGCCAAAACGGACTCGGGACTCGGGACTCGGGACTCGAGACTCGGGACTCAGGATAGGCACCGTGGGGAAGAGCACAAGCGACATACTCTCTCTTTTTCTCGCGTCTGAATGTCGGATCTACCGCGCAGATTTTTCTAGACTGGTGGCATCTTGAGCACGGTGAGGGAAAGGTCTGATGCCCATCACACGCCCGCTGTCTCGCCTTAGTTGCTGGGAGAAAGGAGAAAAGCCAGTCTTGGTCCCGGACTTACCTTGGCCTGCCGGCAATGAATGCAAGCAACAAGATTGGGCTTCCTGCCACGCACCATTGGTTTGGGTCGTCGTCGTCGCTGTCAACTGGGAGAAGAGATTCCGAGCGGGAGAAGAATGAGGTCAAGGTAACTGCAGGAGTCGAATTGCAGTACCTACTATGTACTCCGTACTCCGTACATATTATTCTATTCGTCCCTCGGCCATCACTTGGTCGTCCGTACAACACGCCGCCTTTGATCAGTTCACGTAGAGTCTAATAGCCGATTTGACCGAGTTGCACGCAGCTGAAGGCATGAGACGAGGGCTGCTTAGGCTGGTCCGGTCACTACAGTATATGCCTCGAAATCTAATACTCCCTCGACAATCTATGCCCGAAGCCGGAGCCACCAGACCGGCCTCAAAGAAAGAACCAAAGCACCTACAGATCTCTACCACCCATCCACAACCTCCAGCCTCGTCCGAACCCCATCCACCGGGGCCGCCCCAATCCCCCTCTGTGTGGGCTCTACCTCTTTATTGGGATCCTCCAATTCCAAGCGGAATCTGCCGACGAGCGCAGCCACCAAACATGCCAACTCTGACCGTGCGAACGTCGCCCCGATACAGCTACGTGGACCATGCAGAAAGGTAAGAAACCCGAGGTGGTTCTGCACACCGCCCGTGTTCGCGCAGCCCTTTTGCATCCAGCGCTCCGGGTCGAACTTGCCTGCGTCTGGACCCCAGAGCTGTTCGTCCAGATTTGTCACCCCAGGCGCAATGGTAAAGGTTGTCCCTTTGGGGATCCGCTGGCCGGCTACAGTCATGTCGTGGAGAGCCTCGCGCACAGTGATCGGAACTGGCGGATAAAAGCGGAGGAGCTCATTGCAGAAGGCGTGAAGGTAGGGAAGTCTGTCCAACTCCGTAGCAGAAATAGTGGATTCGGAATCCGTGATTGATGGAAGGTTGTCGCGGACCTCTTGTCGTAGGCGCGTTTGGATCTGCCCGTGCTTACAAAGGACATGAACAGCCCACTGTAGAGCGTGTGAGGTAGTGCCGTGCCCGGCGGCTAGAAAGGTCATCATTTGGTCAACAAGGTTTGCGTCAGTGAAGACGCCGCTTTTCAAAGCGACGGCGATGATATCAACCTCGCTCGTGGTCTGATCTGACTCTGATTTCTCCCGCTTCTCTTGGATGATACTCCGGCAGACGGACCTAATATAGTCAGACGCTTCTTTGACCTCCCTTTTGCGGCTCGTTGGCAATTGCGAAACGATGGATGCATCCTTTGGCGAAAGCAGGGAGGTTACAAAGCTGCAGAGGACTTCTATCCAAGATGGTTCTTGTCGCAATCGCCTATATTGCCTGTTGAGGAGGTTGTCGGGATCGTGGAGAGCGTCAAAGTCATGATTCATGCCCGCGACCCCAATGATATCGAGAGTCGCCCGAGTCGCCTAGTTTCGCAACACAAGCACCTTTGCCGGCGCTTTTTTGATTTCTTTCTCGAGGCTATCTGTCAATTCTCGGGCTTTGGACCAAAATACAGGGTACAGGTCTTTGACGTGGCGGAAGGAGAATGCGGGCACAAGGCTCTTGCGCTGTATCTGGATGCATGGTCAGACTCCTGCGCGAGACCTGCAAGATGAGCAAACCTTGTGTTCCTCTCCTTCAGCTAAAAGGAGGCCCCTGCCAGTGATGTACCAAAGTCGCTCTCTTGTAGCTTTAGGTTTGGTGAAATCGGTGGGGTGAGCGACCAAGATCTCTGCCAATGCCTTGGGGCTGGTCACCAACACCCTCTCTTGGTTGCCAGGCAAGTAGTACCTGATGAGGCCGTTATTTGGGACCGTCTTGCTCCAGTAACGTAAGCGTGCCGCATGCGATTTTTGGGATGGTGCTGTAGTTCCCTTGCCCAAGGACCGACCTGCTGGCGTGGGGATGTGTTTCAACGGTGTGAATAGTTCAGGATATAGGATTGTAGTATAAAAAGTGCGAAGGAGTAGTCTCGCGGCAATGACTGAGGCGAGTAAGGACACAATATCTTTCGGAGTGGATATTGTTGGCAGGGTCACGAACCCCAATCCTTTGGCATTTGGTTCCATGGTTGATATAGATGAGACTTGTCCGTATCAACTGGCTCTAGAATCTCAGCATGATGTCCAGTCTGGGGCGCTATTCAGACTCAATTTATATCTGGAGTCTGCTTGGAAGGCTCCAGGCAGGGAAAGCGCTTTTCGGTATGGAAACCGATTGCGGTTTGCTGCTGACGTTGACTGCCTTGCACGTGTCCGATGTGCGTGTTTGAACAGCCAGGAGAATATCAGCATATCCTGGCAGCAGGCGCTGGGTTTCTCGATATAAAAGGCCTCTCATGAGCTGGCCAGCGGTTCTTCCATCTAAGTTTCGCCCAAGCCAGTCCCTGTGTGTCGGGAAGTCCGAATAGCAGAGGGGTATCGATTGCGCGCCCACTCCATCCTTTCAAGGATACAAAGGGCTTCAAAGATTTGACAGCGACCCCCTTCTCCGGAAGTTGGCGTCATTGGACTTTCGTTCAAGCAAGGAGTACTACTTACTGTACAAGTCTTCACTGACCTTCTCTTGACGAAGCGCAAGAAAGGCAAGGAACGCGGCGTGCTCCACGTTTGGCACGTGATGAATTTCTTCACGTGACCTCGCGGAAACCACCCGCAGCATCGAACGTTGCAGCTGCGGCTTTGGCTTTGTTTGGTGAGGGGACGCTCCACCCTTCGGAACATCACGAAGCAGACGGAGAGGTACGGACGGATGGTGCACCGCATGAGGCTCGGAGAGTCCCCTAGGGACCCAAATAATATCGATCGCTGAACATGAGGTCTTCACTCCAAGCCGCTGCGGGATCCGTTGTCGCTACATTCCGTCCACCGCAACTCCTAGACTTTCGAAAGCACAGCTAACTGTAAGATGGCACCTCAACTGGCATGGCTGGGCCTCGGGAACATGGGCAGGGTAAGACATGAAGCTTCGGTCTCACACCAGAGAGTCTCTCCTCTTCTCTAACTCGGCCGCGAAACAGGGCATGTGCAAGAACCTCGTGGAAAAGGGAAACCTATCCGAGCCTCTGATCATCTACAACCGCACGGCGCAGAGAGCACAAGACCTTTCCGCCCAGATTGGACACTCGACCGTGGCCAGCTCGCCAGTCGAGGCGGCATCCAAGGCCGACATCATCTTCTACTGCCTAGGCGACGATGCGGCCGTGCTCTCGACTCTCGGCGAGATCCTCAAGACGGACGTCAAGGGCAAGGTTCTCGTGGACTGCAGCACGGTGCACCCGGACACGACGACGCAGGAAAGCAAGATGATTGAAGAGAAAGGCGGCAGTTTCGTGGCCTGTCCTGTGTTCGGGGCCCCAGCCATGGCCGACTCGGGACATTTGATCTGTGTGCTGGCCGGCAAGTCGGACGCGGTGGACAAGGTCAAACCGTACTGTCAGGGCGTGATGGGTCGAGCGAACATTGATTTCTCGGGCCAGGAACCCGGCAAAGCGACCCTCCTCAAAGTCATTGGCAATACCTTCGTGGTGAGCATGGTCGAGACGTTATCTGAGGGCCACGTCATCGCCGAAAAGTCCGGGCTTGGAGTGGACGAGCTGCACAAGTTCATCGAGGTCATGTTCCCCGGGCCCTACACCGCTTACTCGAATCGGTTGCGGACGGGCGACTATTACAAACGTGACGAGCCTCTCTTCGCCGTCGACCTGGCCCGCAAGGACGCTCGACACGCCATGGCTCTGGCCGAGAAGAGTGGGTGTCGAATGAAGAATGTCGAGCTGGCAGACTCGTACCTTAAGGTGGTCAAGGAAACGCAGGGTGCAAAGGGTGACATTTCAGCCATTTATGGCGCAAAGCGATTGGAGAGCGGGCTTCCGTTCGAGAATTGATTCGTTTGCTCTTTTTTTTTTTCGGGCAAACAAAACCCCCCTGCTAGAAAGCAAAGCAAATCAGATCCCAAAACATCAGACATCAGACATTCATTCGCATGCCAAGGTGGACTCAACCCTCTCCAAGAAGTAGATAGATCAGTAGATGCGGCAAAGCTAGATTGGTCATGCAGTCCAAAGATACGCAGCCAGAAATCCAGTCATTTCCGGAAGAAAGATTCCACCCTTTCCAACCCGCCACTCTCTCCTCAGGTTGGATGGAAACCATCCACCATCTCCGTCCTCATCCCCCATCGCTTCCCCTGTCGCTCAGAAAGCCTCAGTCTGGCTACGAGTGTCCTCGGCCGAGTCTATGCTGCCGCCGCTGCCGCCGCCGCCATCCAAGTCATTTGTTCGGGTATCGGTATCGTACCATTTATCGTCAGGGTCCCATTCGAACAGATCTTGTATGCGAAGCTGCGCGGCGCTTTCGATGGTGCCGGTTTCTCGCGCCGAGTGTGAATTGTAGTTGACGGTCCATTTGCCCGTCCGCTTGAGAAAGGCCTCAAGATCAACCTTCATGCCTTGGGTGTAGTGGTGGTTACGACCGAGCATTTTGATCCGGCCCTCCAGGACTTGCCAATACAAGCGCTCTGCGATATCCATGTGCCCACACCCTTCATGCAAGATAGCTAACAGGCGCATACTTTCCAGCCGGCGTGGATGATTCCGGCCCAACGTCTCCCGAGAGTCGGCGATGGCCTTTCCCAAGACGGCGATGGCCTCGTCAACCCTGCCCTGTCGCTCAATCGCGCGGTGGAGGTTTGTCAAGGCTGAGATAGACTGCAAATGCTGCGGGCCCAGGTGAGCGCTCGACACTTCGTAAACTTTGCGCAGAACCGACTCGGCTTGCTCAACCTGCCGCTCCACATTGAGCATATACCCATAACAGTACATGGCCGCGATGGATCGCGGATCTGTGTAGCCATGTCGCTGTACGAACTGGGTGTGCAGGTGCTGCAGTGTCGAACTGGTGATATCGCGGTCTCGCATGTTCAGGTCGGTGACATAGACCATCCATCGGATGCAGGTGGTCAAGGGGTCGTCGGGGCCAAGTACCCGTTCGGCCACGTTGTGTGCCGACGACATGATCGTCTTTGAGATACGGCCTTGGTTGTGTACGTGCAGGATCTGCAGCGTCTGGTTGAGTGCGAGCAGCACCTTGGGGTCCTGTCGTGGGCTCAACATTTTTTCGAACTCGGCGTCCGCATCAGCCAGGCTGATGCGAGATAACGTGTCGTTGCCTCGGCTCAGGTAGATGCACGCAGCGAAACAGCGCGCCACCCACCTCCAAGAGTGCTCGTGCCCTCGAGTCGAAGTAGGCACGGAGATGATGCTTTCCGACTCACCGCTGTCCTCATTTAGGATATTCCGTACCTGTCGAGCGGGCAGTTCGAGGTTTGGCAGGCTGATGAAATGGTCTCGGGTCAGTTCATGGCATGTTGGACAGACCACTTCGTAGTCTTCGGAGTCTGTCGAGTAAGTATCGCTCATCAACCTCCAGGAACGAATGTCGTCGTGTCCGCAAAGAGATTTCAGTACTGGCGCGTCGACTATTTGAAGCGCCATGTATTCAACCTGCTTCCCTAGGCGCTGGCAAGGTATGCTGGTACTAGTGTTCTGACCAGTGGCGGGACGTTGGATCTCGTCGGAAACGGTGACGACGGGTAGATTTAGTGGCGAAGGAGTAAATGGTGTCTGCTGAGACGGCCAGATGAAGGCTGATGCGGCACTATCTCTGGACGGCGAAAGGCGAGAAGAATACGATCGAAATTCTGAAGATGTCAAATTTGTGGTAGGAGTCTGGAGAAGCGGTTCTGGTGAGGCATTCTCGCGAGGTGATGGGTTCTGGGATGACGGGGTATATGGATGGACGAAGAGACATGAGCCCGATCCCGATGAGCCCGACACCGACTCTGGGCCTGTTCCTGGAGGTGAGAATCCCAAGCGGCCTGCTGTCGCGGGGTCGGCAGAGTTCTGTGGATCGTCGTAAGTGCTGGTCTCGCCCTCAGGCTCCGGGGTATAGGCTCGGACGTGAGCGTGCTGAAGCTGGAATTGCTGGTCACTGCAGTCAATGTTCTTGAGAGCGGACGCGAGGAATTCATCCTCGGACATCTTCCGGCCTTTGATGTACTTGTGCAGGTCTCTGAGAGTTCGCTTGTGACCATGTATGACAAAGGCGGTGCTGGCCTTACCACTATTGCGGCGGAAGTGGTTCAACACGGCACATATTTGATAGTCCTTGTCAGAGTAATTCTTGCTGAACCCCCACTGCGACAGTCGGGCTTTGTACATGCGCTCACTGTGTCAACGAGAAAGTAAGTCAGATCAGCCCAGGTCGGAGACGCAGCGAGTCCGGCTAGAGGGGTTGGGGGAAGTGGACTCGATCGAGGTAAACTCGGGAGCTTGCATAGGACATACGTCGCGCGAAAGCCGTGTCGTTGTTCCAAGATTCTCCTGACATCTCGCAATGGCTTGTCCTGGTACAGATACCGGATTTCCTCCTTCACCGCTTGCCACTGAGCGGCAGCGGGGCCTTCACGCGCCTCGAGCTGGGGAGGCGTTGCCGCGGGCGTTAACTTGACCCTCCATTTTTCGTCGGTGTCTGGGCTCGAGGCCATTGACTCGGTGTTGGAGGCTTTGCTCAACGGTCATCACTGCCTAAAGCGAAGTTGGGATGGAAAGGTGCCGTGCGGCCTGATTCAGCTTTGAAGCAGAAGGCTCGGCCACCGCTTGCCGGGTCCGGCTGCTAACGGTTTGACAGGGCGGACGGAGCGTTTGCCTGGCGTGAGCGGCTCGTCACCCTGAAAGACGGTTCGAGAGGAGGAGGGGCGTGGGTGATGGACGGCTAAGGCCTGGGGTCACAGTGGCTCGTCTTCGTCTGTCGTGGCCCCCGTGAGACATGCATCTCAGTGTGACAGGTCCGGTTTATTAGCTTGGTGCATATGCAAAGTCCCTTCTGTGCCCAATCAGCGGGCCATACTTCTGTGTCTGTGGCGTGGAAGCAGTAAGATTGCGACCGCCAGAACCTAAGCCTAGGAGCCCCTCAGACTTTGCGCGGATCATGCTCCATGAGCCTGGGGACTAGTACTCTGTAGTGGTGGTAATAGTGGTTTCAGAGATCGGGTACGAAGTACGGAGTACGGATACTTAAATGTACAAGTCTCCCAGGCAGCTTGGATTTTGAGGATTGCTCTGTACAGACGCAGCCAGGACCTGGGTCACCAGCATACGAGACGAGACCAGCTGGACGCCTGCGAGTCGGCCGGGGTCTGCTGTCCCGCCGTCACATGATTCTGCCGTAATGGGCGCAGCCACTGGCAGCTGGCTGACCCGGCAGCAAACAAGTAGGGCGCCTTGTTGATTGCTTCTGCGCAGATAGGCAGGCCAACCATTGGACACTGCCCAGTCAACAGCTTTCGGCCGCGTGTCAACCGTCCTTCCGAGATCTCGGCCCAGCCTGGAGAATTGACTGTGATATAGCAGCAAAGATGAAGCTGCGACGGAGAAGCTTGCTGTCTATTTGCCCGGCCTGACGAGGGATCGTCATTCGGAAGCACATCTAGTCCGACACCTCCCTGTTAGAACGACCACTGGGTTCTAGAGCACACAAAGGCTTCAAACACAATGCATTATTGCAAAACCATCCCGCTGTTGTCGGCTCTATCACGAAGGATTCCTGCCTTCAGAACAACGCAAACACCACCTAACCGGACCTTGACTGTCATACCGTCCAGATAGACAGAAAATCTGACTGAGCAGGTTGTTTTCCAGGCTTCTTCCGAGGACTTTGTCTGGGTATGACAGCTCACAGGCTAGCAGGATCACCATTCCGGGGCATTGGTCAGAATACTCGAGGCCTTGAGAGAGCTTGAATCTTTTGTGCGCCAAAGAAGTCGGGAAGACTAGTAACAGATCGACCAACGCTGGAAAAAGACATGTAAAACATCACGAAAGGCCCTCAAGTTGAAGGGGATTGTACCGGCGCAAAGAACAATGGTGTACAGTACATATCAGAGACGGACCTTGTGGCTGTGCTGCTGACCATGCCCTGAAAGATCTCCTTCCTGCCGGGTGTCAGGCCTCACCGCACTTGGACCTTCACCTTGACAAGAGACGCCGTCACCCTCACCCTCATCCCCGTGCCTCCAATCATACCTACCCCCTATGGCTCGGCCTCCGCATCATTTCGTCGTAAGCTGATGGCCTGCGAGCCTGAGAACTGAACGGCCGGGCTGGCTCCTCTCCTGGAGGCAGTTCACCCGGCCGCAAAGAAGACATGTCCATGGGTAGGCTTGTTCTTGGCTTGTCGTCCCCATCAAATGTATCGGGGTCTGGCTGATCTGGAGGCTGAGGCCGCGGTGGCACTCCCGTATTCGATTGGTCGTACGACGGCGGAGGGTAGTCGTGAGCTGGCTTGGGACCTGCTGCATAAGGACTGCTGGCATACTGATTGGAAGTAAATCCTCCGGTACTTGGAGGTACACTCGCACTGTATGATGTGGACGCCATTGCGTTATAGATGTAAGTGTTGGACACGTTTCCCGGCCTTGATGAGGCCTGGTAATATCCGGTTGCGGATCTAGGAAATTCATGAGGCTGAGAAGGTTGATATGAACCATACTGGGCAGGAGCGTTGCTTGTGCCGGGTGGACCGCCAGGCCTTTCACGCCGATAGGGCTCAGTCTGTTCAGCTGACATCTCCCGGTGCTGTCTTCCTGCTGGTCGAATCGCGCCGCCTTTTGATGCTCCCTGACGGCTACGCCGCCTTGCTGTATCTGATTCTGAATATCGATACGGATCCTTTCGAAATTTTTCTGAACCGGCGTCAACATGATTTGTCCACCTTTTCTGGAGAGTGGCTCATACTGCTCTGTGTTTCGAGATCCCAGTCTCTCGAATCATTGATGATATCGCGGAGGCTAACCTGGAGCACGGATAAGTCTTTGGCGCAACCGGTGCGGCTATGGTGGGTCTCAGGCTCACGGCATTGAGGGTCTTCTTCGCGAGAACATTGAAGCCCGTTCGTGTTTTATCCTAGCAACTGTCAGCGTTCTCTTGCCACCTGCCATCACTATGCCCTCACGGTTGGATGATGACTTGATGTAATCTTCGCAGTCCTATCGACATATTGGGTGATGTATTCAACGAGGACGGCGGCATTAATGTTTTCGCCGGGAACGAAGAAATGGATTGGCTGAAGGTCGTCATCGAGGTCTTCAGAGGTACTGTCATCGTCCCGCTTCTGTTTCTTGCTGTACTTGGAGTGCTGCTTGGACATGGCTGTGGTGGGACGAAGGCGTGGGATTCAACGAGAATCACGAGAAGGGCTGTTGTTGGCAGCGGTTGTCCAGACGGTGGAGGACTTCGGCCGCAACGCAGACTGGCGATTCGAGGAATGGAGCAAGGCTAGATCGAATGAGCATGCTTGACAAGATGACGCAGATCCAGACTTGATAGAACCAGAGTGGACATTGACGCAGAGGACAGATAGGTAACAACAAGAATTACTCGGCCGGTCAGGATGCAAACTGCGACCTTGACCGAAGCATCTCTGGTAGGCACGTAGGCAGAATTGGGCCGCGACAGGCGACACTTAGGCATGGGCGGTAGTAGTAAGAGAGTGGATAGAACGGACAGCCTCTCAAGTCCAGTAGGTAAGGCGAAGGCGAGGCGAAGTTCATTAGCGGACAACAACAGACACCGGAAGTAGGAGGCCAGTTGAAGCCGGTCAGATAGTGAACAGAACCAGAGGACGAGTGAACACGCGCGTTCCCTCACCGCGGGCAGCCTGCGGTTTACCCCGCCGCCTACCAACCTACTGACCTTCTTCCAGTGCTCGACCCCCCTCCAAACTCCCTGCACCAGCGTTTCCTTCGGCTATAGCCTGGCCCTGGTTAGAGATCTGACCTCTGCAGCATGTCTGACCGTCGGCGACCCCTACCTCTCGTACTTCCACTGGAAAGGGGATGAAGAGATTATGGCCCCAAAACCCGGCACTGAGCTTGAGCGACACCTACGTGCCCCCGGTGAGGCGTGATTCATGTGTTGTTATTCCGACGAGGCGCGTGGAAAGGCAACCAAGCCAGGCGTTCCGCAGGGAAGCGGCGCAGCCGCATGGCTCGAATCAAATGCCTCCGAGACGCTGAGTCTGCCTTGGCTCAGTCTCCTGCGGCCGCAGAGCAAGGGCCAGTCGGGCCAGTCAACGCGTGCGCTCCGAAGCGACAGCCTCGAATAAGCCATCGATGAGATGTTCAGGATATAATAGAGGGGATCCTCTCCCATCTGTCACTTGTGTCTGGAGAGCCCTAAACGGCGGATCATATCGCCGGGCCACCGCAACGTGGTTGAGCCCATCAAAGGAAGCCGCAGCTCTGCGGCAGGGTTCGAGGACGCAGCAGTGAGAATAGAGAGGCCTTTGGATGGCCGCATGTTTGAGCATGTATTAATGGCGATCAACATGTCTTGTCGAAACAAGGTTATCACCATGTCTTCGGCCCGCCAGGGAACTAAACGTTTATCTTGACCCACGACGGCCAAAGAGAGTAAGAAGCTGTGCATGTCACTTCTCAGCTCACCGCCCCCCCCCCAAACAACCCGCTTGTTGACAGTCTAGTCCAGTGTTGTCGGCTACATGAGAGTGCAATTGTGCAGCAGAGAACTTGTTACAAGAACACCCGTTTTAGTCCTACCAGGGTAGTCGCCATCAATACTTGCAATCCACTGCACCTGATGTTGTCGATCAGCCGGATGCTGATGCACCGTCGCCACCTGACCCTTCTCCTTGGCCACCAGATCCTTTCGTTGCCGTGGGAATTCTTTACATCTCCATAGATGTCGGTTCCCGAAGCAATTGCACACACCTGAGAGGTGATCGGCAGGAAGCTCCTGTCCTTGGCTAAAGAAATACTTGTCTCGATCGTGATAACCTGCGTGGTATCGTCATATCTGAATGCCGAGTCATGTTCACCAGCGATGTCAATGGCTTCTGGCATAGAACTCACACTGCAGACGGTTGGTGATTTTAATCAGTGCAGAATTTGGCTGTGTAGCTCTAGTCTCTATACGTCGAGAATGATTCGTGATTGTAAGTCGAGTTGATGACCGTTGTGGTTGGTTGCACAATGCTCAACCCATCGCCAAAGCACAGCGAGCCACCAGCATTCGTCAGCACAGAGGGATGATGACGACGTGGAAGCCTTTATTACGTAGCTCTGTGGTTGTGTTTGCGTCTTCGACATTTAAGAGCAGGATAGTCTTGCCACGGACATGCAGGTCAATTGTATCGAAGTTGATACGGGAGAGCGTGACCATGGAAGCATTCCTCTCAGTAGAGCAAGCCGTTGTTCCAGTCATAAAATGGTTGGTGTACATGAAGATACACCATCAAATCCCGCATCTTTGGCGAGGCAAGTAGTTCTGTATCCAGAGTAAGACCTTCCAGCCATCCACGTACTCGATATCATTGCACATGATTTCGAGAGGGAAAGTAGCTAAGCTGTAATTGTACACCGCTTTAGCCACTCCATGCACGTCTCGGTAATCGTACTTGTGTTGGCGAAATCTGAAAGTCCAGTAGGTCATCATGCCAGGTTTACCAACAACTTCAGAAATCGGCTTGGCGACTCCAACAGTAGGCGAGGGTCCTGCTAAGAAATGGAAGTCGAGAACCTCCGAGCGTGTCGTATCCAAATCCGGGAACTGGCCATAAACGTCATGAATCTTGATGTTCAATCCGGTCGGAGTAGGAACAAAACACCACGGGTGCCATTTTCGCCTCGATGGTCAATGCTGATAGGGAGGTTTCCATACAAATCGGTTCCCTGAACAGGATATCCGAGCAATATATTCAACTATGAGGGCCAGGTCTGGGAAATCCCTACCGTGAATGTCATATGCAGGGCGGCCGGCTAGATGGAGATTAGCCTTCAAGCCGGGTTCAGTTTACCGGACATTGCTTGCAGCATATTTGGGTAGGAGGGCTGAACAATGGCCAGGCCCAAGGCCCAGGGGCTTAGGATAGCAGGGTTCGGATCATGCCGCAACAGAGTCCTGCAGACTTAAACCTTGGAGGTAGTAAGAATGAGCACCGAGAGACAATGCGGCAAACCTATAACAGAACTCGAGGAAATCAAAACAGGGGATCCAGATGAGGTGACCTTCCTCAGAGTAACATTGACTCACAAGGTATACAAGGAAAAGCGAGGAGAAGCACAGAGACCATCAGATGAAATGCCGTTGGGACTGTCGCCAATCCGTGACATTGGGTAGAAGATACCCTGAGAGTGGGAGCCCTAGGATCAAATTAACGGCAAAGCTGAAGCTGCTGTCGACACTGTCGCGCCGTGAGGAGATCCCGATGTGTCTGATCAACGGAGGTCATGGAAGGTTAGGTTGTTATGGTGAAGCGCGCACGCGATTGAATCCATTCGAAAGGTGTTGGTGCACGTGACCGTTTTTAGCCACGTGATGACATTGATATGACCTCCCATGAAGTCTTCGTCCACGCAAGCAAGCTGCCTCCTGGTCTGTCTAAGTTCTCACAACGCTTGAAAGGACCTTTCAGTACCGGGAGAGTCTGGGCAGCTTGGTGGTTGCTTTGCGGCTGGAACCACCTCCCAACACCAGACTACGACCCTCGCAACACGGGATCTCCTTGGCTTACCTGGACGAGGTAAGACGGACATCTCCTCTCGCAGAAATCGGCATTTGACGGAGGGTCTACTGCAGTATTCCACTCGGCGTCATGGCGTCGTCGTTCGGATCGAGAATGTGTCCATGACCATGGCTTGCCTGCCTTATATCACGCACTACTCCGTACTGTCGCCTGCAACGGTAAGCAAGGTCAGCGGTCGACTTGGACTCTCCATAACTACCACAAACGATGAGCAGTGGGCCGCCATTGAGACCGAGCGAGAGCGAATATGTACCACTCTAGGCTGCTATCACTGTCACTCCTCCCAGCGGTATCATATACACAATTGGCCCCCATCGATGTGCGCGAGGCAACCATCTCCAGTCTTCACGGCTCTCTTTACTCCAGGCTCACGACATGCCGCGACATCGTGAGTGCGTTTGTCGCGCGCATCGAGCGATTCAATCCGAGCATCAACGCAATCATCGCGTTGAACCCTGATGCCCTCGAAATTGCCGATGGTCTCGACGAAGCTCTCTCGCGAGGCAACACCACTGGTCCGTTGTTCTGCATCCCGATTCTCCTGAAGGACAACTATGATGCACTGCCCATGCCCACCACCGGTGGTTGTCTGGCCTTGAACGCCTCGAAACCCACCCACGACAGCCCGACAGTAGCTGCATTGCGGCGCGCGGGGGCCGTGATCCTAGGAAAGTCGAACCTGCACGAACTTGCGCTCGAGGGACTGTCTGTGTCCAGTCTGGGCGGACAGACCCTGAACCCATACGACTTTGCGCGCACGCCGGGAGGCAGTTCCGGCGGGACAGGCGCGGCCATCGCAGCTTCGTTCGCCGTCTTCGGCACAGGCACCGACACAGTCAATTCGCTGCGTAGCCCGGCGAGCGCCAACAGCCTGTTTAGCTTCCGGCCGACACGCGGGCTGATCTCACGAGCCGGGGTCGTCCCCATCTCCTATACGCAAGACACGGTCGGCGCAATCGGCCGGTCTGTAGTGGACATCGCAACGGCGTTGACCGTCATGGCCGGCGTAGGATACGACCCGGCGGACAACGTCACGTCCGCGATCCCGCCCTCGGTGGCTGGCGCCGACTACACATCCTTCCTGGCGCCAGGAACGCCGACCAGTCTCAATGGAACCCGCATCGGCGTGCTCGAAGGCTTCTTCAACCGCACAAGCAGCAACGAGACCGACCCCGTGAACCAAGCCATGGACCATGTGATCGTGATGCTCCGCTCACAGGGCGCTACGGTCATCAATATTACCGACACCAGCACGTACAACGCGACAGCCATCAGCGCACAGATGGACGTACAGCAGCTGGAGTACCGCGAAATGCTCAGCGCCTATCTATCTTCGCCGAACCTGACGGGGATTCATCCGGCGACGATGCCTGAGCTGTACCACACGAAGCACGAATTCGTTGTCAGCCCGGCGCAATACTCGTACGTAGAAACAGCACTACGCTCTTCCACCGCCAACAGCAGCTACTCGGCCAGGCAGACGCTGATCGCGAACCTGACACGGGCGCTGCACGCCACCATCGTCTCCAACCGCCTCGACTGCCTCATCTACCCGGAACAGAAGAACCTGGTCGTCCCCGTAGGCTCGCCGTCGCAGTCCGGCCGCAACGGCATTTTGGCCGCCTTGACCGGAAGCCCCGTCATCACAGTGCCGGTCGGCTTCTCGCCCTCTACGGCCTCCGCTCCGATCGGCATACCCATCGGCATGGAGATTCTGGGCTTGCCATGGACAGAAGGTCCGCTGCTGCGCCTGGCTCAGGGGTTCGATGATCGCTTGCACGCCCGCAGGATGCCCGTGACCAACGGGTTGAACGCGACAGTCGAAGTGACCAGTGCATATACCGAGATCCCGCACATTACGCCTCTGAAGAACATTCCTAGCGTTTATCCATTGGGCGTTTATTGATGGACGGTATAGATAGAAGGAACCCATCAAAGTGAGAACATTATAATCGTCAGCTCATGACATTCTGCTGTATCATCATACTTTAACATCCTCCACCCCATACCTGGACATTCCAGAATTCCGTCATTGATCTTGATTCTCGTGCACAGTCGTAGCTTCGTGATTGTCAGCCCAATGATTATCCCTTATTCTTTCAGACCTCCATCCGCGCCATTCCAGATCTGGTACAAAAGGCCTGCTGATGAAATGCAGGTAAGGATACCAGAAATCCTACATCGGTTGTCCATCTGTAATCACTCTTATGTCGTAGGAGAACCGGGTGTTGCTACGGTTGTAGTGGGAGCCGCCATTTTCGCCTTCAACTCCTCCTCCAGCAAGCTCTGCTTTTTGATGTATTCCAAGATAATCTCCTCCTCCGTCCTCTGCTTGTTCAGGGTTTCCTGGCGCAGTCGCTCATCCTGTTCAGATGCAGTTTTGGCACGTTTCAACTCGTCATCACTGTCATTATCCTGCAGACCAGCTTTCTCGTTGGGGTGGACTCCATGGCCTGTCGGCATCGTCATCGAGGCTTCTCGTTCGGCAAGCTCTCTCTTCTTCTGTTCGTTCTCGGCATGGAGTATCCTACTCTCCTCGATCACCCTTTTGAAATTCTCATCATCGTCCGTGTCGATGCCTGAATCGCTTACGCCACCCCAATCGCCGCCACCTCGGCCCCTCGCGTTGCGAGACGCTGACTGAGCAGCTTTGAATTCTTCCAGGCTCTGAGTCAGGATTCTTTCGAGCTCAGGATCATCCTCAGGCGGTTGTTGCGAAGGGGATACAGATGTTTCGCCGGTCTGCTGAGCTTGTTGAGCTTGTTCAGACCGGGCCCTTTTGAATTCCTGCATGCTTGCCTCGACCGCTGAAGTATATGCTTCGTCTTCGTGTGTCTCCGCAGTTTCACCCGTGGCATGTAACTCTTGCAGGCTTGCACGTAATGCTCTTTCAATCACCACGTCCTCTTCCGCATTGCCCCTGCTTGTCGCACCGATTGAAGTCTGGATTGCGTGCTCGTAGTCATCAACCCCAATATTCTCTCGTGACGGAACCCTGTTGGAACCCAGAGTAGAGCTCATATTTGAAACTGAGCTGCTGTGCTTCACGTGGTCACTACTGTCGTGGTCAAGAGGGCAAAATTTACAACGGCTCTTGAATTTGTTGGGTTGCTTCCCTTCCGCTCTCTTGAGCTCCTTTTCGCGCTGCTGCAACTCTTTCTGCTCCTTTTTGAGACGATCCCTTTGCTCAGAAAGAGCTTTTCGTTCGTCCCAGCTCATATGCCACGTATTCTTGAAGCCTTGAGGCAGTTGTGGAGACTCAATCTCAGATAGCGCCGCGGCATTACTTTGGATGGCTTCCTTGCGCTCGGTCCCGTAGAGTCTCCCACGTTTCCGTGTTTCAAGGTTGCTGTCATGCCAGGCAGACACAATTTGTGCCCGCTCTTCTGGGGTAGTGTTCGTCCATTCCTCGTAGCCTTGCGCCACTCGAGCAGCAATGATGTAGTTCTGCACTGAGCGGCCAAAGTGCTTCGCGACCTCGGCATAGATACCCTTCGCTGTGTATCCTGGGAGTCCCCAGATTCCAGCACCAGGCTTGAGGATCAAACCACCGAAGCCTTTCGCGGCTCCTTTGAGAAAACCTACTGGACCCTCCTTCCTGGCGCCGGCTAAGGGCTGAGTTACCAGTCCAGTAATGCCATCATAGAACCCATAACCAAATTCCCTGCCTGCGGCCTTTAAGCCTGAGTGGAGATCCACGATCTTCTCATTTTGGCGCACGGTCTCGTCGCCGTATAACTTTGGTGCGTTGTGAAAGCCTTTTGCCAGGGACAGCGTGAAGTCTAGAGGTGATTTCATGCCAGCCGAAACAATGCTCCCGACGGCTTTGGCTCCTTGCATAGCTGTCTCCAGAGACACTTGACCAATCTCTTCGCCTGCGCCGGGAGTGTGATCACCTTTGGTACGGGGCACAGGCGATCCAGAACGGGAGCGACGCTGGTATCCGTGGGCACGTACAGATCCAGCTGATGACATGACTGTTGACATGGCGGACGGTTTCGAAGCGGGTGACCCTGCCTGATGGCCTCCCATTGCAGGCGCCGGGTTGGATGTGGCAGAGAGTTGCGCGGGTGATGACCCCTCTGCAAGCGAGTTAGTGCCCTGCACAGAATCAGTATCGGAAGTCGGTACAGGGGTAGAAGTTCCAGTCTGTGTCTTTCTCCTCTCATGGATGTCCTTGATATCGCTGGAAGCGCCCTTGAGAGCTTTGAGGAGTTCCACAGGGAAATCCGCGACACCCATGGAGAGATTGCCGATGGTGCCGATTAGTGCTGCTGCACCGCCGGAAATTGGATCCCATGGGCCGTCTTCAGTCTCATATTCCCGAGGACGATAGAGCTTCAAGTCGGAGAAATTTAGTAGACCCTCTGTTCCCAGGACCGTGGCTGCAAGAGGCGATAAACGGATATCGGTTCCCTTCACAAGCCAAGCAGCAGTGCGTGTAGGAGCTAAGGAACATCTGAGATCGGAGAAATGGAGGTGCTTGTGGAAAGACTCGGCTCCCGCCCCCGTGCCATCTTCTGCCTTGATCTTCATGCTCAAATCTTTTGCACGTTCAAGCGACTCCGGCTTCAATGCTTCCTTGATCGACTCTGCAAGCTTATCTGCCGTCAGGTTTTTGTACGGAATTGGCGCAGGACCGGCTCCAGCCCTGGCTACCATGGAGCCCCAGAATGGCTGGTCGCCGAAGAATGGAACGACGACCGTGGGTTTACCAGCCAAGATGCCGGCGGAAGTGGTACCGGCGCCACCGTGGTGGACCACACAGGAGACATGCTTGAAAAGCCAGTCGTGAGGACAGTTACCCAACATCAAAACACCCTCGGGGATACTCAGTTCAGAGGCTCCCAAGCCACCCCAGCCTTGGCTGATGATCGCCCGCTGTCCGGTCTTGTTGACAGCGTCGAATATCAGCTTGGTCATGGCGTTGGGATCGTCAACCACGATCGAGCCAAAGCCTATGTAGATCGGAGGAGGACCAGCAGCCAAAAACTCCGCCAGTTCCTGTGGAGGAGTGTAGTTCGAGGATAGGTTTAGGAAAAAGAAGCCCGAGATATCGATATGGCTCCCCCAGTCGGCCGGCTTCGGGATCAAAGCGGGCGACCAGCAGTAAGTCCAAGGGATCCTGAGACGACTTGTCATGCCTGGAGCCCACATGATACTGACAGGCTCCAGACCAAGACTTCTTTCCCGGAATCGGTTTATAACATCGCCCAGGCCTTGCCAGGTCAGCATATCAACCAAGGCGTAAGTGATAAAATTGGCCATATTAGGGTCGGCATTAGAGGAGATGATATTAGCAAGCGGGTGAGGAAAAGACTGGGTTGGCGACCAAGGCATCGTGAACATTAGATGCAGCGGTATGCCCAATTTCTCCGCGATGTGAATATGCGCAAAACTTGGTGGATTTGCAATGATAGCATCTGCCACAAACGGCTTCTGCGAGGGGTCAAGACCCAATGAAACACCGCTGTCAAAGCTGCAAGCGTCCATGTTGTCGTCGGTTATTTGGGCACCCGTGCCATCGCCGGCTTCGATACACGACCTCCAGCAGCCTGTGATGATTTCGTAGATGCCTCTCCTTCGTTTCCCCACATCGCCACTCTTCAATGAGTCCCACCCAGGCATGAGACCAGGATTCTTGACCATGAAAGCCATGAGCTCAGTAGGGTCTCCGCCAATGCTGAAGAACTCCAGGCCATTTTCAACGACAAACTCTTTGAACGTCGGATGGGTGGCTATCCGCACTCGATGGTTGTATTTTTTCTTCAGGACTTGACCCAGTGCTATAAATGGCTGCACATCGCCCCTACTCCCCACAATCTGAATAACAATGTTCATGGGAGGAGGCGGAAGCCCCTCTGTCTCACCCAAGCCGTCTGGAATAGGGGGCTCCGCGGCAGCCTTTTGTTTTTGTAGTTCGAGTTGTCGGCGGAGGGCAGGAATGAGGAGATTCGTGAGTTTTCGGTTGCGCTGGTTGATCTTGATGTTGACTCTGCCATCGCTGCCGACTTGGGCGCCTGTATCCAGCCCATTTTGGCTGATATCTAATTGACCATAATCCGCGCCATTGTATGCAGGGGGAGGCACCTCCTCCAGTGGGGAAGAAGCAGCGCCATGATGGTGATGGCGTACATGCTCTTCGAGAGATGATTTCGAGACATTGATCTCTCTTGAACGCTCCTCCTCTTCTAAGGCAGCTCCCGCCGCTGCATCAGCTTCCTCGAGGAGGATGAACGGGATCGCGGGCGGGTCTTGGTCTTGCGGTTGCTCGGTGGAGCGGTCTGGGGAAGACATGTCCGCAACGCTTCTAGGGCATCAGAGATCAGGATGGCTACTAGACTGAGAAGTCATCTAGAAAAGTAGAATAAGGAAGTGGCACATTGTAGAGGGAGGGCGCGAGAGGCGAGAAGACGAGGTAGAGAGAGGGTTGGCAGGGACCACGGACACAGGTTCGAGGTATGACAGAGCGTCACCGCGAAGTCAGTTGGTGATCACTTGAGCACAGGACGGTGGGAGTGGTGAAAAGAAACATGCTGAGCAAACAGGGCTCGGATGAGAAGTCCAGCTGGTCAGAGTAGAGTTTGTGGATTGCTGCCATGACCTCAGAGTTTGGTCGAGGGACCAAGAGAAGGTGTTCTGAGTGCCGGTGGCCAACTATCACAACGACGACTTTCAAGTTACCCAGTGCCTAAGGTAGGTAGGTATGTATGTCATCAGTACCTAGGTAGGTGCTTACAAGGTACTTTACGTAGTCATAAGGTACATATGTAGTCACTAGCAGACCCATTACTGGTTTTGGCCACCCCCGGACATACCCTAAGGACCCCTCCTTCCATTTGTTGGATCCCACCCTACCTAATCTCCTCTATTCTGCAGGGCTTAGGGGCTTAGTTACCTTAGGCCTTACAACGTAAGCTCTAAGGCTTAGGTATATAGCCGCTGAACGTCGATGATGTTTGACGCAGGTCACTTATTCTTCGTACAAGGCTTCCTGTCGTTCATAAGCCCCTCCTCGTTCGACTGCCTCCTATATGTACCGAGTACACCGGCGACATTATACCACCTCAATCAGCACCTGTTGAGGATGAAGGATGAAATAATCCCGACCGAATGCTTCCATAGCTTCACCGACGGTCCTTCCAGCTTTGAGCCACGCTTTCCATCGTCTCAAAGGTGATCTCACCGTCTTCCGCTGCATTCCTCCGGGACACGAGTTTGGAGATGAACCGATCGATCATGCCTACAATGTGCGCCCTTCCCGCAGTTTCCGGATGCCATATTATGCTACAACACGCTCCTGCGTCAGCACATCAAATCCACTTGCTTGGTCTCAGCGGTAGGGCACTTACGGGTACACGGAACCATAGCCTGTGCCAGGATCCTCATCCAGCCAGCTTTCATTCTCCCACAGCCATTCGAAACGATCCATCCACATCTTCTCCACGAGGTCCACGCCGACGTAACCTTGCGTGTTGGCTGAGTAGGGATAGAACGCGAGCTGCGACGTTAGCAGTAGGTCAAGACACCAAGATCTAAAAACACTCACAGGAGTCATATCCTCAGTGTACCAGCTTCCGGGGATCTCCACCAACGCCTTCTCTGCTTCGGCAGTACCGGGCGCCGGCTGCTCTGGTATGGGCGTGGGGATCATCCAAGTACTGGCATCCTTTGCGTAGTCCGGCACATGGGGTGGATCTCCCGGGAAGGGGTTCGGTAGGAAGTAAGGTAGGGAGTCGTGGGCGTTCATGCTGCTGTCGTAAAGAAAGCCGTGATCCTGAAGAATCTGGACGGTGGTCTCGCGAATCTGGTACAACGGCGCTCGATATCCTGAAGGTTTCTTGCCTCTCAACTTGGTGACCAGGTCGATACATTTCTCCAAGACGTCCTTCTCTTGCTGCACAGTCATAGCATATGCCCCCTCGTGGCTGTACCCATGGAGCCCAATCTCAGCACCACTCTCAACAACTTCACGGGCCTGTGCAGGAAAGGTTTCCATAGTGTGGCCCGGGATGAACCATGTCATCTGATTCGAAATACCATGCTTCCTGAACAACCGTAGCAATCTGCCCACTCCGACATTCGCGCTGAAGACCCCAGCAGAGTAATCTGACAGAGTGTTAGCCGGATCATGCCCTGTCCCCAGATACCCCGAAATCGCATCAAAGTCAACGGAGAGGCAGATCCGTAGCCGTCGTTTCCTCTTGAGCGGGCTGAGAGAGGCGGGAATCGCTGCATTTGGCGAGACAATTCCACTACCGCTGGGGTTGGACCTTCCCCTGAGAATCTGGTCCTCTCGCCAGATGATCCGGCCTTCCATGCCGCCATCGACCGAGATGCACTCCCCAGAAATATGGCCGGCGGCTCGATGACTGGCTAAGAAAGCCATAGCCCTGGCAACATCCTCAGGCTGGGCAATCTTCTTCAGGGCAACTGTGGCCTGGCACTCGGCCCACATCTCCTTCGGATCATCCAGGCGGTCTCCGATCAATGCCGTGTTCACCCATCCTGGTGCCACGGCATTGATCCGAGCCTTGGAATTTAACCGCACAACCTCGTTCTTGACGGTCCGCACGAGGCCGTACTGTAGACCTGCTTTGCCAGAGGCATACCTGGTCCCGTCAGTAAGATTCAGTAAGACCATCATGTGGACGAATATGTGCTGAAGGTTGGAGTCCACTGACTCTGCATGGCCCTCCTGGCCAAACTTTCCCGTTTCTGACCCAGTTATGACAATGGCAACGTTGTCCAGCTCACTGCCTTGAGCCTCCTGTACCTCTTTCACGGACCGTAAAAATTGTTTGACGGTGAGAAAGGTGCCCCGGACGTTATTACCATTAACCTTTCCTCGCGTGAGAATCCTTTCACCTCGTGTGGCAGGGGAAGCTCGCATACCTTGTCCCAGAGACTTGTCTCGATCTCCCATATCGGAGGATGCGCACTTTCGTCCGTGATGCCGGCATTCGCAATCAAGATGTTCACAGGGCCGAATGCCTTGGTCGCGGACTTGAATGCTTCTGCGATGGTAGATTCAACGGTCAGGTCACCTTGGGTGGTGAAGAGTCTGGATGCCTGCGCCGGCGTCGAACATATGCTAGAGACATCCACGGCTCTCCGATCAAAAGTCGTGACACGGCATCCCAGATCTGAATTGCACGTTAGACACACTGCAATGCTCACCACCAACAGCCCAGCCTGGACTGCTCGCTTGCTCACCCAAGAATTCTTTCACCGCAGCAGTCCCAATCCCCCCCGCCGCGCCTGTGAGGAACACGTGCAGCCCTTCCAGCCCAAGGAACGATTTCAGTTCGCCAGCCATGATATCGATGTCGAAGAGTTCAGCACGACCATGGTCCGAGGCTCTCAATATCAAAGAGCCAGCAGCGCGAGCCCAGGAGATGCCCGGCTAGTAGTGGACCTCGTATTATTTGCATCTATTAGTATTTCCTCGCTGGAAAAGTGGTGGTGGTCGCACCCCAGATCCAGGCTAGAGTCATTGTTGATTGACATCCTGCGCTGTAGGAGTAGGGAGGGGATCACGACGCTTGAGGCTTGCTTCATTCTGAGACTCATTTTCCCGACAAATCATCGACGGACAAGAGCGGCCACGTGGAAGTCGTACCCTGGCGGGAGGAGGGGGAATGATAGTGTGATGATGATATGACCCCCTTCGTTGCCTCGAGTCAGCAGCCCGATAGGCTATAGCCTCCTTTTAGGCTATAGGCTCCAGTTTCCCCATCAGAGTTAGCGGATCACGATTTAGGGATCAACCATCGCCCAAGAAAAAGCGGCAAGCTGATATCTCCATTCCCACTCGTTGTTTCATGTCAGTTATCTTTCATATCTTATATCTAAATATTACTACTCTGAATCTGTACTGTACTATCACCCATTATCTTTTGTGTCATTTCCCATCTCCACCAACAAATATGCCTCGGACATTGCCCCTTTTCCGGGAGTCTGGGAGTCTGACCCTGAGAAAGGTCTCCTGTCAGCGACCAGATCCTAGTAGGGCGGCCAACGAAGGATCCTGTATGAGTGAGCTTGGTGGGACCTCGTAACTTACAGCGTGGCGTCAGGGACCCTAACCTGGGTAATCGTGCTCCGTCCTAGGTACCTATCTTCTGGGTGACGGAGATCGTGCGTGATACACTAATATTCAAGACCATTCACGAACGGTGCTGGGTGGCGCGGTTACATATCACTTACACGGACACTATTTCCTGTGTACATATAGAAGGTGTGCCTTCATTTAATCGAAGATGCCCTCTTGCTTTGATGCCATTCCGTGTTTCCCCTTTCGCTCCCCAATTTTCACGGTAGCTGCTGCAGCTGCACCATACCATGGCTTCCACCAAAGGGAAGACCGAAGAGGCTGGCCCCAACGACACCATCACCCACCCACATGAAGGAGAGATGTCGGAGCTCGTCAATGCTTCCGGACACGTGCAAGAGCTCGACCGCAATTTCAGCCTGCTAGCCGCTGCAGGTGTCGGTCTAGTCGTCGGCAATGTCTGGCCAGCTGTGGGAGGGTCGATCCTGGTCGCCATCTTCAACGGTGGCCCGCCGGGTGTCATCTACGAGTTTATCGTAGTCTCAGTGTTCTACTGGATTGTGGCCGCTTCGATTGCCGAGTTGGCCTCGGCCATCCCTTCCAGCGGTGGCGTCTACCACTGGGCGTCTGTCACACCTGGGAAGGCATGGGGTCGTGTTGTCGGGTATGGCTCCTGCGCAGATAGATTGACCGCCGGTGGCTGATGATGTTGTTGTTGTTCAGGTTCTATGCTGGATATTGGAACTGGCTGGCTTGGGTGTTCGGCGCAGCGTCCATGAGCTTCATCTTTGGTTTGTGTCCTGTTGGTGGTGTCGGGTGCCGCTGCTAACCTTGGATAGCCAACACCATCGTCCAAATGTATGGTGTTACACACCCCGATTTCGAGGCCAAACAGTGGCACGTCTTCGTCACATATATTGTGAGTAGTCTCCTTGGAACGTGTCACAATGCTCAAAAAGAAGGGTCGACACACTTCCTGGCGCGAAGGCTGATGTTGCGTTCAGATCGCGACTTGGATTGCATGCGCGTGTGTTTGTTTGTTCAACAAGGCGATGCCTTACCTGAATACCGTGGGCATATTCTTGATTCTGGCCGGATTCTTCATCACCATCGTTGTACTGTAGGTTTGACCTCCATACTGACCGGGTGTGATTTTGTCCTGACGGGTTTGCAGAGCCGCTATGCCTGGGTCAGACGGGCGTCCTCCTCATGCTTCGTCGAGTTTTGTGTGGAGTGAGTGGACAGCAGATATTGGATATCCTAATGGGTGAGTCTCCATGGATTGTTCCTCCACGCCATCGCCACCCGAGTTGTGCCTTTTTTCCGGCGATGCTAACGGGATCGAACATCAGATTTGTTTTTGTTGCTGGTATGCTCAACGGAGCGTATGCTGTGGGAACTCCAGACGCTGTCAGGTAAGCAAGTATTGAAAGGTTGAATCATGAGACCTGCTGACAAGCTTTTTCCATAGCCATATAGCCGAGGAGATCCCTAACCCAGGCAAAAATGTTCCCATTGCAATCGCAACCCAGATGGGAATCGGCTTTCTCACGGGTCTGTGCTATATCATCGCGTTGATGTACGCCATCAGCGACTATGACGCCTTGTTCGACTCGGCATTCCCGGTCGCCGAGATTTACAGACAGGCCACGGGCTCATCCGCAGGAGCCATTGGATTGCTCTGCTTGTTGCTCTTTTGTGTGGGCGTGTGCATGGTGGGAGTGTATATTACAGCAGGTCGGGCGCTCTGGGCACTGGCTCGAGATGGCGCAACTCCTTTTCCCCATCACATTGGCAAAGTTTCGACGAACCTTGGAATGCCTCTTGTCGCAACGCTGATCTGTGGCGGCCTTGTTACCGTACTGGGATGGTTAGTATCGACCAACGTCTTGCCCTGCTCCTCTCTGACCGATTGCGTGTACAGCATCTACGTGGGTAGCACCACTGCGTTCAATGCATTTGTGGGAAGTTTCGTCCTCATGTGCTCAGGCTCGTGAGTACCGTCCCTGCGCAGAATCAATCAACGTACAAAGATTGCTGACAGACCAACAGCTACATCGCAGCCATTTTGCCGAATCTTCTCACCGGTCGCAAAAACATCACCTACGGGCCTTTCCAAATGGGAAAGCTGGGAGTCCCAATCAACATCCTTGCGTGTGGATATATGATGGTCTGGTTTGTCATCTATTGTTTCCCGTATGCTCTGCCAACAGACGCTCAGAGCATGAACTATGCATGCTTGATTTGGGGAGCGTTGACCATTTTCGTCACCGTCTGGTGGTTCGCGAGTGCAAGGAAGGGTTATGTTGGCCCAAAGAGCACGGGAGGGATCAACGCTGAGATTGAGCACGTGAGGCGAGTCAGTGTGGAGAAGCGAGCATCTGTGTAATCTGTGTAAATGTGGTTGGAAATATAAGCATCTCTGTGGTCCTGGGTCATGGAGAAGAAAAGGCGAGTCCTCCTGCCTACAGTACTTGTTCTACACAGTAGGGTCACAAGTGATGAAGTAGTACAGAGTACTCCGTAGAGTAAGGTACTCCGACGCCGTACAAGTCGAAGGCTGCGGAGCAACCTCGGGATCCTGGCGGGCTCAGGCTGCACTACTGAGTACTGTACTCCGTACTACTGAGTGCTGTATTCCGTCGTACTACTCCTCCGTACCTACTACTAGTACGGAGTACCTTGTTACCAAATGCAGTGGGACTTCCCAACTTGAAGTTGATTAGCGGTGCACGTGATGTGTCTTGGCAGACTGCAAGACTTGGCACAAGATTGATCCCACACAGACCGAAGTTATTTCGCGAGATCACAGCCCTCATCGCACTGCGGACCACCTCCATTTCGACATACCACACCCAGCAAGTCGTCAAGATGTCGGACAACGGCGAGGTCGAAGTCGAAGTGCCCGTGTCGGGCTACGCTGTGCTGCCCAAGGAGGTCACCTCCGAAATTGGCACCATCAAGCTGTTCAACAAATGGAGCTACGAAGATGTTGAGATCAGGGACATTTCTTTGACGTACGAGATGGACCAACCCGACCAGACTCCAAGACCGAACGAGACTGACAAGACCTTGTGTGCAGCGACTACATCCAAATCAGAACGCCCGTCTACCTCCCGCATTCCGCAGGCCGATATGCCGCAAAGCGATTCCGAAAGGCCCAGTGCCCCATCATTGAACGACTGACCAACTCGCTGATGATGAACGGTCGCAACAACGGCAAAAAGCTGAAGGCCATCAGAATCGTGGCCCACTCCTTCGAGATTGTAGGTTTACACCCTTGGTCGCCTGAAACGGTGCAATGTCCAGTTCAGGAATGAATGAAATCTTTCTTACACCCGGCCCTGCAGATTCACATCATGACCGACCAGAACCCCATCCAAGTTGCCGTCGACGCCATCGTCAACTGCGGTCCCCGCGAAGACAGCACCAGAATCGGAAGCGCCGGTACCGTGCGAAGACAAGCCGTCGATGTCTCTCCTCTCCGTCGCGTCAACCAGGCCATTGCCCTCCTGACCATCGGAGCCCGTGAAGCCGCCTTCCGAAACGTCAAGTCCATCGCCGAATGCCTCGCCGAAGAGTTGATCAACGCCGCCAAGGGAAGCAGCAACTCGTACGCCATCAAGAAGAAGGACGAGCTGGAGCGTGTCGCCAAGAGCAATCGGTAAAGTGATGACTTGGTTTATGGTGTTTTGCGGGATCAAGCATGCAGCGGGCCGCTTTTGTCGCAGTCGCTGCAAACATGTGGATGGTGGAGATGCCGTCTTTGTCATGACGCATTCAACGAGGTCGAATCCCGGTTGGTAATGGAACCGGCAGCCTTGCAGATTCAGTGCTTAGATTACGCTGATGACCACAAAATTCAAAAAATTTTCGCACATATGTCTTCTATATTGGGCTCATTTCGTTTCGTTCGCAACTGGCCATATTCAGCTAGATGTTTCCGCAAAACCAACGAGGCTCAAAATGATGGAGGTCCCACTGTGGTTGACACTAAGCCGTCGCCGGGCCTGCTTTTGCTGTGCTCCCCTCTACTATAAGTGCTTTACTACCACCACAACCTGGACCCTCTCCGCCGTCTGGTACTTCATCCAACAATCCTTCTCGTCCTGGACTTCTATCATGCTTCTGCCGGACACGCTCACGGAAGCATACACATTAGACCCTCTCGCCTTCGAGCCTTCGAGAGGTTGTGCGTAGGCAACCAGTAACTCACTCTGACCGTGTAACCAGTGTCGTATATCGTAGGTCACATCGAGTATCAGATGCCATGCTACGAGTTACCAGAAGAATGCACCTGTTCATGACAGGATAACTCATTCTCCCATCCCATATCCATCGGATAACCAACCATACGAAGTGTCTTCATATCGTCACAATCTACACTTCTCATATCTCGATCAACTGGTGGCGGCTGCAGTGGAGTAGGCGTTTCCATCAGCATAGATTTGCAGCCTAGGAAGGTCATAAGCCGTACTCCCACACATTGACCGAGAGCTCTGGCCAATTCTTTCAAGCAATTCAGGGGACAGTGAGCTGGTTCTTGCCGTGATCCACGTCCGCAAGTTTGGCTCCCTTGCCGTAAAGAATTTCTGGACGCTCCCAATTGAGTCGTTGTGGCCTCGAGCCATCGGCACATCGGGTTTCGTTGTTAAGATTGTGCCAGCCATATACGCTAGCCATGGTTATCATGGCGAGTATTGATGATCCGTCATCTCTTCAAGCCAGACGTTTTCGTGGACCATCCTCCTTGAATTGTCCGGTGGTCCGACGATGTATTTGCTCAGCTGAAGAGCCAGTCGCCGAGTATCTCCCACAGCCCCCTTTCTGACGACAGCGATGTGATGAATACGGTTTTCTTCTGGTGGTAACAAAGGAGGTCCTGTCATTTCAATATGAGTGGCGTCGTAGTCGCCTTCTTCCAACCCGATCACTTTCTCAATCACCTTCTCTGTTGGAACATAGGCCCAAACGCTCTCTCTTCTCGGTGCTCGCCGCATTAGCACCAACGCTCTTCGTCGTAGCAATGGGTCCCGGCATTTGATTGCGCAAAAGTATAGTGGTGGGATCGGTCCTGCCTCAGACGTGAAGATGGGCTGCCCGGCTGTGGATTCGATGCTATATTTAAGGACATTTTCCGCATGATCAAGGATCGTTGCAAATCGCTCGCTATACTCGTCGAATGCGGACTGCAGTCGAGTCGTGCAAGTCGAAAGCCAAATATAGCAGACCCCCCAGTACATCAGGAGATTCGATACTGCCCACACAATCTCCCTTCTCGTCTCGTGACTCCACGTGTTAACAAAGGATGTCTCCCACTGTCTTAGGTCCTCGAGCAACAGTTTTTGTCGGAGGCACTGCATCTTGATGATACGCTCCTCTGTAGGCTCCAGCTGCTCCACTCTGATGATCTCATATGCTTGGTATATGATGCTGTACAGATGCCTTTTCGGCTCGTCGAGGACAGAGAAGGAGGCAAGCACTGATGATTTCAGCATGTTTTCTTCCACGTGGCAACTCCAGTTAGGTGGTCGTGGGTTCCCGAGAGTGGCCATGAGCACGACATGGCGCGAGAAAAAGGGAGTGACGACTTCGTCTAGGGCGGCGCTGTTCGGTGACAACTGTACCGTCGACGAGACCGAAAGGCTTTGTCCCATGAGCTTGTAGCCTATCTCAATCAGATTCAGAGCATTGCCGACATTCCTCTGTTGCATCTCGACGCTAATAAACAAAGTACAACTCAGAAGCGCAAGACCAGGGTCGATTCCACGCTGCTCAATGTGCTGCCGTAGGCCAGCAATGGCCCTATTGTACCATTTAATGGCCTTTTCGTGATCTGGATTCACAATAGAGGCTGACTTGGGCTCAAAGTTGGTCTCCAGAGTGCCGTGGGGGACATGTTCGAAAAGACAGCTGATCGAGACGACAGAGTCCCATACAAAGGGACTGGATTGAGCGAGACGAGGAACCAGGTCTAGCCAGAAGGAAGAATCAACGCCCCCAGCGAACACAGGTGCTGCGCGGTGAAGGAAAAAGTAGAAAGCTCGTCTTTCGTCGTGGTTGTGTTGAGGAGCCACAAGAGATATCTCATGGCGCAAGCCAGGCGGCGCCTCGGAGACGACAGATCGGTCTTGGATGAAGCGGATCTGAGTCACCCTAGGGCCGTCACATTTCCGACCTGAATGTGTACACCTGCGGCAATAGGGCCTCGTCTCGTCGCACTTGACTTTTCTGATCCTGAGTGCGGTTGCAACATGTCAGTATGGATCCTCACAGATCAGGTAGACAACGAGAGAGACGCAGACCTGCAGGTCAAACATCCAGTCCTGGACTTTTCATGGGGAGCCCGCCGCGCCCGCGGCGGTGGATACGTGTGATTCGCGGCGACTACCATGGATCTCGGCGAGGTTCCAGAAGGCCAGCATATGTCAAGGAGGCTCCCATGGCTGTCTCGGAGGTGGACGAATTGCCTGGATTCTGGGAGGAAGGAAGAAGGGCCGGAGCAGTTTCAAAATCAAGTCCGAAGTCTGAAGTCTGAAGTCTGACTGCGGAGCGGTTCCCGTTTTATACGGCGCATCCTGCGAAATTCGAGGTGCTTCTTTCTGTCTGACAGAATCATTCGCGTCCTCGACACATCGACCTCTGAATCAAGGATATAGATACAAGAAGGAACAAAACCGGGCTGCTTTTCGATTTGATATAGTCGACGCCCATACTTCGCCGACAACCCTTGGTGAGGCAGTCTGCGACTCAACGGCTTTTTATTTGCTAGGACTGGTAATACTGTCTGGAGCCTACCCTTGGACCTGTTTGATGCTACAGACATGGGAACAAACACCAGTGACCCTCTTCATGCTATTTCACCTCTGCCGTTGAAGATCGATGCGACATTCCTAGGAAATTCTCGGCGCACCTGTCGACAAAACGCCGGGGACGACTGCGGTAAGTCATTAGCTATCAACATGACCCCATTTGGAGTCAATACTCGCGGTCAAGCAATTGCTGCTGCCCAGGTCTCCAAACGAGAATGCGTACAGAACAGCTCTCCTGGGGTCTAAATCCCGTGTCCTAGCATGATCACTTCGTTTTTCTCTTCCTCCAGGCCGTCATATTTCGGCCGCGAAGATGCCAATCCAACAACTCCCCCAACAACCGATATTTCACATATCCAAGAATTCAACCTCCGTCCAACTAAACCGGAGTCAACATACCTCAGCCTATGCACAATCTCGGAAAATAGTTAGTATCGAACTGTTAGCTGCAAAAGGACAAGATTTGTCGGAGCAAATTGCCCTCTCTGCTGTTGGGTGCTCCAACGATGAATATAGAGGATATATTGACTTAGGAAGTCTTATGCTTTTGCTGAAGAAAGTCTCGGCTGTCTTGATAAAAAAATACTAGTAGAAAAGAGAGCCGATCTGGAATGGTGGCTGGTTGAGTGGGCTGTAGCTTGGGGATAGCCGTGGCTTCATGCGAAGGGTTAGTGAACACTTGGAGACATTCGACAGCCTTGATGGCGAATCAACTGCAACAACAACGAGGCATATGAAACATCTTCCCATGGTGCGTCTGGCTGGCTGGTTGGCCGGTGTGGACACTAACCCTCTCTTGTGTTGATGCACATTCCGCTGACGGCCACTTGGTGCCCCAGTCAATCTCGGCCAGTTTATATCGGTCATTAACCTGCATCCTTATGCCCTCCACCCAGACGATTTGATGTGCGTGTGAGTTGTCATGCTCGTTGAAACCCGGATCTCACGAAATTCCCACAGTCGCTTGGAAAACATTCCAAAAGCCTTGAAATCCAGCACTTTATGCCTGGAAGTTTGGACCTATAGTTGGCATTTTGCCATAGTGGCCACCGACGCCATAACACTGCATAACTCGGCTTTCTTCACAAAGTAGCTGTCGAGTCATGATCGTGTGATTATGGTTTTCAAAGCCCCCTCTTCCGGTAGATTAGGATAGATCGACAGGCGCGTTGCATGGGGATCGAGGTTCTTGTAATCGGCCTGAAAGTTCCAATGTGAGCAAAACGAAGAGATACATAACTTGCCCTACAGATCCATGAACAATGAAGAGTGGATTATGTCTTGTAATAGATAACACGAGCGGTAGGGGCCATCTGTCCGTGATCCAGGCACAGAGAATTCAGATTAAGGACGCTTTCTTTTAGCTTGTCGCTTCGGACTATCCAGCCCTTGCATACCACTCACTCATCAACACCACAGTTGCCCTCGTCGATAAGGGCCGATGACACCACGTAACTCTGTTGTGACAGTGGGAAGATCTCCTGCCCAACGCTGGGTGGACGGATGGCTGATTCAACTGCAATGTGCAATGCCGAAACTGGTCGCGAAGGCAGCATAGTGGTGTGTAAGAACGCAGGATAATCTCCGCTGTCAGCACCTTTGGTGCTCGAACTGACACGAGGTGCGAAGGAAAATCTTGAGAGCTGTGCCGCACACAAGAAACTATATGAGCAGTCCACGCCCTTGGACTAGTTCCTTTGTTTTCGCGGCTGGTTGCTGGTTGCTGGTTGCTGGTTGCTGTCCACCAGCTTGTTGGTACTTACTGACATACTCCGTAAATAGTAACATACTGACAGTACTCAGTACTCCGTACAGCCCCAGGAGCCGGCCGAACGGCGAACCAGGACTCGAGTAACAGGGGAGATCCTGCTCTTGGGTCGCGGCAGAAGATATAAGGAGCGGATCTCCTAGAAACAATCCAATACTTAGTGTGGGGCCTGAGCCTGGTAGTAGACGTTGCCTATTGGTGGCATCGTGTTTTCGCCCAAATCAGGAATAGTGAGGTCTTAGGGGGCCGTCTCTGGGCGCTCAGGTAAACCAATGCCGACGGTACTGAAGCTTGGTCGTGGTATTCGAGATCTTCCCAGGCTCCATGCTATGCTGCGCTAAGTGCTGAAATAACAGCAATGGCAGCTATGGTAGGCCCACTTGCAGACAGGTCGCGTAACAAGTCGTCTCAGCTAGTGCATGATGTTGATGAGTTGGTTTATCTCCGTTCAAGCCAGACATAGGGATGTCTTGAGGGTATATGAGACCAGAGGCACCGGGCCTGTCGCAGCAGCCTCTTTTGTCCCTTCGTCTCCCTCATCCCTTTGACGTTATATGGCAACCCTCTTCTCTCCTGTCACTCGCTTCGGTACCTTGCTCTGACCCATTCTTGAATACCAATACCACCGCCATTAGTCAGCGCCACAGGCTTCCATTTCCGAAGACAAACAAACCTCGAGAACCCGCCACCGACAAGCCTCACAAACTGTGCCTGACCCCGAGTCTTCGAAATCTCCAGCTTGTGGATCCTTGGTCAGAATGGGCATTCCCGACCAGGTGGTAGTCCTCTTATGTATTATCGGAGCTGGTGCTTCCGTCTGCGTTGGCTTTGCTTTCAACAGGCTATGGGGCCTGCATAACAATGCGGGTGACGGCTTCAAAGAGAGATCATCGTCGCAGGAACAATATATGAGAGAGGTGCGCCAAAGAACCCAAATAGAAGCGTTTGGAGAGGCAAGAGAGCAACGATACAGGCCTCACGATGGTTGAAGACTTCTCCCAAGAGCCAAGAGTTGAGCTTCCGCTCAGCCATCGATCGGCTGCAGGAAACAAAACGCACCATTTCAGGCTGTACAGACGCAGACGGTCAGCACTCGGAGCCCAGAGCAAATCGCCGAGCAACAGCTGCGACTGAGATATCCGGACATGGAAGACTATGGGCCCAGGCGACGGGGACGATGGCAACGATAGACGTCTAGATTGGGGAAGTCGGGCGCTGGAGGGTCGGGCGATTGGCTGTGTTGTATGGATATATGTTTAGCGAACGAGGTCCCGACCAAAAATGTAACCAGGGCCTGTACGCCGTACGGAGTACTCCCTATATGCCATGGCTGCAATACAGAACATCCGAGGTGTCAGAGCCAACGAGTAACGCCTGTTTGATGCCCGAGAAAGGGGCTTGAACGATGTCCATGCTGGCGGAGGTGCTTTGGAGCAGCAAGCAAGTGCCAGTAGAACGGAGATCGAGTGTCAGCGAAGGTCCACATGCTAAAAGACGAGAGAATCCTGCTGCAAAGTTGGACCTTCTGGTAGATATCCGTATATCTTGTCGGGCGGCAACCTCTCAGACATTGAGACACAGCAAGTTGTAATTAAGGAATAGACGACGGGATCTCCGGGCTGAACCTCTGTACCCTCTGTACGGTAGAGTAGAACCCGCCCTGCCCCTAGTCTTCTCTTTTCTGTCAGACAAGCTGCATATAGTGGCGGACCGGAGTTAGCGAGTCAACTCAGCAGTGCGGAGGGTCAGCGTCTGACACTAGCTTTTTCGAGACGATCCGGCCCGACGGCCGATTAGATAAGATCCAAACGCAGAAAAAAGTTCCATTACCATTGCATCAAGTTGCAGGTGAACTTTTCCATTAGACGTCTCTACATCTACCACCCTCTATCCTCTACGGAGGACGATGGACTAACAGTGACAGCGACAATGGTCAAACGGAAACTCGGCGCCCTTGAAAAAGTGGACGCAGATCTCGCAAATCTACAGAACAAAATTAAACGCGATCCGACTTCCTACCAGACCGACTTCCTGTACCAGCATGTGCAATATGAGAACCAACGGCAGATCTTCCTGCAAGCGCCAACGTCGGCCTCGGACAGCGGCGTCATATCGTTTCGCGAGTTGATCGAATTCGTGGCCCACGTGTCGGACTGCTATAAAGAACAGACGAAAGAGTTCCCGCGGCAGCTCATAGAAATTCTGTCCGCGCACCATGCCACGCTTGAACCGGAGCTGCGAGAGAAGATTGTGGGCAGTCTGGTGCTGCTGAGGAGGAAGGATCTCATCGACTCCCATACCCTACACCAATCTCTGTTCCCCATCCTGATCTCGACGCCGAGCAAGTCTCTCCGCGCCCTGCTTTTTCAGAAGATCCTCAGCGACTTGCGGACTGCGAACTCCAAAACTATCAACCACAGATTGAACCGGACGGTACAGACGACGCTGCACAACCTGGTCACGGATGATCGGTCCTCGCCGAAAGCCCTATGGGCGGTTAAGATCACCCGCGACATGTGGAAACGACAGATCTGGACAGACGCGAAGGCCGTTGAGATCATGAAAGAGGCGGCCTTGAGTGACAATGAGAAATGTATCGTCGGCGGTGTCCGCTTCTTCCTCGGTGGCGACAAGGAGCGAGAAGAGCTGGAAGACGAAAGTTCCGATGAAGAGACGGTCGACCTGGCCAAGCTCCGGCATCAGGTAGGAGTTAACAAGAAGAGCAAGAAGGCTGGGCGAAAACTCGAGAATGCCGCTGCCACCATCCGGCGGAAGGAGAAGAAAAAGGGCCAACCGCATCCGCTGAACTTCTCGGCGCTACATCTCCTGCATGACCCGCAAGGGTTTGCGGAGACGCTGTTCTCAAAACATCTTCAAAACACCAAATCCAAGTTGAACCTAGAGCAGAAACTGCTTGTGTTGCAGCTGGTGTCGAGGCTGATCGGGCTACACAAGCTGACCGTGATCAGCTTCTACTCCTACTTCTTGAAGTACTTGACGCCTCGACAACCGTCGGTGACGTCCTTTCTGGCCTCACTGGCACAGGCAACGCACAACTTGGTGCCCCCGGATGATTTGGAGCCCCTAATCCAGAAGATAGCCAATGAATTCGTCTCGGAAGCAGCAGCCGGGGAGGTGGCTGCAGCTGGGCTAAATGCCATCCGGGAGATCTGTGTGCGGCAGCCGTTGGCGATGAACGACACATTACTTCAAGACCTCGTCATGTACAGAAAAAGCAAGGACAAAGGGGTCATCATGGCTGCCAGAGGCCTGTTGGGTCTATATAGACAGGTCGGAGCGGAAATGCTGAAGAAGCGTGACCGCGGCCGAGACGCCGCGCTCGGTTTACGTTCGGGCGAGCAGAAACAGCAAAGATTCGGCGAAGAGGCCGTGGGCGAAATTGAGGGGCTCGATCTGCTGGAGAAATGGAAAGAGGAAGAGAAGCAGAAAAGAAGACTGGAAAAGGGACTCCCACTGGACGCTTCTGACGAGGACGATGATGAGGAAGACTGGAATGCTTGGGACATTGAGGAAGACGACAGCGATGATTCTGGCGGTTGGATCAACGTGGAAAGCGACGATGAAATCAACATTAGCGATAGCGAGGATGACAAACCATCCACAAAGAAGGTCCGGTTTGACGCACAAGCATCGGCGGGTGACAAGGAGAATGGAACAACGAAAGAAGGAAACGAGCAAGTCGACGCCGATTCAAATACGGCACCATCGCAGCCGAAAACGACTTTGGCGACCACGCGAATTCTGACACCGGCGGACCTGGCCAAACTGCAGGAACTCCGCACGACGGCGTCGGTGTCGTCGCTGCTGAAAACTCACAAGTCTCACCACACGGCGCGAACAGCACAGACCAATTCCCAACGCCACATGGATGATCCGCTGACCGCCGCGGAGATTGAAGGGTTGGCATCTCTCTCGCACGGCAAGGCGACTCGCGCCCAGAAGCAGGCATTGCTGCAAGAACACAAGGACGACCGGGAAGACCACAAGTCCAAGGCGGCTAGGAAGAAGGAACGTAAGGAAAGCGAAGGCAAGAGTACCACGAACAAGGAGAAGGCGCGCAAGAAGAATTTCCTCATGACGCTGAGCAAAGCAAAGTCCAAGGGCAAGAGGAGTTTGGTGGAGCATCGCAATATCCTGCGGGCGCATGCGGAGAGAGCGAAGAGAGGAGGTAAGAGAGGAAATAGAGGGTGAGATGGACCTCTTTCGACCATTACGAAGGTGGAGCCGTCCAGCTATCTCCAGTCTATCATGAAGGCTTGGTTTGGAGAACTTCTGAATTCCGAGGCGGCCGAAGGACTTGTGAAATTCGCGCCCTTGAAGCGATTCGTCCGCGCGTACAGTATGCCTTGGTAGACCCGACTGTTTCTCAGTATGAATAGCACTCATCCGCCCCGACCTTCATCTATTGCGATCTTGAGACCGACAGCTCTGTCCGTTTCCCTGTTGATTCACTTCTTCTTCCCATCACCCAGGTTTTCCTGCACTGCTCCGCCAACGGCACCCTCAGGGTTGAAGTGCTTGCCGATGCTTCCCTGGCTCGAGAATGGGCCGCCCACAGCCTCTCCGACCTGGCCGATGTTGCCTTCAGCTATATGAGTTATTTGGGTCAGCATGAACTGTATCGTACTTTCAACTTATTTGAGTTCGCCCGGGAAACAGGATCGGGGAGTAGGCGGTGAGTACTCACCCTTAAACTGCTTTCCAATAGCTCCATCCTTGTCAAACAAGTTCGGTTTGTCTCCCTGCATCTGCTCGGCCGCAGCCTGTGCACTCCCGCCAACACTGCCTTCAGGCTTGAAATGCTTGCCAACCGCGCCATCCTTGTCGAACGGTCCGCCAACCTGCTGAGCCGTGCCGCCAACAGAGCCCTTTTCAGTGAACTGGGCGCCGACGGAACCCTTGCTCGCGTCAAGAGACGAGGAGTCCTTGTTTGAAGCCATCCCTGTGGGAAGGAACTCAGTTAGAACCAGGTATCAAACCAACGTTACACCTGACTGGATTGTGATTGATTGTAGTGGAGGCTTACTTGTGGCGTTGATAGAGAATGCTCTCGTGCTTCTAAGGCCAGTCAATTGGGCAAGACCGATGATGGAGGTTTGGGGGACTCGCGGAGGCATGGTTGAGATCTGGATATCACAGTGATCGACGTTTGCAATATACCTGGTAGTATGCAGAATGGGTGGGCAAGAAGAACTTCAAGTGCAGTGCGCCAAATTGGCTTCACAGCGAATCCTATGTCATCTAGACGTCAGAGGCTCACTTGGCGAGCAAGTCAATTTGTGATTACAAGGGTGAATTGCTCCCGTGCGACACTTCGCTCGCTCGATGGAAGTGACGCCCGCCCTCTCGGAGGGAAGTCATGACGATGTCAATTGGACAAGAAAGGGACGCGCTGTGAACTCTCGTGTCTTGTCCCTGGCTGATTGAGAACACATTGATTTCTCTAACGCAGTATTGTGCATGTCTTGCGTATGGTATATCCATCGCTTCGAAGACTGCGAGAACAAGTCTCAAAGTCAGCGATACTTCTAACCGTGCCTGCATCATCCAAGTACTACCACTCGCAACCTACTGCCAGTGGTCCACTGATTACTGAGGTATGACGTATGGAGCACGGAGTGCCTACGGAGAAGTACATACTCGGTACGTACCTGTCTACTCCGTACAGATGTACCTTATCATTGCACGATTTCTACGGAGTGTGAGTGATGATGGCGGTCGTTGACCTCAAGTTGCCTTGCCCGACTCACTGGGACCATCCCATCAGCTGCACACTGCGAACATGATACGCTGTCATGCTTGCGCTGTATATAGCCAGGTCCTGGTTAGCCAATGATTTCTCGCAAGATAAGGAACTCAATCGCCTGTAAAACCTGTTGTGAGAATAAGGGAGTTGGCTCCTAGTGAGCTGTGAGCTGAGCTGCTTGTAGCCAGCTGATGCAGTATGCATAAGTATAGCAAATTGAGAGAGGTACCAACTTGATAATCGGATACCTACTTTGTTTTGTGGATGGTGGACAGACACGTTGCGGCTTCAGTCAGCATGGTTGATAGCCACTGGGATGTGTCTGCACAGCTGCTATGTGAGGGAACCTAATAGCAGCCAACATCCTGCTCGTTTGCTGCTTTAGTTGCCGACTCCAGTGTGTAGTACCCGTATGTATGTCTTGCGATTTGAAGCAAAGCCTTGCGCGTCAAGGGCTGTAACGCGTGTGTGAGATATTTCGTGTTAAATTCGTGTCTGGTGGGTTGGAACTGGCTAGTAGGGAGATGAAGGACGGCTTCGCCAATAATGAGCATTCTCGAACAAATGGCGTGCCTGCCAGCCCCGGACTTTTGTAGAGGCCTGATGCAGGGAAGGCCGAAAACCGCCCCCAATCCGCAGGCTACTGCGCCCATAAGGCCGCTTGGGATAATTAGGGTGATTGGGCGGGCAAGTGTAACACCACTAGCGGCGGATGCAAGTGGCGCTATAAATATCCACAGACGGGATGCCAGACATTAATTTAGGGGGCTGGGAATCCTAAGGACCTCCTAAGCCACTTTTTACAGGCTGGATCCCCGCTTTGCGGCTCATTACATACATAACATCCAGGCACAAGCTGGGGCCCGGGATGCAATTTCAGGCATGCAAGCGAGGGAAAATAGTAGCACGGCCAAGGTGCCCACCCAGGCTTTCGCTGCTTGGACCAGCCATTCATCGACCCTCGCTTCGCCCGCTCTAGCAGATTCAGCCCCCCCAACTCCTCCAGGGGCTAAAAGGATAACCATCGATAAGTTTGATCGGATCGTGGTGGATTGGCCAGACTGAAGGGAATCGTAAGACATGCTGGGTGTCGTAGTCAGGTCGTAGTTCCTAGTGTAAGCTGGGCGCCGTGATCGTGGGTGACTAGGTACGGGCGAGGACGAGCCATGGCACCATCCACCAGTTCTTGAATTATCTACCAGTGCGCACTTTAGCTTACGGCTCCAATGCCGGAGTCGCGCAGCTTGTCTCATCTCAACCTCTTTTTCTTGTTTGCTCCCTGCGCATCCTTCTCGATCAGATCTTCTCTCCCATCCTTCCTCCTTCCTCCTCTCTCTCTTAACAACTCACTTCATCTCAATTGCTTTAATATATACCAACCGGCCATCTTGCTATTCGCTTAGCAGGATCACACCCTTCACCACACGCTCTCTCTTCACGTTGCCGCCTCGACGACTTTGTCTGGCAACCCAATCCTGCACAAGCTTGTCGACTCCTGCCCTAACCTTTGAGCTCGGACAACATCAACACTCGTTCACTCAACCCTCGTCGCCTCTCGTTTGCGACCTCCACTCGTCGATTTCAACCTTGTCACTCTTTCCGTGTAATCATCACCTCCACCATGGGCCTACCTCAAGAGTCGTCCGGCGCTGCGCCCTCCATTGACTCCGAATCTCATCTCTCCAAGCGTCGTCGCTTCACACCAAACTCCCTCCCTATTATTCCTGTCTCCAATAATACGGATATTGAGCATCATACCTTCGACTCACCCTTGCTATTGCAGCTGTGTGAACAAGCCCCTGATCAAGCAGAAATTGAGGCTGGTCTTCTCCAGGTCGGCATGCGCGTCAGGAAGGCTGTTGCTGAAGGATACAAGACTCAGGTGAAGAAATTCACCCCTCGTCCATTCTTCAATGTCGACAGACTCTCTCCTGAAACCCAGGCGGCCCTTTGCGGAGGAAACTCGGGCGCAACCAATGAATTGTCTCCATATGCTGCCTCACAAATTCAGCCTCTGAGCACGGCTACCTTTTGTGGCATTAATCTGGCATTCATGTCTCATTACAGCGAGGATATGTCCAACGACTTGGGGAGCTCTTTCGTCTCGGAACAATCTCTTTGGTCTTATTGTACCAGCCACAAGCGTGGTTATGAAGTTGACTCGGATAGCGAGGAAAGCCAGGACTGGCAGCCTCAGACACCCAGCTTGGTCGCGGATGCTGGGGTGACCATGCCCGTGGATTTTTTTGCCATCGATATGGATACTATGAGCTCGGTTAACTCCATGACCCAGATTGACAACCGTACCGGACAACAACTCAATGGTCGAAGAATGGCAATGCCCAAGAGTCGAAGCCGGTTTGTTCAACCAGCTGCACCGCAGATGCCACCAGCTTCTCCATTCAACCCATTCGCCCACGTGGCCGATCATCAATCAGAGCCTCACCTTGGTCATAAGCGAATGATCAGCTGTGGTATGGAAGCCATGGATTTTGGTGAAGCTCCATTTTTGCAACGACGAGAGGATGTGGAAATGGACTGCTCCTGAAAAGGCTGCAACCCAAGTTTAGACGATTGAGATTCATGTTTTGCATTGTGTTATATTTTCCACCTCGGAAACGAGAACCGACAAGGCTCGTAGGAGGGCAGCCCCACGGTATCGCGCAACTACTTGAGAAGGTTGAGATGCGTGATTCGAGGGGAAGAAAGGAGAGGAAATGAGCTTAAGTGAACCTAGTTGGGTGAGACATCTCAACCTAGGCCCGGAGATTTGGCATTGTAGGATATTGCAACAGTCAGGATCGGCATTGGAAATGTTTATTGGCATTGTATAGAAGACATCCGAGGACTGTTGGGCTAGAAGACTGTGAGGGAAGCCTCGACGTCATGGAATAGTCGACCGGATCTTTTGCAGGAGTTGGCGTACACAGCTGCAAGTTGATCTTGAGAGATCGAATCGATTTCGCAAGATATATCAAGAAAGAGTAAAAGACCAAGAAGAACGCAGAATCTAGCAAAAGATACGAGCCACTTCGTTCACCGCCAGTCTGATAAATTATTTCCATCGGAGGGTTCGGCACGTGATTGATGTCTGCCAAGCCTCTGGTTGCAGATTTCCTCATTGGGATGTAAACAAAGCTTCGGGAGCAATTGGCATTCTGGGTGTGATTCAAGGTTGGATCGACGCTCGCGCAGTACGAGTTACCCTGCAGGACAGTAAATACACTTTTCGAAACATGACAGGTCTACAGCTCTACTGAGGTCTTGCCTTTTGCGTTGAATGATACCAGAGTATGGATTCACCGATAATTGCAGAGGACAATCACGCGGGAAACAACAACCACGAGACAGCCGCAGTCAGCCCCAATCCGTTGAAATGTCCTCCAACATCCCAACATCAGCTGTCGCTGGAGATGAACTACCCGCCTGTACCTTTGAATCAGCTTTCGCCGGAGCGGCTGAATCAACCGCGCATGGCTCAATCTCCGTCCTTGCACAGTTATCTCGGTGAAAACGATCGGCCACGCACCCGCGATTCCATGACATCGGATGTCCAATCCAAGGTTGCATTTCTGAATACTTTAGCAGGGTATGCCAGTGTGCAGTCATCACCGACAAGAACAGGCAGGGGCGTCGGTAGGCCTGGGTTGAGCGGAAGGGCAAACTCCGCTACAGACGGTATTAATAACAATACTGCTCTGCAACAGGCAGTCATGGGATATGAAGAGGCGCAAGCCAGTCTGGCCACACTGACAGCGGAGTTGGAACGAGCAAAGGAAGAAATGGCAGCGCGAAAGAAGAGGGAAAGAATACTGTCGCAGCGTGTGGAGGATCTGCTCGGGGAGTTGCAGGCAGAAAAGGAGAAAAGGGCTCGGGATCAGGAGTCGTACTCGAAGGAAATCAAACGGTGTCGCAAGGAAGCTTACCGAGCAGAACTAGCTGTTGTTGAATCGAGACAAGATCTACAGGAAGTCAGGGCCGAACTTAAACGGTGCCAGGCGGAAGTGCAGCATGAGAAGGCGGAGAAGGAGAAGAGTCGCCAGGAGAGTTTTGAAAGAGCCTATGCCCTTGCCGGGACCGTCGGGGAGATGGAACAGCTTAAGGATCTCTTGAAGGTTGTCGAGAGGGAGAGGGATGCTGCGCTGTTCGAAGCCAAAGCAAATGCAGTGGACAAACCCGCCGTGCTGGGCAATCCCGGGGCAACAGAATCAGAAGTTGTGCAAAGGGACGAAATGCGGTCGTGGTCTGTGGCACAGGAGACTGAGATCGAAGATCTGGGAATCTTAGAGGGTGGTAGACGCTTTCGCCCGTTTGCACCCACCTTTCCAACCTTTGAATCGATCATGTTCGAACTGGACCTTTACGATAAAAAGATCAGCGGGCAGGCCCTGACGCCGGAAGAAGAGATTCAATATCTCAAACAAGAACTAAAAAGCGCACGGAGACAGCATGCAGAAGATGCAGACTTGATTCACTTCATGCATATTCAATGTCAGTTTAAGGCATGCCCATGTCGACTGGCAGAGGCAAATGGAGAACGTTTTATCCATGACCATGAATATGAAGCGAGGATGCAGCAGAAGAGATCATCAAAGAAGCGGAAAATTTCAAAGGAACCGTCGAGCACATCACCGACATTACCAGGGCCTACCAAGGAAGAGACTGAGCAGTTGGCAACCCATGAAGATGCGTATGGCCAGGATACGCCCAAAGCAAAGCCTGAGGAGCGAGATTTTGTCAAGCTACCTCCTGCCCCGACCCCTGAATTTCTGTCTAGAGCTACAGAAGAGCCATTACTGCTCGAAGAAGCCAGTGAGATTCCTCTTCCTATACCTCAGCCTGAAGAATTGGATGCGAATGACGATACACCTGAGCTCACGGCTCAATTGGAAGAAATCACGCAAGTTCTGGTGGAACCTGGAACAACGTCGAAGCCATTCTCCTTTTCGGCATCCACAACAAGCAATCCCGCGCATAGAGCTACAGCTCCACCTGTTAGACACATGGACAGGTCATCAGTAAATTCGGAACGGGACCTGTTTGATCTCTCCCCGCCAAAGCAACCACCTCCACGACGCCCCTCAACTGCTATGGGCATATTGACAGTTGACTCGCCAATTCGTTTAGTTCCAGACTCACCACGCTCTGTCCGAGCTTCCCGTCGCAGGACGAATCGCTCGACAACGCCAGTGTATGATGGTGATGGTGATCAGAATCTAACTCGATCAACGACCACGACCACGACCACGACAATAGCCCTGAAAGATGGTTCTTCTCGACCTGGGCTGCACCGACGAGCACAGTCTCGACCGAATCTGACAAGCCAATCACCATTGGCGTCATCAGTCATGTCTCACATTGATGATCGGGCCGAGTTTACCAAGGAAACATCGGCTTCTCCGGCACCTAATACACTGTTTCCTGTGACACCATTGCACAAGCATTCAAGATCAATGCACACTTTAACACATCACCACCTGCCACAGTCACAAAGTCGGCCTGAGAGTCAGACTCGAAACTGGAGTCCGCCGCAGACCATAGCGACCACAACGACGACGACGAGAGTTCCGTTGAGAGGATTCGAGGATGCAGATGAGACATTCAGCCCCGATCGCGATCACCCTCAACACAGTAGTAGATACAGACACGGTCAGGAGCATGCCCACACCGAGGTATTGAATGTGGACATGGACAGGAACACGATGACCAGGAATTCCCAGGTCCACGAAACGGACTTGACAAACGTGATGCGCCCGCTGCAGACCTCTTCCACTTCTATCCTTGGTAATATCCCCGGCACACCTATCTCCCGAGAAGCAGCTCTAGCCCAGATCCGGGCGCGAAGAGATCGGGCACGAAGCATCAACTTGAAGAAATCTACGGATGGCAGTGGCAATATGGTCAAAGGTGCAGCCAACAGTCCGACGAAGCCGAAGCCAGTGAACGGTGGTCTAGCTCTGGGTGGCTTGTTTGCGAGAGACAAGGAGAATGCGTACGGGAAAAGAGAAATCAGCCAGGCGAGCGCACCGGGACGGTTTGCTTATTGAAGCGTGGTCACCTTAAAGCAATGTTTGAGTTCTTGGATATGATATCTTTTGAAGCAAGTATTGACGCATTGGACCAGAAGATCCTTGACGCGGGAATTAGTAGTCTTGCAAAGGCCGTGGATGAAGATAGATCTTGAGTCTGTGTAGTGTTGTGGTTGTGTACAGCCTGAGTGGAAGGAAGACAGCAATTAATTACTCTACTACTACTACTACTACTACTACTACTACTACTACTACTACTACTACTACTACTACTACTACTACTACTACTACTACTACTACTACTACTAC